GAGGTGCGGGATGTTCCCGAGGAAGATCTCTGTTTCTCCTGCTCTTACGGGAAAAGGGTTCCCTCATTTTCGACGAATCAGAGTCCCACACGCGAAGGTCGTATGTACACGAGCGTGGGATGCAAATCTTCCCCAATATACCAAAAGACACTATATCCCGTAGCTCATGAATATCTTCACGTGTATCCACTCACGACACCAGAAAAGCCCTGAGGAGCACATCTATGCCGTGAACCATAACCATATTCCTGTAGCGTGCGTAAATTCATGCACTCTCTGCAGTAGCGTAAGCACTACTCAGACTCGGCCAAGTGCCGTGGCGTCGGATCACTTCTCCCTGCTTATCAAGATCGACGTCCAGTTCCAATTCCATCAGATAGTGTACCAAGCTCTGGTGGAATCCAGAGCGGCTCGTAGCGCTACGACGTCCATTCTACTCGCGTCCACAGATCGACCGCGCTGTATTTGGTACGTAACCGGGCTTCACTTGCGCTGTGCGATCTCGGTGGTCGCAGCTTATGGTTTTAGATGAGAGACATGTCCACAAGTCTCCGCATAAGCTGGCCTTTGCTGACTTGTACGGGTCCTGATTCCCGATCTGTGCAGCCTTGTTCCGTCTGTACTCAGCTTGGTTCTGTATTGGTACTGAGTACATACTTCATTCTCATGGTCTGGATCCTCCAGATCTGCCCGAAAGCTGAGGTGAGACTGTAAATCTGCCGGCATATTCATGCATAGTACAGAAACGTGCAGGCTGTACTAGTTCCACGATGTCATCTATGGGGCCACATGTAAGACTATGCGCCACGAGGCTTTCTTGTCGCGCCTAATTATTTTTTTTTTTGGCCCCAGCTAACTCAAGCCACTGATGAAAACATGCCTTCATCGGTGGATACATGAAGACCACGAAGTATATTATGGTATCTTCAAATTTGGCACATTTTTCACTCGTCTCGAGGCGGCAGAGAGGTGGGTCATCGGGACATTGATCAGAAGGTGGTTTCCCAGAGCAATGGCCAACTACTCCAAAGGTCCCCAACATTCCCACAGTCCAGACTGGGTCAACGAAATTGAGCGATCCCGACAGAAACCTCGGGTCGGCGGGATCACCATGGAGCCCGGTCAAACCCCAGCAGCGATCCCGACATGGTCATTCCGTATGGCGACAGCGTCCAGCTCATCTCATCTCAGCTCATCTTCTGGCTGCGATATTGTCCATCTGCGCCGTGTGGACTTGTGAATATGTACTAGTGTCTTAGTACAGCCATTCGACAGTGGAGAACTCGAATTCTCTCAGCGGGACATACGAAACTCGCCTACAGAAACCAGCGCGACTCCATTTCCAAGGCGAGCCGCATGGGACGGCTTGGATGAACAGAGCGCCAAGCCATGCCCCAGTCCCGAAGACGGTCCGGCGACGGGGTTCATATCGCCAGCTCCAGTTGGAGTCCAGTTGAGGACCATCGCTAAGCCGTGACCAAGCCGAGTGCCTCCGGTGGCCGATGGCCGGTGTGGATTCCAAGCCGATATGGATACTCGTACGGAGTAGAGTGCTGTGCTTGTGCCAAGTGCGACATTCGATCGCAGAGCATCAATGGCACGGCTCCTTGGAATCGAGACGGCTAGCCCTATTGACTACTAGTACTGAAGTCGACAAACTCTGTCACGTTGTCCGAGACTTGTCTAGGATTCGTGCAAATGAAACTTATATTAATGTGGTGCAATCAGTTCGGCAGTGGATCACCGACGTTCAGATCCGTTGACGCGCTCGGCAGCCGACGGCATGCAGAGTCTGCGTGGGCAATGAATACTCGCGTATTGGACAAAATGCACCTTCCAGACCTAGCCAACGTCGGCAAAAGCCCAAAGTGAGCGATCTAAGCTCGCCCAGCGCGTTTGACCAGCAAACACGGCCTGGATGAACCCATAACAAAGATATCAAAATTGGCCTCAGGGATGGTTAAAGTGAGATCACGCCCCCAGAAGGAGTCAGTCTCTTCCTATCATATATCCATTATTCTCTTCATTGACCATATGATTGTTATATGGAGAAGGAAAGGAAACGGAAGTCGCGAAAGAAAAGTTCCCATCGCCCTCGCATAAACACCTTACGTAATGTGTAAAAATTCTGCGCGCGACCAATCAATTCCAGGGCGGAAAAACTGAAGCTCCGGGGCACAGCATAAAAAGCGATTCTCGACGGCCGCATTTACTCTTTCTTCTTTTCTTCTTCGTGCGGCGGCGCGACTTCGATACCCGTGTTGCCTGGACATCTACGGTCATTGTCTGGCCTTCAGTGATGTTAACCAGGTGTCAGTTGCGCCACAGACGAAGGGAATTGCACATTGGCTCTACTTTATAGGTCTTTCTGATTCTCAAGGATGAGACCTTTTGGTTTGGGGCCAAACATCTCTATAGAAAATTCTATTCAATTTTAGAAATGAACAGACGGTTAAAACTTGATTTTTCTCCCACACTATATCTCCTTCACGCTCAGTACTGAACTGTTTGTGCTCCGTACTTGGCTCTTCTGCCAATTGATGTCGACATGGAATACTCTGTACTACCTAGCAAATTGTGTTGCCATGTCCAAAGTGTAGACTCGTCCTGATGAGTCGACTGGTTTGTAGTTATTTCCTTAGGTCTATTATGTTTACTCGCCAGGCTCGTCACCGATCTTCTCAAGCTTGCCCATGGATCTGTTCGCACCAGCCTCGCCAATGATGCGAATGCGATCCACGCGCAGCTTCTCGCTGTCTCCATCGCCGTCCACAAAGAAGAGGACCAGCGAAGTCACGTTCTGGAAGTTAACGAATCGCAGACCAACGGTTGCAGTCCCGGTCTTCGCATCCCAATCACCAGGCTGGATCTCCACCTTCTGCACAGGAGGAATACCATCCGCCTCGTCAAACCCAAGCACATGCGACGCATTCTTGTAGATGTGCAGGCTCTTGGGTCGCATGGGAGTTTCGTCGTCGTCAGCATCAGCATCAGCTGGCGGAATAGATGTAACCTGGATCGAGTGGACCTTCAGCGTCGACTGGAATGGGATGTACAGCATGAGCTGCTCGTCGGTGTCACTCTCAACCCAATCCGCTTGTCCGTCGGCCTTGCCCTTGCCTTTAGTCGCTAGCCCGGAGGGTTTGGAGGTGTTGAATAAAGTGCGCGGCTCGCCGTGCTCGGTGTCGCGGTTCAGCAATTCGAGGCCCTTCGCGTCGACCTGGTCTGTAATGTCGCTGTAGCCCTTGGCCACTGAGCCGCCAATCCAGAAGTCGCCGGAGCTTCCTTCACCGGCTCCGGCTGCGTCGTCGGACTGGCTTGCTTCCGTTGCGAGCTTCTGGACGATCTGGTTCAACTGTGCGGGGTTGGCGCCCTTGACGGTTTGGTTGACACGGCCGTTCTTGAAAACGATGAAGGTCGGCATTCTAGATGATCCAGGTATCTGTCAGTGATTTGAACGATGGTTTATGGCGTCGCATGCATTCTTTGGCTGCAGTCTGGGGGCGGAGCACGTACGCGGTGACACCGTAGGCCTGGGCGAGCTCTTGTTGATGGTCGACATTGATCTTGGTAAATGTGATGGCATTGGGACGGGAAAGCTGGGTGGCCAGCGAATTATAGGCGGGTGCAATAGCTTTGCATGGTCCGCACCAGTCGGCGTAGACTATTCAGGTGTCACACGCATGTCAGCAACGGGCTCTGTTGTTTGGGCGTCGAGCCCAGTGGCGGGGTAGGAAGGGAACTCACAGTCTGCAACGACCAGGCGGGAAGAAGAGAGGAGCGAGGTAAACTGCCCCTTGGAGGAGATCTCAACGACGGACATATTGGCGTTGGGAGGGGAATGTGAGGGGAGGATGAAAAGATGAGGTTGTGTTTTGCTGCTTCCGAATATGTCATCAGCCCCTCTGGCGGGCCCCCGGATGGCCCCAGGGTGCACAATCGGCGCTATGCATGTAAACCACCATCAGATATGTCGTTTTCTGTGCTCGATGTAGTGATTATGTACGTTTGATTTGTACGTAAAGCTTCGATAGAGACCTCGGAGTGTTTTCGTTTATACTCCGAGCGAAAGTCAGACCCAACGTCATATATATATCTTGCACTCGACCATCGGGACCTCTGAGTGGATTTCGCTCGATTTTAAGTCTGGAGCCAATCAAAGTATAGATATCCAGTTGAAAGCACCTAGGTGCCAATATAAATATGCGTTTATACCATATTACGCAAAAGAGTGTACGAATAATGGAGGAACAGGGCCTTCCAAGGTTGAAAAGAGGCTATCTACCTAGGTAGACGCCTGGGTGAGATGAAATCAGTTGTGTCACCAACATGCCCAGACAACCTTGGAAGTACTAGGTAGACCAGTGCTAGGTATCGTGAAAATTAAGGCATTAGAATTCTCCACCAAGTTTGGATTGTGCGTTTATTTGAGATGGACCCAGCTTGGAACGTTCTGAATGACCGAGGTCTGACCTCGGGATCGACGAAGGGCCATCTATGTATATGTATACCAGGCGCAGCCATGGGATGCTATCGGGCGAGGCCGAAGCGAATGAGCAGTGCCGGAAGCCGGGAGGTCTCAGATAATCGAAACGTAGGCTCGAGCGTGCGAATCGATCGAAACGAATAGCTGCACACCAGACAAGTGTCCCCCAGGGCCAGGCGAAGTCACGCCAGTCACCTTCTGGTGCCAGCCAAGACGCGGCAAAGCTGGCGTGCACGAGGTTAGAATACCAAGCTTGGTCAAGGCTAAAGCCAGCTGGGTGACCGGGGAAAAGCCGGGATGTCAATTGATGAACTGACCGCCAGTGTCGCAAAGCATGCAAAGGACTCAATGCATGCGAATCTCGGCATTTCAGTCCTCCATACGATGTCAACTCGAATCAAAGGTTGACAAGGTGGGAAAGGATGATCTCCCACAGAGTCCAGACCCAGCCGCCAGAGCTCAAAGGCCAAAAGGGAAAATCCAGGTATCATTCACAAAATCGAAGCGAGGTTTCTCAACCATCGTCCTCAACAGCGAAAAGAATCTTCAACCAAAGACTGCACCCCCGACACCCGATCACAAGTTCACCATGTTCTGCCTCCCTCTCCAAATCGTCCTCGGTAACCGAGAACCCTCGCTCATCACCACACCGACAACCGCGATACCAAACATCGCCATCAGCGCCCTCATCACACGCAAGATCTTCTAGATCCACGACCTCCAACCCAGTATGAAAGACATCCGCCGTCTTCTCCCGCTCCGCAACCTTCAGTCTATCAAGACGCAGCGTGCGATCGTATTCAGCACGGAGGACAGGATCCGAGATTGTCTTGTAGGCCGTTGTGATCTGATCAATGGTATAAGGACCGGATGAACCGCCATTGGCATTGGTACTGGGTACAGCAGTCGACTTCAGCGCAGTGTCCTTTGCGATCCCACCCGCTTTATCCGGGTGATGTTTCAACAACGCCTTGTGGTATGCAAGCTTGATTTGCTGCTTCGAGGGAGCTGTAGACGTGGATGCCGCGAAAGGCAGGGACAGGATCTCGTAGAAATCGACGCTGGGTGTTGTTTTCGTCATTTCGACTGGGCGCTTTGCGCGTGTGAAAGGTTTGAGCGCTGCGCGATCCGAGTCCTGCGGGGAGGTGCGCGTGCTGGATTCAAGTGGCGGGTCAAAGTCTGATGGACGGGTTCTATTGCCCGTCCGACTTGGTTCGAGGACCGTGATCTAGGGTGCTGGGCCGCGGGGGTTGGTTGGTGAATTTTTTGAAGTTCCCAAATGGGTTCCCCGCGCCACTTTTCGTGAGGAACTTCCGGATCCCTCCTTCATACTTTATACTCCGTACTTGAGAGCCTTTCTCCTTGATACTCCCTCGACTGCCTACAAGGTTGGTCTTTGTGAATAATTACTCTCATATTATGCTCTGAGATAGCACTCTGCATAGACCTGAGAGCTTGACAATCCCTCGCTAAACAACTGACAATGACAACTCCCGGACCGAAGACAACATGCTTCCTACAAAAGACCCCGAAAAAGCTGGAATATGGGAAGAACTCTTAGTTTCATTGAACAAGAGAATACCTATCAGTGAGTTACAACTCGGATATCAAGACAGCTAAAGAAATATGGAAGAAAGACGACAGCGGCTTCGAAGCGAGGCTTTTACTCAGAGGCCTTGAAGACGAAACGGTCCTCAGGCTTGACCTGGAAGGGGACACCCAGCTCAAGGAGCTTGACAAAGACATCCGAGAACTCCTTGAAGAAGACATCACTGTCCTTGGCATAGCGCTCGACATGAGGCTTGAAGCCCTTGTCCTTGACCAGAGCCATATCAGTGGGCAACATCATCAGAGTGGAAGTGGTCTTGTCAGTGAACTGAGTTGGGCCATTCCACTTCTTGTGGCTCCACTTCTCCTCGACAAGGAGGCGGAAGAACTCGTTGCTGAAGACAGTCGGGCTGAAGTTCCAGGGGCCATCGAAGCCGGAACGGTCAGTGTGGCAGCGGCCGAGGGCGTGAGCACCGCAAAGTGCAACCATCTCACGGTCGTCGAAGCCCATGCGACCAAAGATGTCGCGGATGTGACGAGAGCCCTGGGCGGCATCAGGCAGACGGCCGTCGGGGGTGCATGCGGCAACCTCCTTGTCCTGACGACCGGGTCTCCAGGGGATGGAGGGACCGCCGAGCTCTTGGATGGCGCAAGCGCCACTCAGAGTCCACAGATCAGAGTGGCTGATCCAAGGGAACTGGGCCTTGATGGGCTCGAGGAAGTCGCGGGCAGCCTTCAGACCGGCGTTGGCGCCGTGGTCTGACTCCGGAGCGAATCTCATGGTGGCACCGTTGCTACCTCCAGTGCCGGTCTCCTTGTCGTAAGTACCGCTGGCGTGCCATGCGAGACGAACGAGAACCTGTTGCCCGGGGCTTGTTAGTGCTGTGTTGCTTATGGGCATTCAGCCCTGGAGAGCTGCACTTACGGGACCATAGCTGCCGTCATCATAATCGGTCTCGTTGGCAAGACGCTGGGCAACGGCCTCATACACCTTCTGGTAGTCGGCCTGTGTGGGGACGAAGGGACCCTTGGGGGAAGCGCCGTTCAGGTAGAAGTACACACCACCGGCACCAAGAGCACCGAGACCGGCCGCCCAGATACCGAAGGATGAGCCCGACTTCTCAGAGCCAGCCTCTGACGAGTATCCGCGAGCAGAAGCACGGAGGTTGGTGACAGCGAAACGAGTGCTGCGTGCCGCCGGACGGAAAGAGGAGGTGGCCGGGGTCGCACGCAGGAAGGCCCGGGAAGCAGATCTGGCAGCCGACGCCATTGTGTATGTGTGATGTATATGGGGGAAAGGTAGGGTTTCACAAAGGGAAGAAAGGAAGGTAAGGTTGGGAGTACAAGGAGTACGGAGCACCGAGAGGGGGGACCGGACCTTTGTACTTTGCTCTCTCACAATACTGCGGTACTGCTACCGAAGCTGATGGAACCAATCAAGGGGGGCCAGTGCCATTGCCTCGGCGTTGCGCATCTCCGCATTACAGGTCTATCACCCCAGGTTTGTCGGCCATGAAGACTGTATTCACCCCTCTGCGTTTCTGGATCTCGCCGTTCATCTAGGCTGAATCTGAGATGACTATTTCACCTCTCTACACCCATTGCTTGATATTCTCCCACATAGCGGCCGAACGATGCAAAAATGTCATCGGAAGGGATTATTAACAGCAACACGCTGTTTGGTCAATGGCGCCCCACTACGGCTCCCTCCGACTTGCTGACTCTGTCGAACGGTCTCGCTCCCGAGATCTTACTGATCTCAGTGCTTATACATTATTCAATATCTAAGCTGACTGTTGGCCATGGTCTGGATGTTCTATCCTTTCCAATGATGTTAACCTTGTTCCAACCTTACATTTCACCCTGGTGTGGTTATGCACTCCCTAAGCTCACAACGCGCGTCTGCTTCGATGCAGTTTGAAAATACATTAATACGCCATGAATTTCTACTCCGTAGCACATGTTGCAATCCAGAGAGTCGAGGCGGGGAGGTTCGTTACACTGATAGTTCTATACTATGCAGTAGATCCTGCCCGATGCCTACGAAGTCGCCCAACTGCAGTGTGTCGAACACATCTCCGAACGACCGTGGAACCCCGCAGATACGAATCTGTTTGCCTATCTCAATTGCATTTGGCACCCGTGGACCTACTGACTGCGTGGTCAAGCTCTGATAGCCTCAAACTGAGGTAGCACGATTGGGACGCACAGTTCCATCTTGTCCACAGTGGGATGGTGTCTGGACAGACACGACTCAACGTCTACTCAAGAATATGGGGGACCAGAGAAATGAAAGATTGATCGAAAATAGTATTGCTAATTTTTAGGGATGTCCGTCGTAAAAAAGTCCTGCAGTTCAATAGATGTGAAAACCAGGGTGGAGTAGACGCAGCTCTGCTAAAAACTGTTTGGTTTTGATATTCCACGAACGAACGTTTAAAAAACACCCATGAGACGTCCAGTGCCACAAGAAGGCACCACGCGGGTTATGTGGTTTGCAGAGGCACTCAAGTCAGGACTATCCTCGACATTAAAGGATTGGATCCGAACTTGAGTTGCAACTCTGGATGATTGAGGGAAGGTTCGTGTTGCGCGAAGAGTTTTTATTTCCCCCGACACGTGAGCATCACCTGACCCCATCACCTGACCGCACGGGACCGTTTAAGAGTCGAAAATTTTCGCCCAAATGGACCCTTTTCTTCTTTACACTTTTTCGAACGCATAATCAACCGCCAATCCCTCGTCTCATAGGATGGTAGGTCATATTGGCGTACTAGAATAATACGGATAGCATAGGACTCCTCAACGGCTCCAAGAGGCTTCGGCCTGGCGGCGCAGTGGTAGATGGAGTTTATTGCCGTTCGGACATGCCAAATATAGTAGATTTTGTACTTGTGTAGCGGAGGAACTCGTTTCCAACGTTCCAGAATCTCAAGAACACAATTTCCGAATCCAATGAATGCACCAAGCTCGATTAAGCTCAAGCTCAACGGGGTAGTACATGGGTACGTAGCCCCTCGAACACCGAGACCTGAACCTCTCCGCCCGGGCAACCTGAGTTCTTCCCCTATTCACTCATTTTTTTGACCCGACCACTCCTTTCTCTTGTATATTCTTGTAATTGTATTATATCTCGCATTATGCCGTCGGGCATCAGCAAGCGCCAGCAGGCGCGGAATGAAAAGACCCTTGCGGAGCTGATCCGGACCGTTCCTGGCAATGACCGATGTGCCGATTGTGATGCCCTGACCCCAGGTTCGTTCCCCAGACTCCATGGATGATCATTAGCTAACGCTCGATAGGATGGGCAAGCTGGAACGTATGCTGTCGTCTCTGTGACCATTTGATCCCCAAGTACTGATAATTCGATAGATGGGTATATTTCTTTGCATGCGGTGCGCCACTCTGCACCGGAAGCTAGGCACACATATCTCCAAGGTCAAGTCATTGACTATGGATACTTGGAATACAGAGCAGGTGGATGTGAGTATAACACAATGTACTGCGGCACACGAGCTAACGACTGGCGTCCCAGAGCATGAAATCGCATGGAAACATCCTCATGAACAAGATTTACAACCCGAGAGGCGTCAAGCCATCTATCCCCACCGATATCGACGAAGCCGATGCATGCATGGAGAGGTTTATCAGACAGAAATACCAGCACCGTTCCCTGGAAAACGGAAAGCCGAAGCCGCCGAGCCGAGAGGAATCGAGCTACTCCAACCCCAGAGCTCAGTCGCCCGTGGAATCGCGAGGACTCAGAGACTACGATAGATCTCCAGAGGGATCCCCTCCCCCTCTTCCACCCAAGTCGGGTAAATTCTTCAAGTTCGGTCTCCGGTCGTCATCCTCCACCTCGAACCTCCGCCGATTCGGTAACAACAAGCCAAAGATTGCCTCGCCTACTTCGGATAATGGAGCTTGGTCACCCCCACCAGTGCCATCTAGGCGGACGACGGGGCTTGGTGCGCCTGTTGTCGACGTGACAACGGCATCTTTGGAATCTAAGATGGCGGCATTGCAGGAGATGGGTTTCACAAACGATCGACGCAACGAGATGGTCCTCAGAGGACTCAATGAGGATTTGGATCGGGCCATCGAAACTCTGGTCAGACTAGGTGAAGGAAGCAACCCAGTCTCGAGGTCCCGGACCCCGCTCGGGACAAGCTCCGGCGCAACGCGCGAGACGATCTCCAAACCACAGACGGCCAGCCAAACCCTCAAGGTGTCCGACAACTCATTCCCAGACATGCCTTCCAACAACCCGTTCGACCGAGTCGTCTCGAACCCCATCCCGCAACAATCCCAGACCACTCCATACAACCCATTCGATCAACCGAACGCTGCGCAGGCATCCACACAGCAGTTGGAATCTTCCTTCCAAGGCTTGCAGGTTTCTCAGCCATTATTCCCTCACTCCACTGGTGGATATCCGCACCAGGCAAGCTCTACACAGCAGAATCCATACCAGCAAACTTTCACTCCTCCCATTCAATCAACATTCTCTCAGCCACCCTATGTTGCATCCCCCCAGCCAATGGACAACAGCTTTAATCCATTCAACCAGCTTGCGCCGACCCAGCAACAGCAGCCTCAAGGCGGACTGGCAACTCAGCCAGCTCCTGGTGCGCTGCAGACGAATCCATTCTTCAATGCCCCGTCACACAGCCAGACCATGCAGCCACAAGCCCAGCAGATGGCACCTCCGGCGCCGAACTTCGGTGGTCAAACCCAGCCGCAACACGCCAACACCATGCCAGCTGTCTCTTCTGCCTCGCCATTTGGATCCAATCCTTTCCAAGGACAGCAGCAACAGCAGCAGCAACAGCAGGCACCAAACACTGCCGCAGGAGCTTACAATCCCTTCCAGCAGGCGCCGGCAGCAAACCAACAGAGTGGTTCGAGCCTCCCGGGACCATTCCAGGCGAATCAACAGCCCCAACAACCGCAACAACTCATGACCCAGCCCACAGGGATGAACAAAAACAGCATTCTTTCATTGTATAACATGGCCCCCACACAACCTAATAACCCACCTACTTCGCAATACCAACAACCCCAGTCTCAGCCCCAGGCTGCCACTGGCATGAATCCTTTCCCGCAATCATCCAACCCATACGCCTCCACGTTGCAACATCAGCAGGGCTCTCCTGCCTTCCAGCAAAACCAACCGCAGCAGTTCTTCCAGCAACAGAACCAGCAGCAGCAACATCAGCAGCAGCAGAACCCTCAACAAAACCAATCGCAGCAATTCTTCCAACAAAACCAATCACAGCAGAATAACCAACAACAAAATCAACAACCTGCTCCAACCAACAACCCATTCTTTGGAAATAGCTCTCCAGCGCCTCCAAGTGCCCCCACAGGAGCCGGCTCCGGACTTGCCGCCCTAGCAGGTATCAATCCCTACCAGCAGCAGCAGCAGCAGCCCCCAGCATCCGGAGCTGGAGATGCGAATGGAGCAGCCAATACCCCATCCCTAGGAACAACCACATCTCCATTTGGTGGAGCATCCAGCTCTCCATTCGGAGCCTCAAACGCTTCCCCATTCCCAGGCATGGCACCCCCATTCGCAAGCACGAACAAGTCTCCCTTCTCCGGCCCACCTCCCACAAACCCCGCTTCCCGCGGAACACACATGAGCCAGCCGAGCGTTGACGTGAGCGGTCTCCAAAATGGTCGCCATAGCCCTGACGCTTTCGCAAGTCTAAGTGCTCGACATGGCTGATTTGGACCTGACCCGACCTTGCCTCTTTCTCTTTTTTCTTGTGAATACGTGGACTCGCGTCCCCCCCCCCCCTTTTTTCCAATTGGAATATGAATATGGGTTGTGCAATGTGAAAATGGATGTTGACATTTCCTTTCATTTATTTTGATACCGCTTTCGGTAATGACTTGGATATAGAAGGTTGACGAAGACGTGTTACGCGCATGCATATCCGGCGCATCTGATTCTCATTGTCTACTTGCGCCTCACTTAATACTTTCCTTGATACTTTTCTTTTTCGTTCTTGTCGTCTCACTGCCGCCTGGGCACAATCAGGCTTATTACTGTCAAATATTTCTTTCTTGGTTTTTTTTTGGTTAGCGACAAAATGCACATATTTTTGGGTCAACTTCGAATATTTGAATCAATTATTCAATTAGAGATGACGCGTAGCTTGTAGCAGTACATGTATGTAGATTTATCCAAAATCAAAGAGCAAAAGGCGCCGCGAAGGGACAGGTATCGAAAGAAGAAGAATCTAACACCGATCAAGAAAACAGCTCTCGCTCACTCGGCACTCGTTTCTTAGATGACCAAGGAGCCCACCTCGACCACCACGAAGAACTCTGGCTATATCCCCAGTTTTCCCAAAATATCTCCCATCGAGACTTCTGTCTCCAAGGCCAAGCAAACGAGGACTGTGAAGATTTCCAAGAAAAGAACGACTGCACCGACCGTCTCCACGAAGCGAACGTAGATGGCGGCGGCGAAGAAAACGAAGGAAGAAAATCCCTCCAGCCCTTCTTCTCCTTGGGAGCCTGTTTCCTGAACGAGTCCACGATACGATCGAATTGCTTATCCCGACTCTGCTGAATGCGACGATGGTGCTGATCACGCCATTCGTCCTGCTCCTTCGACTCCAGACACCAGACTACGATGTCCCCCCGACGCCGCCAGTCATCGTGCCAGTCTGTGTTACCGGTGCGCCAGCACTCGTCGTACATCGAGGCGCGCAGAAGCGGACGCAGAGTTGGTTCGAGCTGCGCGAAGAAGATAAGGTAGTCTGGCCAGTCGTGGAGATGTGGTTCGGGACTTGGTTCGTTTATGCGGTAGCTGGGGAGATTGGGGGTCCAGCGGAGACCGCCCGCCATATTGTTGCGCAGGAAAGAGGTGGGGTTATCGTAGAATTGATCGGCCTCGTCGCGGTAGACGGCTTTTTCGGTTGCGTTCATGTTGATTGGTGGTTCGCAGGATAGTGCCCATGCGTTGATGGTTGGGTAGACGAGGTGGGATCGCCAGGGTGTGCTGTGGCATGGCATTAAGAAGCCGGCTGTGATGCCGACGTCTTCCAGAAGTTCTGGGCCTCGTTTTGTGGGTTGTAGACCATATTTATCTTGTTGTCTGCGGAGGTAGGAGAGGACGTTGATTGGCCCTCTTGCGTGGTAGAGGGTGGTGTACAGGGCTACAACGGTGTTGACGAGCACAAGGAAGAGCAAGATTAGCCTGCGGGGATGGTGGCTTGGGTGAGGCCGAGAGTAGATGGCCGGGAAGAAGAATTGCACCAATGGAGGTGCAGCCAAAATGTGAAGCGAGGGTAGCAATGGGTATATGAATCGCACTTCCTTGTGCGAGATGAGAGAAAGGGCCAGAGGCATTACCACGCAGACAACCGCTAGTTGGACCCGGATCGCGGACTTCACGCTGTCTCCAACGGGGGAGTTCCGCGATTTGAGAGTGTGATAGAGCCCATAGATCGCAAAGGGTAACAACGTGGTCAGCAGAAGTGGATAGCCTTCAGTGGCATAATAATGCCAGTTATTGCTGCCATAGAAGACAGCCAGTGACTGCGCAATGTTGAAATACAAGAATCTAACTGGCGGGAAGGTCCAAAAACCGTAGAACAGACGGTCTGCAACAGAGGACACTGCCAATACCGACGATCTATACATCATCAGGTCAGCTGAGCCTTGGCTCCATGGTCAGAACACATACCCGCAAATGATGACCTCGGCGATAAGGATCCTGCGCTGGGCCCAAGTGGTCCGCGCCCAAGCGACGCTGGCCAGTGTTGCCCAGACCAGAACATTCGTCGGCCGCAGAATACATGCCAGTGCCGCCAGTGGCAAGCATTGATGGAGGCTGCAAAATGCGTCAGCGGCAACTCTGATCAAGCCAGATCTGCAGTCTTACCTATGATTCCGAGGACGAGTCCGCTCTGGCCCCTTCTTTTGGCCCGGCTTGACCGGGCTGCCCCCCGTCGGGGGAGTCGACCATTTCCAGGGCCATAGGTCCAGAGCGACAATCGTCAGGGTAGTTTCAAGACAGTTGGACAGTGTCCGAGTGGAGCAGAACCACTGCCAGGGATTCAGAACTGTCGCCGCCAGCTATCACATCATTAACCAAGGTCCTGTATGTATCTCGAGATGCTCGCCACGTACCGTAGCCCACGCCCCGCGGGAATCATTTCCGTATACGCGCACCGCGAGCTTCCAGGTGTAGAAGTCCCCGATAGCCGCGATAACGGCCTGCGCTGTCTTCGGGGCGGCAATGAGGAGCTCGGCGCGCGTCGCGGGGGAGACGCGAAGGATGATCGCGAGGTAATGCGCAAGTTTGTAGAGGGCGGCAAAGAGGAGGGGGTGTAGGGAGGATCGGAGTTGGTGTCGCCATTCCTAGACATTTCGCGGTCAGCTTGGAGCTCCCGGGACGCGACTCGGACTCGACGCGGACTCGGACTCACCCATGTTATCCAGGCCCCTTGGTCCTCGCCAAAGGCGATTTTCCAAGCAGGCTCCAGGGACTGGAAGTATTCATCTGGCTGGAAGAAGGTCTGCACGGAGAATGCATTGACCAGCCGGTAGGCGATGAGCAAGAGGAGGAGGGATTGTACCCGGCGCGGGGGTTGGTGTATCGGGCGGCGGGGTGAAGTCGGTAAGGCCATGCTGGAGGTCTAAGAGAAGCGCAATAGACCCATTGCTCTATGATACTGTGATGCGGTTGGAGAGGTTCCGCACGGAAGTTTGCCAACACGGCTCCGCTCTCTTTGTTTACCTCCTATTCTCGACTATTTGCTTCACTTCGACACAAACTATCTGTACATGTTTGCTGTGCATGTTCACAAATATCGATTGAAAGATTTCAACATACACGAATGTTATACTAGGTAAATCTGTGTGAATATCCTTCAATAGCCGCACTATGACGCAGTCCACGCAGACCAGGGCAATTCTCTTCGACCTACCTGATTGGAAATTAGACCAATAGTTAATTCCAGCCAGAAACACCCCTCACGAATCAGAAAGGGGGAAAAACAAAGGCGATGGGGCGTGTAGGGTAATCCTGCGCATAGGGAACAGCGTCGGCACGACCTGTACTTAGCGGTCGAGCGTCGGCCTGGGTCTAACACTTAACGGCATAGCGCTGGAGAGACCTATGAGATTCCACGGGCCTTGCTCGTCGCTTCGATTCTTTCCGGGACTTATTTAATCTCCAATTCCTCGGGGCTGGGCAGTTTCTCTTTCTTTTCAACTTCGACTCCTCCGCGATTTACCTCTTAGCGCTGTCTCCCCGCAATAATGACCGCCAACGGATCCACCGGGGCTTTCGCCCACTACCATGCTGCCTCTTCCGCAGAGGCCATCGACTCCGAACATGAGTATGCTGCTCACAACTACCACCCCTTGCCCATTGTCTTTGCCCGAGCTCAGGGTACCACGGTGTGGGACCCCGAGGGCCGGGAATATTTAGACTTCCTCTCTGCGTATTCCGCCGTGAACCAAGGCCACTGCCACCCCAAATTGGTTGCTGCTCTCGTGGATCAGGCGTCACGAGTGACTTTGAGCTCGCGCGCATTCTACAATGACGTCTTCCCCCGGTTTGCCAAGTTTGTGACCGGCTATTTTGGCTTCGACATGGTCCTGCCCATGAACACAGGCGCCGAAGCCGTCGAGACTGGTATTAAAATTGCCCGTAAGTGGGGTTACAAGGTCAAAGGAATCCCAGAGAACAAAGCCGTGGTCTTGAGTGCCGAGAACAACTTCCACGGTCGTACAGTAAGTCGTTGCCCAGATGTGATCTGTGACGCGGGAACTGGGCTGACCCCGGCCCCCTTGCATTAGTTCGCCGCCATTTCCCTGTCGTCTGACCCCGAGTCGCGGGAGCACTACGGGCCTTATCTGCCCGGTATCGGATGCACGATCCCAGGCACTACCAAGCCCATCACATACAATGATAAGGCTGCGCTGCGCGAGGCCTTCGAGGCCGCCGGCCCTAACCTCGCTGCCTTCCTCGTCGAGCCCATCCAGGGTGAGGCGGGTATCGTTGTCCCCGACCCAGAGTACCTGCAGGAGGCCCGCGCCCTCTGCGATAAGCACAATGTGCTCCTGATTTGCGACGAGATTCAGACTGGTATTGCTCGCACGGGTAAGCTGCTTTGTCACGAGTGGAGCGGAATCAAGCCCGATCTCGTCTTGCTTGGTAAGGCCATCTCCGGTGGCATGTATCCTGTTTCGTGTGTGCTGGGCAGCAAGGACGTCATGCTCACGATCGAGCCGGGCACCCACGGTTCAACCTACGGTGGTAACCCACTTGGATGCGCCGTTGCTATTCGCGCCCTTGAGGTCGTCCGCGAGGAGCAGATGGTTGAGCGTGCAGAGAAGCTCGGCCACGTGTTCCGAGAGGGTCTGGTGGCTCTTCAGAGCCCGCTCATCGAGACTGTGCGCGGAAAGGGTCTGCTCAATGCTATTGTCATTGATGAGTCCAAGACCAATGGCCACTCTGCTTGGGACCTCTGCATGCTTATGAAGGAGAAGGGTTTGCTGGTATGTATTCAGATTGTTTTCTCGCAGCATTGTCTTTGCAGTATCTAACCTGTCCCTTCAGGCCAAGCCCACCCACCAGAACATCATCCGTCTTGCACCCCCTCTAGTCATTACCGAAGAAGAGATCCAGAAGTCTCTCGAGATCATCAAGTCGGCCGTGGAGGAGCTTCCAAGCCTCAAGGTCAAGAATGGTGCTGGGCACTAGATGAGCTATGGCACAGCAGCGGGTCTTCTGATGGAGACCGCAACCAAAACCCCCAAGCTGCGGATCCACGATCTGTCTCAATCACTGTATGGAATACGGTAGACATAGCCGCCTTGGAGCTCGCATCAGAGCACTAAGATCCCTAGGTACACCACCGGTGTACGTCTTGGAGCTGTTGCGAGTCGGCTTGTCATTCCACGAATTAACGATTGATGCTTTGAAAAAAACATCCATGGATGTGTTATAGCAACGAGATACAAATGACATTCCTATTCGAATCACCCTGATATCCAGTCCTCTACGTACTGTAGAATCGTAGAATCTGATAGTCCGGGGAGAAAGTCCGGAGATAAGAGGTCGTATCTCCGGAGATAAGAGTGATTATTAATCAATCGGCGAACGGGGACGGTGCTGCCGACCTCCGATCCCCGACTATACAATTAGTCGTCTGTTCGAAGTTAAGCGAATGCGACGGTTATCTTATGACCGTGATCCGACTCTGACTGTTTTACTCATTGAGATACCCCTCAGTTGGCTTATAACACGGTCATTTTCCAATGGAAGCGTTGAAAGGATTTCCTTGACATCAGCACCTCCAGGGCTGTTCCGCATTCGTTCAACTTACCCTCCCCACATTGAACACTCTCCGCTTGATTCTTCCGCTCAACACTCGTGTTTTGTCATCCCTGAACTGTGCTAGGGCTCCAGGGCTAGACTAAAATGTCACAACCCGAACCGCTGCACCAAGTAGTGGTCGCGGACAGCGACAAGCCCCAAGCGCAAGCCGAAAGCGCAAGATCGACATCCAATGAAGAAGCCCAGAGTCCTGAGCTCGACGTCCAAAAGAAGAAATGGTATCGCAGATTGAATCCGATCAGGTTACAGAAGACACCGCCAGTGCCTGAAGAGCGCGCGGTGTCTCGCGAGTACGGAGCCTCCTTCTTCAGCCTGGTCACATTCCAATGGATGTCACCACTGATGAAGGTCGGGTACCTGCGACCACTAGAGCTGCAGGATATCTGGACAGTGAATCCGGATCGAACTGTTGAAGTATTGTCTGGGCGATTAGATGCTGCTCTGCAAAAACGCACCGAGGGCGGATCCAGTCGTCCCCTCGTTTGGGCTTTGTACGACACATTCAGATTTGAGTTCATCCTCGGTGGCATTTGTCAGCTCTTCAGCTCGCTGCTGATGGTCTTCGCGCCATATCTCACACGATACCTCATCGCCTTCGCCACGGATGCCTATGTGGCAGAGAAGTCGGGGCATGGTGCGCCTCATATCGGCCGCGGTATGGGCTATGTTGTTGGAATTACGTGCATGCAGGCGATTCAGAGCTTATGCACAAACCAATTCTTGTACCGGGGTCAGATGGTTGGTGGGCAGATTCGCGCGGTCCTGATATCGCATATCTTCAACAAGGCGATGAAGCTGTCTGGTCGTGCAAAGGCTGGTGGCCAGGCGACCTGGCAAGAGACAAAGGCATTGGAAGAGACCAAAGAGGCGCTGTTGAAGGCTGAAGGAAAAGACCCGCAGCCTGACAAAAACAAGCCAAATGCTGATTCTGCGCCTTCAGTTGCTAATGGGGTTGCTGGAGACGGCTCCGGATGGAACAACGGCCGCATCACCGCTCTGATGAGTATTGATGTAGACCGCATCAATCTGGCTATGGGAATGTTCCATATGATTTGGACTGCTCCCCTTTCTATCATTGTGACACTGGTCCTGCTCTTGGTCAATCTCGGCTATAGTTGCTTGTCTGGATACGCACTGCTTCTGATCTCAGTCCCCTTCCTGACCTTCGCGGTGCGATCCCTGATCGTGAGACGGCGCAACATCAACAAAATTACCGACCAGCGAGTCTCGTTGACTCAAGAGATTCTCCAGGCCGTGCGATTTGTGAAGTTCTTCGGCTGGGAAAGTAGTTTCCTTAAACGCCTGAAAGAAATTCGCAGCCGAGAGATCCGTTCAATCCAGACCCTGTTGGCGATTCGCAACGGCATCCTCTGCGTGTCCCTTTCTATCCCCACTTTCGCCTCGATGCTCGCGTTCATCACCTACTCATCCACAGACCATAACCTGGATCCCGCACCGATCTTCTCGTCGCTGGCTCTTTTCAATTCGTTGCGCATGCCCTTGAACCTCCTTCCAATGGTGATTGGTCAAGTCACTGATGCCTGGACTGCCCTCAAACGTATTCAGGACTTCCTTCTGGCAGAAGAGCAAAACGAAGATATCGAGCGAGACGAAAGCATGAGTAATGCCATCGAGCTTGAAAACGCCTCATTCACCTGGGAGCGTCTCCCAACAGACGAGAAAGAGACTACTAAAGCCGAGAAAAAGGCGGCTGCCCTCGAACAAAAGGAAACGTCCAAAACCGGAGACGATGGCACAGCAAAAGAAACCCCCACGGAGCCTTTCAAGCTCCACGACATGACTTTCGAAGTGGGCAGAAACGAGCTTCTGGCTGTGATCGGAACAGTCGGTTGTGGTAAGAGCTCCTTGCTTTCAGCCTTGGCAGGAGACATGCGTGTGATAGATGGCGCAATCCGACTCAGCACTACTCGCGCATTCTGCCCACAATATGCCTGGATCCAGAACACATCTGTCAGAAACAACATTCTATTCGGAAAAGCATACGACGAGGAATGGTACGAAAAAGTCATCGATGCATGTGCTCTGACGCCCGATCTCGAGATTCTTCCCAATGGCGATCAGACGGAGATCGGAGAGCGAGGAATCACGGTGTCGGGAGGCCAAAAGCAGCGCTTGAATATCGCTCGTGCAATCTATTTCAATGCCAACTTGGTTCTGATGGATGATCCACTATCGGCTGTTGATGCGCATGTGGGGCGGCACATCATGGACAAGGCCATTTGCGGCCTACTTAAGGATCGTTGCCGTATCTTGGCCACTCACCAGTTGCATGTGCTCAATCGCTGTGACAGGATCATTGTCATGGACAAAGGACGTATCGATGCCGTCGACACATTCGAGAATCTGATGCGTGACAATGAAATCTTCAAAAGATTGATGTCTACTTCTCGGCAGGAGGATATGGAAGATGAAGAGAGTGAAGCTGTTGATGAAGTCACCGAAGAAAAGGCCGATGAAGAAGAGACTCCTAAAAAAGCAGCCATTGCAACGCCTGCTCCTGGTTTGATGCAACAAGAAGAAAAGGCCACATCTTCTGTCAGCTGGAGTGTATGGAAAGCGTACATCCGAGCATCTGGAAGCTACTTCAACGCCATTGCAGTATTCATCTTACTCGGTCTTGCCAATGTTTCCAACATCTGGACCAGTCTATGGCTTTCATATTGGACTTCTAACAAGTACCCTTCACTTTCCATGGGCCAATATATTGGCGTTTACGCAGGACTGGGCGGCGCTTTCGTTGTTCTGATGTTCGTGTTTTCAGTATTTGTGATGACCTGTAGCACGAATGCCAGCAAAACCATGCTCCAGCGCGCGATGAATCGCGTGCTTCGTGCCCCCATGGCCTTCTTCGATACCACGCCACTTGGCCGAATCACGAATCGTTTCTCAAGGGACGTCCAAGTCATGGACAACGAAATTTCCGATGCAATAAGAATGTACGCATTGACGATGACTATGATTATCTCCATCATGATTTTGATTATCGTTTTCTTCTACTATGTGAGTAATGTCACTGCTGATTTTGAACATCCAAAAAATAGCTTTCTAACGTTGTCCAGTTTGTCATCGCGCTTGTGCCGCTCTTCATTCTCTTCCTAATCGCCTCAAACTACTACCGAGCGTCTGCCCGCGAGATGAAACGACACGAGGCATTGCTGCGATCCACCGTTTACGCCAAGTTCGGCGAAGCTATCACCGGTGTTGCATGTATTCGAGCATATGGCGTGGAGGGCGAATTCCAGCGCAGCATTCGGGACTCAATCGATGTGATGAATGGTGCTTATTTCCTAACCTTCTCCAACCAGCGCTGGCTCAGTATTCGGCTCGATGCCGTTGCCGTCGCATTAGTTTTCGTGACTGGAGTATTGGTGGTTACTTCTCGTTTCAATGTCTCGCCCAGTATTTCTGGGCTAGTGTTGTCTTATATCTTGGTTATTGCTCAGATGTTGCAGTTCACTGTGCGTCAGCTGGCTGAGGTTGAGAATAACATGAACGCCACAGAACGAGTCCATTACTATGGCACTGAGTTGGAAGAAGAAGCGCCTCTACATCTGCGGGAGGTCTCAGAAAGCTGGCCTGAAAAGGGTCGAATCCAGTTCAGTAATACAGAGTTGCGGTACCGTGCAGGCTTGCCTCTGGTTCTGAAGGGCCTCTCCATGGACATCCATGGAGGCGAGCGGGTTGGTATTGTTGGTCGCACTGGTGCTGGCAAGTCAAGTATCATGTCTGCACTCTTCCGCTTGACCGAGTTATCTGGAGGTACCATCAAGATCGACGATATTGACATCTCAACCGTCGGTCTCCACGACCTTCGCTCCCGACTTGCTATTATCCCTCAAGATCCTGCCTTATTCAAGGGCACCATCCGATCAAACCTCGACCCGTTCAACGAGCACAACGACCTTGAGCTGTGGAATGCACTTCGCAAAGCATATCTAATTGACCAAGACACAGAACCACTCGACGAAAAACCGCACAGCGACCCTGTTAGTGGAGCCACAACTCCAACGGAAGATGCCAAATCACGCCCACTCAACAAATTGACCCTCGACTCACCAGTTGACGAAGAAGGCCTCAATTTCTCCTTGGGCCAGCGGCAACTGATGGCGCTCGCTCGTGCGCTGGTTCGCGACGCACGCATCATCGTCTGCGACGAAGCTACTTCTTCCGTTGACTTTGAGACTGATCAGAAAATCCAGCGGACCATGACGCAGGGCTTCCACGGAAGAACTCTGTTGTGTATTGCGCACCGGCTGCGTACGATCATCGGCTACGATCGTATTTGCGTGATGGATCAAGGGCAGATCGCCGAGATGGATAGGCCTGTTGTCCTGTGGGATAAGCCTGATGGAATCTTCCGTGCCATGTGTGATCGCAGTGGAATCTCGCGTGAAGATATCCTCGCCTCGGAGTAAACATTTCCATTATATATTCACAGTGAACCCATATAACAAAAGTACTAATACAATTATAATAATAATTTCTGCAAAATATGCCAATGACCAGATATCAGACCAAGTAGTTCCAGCATCTGTCAATCTGTAGACTGAACGTACAACTTCCAACTCCCCACGATCCAAAACAAACACCTACTTATCCAACTCACAAACCAACTCCATCCCCATATTCCGCATCATACCAGGAATCCCCGCCCCCGTCCACCCAGCAACATCCCTCTCATCCAACTCAACCTTCTCCCCCGACACCCCCGTAAACTTGACCGACAATCCCGGCGCCGTGCCAACAACCCTCATCCTCAACCCCGTCAAAACCCCCCTCAAATGCTCCGCCGCCTTTCCACCACCCCTAGACCCATACGAAACAATCCCAGCCGGCTTCCCCACCCACTCAAAGAACAAGTAATCCAGCGCATTCTTCAAACTAGCCGGTATACTCCAGTTATACTGCGGCGTCACGAAGATGAAGGCATCGTACTGGCGCACCACAGCCGACCATGCCCTTGTGTGTGCTTTGCTGTAGTGTGGCGTTGGGTCTGCGGCTGGGAGGCTGGCGGGAATGATGGATTCGTCGTAGAGGGGGAGATTCTGGCTTGAGAGGTCGATGATCTCGAGGGTTATGTGCCGGGGATCGGTGTCGGGGTTTGTGCTGTGGTTTGTGGGGATGATGGGATCGGCGGAGAGGACGTCATAGACGTACTGTGTGATGGTGGGGTTGAGACGGGGGCGGCGGGTGCTGCTGGTGACTATGGCGATGCGTTTGGGGGGCATGCTGTTTGTTTGGGAATGTAATTGGAGCTGTAGTTGGGTTGTAGAGGTGTGGTGGGAGTTTGGGAAGTGAATTGCCTTCGACTTCGGAGATAAGGTGTTCGGGTCGGATATAAGGATCTATGTGAGATGTTCACCGTAAAGTGTTGCATCAGAATTGTCGACATTGCAAGTAAATACACAAAAAGAGAAAAGCCAAAGCAAGCTCAACACGGCAATGGTGCTCGTTGGCCATGTACACATTGTGTCTTGAAAGGGAATGAGATTTCAACGATATTTCCTGACCTCGACCACATCGCAGCATCTTTTTCAATCTTTAGTAGAACAGAAAAATCAACCAATATCAAGTACAAGACATGAAACAATGAGTGAAACCCGAAGTGCCCACATGATCCAATACAGGATCATCCCTCCGCAGCCAGTCCGCCAACATGTTGGTACAGTGATCAACATGCTCCAGGTCCCCGAGCATAGTATCAAGGCGATCACCTCTCATGTGAACCTCATGGCCCCTTCTCAGTAGATACAGACAATGAACCAGATGCTCGCGAATAGAGGTCCAATAGCGATCCGGATTGCGACCGACCTCATCGTAGTCTTTCATCTGCTGTGTCATGGCCTCATCATAATAGTAGACAAACGGCTGTCCATTATTGAATGTCGCGAACTCATGAGTGAAGTCCCGGGGACACTCCTTGTGAAGCCAACAGCCAGCCAGAGGGTCATAGGCGCAGCCGCGCTCTTCGGCCTCAGTGGTAGAGTTGCCACACGAGTATGTTGTGCGTGATTTCGTCGGGAGACATTGCCGCTGGCCTTCGAGCTCAATGGGATAGACGGCGTCTCCGGCGTGTCCGGTGTGTCCGGTGTGTCCGGTAGCGAGAGGAGCGGGTGTTTTCACAACAAGGATTTGGCGGAAAGGTTCCACGGTGATTGATGTGATCACTGCGACGACCAGCATCATCAACACTACCAGGAGACCGGTAATCGTGATTGCGGCAAGGTTTCTTTTCAGGAATCCGGGGACTCCTCGGCGGGTTTGACGGTTTGTGAGGGTGACATCGCTGTCTCCATCGGTGTCCGCCTTGGGCACTGGCTCGTAGTTGCGTGAGAGGGGCATTAGAAGGGCGACACGCGGTGGTGTATGAGTGAGCTTGCTGCAAGGTGGAGGGAAAGAGGAATCTCCCGAGCAAAGGACACTTTGGGTTGGACATCTTCTTTATTGAAGACCCTGGCTTATTGAGGTCGAAACAAAGAGTTGGCGAAGTAAACACAGCTCGAAGTCTGTATGGGAAAGATCCAATCAGATCAAGTGGACTTCATCCGAATCGAGAGTTGAATAAGAATGTCTCCGAAATCAAGTTGAGTTCGAACAAAGAAACCCTCGACATCCCGGCCAACGGGCTGGACATCTTTCCGAGTCTCGAAATCAGCGACTGAAGATGCAAAATGACGAGTAAAAAAACGAACGACGCTTGTTGATAAGAAATCTGAAATCGAAGTCTTATAATGTCAACTTGAGGTTTAAGCAATACTCCGTCGATTTCGTAGACAAGTTCATCTAATATAGACTTGACATTAGTTTGCTATGTAAGAATAACCCCTTTTCCTCGCTGGGCAGCATTTTCATATCCACAGATCAAAAATCATATACAAATAGAACCGAAAGACCAATATACGAGCCGACAGCAATGCGACTCAAGATACCGCACCATCATCGCATTCATGCAACAGTAACCGTCTGGTTGAAAGACTCCAAGAAAGCCGAAGGACCCGCCTACACAGTACAAATTAGCATGTTAAACATTGAAACTGCACCAGTGAGAGAATACATACCCCGATTAAAGTAGCGTGAGCAACATTGATTTGCCCGGCACCTTTAGCAGCCGACTCAGGCACTGTGACACTGAAGTTCTGGTACGGGGGCAAGCTCGATTCATGGTAAACGGGCTTGAAAGGACCGTTGTACAAGATCTTGCCCAAGACATCCTCTGCAGTGCGGCAGGGTGCATCTGCACAAGAGGTAAAGCCGATCACAACTCCGACCTCGGTGGAGCCGCTCAGTGAGTTCTGCACATTCGGTTAGTTCCACAACGGAATTTCATGCGCAATGCAGCCCAAAATCAAACTTACGGGACGTTGGACTTGTACGACAATGTCTTTTCCGGCTGTAACCTCTTGGCCTTCGGATGGGAGACCGATCTGAGCGCGCTGGGCAAGGGCCGAGATGGCGAAGAGAGCGAGGGAGAAGAGGAACTTCATTTTCGGTTTTGGGATTTGATGGAAGAGGATTATAACGGTTGTACTGAGAAGGATGAGGTGGATTATTGAGTACTGTGAGAGTTCTGGGTTGAGTGACTGGAGTTGGAGATGTCCATGGTTTTTATAGTCTCCAGCAATGCCCTTACAGAGAATGAGTTTTCAGCCCAGGATTCGGCAAACAGCTGATGAAAATGATTCGTTGTGTCTCTGCAAGTTTCAGTGAACTGCATGGCTAAGCCATGGACGAGTGCCCAAGACTAATGGCGATTTGGCAATTCGAGTGAAGATCGTGAAGATCCCCCATTATTGTGGAACCGCCTTGCATGGTCTTGCATCCCCGAATAAGCAAATTGACCAGGGCTAGCTGTCAGCGCCAGTGATAGAATCTGAAAGTAGTTAAATCTTGAGTATGATTGTATAACAGTACCGTAAACCCGAGAGTCGCAATACCGGCCAGACGTCGCTACTGACTGATCCCCAAACAGCCTTGCAAACGGACACCCGACAGGGAATCACCACAACGACGGAAATAGATGCCCGGACCACCCTCCAATCATTGCTCCAGTGGGGATTCTGTATAGCAAAAATAGAACGGGCTTACAGGTGATGCATCAGGCGCCCAGCAGCTTCAAGAACCCCAGTTTCGCGGGAAACTCGGAACCCCGGGTATCAAGGGCAGAGGAATATGAGACATCGCAATTAAAATAGTTGCAACTTCCAAGTTCAGGTGAGACCTTCAAGGGGGAACAGATCGAATCGAGGTCGCGATCAGGCGACCTACATCATACCCTGCCAGTGGAATTGTTGTATGCCTACGGAGAAGCCAACCTGAATAACAATCAATGAGAGCCTCTATGATGCAAAGAAGAAATTTTTTACGAAAAATACAAATTGGTACAATGCCCAAAGACTGACACGTTGTGCCAAAGTCCGATCAGGAGTCAGTGTCGTTAGAGAGGAAATTTGAAAATAGCTGCATTGGATCAACAGAGCTGGGCTGATTGAAACTTGGAAGTATGTTCCACCTTGGAATATGTTCACAGGTTTCTTGAATTAGATGCCCCCCCCATCTTTCACTGATTGCCGTAGCAGGTGCAGGTCGAAAGGGAACAAATCGTAGATATCAAACTTAGCTAGAAATGTACGTCGCTGTTTTGCTTTGGTTCTCTGTGCTTCTGGACATGTCTCACCTCCATAAGAATCCTTGCTCAATACAAATTTGCTGGAGATAAGAAAAACCATGCCGCGTTGCGAATAAAGTTGACGTTGCTTCCCAAGACCGTGGATTTTCAATTGGCCATGGGTACAGAGACATTCTCGAGATAGGGTAGTCGCCTAGTCACAGTCAGAACCAAAACTCAAATACAAATCGACATGCAGGATGTGCAGAAAAAGGAGCCGAAGAGCGGCGTGGGCATTTGTCGTAGCCTTCGCTCACTTCTGCTCATTTCCACCAGTGGGCCAAGGCTGGTTGCTTATCATCCTAGCAGGATTCAACTCGCATTCCTCTACAGTATGAGCTGAGAGGACCTTGTGGAATGGACAATAATGACTGAGCACCCATTCGGAGTCAGGAATATGGGCAGCAAAAGTTCGCATTTCCCAAGTCGATCCAGGGAGATGCAGACGACGAGCTTCACACACTTGGAAGTCGGCAAAGAGCTGCTCCATGATTGAGGGTGGCAGTACATTGTCCATGGGGATATGAATGGAATCGATCCAAGCATGAGCGCCAGAGTTGAATGCAACGGCACTCAGGAATTGGTTGAAGAGAACGATGTCAACCATGCAGTAGTAGCCGAAGATCTCTCGGATATCCTGCAGGGCGTGACACCACTGTTGAACAAATGTGTGAGGCGACATTGTGGGTTTGTAGACCGTGTGAAGCCACCTGAGGTAGGGTCGGTGTGCCATTTGGAATGGGCGCGTCTGGGTTTTGTAGGAATCTCTCGGATCTCCTGGTGAGGCAGCCCTTGGTTGAGATAAATGTGCGAATTGCACCGGTCGGCGACCAGTATAATTCTGTTGAGGCATTGGAGATACAGGAAAGTAATTGTTGTAGCCCATTTGTGGGTGGGTTGGATACATGCGAGGTTGAAATGACGGCTGTGGATAAACCATAGGAGGGCCGGCCATCGTGCCATTGGGATATGGAGCAGCAGGCGATTGAAAGTATTGACCACCAAATGCAGATGGCTGTTGAAAGGGCACCAAAGGTCCGACAGCTGGATGACTGGGCTGGGGCGCAGGTTGATAATACTGCCAGTTTGGGTTGGAGTATTGGACCGGGTTCATGAGAGCACCTGGGTGAGCGACGAAACATGGATCGTTCAGCTCAGATGAAGTTGAAGGGGATCCTGCTGGAAGAACAGCACATTGACCTTCTGGGTAAGGACCAGGTTCTGCGGTGGCGACCGGCTGATCGGGAGAGGCTCCATTGTCGTTCATGATTTCGATGTGAGTGGATCGCGAACGATCTTGGAAGTTGATGTTTGTTCTGATCGTGGGGTCTGTGAAGGAGGAAATAGCGAGGCTGGTCTGATAAACCCAGAAAGCTGGGTCAATGAACGACACTTGAAATTCTGTGTCGATTGGGCCAATTGTTGGTTCTTGAGGTGTGCTGCTTTTGCTTTGCCTAAGAACGGTGGTTCTGAACGGAGACAAACGAGAAGGAGATGAGAAACAGTGGGCTTCTACATCAAAGAGAATATTTGTATGGAATACGTTCAGACCTCTATTGATTCATCTCTAAGAACCTGGTAGAAATTGACACTGTCAGTTTCACTTCGGGCTCTTTACAATAGAGTCACTATCCTACTTTAGATATATTCCTAACTGATAGAATATACTGAAATGAACGGTGGGAGTGATATCTGGATAGATGAATCATTGAAATTAGATCATTATGAAAAAAGAGTCACTTAAGGCTGTAGATTAATGTTTCTGTCTTTGAGAAGAAAGACGAAAAAGGCTTTTACTTCAGTATCCGACCGTGGCAGGATATCTGTTGGCATCAACTTGATAGAAAAGTTGTCGTTCATTCCTTCCCTATTCCGCCCTCTTTTGATCATGATCCAAACAGAATCAAAAACCTTGGAAGATGACAGTCCTACACCTGCAATCCTTTCAAGACTTGTCCCTACGGAGTAGACTCAGAGCTATCACTTCCATGGCAAAAAAAGGCAAGTGGTGGACGACGTCAGGAAAATTGACTAATTGATTGAGTTCCAGACTCGAAACTGGAGATCGGACGAAACTAGATATGCCGTCTGTGAAAAGGAGCAACGGGTCATCACTGAAGACTATATGAAACCTCAGACGATTCCATCATACTTTCGAACTCAGAACCCAAAACAAAACCCGAATCCAAACGGCGTCTCACCAGCGCAGACTTAAAACCCAAGCACAATGACCTATCACTGGATCTTGGGGTGCCGCTCGCTCTGATACAAATCGTGATGTTCGAGGCCGCACACAATCACAACACCTGTTCCAGACCATCGGACGTGTCCTCCGTCTCGGCCAGACCGAGCATCAACAGGCCTGGTATCTCCTCCAGTATCACACTATCCAACAGCTGCAAGAGTCAAACTGCACCCGGAAATTGCTCCCCCAACTAGCCGCTAAACCGAGAGCCGATTCTGGTTGAGGCGATGGACAGTCCCCCACCCGCAAAGCTTCATTGCAACAAAGATTCATTGAAAGAGCCACCCAAAGACAACAGATGTGAAGTCAGAATCCTCTGGACCCCTTCTTTTCTGACGCCTGCTCAGGGAAGAGAGCCCAGCCGCGCATCTTCCTGACTTCTGGGAGAGACTGGACCGAGCTACTTTCAATGTTTTGGGCGAACGATGGTGGAATCAGCCATTCCCTGGTAAAATATGGAAACATCCCCCCACAGAACTGGTTTTCATTGCAATGCGCCTCATTAGACACGGACGGGACGAGCCATTCTCTACCCTGAGGCATCATTCAGATTTGCAAGGGCAATACAGCCCCGAGCCTCAGCTCTACGGACAAGGGAGACTGAATGAGAGAGCCAGGGGGTTTCTCAGCCAAACCTTCTCGGTCACTACGCAGCCCATGGAAAAATCACCAACAGTGGTGCATACCTTGACCGACCAAAAGCCGGCTAAATCAGCAGGTGTTGTGGAGCTCAAGCGATGCACTGATCTGAGACACCTGGGCGCTTGCAGATGTGGGGCATCAGAAGCCCCTCAGTACCGCAGCGAGCCGAGAACGTGGTCGATATAAAGCGCTGATATGTTCAGGAGAGATACGAGATTCTGAGGAAGTGGCATGTCAATTTATTTTCATCTCATGCATTCCAAGGTTTCGATAATTGGAAATTTCATTGCGAAGAACAATTTCACAGTTGCCTCGAAAATGCGATCTCCAGGCCAGTGTTTTTGAAATGTTTGAAATAAATGGAACTCTGACCTAAAACGGATCGAAATCCCGAGTCACTGTGGTCTGTATTTTCATCGAGCATCTTCAGCCGACAAGCAGTGGGTATCCAAAGTGAACTCGGGATGCACGTGGTGTGCCCAAGAGATGGCAGCCTTCGGACTATGGTGGCTCGGTGCATGACCCAAAGCCGTTCAACCGGGTAGGCGATCATTCTGATCGGTATGTGAACGGGCCGGAAGTCATCACAGAGCCGGAGAGGTCAGTTGCTGCAATGACGCACGGTGATCTGCTCTTTCGTATCCCTGGATACTGAAATTGTCGCCAAGGAAGTATATGTGGAAATGATCCCCACAGGCAAACCGTGGAGCCGCGTCAGGACGCAGGCAGAGCTCAGACCACGCGATGTTCTGGAAAGCGTCTGGAATTCCAGAAACCTTTGCTCGGGTGTTTTCCGGTTGAATTTAGCTTTGCAGGACCACGGAAGACAGATCCGTGGTTGTCAAAAGCATAAAGACAATGTTTGTGCAGCATCAACAGCATTCACAGCATTATACTGGCCTGCAGAGGCTGGATAGCTTGTTTTCGTATACAAGGGCACACACCTCGGGTCCGAATAGCCCGGCAAACAGGTTAAAAAGGTAGAGAGACCCGAGCTCAACGATGGACCTGGACACCACATGGGAAAGCATGATGGGCGGAGTGGACCCCCCGGGGATGATCTGATAGCCAGCCATTTTAGCACGTTCCACCCACTCCCCACATCCATTTACGGCGCTTATCCGGGAGAGATGTATATTTACGTCTTGTCCTCAGGAGCCCCACGGTCGAACATGCCACTTTCGTTCCTGGTCGATCTTTACCTGGATCGCATCATTCGCATGTCCTTCAATCCCCTCCAAGTCTCGGGATGAACTCATTCACCCCCCAGGATTTCCAGGAATGGGTTGATAGACGCCAAAGCAGCGTGTCTACCTCCACCGTGTCGTCCGCGTCAACAAGCGTGCTGTTCTCGAGCCCCACGACCTCGCCAGGGTCTAGCTCGAGAAAGCAATCCGGGCAGTTCTACGACGATGTCGTGCGTCTCGTCCTGACCCCCTCGGTGCAAATGTATGTACGGGCGCAACTCCGCGCAGAGGCATACTGATCATTCTAGCTCATTTGTGAAGAACGGTCAACTGTTCAAGCTGCAATATACATTTATCGACGTCTGCAAAGATTCAACGGGCGCGTTGAGATGCTTGGAACTCGGAGGGGGACTCGGCCAGCAATCGCCTTTCATTCATGGCTGTGGGTAATCGCGATGTGCACTTTCTTCCAACTATCTTCTGACCAGGATCTAGTCTCGAATATTAAACTACCAGTGCCGCACTTGGAGCACCCAAAATCCGGCGACGATTACCCCCTGCGAGTGTCCTTCATGGACCAACAGACCGTTCAAACAGCACATACAGTCTTCATGACTCAACTATCATATAAGTTCGACAACTGGGATGGTATGCGACCGAGGAAACCCGGATGCCGGTAGCCTGCTAATCGCTTCAGACTGCGTTCGATTCCAGGAGCTACTACTCTGCTCGAAGTTAATGTTTATCGGCGGCATGGCCGAGGCCAAATCCAAAGGTCGAGGCGAAGAGTGCATCAGCCAGAATCTTCGAATCCTCCGAGGACATAACGGCAAACGTGTGATGTTATATTTTGCCAACTCTCAAAGGAGGGAACTAAAACGATACGTTTCCATACCGCGTGAGTGGAAATTTCGGATTCACCCCCTGTTGGAGTTGATTGCTAACCGGCCAGTTAACTGCATCGGGGGCATCAAACCACCGAAGAAACCAGGGCGACCAGCCACCGTGGAGTTAAATCCGAATTTCGAAATCCTGGCGCAAATGAGAAATTTGACTATCCAGTTTCTCGACGATGACGGTCAGTGCACATTTGAGTTTCGGAACTCTGGGTCGCTAACTCGTATTCCTTTAGACTGCAAAGAATTCTGCCAGATGTTATCATACGATCTGTCCCTGGGATGAATGTCCCGACTCTAGACCCCTTTACGATAATGAACCTTGCATGGAGTTGGGCGTAATAGACAAACTGTACTTAATAGGAAGATACCACCGGAGATTAAATCAATTTGACTTAAACGGCGATACGAAGTGTAATCAACATCCAATTCCACCAAGAGACAACGAACCCACGGTTCAGGCGATTGAGTTTGATGTCGACAAACCAAGCACCGCATTGGCGGCACGTGGAGCGTACAACCCCAAGCTTTGGCTCGTTCCCGCCCGCTGCGCCCCACTTTGGCGCATCCAGTGGGCCCGCGCACGTTTCCACCGTGCTACCGTGGATATGCCTCATATAGGCTCTACCAGTCCATGGTAATCTCCTGACCTGGACTCTGATAAGATGTCCACGGCATGCTCTGTTAACTTCAAATTTCACTCCGCTTCACTATGGGCAAGTTCCACGCCCGGTTGTACAAGACCGACCGTGCGCGGGATTTCGATCACGAACAGGTACGGACAACGTGGTGATCGTGGAATGCGGGGCTAACGGTGCCTAGGATCGATATGTGCGCATGCGTCAGATCTATGAGACCATTGACCGGCAAGGCTTTCAATGGATTGTCGTGCTGGTCGCAGGTCTGGGGTTCTTCCTCGATGGATACACGGTGAGTGGAAAACAGTGCAACAATGCTTGAAAGGCATGCGTATCGAGATTGGGAATGTGTACTAACCAAGTGTGCAGTTATTCGCGAGCAACATGGCTCTTCCGATGATCTCATACGTTTACTGGAAAGATGACACCTCCTCGTTACGCCTCACATGCATCAACATCGCAACGCTCGCGGGGACATTGCTGGGACAAGTGGCGTTTGGTTTCTTGGCTGATAAGAATGGCCGGAAGAAGATGTATGGTGTGGAGTTGGTGCTCTTGATCACAGCGACTCTGGGTGTGGTCATGTCTTCGACAGGCGTGGACGGGAGCATGAATGTGTTTGGCTGGTTGATTTGGTGGAGAATCTGCGTCGGAATTGGAGTCGGTGCAGACTACCCATTGAGTGCGGTGATTACATCTGAGTAAGTGAGGAGAGATGCGGGAAATGTTTGGCTAGAGATCACTGACGTGGCCCAGGTTTGCTCCGACTAAGCACCGAGCCCGCATGATGGCCACTGTTTTCTTCATGCAGCCACTCGGTCAAATTGCCGGTAACATCGTCTCAGTGATTGTGATTGCAGTGGCCCGCCATAACAGCACACCCGACGAAGACCTTGCCCGAACCGTGGATATCATGTGGCGCTGGGTTATGGGAATAGGCGTCGTCCCCGGTGCGATTGCAACTCTGTTCCGATTCGCGATTCCTGAAAGTCCTCGATACCTCGTCGATATTGAAGACGACCCCGTCACCGCCGAGTTTGACGCAAGCACGCTTTTCAGCGAAAGCCCTGGAATGTCCGATTTATCAAGCTGGGGCAACAGTACCGTGTGCAGCGCAGGAGGCGGAATCCATCTACCCCCGATTTCCTCCATTGCTAGCACCAGTTCGATCATTGACGACGACGATGAATTCACCCGTCTGCCACCAGCCACACTCAACTCTCACTGGCGATTGGCACGCACTGATATCTATCGGTATTTCTGGACCGAAGGGAACTGGCGAAGTCTGGCTGGATGTTCGCTTGCGTGGCTTTTGCTTGATTTTGGGTTCTACGGAATTGGTCTTTCGAGTCCGCAATTCTTCGCGAAAACATGGGGCACGCTTCATATATCCTCGGCCGCTCCGAGTTGGATGACTGATGATCGACCGGATGCGAATATTTTCACCATGTTCATGGACACTTCCTTGCGCGGCTTGGTTGTCCTCAATGCTGGTAGCTTTGTCGGTGGTATTTTGCTTATCATTTTTGCGCACAAGCTGGATCGTGTGGCCCTTCAGAAGTACATGTTCCTGGTATTGGCGGTTCTATTCATCGCCCTGGGAAGCATGTTCCTCTGCCTTTATACTGGTCCCCCAGCCGTCGTGGCACTATACATCATTGGCCAGATTGTTTTCAACTTTGGTAAGCATATCGAAAACAGGAGAGTTCCATTTGAATCAATACTAACAATTAGCAGGTCCTAATGCCACGACATACATGATCCCAGCCGAGATTTTCCCAACCCGCTACCGCGCAACCTGCCACGGTCTCAGTGCAGGGTGTGGAAAACTCGGATCCATCCTTGTCCAGATCTTCTCGGCATACTACCACTTCGGCGCTGGCCCGGGCAATGAATCAACCCGGAGACATGGCATCGTTTTGATCGTCTTCAGCGCCTGCATGGTCCTTGGCGCAGCAGTGACGCACTTCTGGATCCCACCAATCCAGCAAAAGCGCAACGGACGAAGCAAGATATGGGGAGGGAAACCCGAGACACTGGAGAGCATGGCTCTTGGAAGAATGGGCCGAAAGAGTCGAGATGCGGACTTCCGAAAACGAACGTCTCGACATCGGGCGCTTTCTATGAGTGCTTAGATTTCATGTCATTTCCTTGTACATTCTTTCACTTTCATGCATATTCTATGCTCAAACTGTACAAACATATACGCGATACCCTCTACAATGCACATTTGCCTTCAAAGGTTGGAATATTATCTTATTCCTATGAAATTTGAGAACCATGGAATCATGAATTCCAAGACTTATCCTGGAGCAAATTGCCCATCGTCTCCTTGTCAAGATATAGAGCGATATCCATACCACCATCCGCAACTCCACTATCCATGATCTGAAGACATCCATCCATCTTCGGCATGATAGCATGGGCGTACCGCAGTTGACCACCGCGAGTGAAATCAACATCATGCATCCGCAGCCTCAACCACGACGTCACGATCGTATGTTCCGACCCCAGGAAAGCCTGCCAAAGTCGCTGTGGCGAGACCTCAAAAGCCGCGTCATGCAATATAGCCCCGACAGCATCTGATGTGAACAGTTTCATCGTCTCTCGGATTTGGCTAGCCTTTTTCCCGAGTGTATCCTGACATACCGAGGATCCAGTCGCCCCGACATGGGTGATGAAGAGCGGCGATCCAACAAACGTGTCTGGAAGAGGAGGAGATACACGAGCACGGGCTCCAAGAGTCAAGTTGAAGTAAACTTGACTTGAAGAGTCCGCATAGCCACGGGCGCGTGTGATGAATGTCCACATGTGGGCGAGAAGAGTATCAAGGCGAGAGATATCAGTCCGAGTATCCGGATCGGCAAGAGCAAGGGCCTTGAGTTGGCCTAGCTCCTCGCCTGTGAAGTGTAGCTGGACATAACTGGCTGGGCGAGTCATATCCCACGTGTGCCACGGTGCTGGCTCCGATGGCGAGACGTGTGTCTGCTCGAGTTGACCAGGCGAAGGCTTCGAGTGCTCTGTTGTGGGTATGCAGAATTCTGGATAGGCTTCGTTGGATGTGTCCCACCAGCTAAAGCGATGGAGTGGCAAGTTACGTGCCTTTTGTGAGAGGGCCTGGTCGCAACTGGCGCTGTCAATGTCGCCTCCGGCACAACTGTCCAGTGACTGAGGATCGAAGATAGGGATGTCGACTTTTGATGAGTCCTGCTCATGACCGAAGCTCTCCTGGCTATTGGCAGACCACAGGTGCATGAATGTCATCAAAGTTTGCGCATCAGCCAGGCAGTGTGCCATTTTCACGCCAACGGCGTATCCTCCATTGAGGAGGGTGATCTGTACTCGCATTCCAGGAAGACCGGCATAATCATGCAGGTTTGACAAGGCCAGTGGTTCACGCGACACGAACAGCGATTCAGTGAAGCCATCGCCTATCCATGTTCCGGGTCGACAGCCAGCAGTCGAAAAGGCACGTTCCTTAGGAGATGGTGCGATCGCGTCCGTTCGAATCTCATGCTCAACTATCGTCCATTCCACCCCGGGCTCGGAATCGTGACCATATGTGAGCATTGGGCGATTGAATCGCTTTGTGTGATCTCCCTCGCCAACGGGCGCCCATTGCAATTGGCCGGACCATTGCGGAAAGCTGGATAAGGTGGCGATGAATGATGATCGGAGATGGTCGATCAAAATTGATCGGTCTTCATTTGGCGCGTCGAAAATCCAAATTGCGCCTGTTGGGGCGAATCTCGCGACGGTCGCGTCGAGGATTGACAGGGGTGTTGATGTTGGTGGCGATCGGTGCGCTGGGAATAACCTCGTCGACTCAATCATGTTGGATTTTCGAATGCTTTCTGACATAAACGAAAATGCTCAAATTCTTGATACATTTCAACATGTTTCTTTCATTGTTTTTATTCCCAACCCACTGGCTGAGCCAAGATGAACCAGCGTGAGTCACGATGCATCATGACCAGGGTGTAGCGCCACAACACTAACAGCAGAAGCACGAGTTGTCTCGGACTGTTTTCCCATCCCGCTGGAATTACCAGATGCATTGCAAAAAGCAATAAAAAGTCCAAAGCACAAGATCTAGAACTCCTTTGAACAAGTTCGAACACTACGGAGTACGCCTCGCGATAAATTCCAAGGTTGTGTCTCAAGCCTCAGGGGCGGGGAATTTCGGGGGCGACGGTGGGGTCTTAACACTCCCAAGCTAGCGAATTCAAGAAGATAAGGTGAATTAATAACTCCAATCGAAAGTCCCATGCATGAGAGAATCTCCAATACTCTTGACTGAACTAGATCGATGGCAACGGAGTGTCCACAAATAACATCTCGGTCAATTGGTCGGAAGACCGCTCTCCGTGGATGTTGGCTTTCTCAACGGCCTCTCTGAATTGCGCGACATCCTTGCCAGAAAGTTGAACAAACATGCTATCCACGTTATCCTTCAGCCTCTCGACTTTGGTGGTCCCCGGAATAGGGAAAATATCATTTCCCTGAGCGAGCAGCCACGCTAAAGTCAACTGCGAGGAATGGATACCTTTGCTCGCCGCCAACTCACTGATACTATCAACAAGCTGCAAGTTTCTTGGGAAATTCTCAGCCGAAAAGCGAGGAAGTTTCTTTCGGAAATCGTCATCCTCGAAATCTGCCACGGATCGCAAAGCACCACTCATCATACCACGGCCCAAAGGTGAATATGCAACCAAAGCGATCCCGAGATCTCTGCATGTCTCCAAAAGCTTGTACTCAGAACTCTCGATCTCCAGCGAAAAAGGCGAGTACTCCATCTGCACAGCCGAAATTGGATGGATGCTGTGTGCCCTGCGAAGGGATGCTGCACTGCATTCACTCAACCCAAGGTATTTGATCTTGCCGGCATCTTTGAGCTGAACCATGGCCTTGACTGTTTCTTCCACGGGAGTCTTGCCATCCAGTCGATGACAATAGTATAGGTCAATATAAGATAGGCCCAGTCTGCGGAGTGATGCTTCACATGCATGCAAGGCATACTCGGGCGAAGAATCCCGCGACGTTGTTCCATCGGGAAGGGTCCCGAGGGAGAATTTCGTGGCGAGGAAAATATCCTGCCGTTTCTCGGGGTTTCTGATAAACCATTCTTGAAGTAACTCCTCATTGCCGCTGTAGACATCAGCTGCATGGAATCCCATTAGCCAGTTCCAACGGAATTCTTTCCCACAGGGTAGCTTACCTGTATCCCAGAACCTTTCGCCAAGCTCATAAGCCTGATCAAGGACATGGAGCCCTTCTTCGATCGGCAACGGCTTTCCATAGTAGCTGCTCAGGCCCATGAGACCAAAGCCGACCCGAGTCACCTCGGGGCCGTTCTTCCCCAGAGGGCGTGTTGGTGGTTTCGACATTGTGAAATGACTCTGTAGGCGCAGTGGTACTCAAGCTATAGATGAAGGAATGCAGATCAAGTGGGGTCCCTTGCGACACCTTTAAGTGTCGAAGTTCTAGGCATGCGGGAGGAGGCACTCGGACCGATGAATGGAGACTTTGTCTGGCGCTGAACAGGTTACTCGTCCGATAGATCGCGTCTTGGCGCTAGCTAGAGCAGGAGGCACGAATGGGATCATGACCGCGAAAGCGATCGCAGTAGAAGCCGCGAGCCGAGAGATTAGAGCCGACATATTCTAGCTTCTGAAATATTTTGGTGAAGAAGATGCGGATTGCGTCTTGTTCAATATAGCGGTATGATGTTGGCAAGAGAATTCAGTTGAGATGATATAGAAAATCAATCAAGATCTGTCGCTGGCGTACTGGGATCTATTCTTTGATGTCAATAGTAGTTGTCACATCAGCCGTCGCAGCGCAATTGGACGGGGAAGCCGATGCGGGAGTGGTGTGCGGGCAAAGGTCCTCGGGTGCTTCGGGCCTGCGCAGGCCCCGCAGCAGCCGGTGTTGGGGGCGACCTTGTCATCTGGGGGCCACCAAGGCCTTAGATCGATCTCGGGTAAGAACCCGAGATCCCGAAAAACAACGGGTGTCGGGTGCGTCGGGTGCGTCGGGTTCTGTGAGGGGCAGGATATTGCTTTCCTGCAGCCATTAGTCTCTCCGTTCGTTGACCAAATAGGGCTGGAATGTCCAGCCAACGGGTCCAATGGGTTCCACAGCATTCCAAGATGAAGATCATCCATTTCCAATACCCAATCACTTTCAGATGTGGTTGTGACTCACTCCACCATGAGATGGTCGCACCAAGACACATAAACTCCCTGCGCCCAAAAAGGGCAACGGTTGGAGATTGAGGTTCTACCGAGAGTCAATCCAAAGACTCCGAAAGAGGTCAGTAGATTGAGAGGTGAAGCTTTTCAATGCTTGCCAAGGGATCTTGCCAATAGTTAAATAGATGTAGCTAGGAAACAAAGCAAAGCTTAACTCATTATTCAAACACCGTCTTCTTTCACTGGTATTGACGCGGCAATCAATTCAAAAGACAACCTGCAACTCAACAGAGTTCTTTTTTAACGCGTCTCCAATTTTGGACCGCCAAAATGGGCACCTACGACGAAACACACCTCCAACCCACCACTACGATCGACGCTTCCCATGATTCTGTCAAAACCAACGAAACTACATCGACGGAAATTTCCTGGGATGGTGAGAGGGACCCAGAAAATCCATACAACTGGCCCGTGTCGCGAAAATGGGCACTGACATGCCTCGCCGCGTTTACGACATTTCTGTCAATGATGAACGGCACCATTATCACAGTCGCGCATTTCGAAATCTCAGAGCGCTTCAGTGTGACCGAAACAAGCTTCCCAAACTCATACTGGCCCGTGACAACATGGGCTAGCGGAGGAGCTTGCTCTGCTCTGTTTATTCTTCCCCTGGCAGAGGAATTTGGAACCCGACCAGTGTTCCTGTCAACATATCTTCTTTTCCTTTGCTTCCTTGTACCCCAGGCTGTCGCTCAAAACTTTGCTACACTGGTAGTCACTCGCTTCTTCGCCGGCGGGTGTGTCGCAATTCTGGCCAACACGGCTGCTGGGGTCATCGGCAATATTTGGAGCACGGAATGGTCAAGGTCAATCCCCGTCAGCCTATATATTCTGGGGTATATGGCAGGAAGCAGCATGGGCCCTGTTATGGGAGCTGCGATACATGAATCGCTGGATTGGAGGTGGGTCGGCTATCTCCAGCTCATCTGGTTCGGCGCCCTCTTTCCAGTCTACTATTTCTTCATGTACGAGTCACGCGGAAGCGCAATACTCGCACAACGAGCGCGGGCACTGAAAAAACGCGGAAAGGGCGATGAAGCCGATTTTGAAGAGGAGCGAATGTTGTCTTCAGCAAAATTGCGCCATTTTTTCCATATCGCGACGAGACCTGTGGTTCTATTTTCTACAGAGCCGGTCTTGTTTGTGTCAACGGTATGGTCTGCATTCACCGTGGGGACTTTGTTCCTATTCACGCAGTCAGTCGAGCAAGTGTTCATGGAACTATATGACTGGGATGTGGCGCAAACTGGCTATGTGCAGTGCTCAATCGTCATCGGAGAGTGTGTGGGGTGGGGATTGAATCTCATATCCCGGAAGCTCTACTTCAGCTCTGCTTCTCGAAACACCGAAGTTCCTGGCACACCGATCCCGGAAGCAAGATTGTACATGGCTGTCCTGGGAGGTGTCTTCGGTATCTCGGGCGGCATGTTCACCTACGCTTGGACTTCCTATTCGACGATTCCGTGGATTGCGCCTGCGATCAGCTTGGCCATGGTTGGTGCTGGCAGTGTGCTAGTTGTCTCAGGTGTATCGGACTACGTGGTCGATGCATACAGTGACTACGCTGGAAGTGCGATGGGGTCAGTTGCTGGCGGAGAGAACATTTTCTCTGCTTTCTTACCACTTGCTACCATGAGCATGTACGGCAACATTGGACTTCAATGGGCAAGTACATTACTGGCTCTGGTATCTTTAGTGCTATCACTGGTGCCAACCTTGATGTTCTTCTGGGGAAAGGAAATCCGGGCACGTAGTGTATTCATGAACGCCATGAAAGACACGGTGAAAAAGGGCCACGAAGCAGCCTGAGTTTTGGAATTGCGCGAACTGCGTAAGGCAAAATAGACTTTGACAGATATGTATTTTTAGCCTTGAGTTTAGAATACAGGACACAGAATCATCAAGATCCGAAGGACTTTGATTATAGAAAAAGCTCGAAGCAAATTATCATTTACCTACCTAGGTAGGTATGGATTCGAGCATCAGCTACTCCGTACACCCCAAATCATTCTTCAATTCCGTGGGAAAATTTCCATTTCAATACGAGAGGTGCGGTGAAAAAAAAAAAAAAAAAAAAAGAAAAGAAAAACGAAAAAACACAAGCAAGGAATAATCCCAGTGAGAGATCGAAAGGAAAGAAAACAACAATGTTGAAGAACGATCTATACCGAGAGGACCGCATTGGTGCCGGTGTCGGTGCCACATAGACAAAACAAGCATTACAACGCGGTGCCGAAGGAGGTCCCGGAGATAGACTTCTAAATCCGCCCGGGCGCTGCGCTTTAGAGCACTAATGACTTCATACTAATTTTGAACCCGAGCCCCTAATGCTATGAGAGCCCACCCCGGGGCGCTTAGCTGGATGACACCCTCGGCTAGATCGGGTTCCGCACCCGAGAGGTTAGCTGAACTACAATTGGGCAATTGGCCTCGGGTGTATGCCGTATGTGATCCCCCAAAGGATATTAGATTGGCATATAAAGCAGTGTCAACTGAATTGTTCAATTGAATAGAAAATTTGAACCTTGTAACATCTTCCACCACACCCAGACCACAACCAACGACCTCCTACGACCTCCCACCCAATCAAAATGGCATTCTCCAACACCCTCAAAGATCCCACTCTCTTCATTGAAAAATCATACATCGATGGCCAATGGGTTTCATCAAAATCCAACAAGACCTTTAACGTTTACAACCCAGCCACCGAGGCACTCATTGGAACCTGCCCCGAATCAAACACAGACGATATCAACTCCGCCATCCAAGCCGCCGCGAAAGCCTTCCCCACATGGAGAGCCCAATCAGGCCGACAGCGCGGACGCATTCTTCGTCGATTCTTCGAGCTCATCATCGAAAACAAAGAAGACATCGGCAAGATCATCACAGCAGAGAATGGCAAAGCCAAGGGCGATGCAGAGGGAGAGGCGATGTTCTCAGCTGGCTTCTTCGAGTGGTTCTCTGAAGAAGCTCCTCGCATCTACGGCGATGTAATTCCTCACAGCAACCCTTCCAGCCGCACTCAGGTTATCAAAGAGCCAGTCGGTGTATGTGGTTTGATCACTCCCTGGAACTTCCCCATGGCCATGGGAGCACGCAAGGTCGCTGCCGCCCTGGCTGCAGGCTGTACAGTCGTTATGAAGTCTGACGGCGTCACTCCATTCTCTTCAAACGTGCTCGCCGCACTTGGTGAGCGCGCTGGCGTGCCTAAGGGTGTGTTCAATGTTGTCACTGCGCTTGAGAACACCCCATCGCTCGGATTGACGCTTTGCGAGTCTGATATCGTGAAGAAGATCTCATTCACCGGCTCGACACGTGTTGGTAAACTGCTCATGAAGCAGTCAAGCAACAGCCTGAAGAAGCTCAGTCTCGAGCTTGGTGGAAATGCTCCATTCATCGTCTTTGACGACGCAGATGTGGAGACCGCTGTTACCAGCGCTGTCATTGCGAAGTTCAAGGTCACCGGGCAGACTTGTGTGTGCGCCAACCGTTTCTTCATCCAGGATGGAATCTATGAGAAGTTCAGCAAGAGATTTGTCGAAGAAGTCCAGAAGAGCCTTGTCGGCAATGGCCAGAATGCAGCCTCAACTCATGGCCCCTTGACAAGCGGTGTTAGCAAGACACAGGAACACATCCAAGACGCCGTTAGTAAAAACGCCAAGGTGCTCCTTGGTGGCAACAGCTTGCCTTCCATGGGCAAGAACTTCCACGAACTCACTATCCTGGGAGATGTGAATGATTCGATGAAGGTTACCAGTGAAGAGACTTTCGGGCCTGTCGCGGCACTTTCCCGATTCTCGAGTGAAGAGGAGGTTGTCAAGCGCGCTAATGCCTGCGAGGTCGGCCTTGCATCGTATCTGATGACAAGCGATCTGGGCACGGCTAACCGCGTCTCGGAGCAACTTGAATTCGGTATGGTTGCTATCAACACTGGCGTGATCTCCGATTGGGCAGCACCGTAAGTCAACCTGTTTTCTCAATTTTTTTCCCCTTTCCAAATACTGACAGGTTATAGATTCGGAGGCGTCAAGCACTCTGGTATGGGACGTGAAGGCAGCAAGTACGGAGTGGAGGACTATATGAACATCAAGATGGTTGTGACTGGAGGGATCAACACCGTGTACTCGCCCAACCTATAGATAGCCAGCACCGATTCACGGCAGGAAAAAGTCGGCGGTACAAAGCGTGATATTGACTTCCGATATGATGATGAATTTTAGAAAAAAAAATTTTTTTGTTTCGAATATTTATATGTGCATGCAGCTCGAACTCAAGACATTTGATCTATTCCAAGCTCGGGACCTTCCAAGGTTGGACGGTTATACATATTTCGATGGATAAATACACCTTGGCAATCGCGAAATGCTTCAGGGAGTACTCCGTACTACGCAAACAGAATTAACCGGGAAATGGCTACTACTACCGATCGAAAATCGAAGGAAAATGAAGTTTTCTGAGTAATTTTGGCCTTCGCCCTCGGTACGAGGGCTTGGAGCGAATGCCGACTAAGGAATAGATACGGATTGAAACCCCCTAATCGAGTGAAAATAAGTGTACTCCGTAGGCATTATGGGCTTCCCAATTCCCGATTTAATGAAGTGAGACGAGAATTCCTCCCCTGACTGGGGCTGCCAGAACCCGACGCAGTTTGTTCGCGATTCTCGGCTTCCGTATTCGTATCGGATAGCAGCGCTCGGACCCCTCGGAAGGTATCCGAGGGGTGTTTCCTTTGCGTATCGAGACCTGCAGAAAGACATGGTGTTCACCGTATGGGCCCATCTTCTCGCAAATTCGAGCTATACATATTGCAAAGCACCGCCTGGGGGATCAGAAATCATTGAGAATCACTTTCTTCCCACTTTGACCTGTGCGCTGTGGCGGTCCCACCAGACTCCATACTCCGCAATGATTGAGTCTCCACCAGGCCCCTTGGGTCCCCTGGAGTTGACTGGATCTCAACAGACGTACCGGTACTCCTATGTCCCAGTGGCAATGGGACGCTCTGGCTAAAGCTTAAACATTGCCCCATCGAGAAAGTCGAAGCATCCTTGGGAAGTACTGTGGTGACATGTAAAATACGAACATTGGGATCCATGGGATTGTTTGGCTGTTCCTGGTTGTGGGGAAACGCCCCCAACCCCGCGCTACCCGAGATGACTTCGCCTATTTCCACAATCGTCCCCAGCTCTTGCACCTCTGATATATCACGCCAAGCGACCCGGTTGCTCTAGTCCATGCATTCCAATGGCGACACAGACACAGGCGGAACCGTATAAGCCGAAGCGGACTTCAAACGCGTGAGAGCTCTCTGCCAAGACGAAGTACATCTACTGAGACATTCACATTGCAGATGCATTGCTTGTCGACAGAGCAAAATCAAGTGCTCAGGCATAGAGCCATGCACCAATTGTCGGCGGCGAGGCATTGAATGCCAGATAGCGGACGCCAGTAAAATCATGGTGGATGAAAGGTCCGTGGTCTCGATTTGAACGTTGCATCACGCAAAGTCTGACAATGTTTCATGTCAGATATCTTCAGAAATTGATAGAACAAGCGAAAAGCCAAGATCAAGATCCACAAAATAACCACCAGCACCCACAGCACCAGCAAACTTCACCAGGGAGGAAACGGTCTGCTGAAGTGGCGTTTGGGCCGAATCCAGAGCTTGATGCAAGGCGATCTGGTAAGAAAAACTCGGTTTGGTTGAAGTTATATCTACTGAACAGATCTAGTGAGCTCAGTCCCTCGCCAAGACGAACTGCCCCCTTATCAACCCATCGATCAGGGGCGATGTGTTTGGGCCAACCCATTCACACTGCCATCAAGAACAGTCAATGGCCTGTACAAAGGCAAAAGTGGCTGGGGTATGTCTTTAGCTCGGGAAAATTAGATGCTATACTGACCAGTCCCCATCAGTTTGGCTTGCTCCGACGTCACTGTGGTCTCTGACAACTCGACTATCACTGATGCTAGCCGACAAGTTGTATCCACAAATTCCATACAGGTTTCCAAGCTCTTTGGACAAGGAAGTTTATCCGATGCGTTGGAGGCCAGCCCCAATCGAAGACCCTCCTGATATCAGCGGGCTTCCTTCCGAGGACGATGCACTGTATCAATTCAACACGGTGAAACATCATCTCGATCAGCATTATCGATTTTTCGATGAAACCTCATTCACGAAACACTTGAACGAATTTTACTCCGGAAATTCGCTTCAGAAAGCCACCGAAAACCGGCTTTGGTTTGTACACTTCCTTTTAGTGCTTGCCTTTGGGAATGCGTTCCTCCTCCGCTCCCGAAATACTAAAGATCCCCCGGGGTCCAAGTTTTTCTTGCGAGCTATGTCTCTTTTGCCAGACTATGCGAGTCTTTGGCCTGACGGCTTACTGGCCGCGGAAGTTCTGGCTCTCGCTGGACTATATCTATACTGCATCGACCACCGAGAGTCTGCGCATGTATATGTAAGAAATCCCATTCTTGTGCATTAAGAGATTTTGCATTCTGACAGTTTGAAGATCGGCCAAGCAATTCGAATTGCGCAACTCGATGGCTTGCACACCGAACTCCCTGAAAGTGAGCTCGGGGTAGAGGTTGTCTCTCGATGTCGAAACCTCTGGTGGACCCTATATGTCATGGATCGGCATGTTTCATCCTCCCTGGGACTTCCGATGACCACCCAAGACAGCGATATTACAACGACGCTCAGTCCCGCTTCGGCGGGGTCACGACCGGATGCTACTTTAAGCCTCCATGTGAAGCTCTCATGTCTTTTTTCGTCGATTTTAACTTGTAACTTAACCCCCCTCCCGATCTCAAGCTGACCAATTGCTGACCATATCGACTGATAGCAATCTATAAGAACGAGAAAACTGAGCTAGGAACCTTCCTGGAGAAGACGCGAACTATCTTACAGACTATGACAATCTACGCACGGGATATAGAAAACATCATCCACCCAAAGGCCACTAGCAGCGTGGAAACTATGCCCAAGGGCACGCGATATATCACATTACTCTATCATCAGGTAAGAGTGCCAATTACCGCGCTCGACTTGATGCTAATTCGAAGATATCAGTGCGTTGTTGTAGCAACCAGACCATTACTCCTGTCCGTTCTGAAAGAACGACTAGAAAGGCTTGGGGATCCAGAGCACCGGGAGGACGACTGGAGAAGCTTTCTGGCCCCGACAAAAGCCTTGATCTCAACAGGAATCAAGTCGGCCATCCAAACCCTCCAGATATTGACTGATGAGGACAGCCTGCTCGGTAAGCCAATTTCCCCGGTCCACCAAGGAGATGAATGAACTAATCTCGAGCTCTGTTTACGCAGAGGTATTCCTTCCTTTCGAAATGGAAGTTACATACGGAGCTTCTCTTCACCTAATCATGGCGAATGCTCTATTCCCGCATTCTACTGCAGGCTATGAATATAGCGAGCAAGCACATTCGGTGTTCGATGAAATGATCTTCAAGGGAAACAGAATAGCCGTTGCTCGCAAGACAGAGCTCTCACACCTGGAGGATCTGTTCCGTGAGCTCGCAACGCGAATCGAGTCGCATGGCTTGCAAACATTAACTCTCACTACACCCGAGCACGTGCAAAATCCAGAGGGCATGCTGGAAAATATGCCTGTTCACGCAGAGGACTTGAGCAAAGATGCCGCACATCATGGACCAGATGTCCATGTACCCCATGAGGGCGCTGGGTATTTGCCCCCGAGTCCTCATCTACCGAATAATGCGGACCTGCTTGATGGGATGGGCATCTCCTCGTACGAATTTCTGTCTATCATTGAGCAGATTGGCGGAGCTGAGAGCAGTTTGTTAGATCCAGGGCCGTCGTGGGAGCATGGTATTTAAGCCGTGCCGGGATGATTGCAGGTTCTGTCTTATGGTGGCTGTACTTCGATTTCCACGTGGGCAATATTCTTACTCGCAGAGGTATTCCAGCGGATGTATTCTATAAAGTAGTGACTATTCCAATTTCAAATCTTGACCAAGGTGATTCTATTTCTTTTTGATAAAAGACGGTTTGGTTTAGCATTTGAATAGATCCCAAAGCAGACCTTGGCTACAGCTTGACAGGAACATTTCGCAAAGCCTTGACAACCTGCTGGGCCCCATCCTCTCCAGAGCAAAGCGCACCCTCCATATACCCTTTCCACTCCGAGCTATACTCAGTACCGACGAAATGCAAGTTACCCACGGGCCTTCCATAGACGGAGGCGTACTTGGTAAGATGTCCAATGGAGTGCACAGGTGCCAAGGCACCACGGCTGAATTCCTCATGTTGCCAAATCTGCTCGAACACCTCAATTGGCTTGAAGACCTCGGGGTTATTCTTGAACACGTTCGCGAGTTGTTTCAAACCAGCCGCGCGACGTTCATGAGGAGGAAGCTTGCTCCACAACCGCCCGGGTAACCCATTGACGAAACAGGTCAATGAGTAATGTCCCTTTTCATCAACGCTTGTATCCCGACCGAGTGTGATAGGCCCCGCATAGCTCGCAAAGTATCCGTTGAAGCCCTCCTTGCGCCACCACGGTGTGTCGTAACACACAATGAGTTTGTTATAGTCGCCTAGTACTGTGCCATCTGTCACTTCTCGAACAGCCTTTGGCAAAGCGGGACTGATTTCGAACTCCTTGTACATAGTACTGGGGACGGACATGATACACTTCTTCGCCTCAAAGGTTTGTTGGTTTCGTGTGACGACAGTAACATGCGAGCCGTGGTCTTTGATTGAGTTGACCGGAGATGCAAGATGGATGTTCGCTGTACCCACTAGCTTAGCTAGGTTGTGAGCAATAGATTGCGCTCCTGTGAGGATCTGTCAGCTTGGAATTTCAGCCCCAACGAGCTCTCACTAACCATCCTGGAATCTCAGATATTGACCACCGGTCGAGTCGTCAGCTCGAATGGCGAGGAATCCCTTATTCCGTCGACAGTAGTCGATGAACCAGGCGGCAGACTCTTCTGTTGACTCCAACCCGTGCATGACCTGAGACCACATATTGACCATCTTGGCAATCTTGGGAAGAGCACCAAGATTTCGAACGTGTTGATCCAGGGTGACATTATCAAGTTCTGCCGATGGAAGCCCAGTCTTCAATGATTCTGCCTGAAAATGATCGCGAATGGTCTCCAAATTGCGCTTCTCTTCAGGAGTAAACTGGAGCGAGTCAGAAAAGATCGGGTTTCAAGGAGACTGACTCTTGACTCACTTCAGGTGTCACTCCGAAAGGGAATTCAAAGCGCTCGGTCTCACTTTCTTGCATGATAGCCGTTCCCTCCAGGCGTTGCTTCACAACTTCAAGTCCAAACTGCTGGGTATAGGCCCAAACACGAGGCTGAAGGGAATCATTGATCCAGGCACCGCCAAGCTCAGCAAATCCACGCCCCGAAGCCAAAGGTGCACTCCAAATCTTCCCCCCAACCCGATCGCGAGCCTCAACAACCGCAACTGACAGTCCAGCCTGCTTGGCCGAATACGCAGCCTGGAGGCCACTGAAACCAGCTCCGATCACAACGACGTCTAGCATGGTGAATATGTTTCGATATGGAAGATGGAATTTCTGGAGGATTGTTCGCGAGGGGTCGAGTCAAGCATCTGCCATCTCAAGTTACGACAAGCTTTGACCAGTCTGCCGAGGCCCGGACTGAAGGTCCCCTCATGGTCGCATATCCCTTGCATCTGGGCGTATTGGGAAGGCCCTGCCGGTTTGCGGGGAATGGGGGTCACAGCGGCTCAACCCGATCACTCCGATCGGCTGAGAACCCGAGGGAGCCGAGTATCTCTTCGCTTGGCTTGGCAGATCGGGACAGCATGGCTTGCGACAATACGACTGATATGACTGTTGATCCTGCGCTTATGTCCGATTATCGATAATCAGATGGCACCTTCCAGGGAATCGCATGGTCTTCCAGCCCAAAGGGGTAACAGAACCCGCTGCTCCAAGATGGGAACGGGTTGGACTACTCAGTCGGCACGGTGGAAGATGCGTTGGATATCCAAGTGCATTACAAACCCGGAGTACAAGGTCGCGACTTCCCCTAGGTATCTCACAGGTCCTTCCAAGGGAGATAATAATTGAGCTGCGTTGTCCAATATTCAATTGTCATATTTTATTTCCATCAGACTATGTTGCGAAAAGCTCTCGGGTATATGTACAAGACCCGACTACACAGAATTGGAGTTATCGGCACAGGAAAACGCAACCGAGCCCCCAATCTTACTGTACGTGTCCATAATACCCATCACAGATCCATATGTTCCGGCCACCATCAGGAATGTGCCCAAGAGGACGAGGGCGATGCTCCACGTACCAGCAATCACCCAGCTTGCATTCCTTTTCCGATCAGTGCTGTTCCACCAGTTGTCATATAGCCACATGCCACCCATGGGTATCATGCACATGAGCGGACCGAGAAGAGCCCCGATCAGAGAGACCAGGGCATCAAATGCTGGGATCGTACTAGCAATGATCCATGCAACAACTGTGATACCGAGGGTGCAGCCAAGCCAGCTTAGCCAGTGTGTAGCTGTATTGCTGGTGAGGTGGCGGGAACCACGCAACGCGTGAACAAAGATGAATTTTGCTGGGATCTGGATAACGAAAAGGATTAGCCGTCTTCATCACGCCTGTTGTGTACACCTTTGAACTCACATGGGTGACAATCGTCATCGAAACGAACAATCCGGGGATGGCGAATGCGTAACTTATGATCTTGATTGTGCCACCGGCTGAACCGAGGGCAGGCGAGGACACATAGGTTCCGCAATAATAATAGATGATGCACCCGACGATCGCATAGACAGCAGTGACACCTGCCTGGCAGACCAACATAGCTGAGGCGTATTGACGTGGATCACGCATCTCAGACACAATTGAAAAGAACCCTGGTGATTGTGGTGAGTCAGTTTCATCGATTTTACAAGGCATCGATGGCGTTCTGCATTTTGGGCCACGTACCAGGTGTCCCCGAGAAGGCAAAAAGAAGATTTGAAGCTGCTGCAATTCCCTGCGCAAACGTGGGACTGCCAGCCACCTTCCAATCTGGGATCCAAGGCCCATCTGTCTTGGGTGCACTGGCTGGGCGGTCCTCCAAGCCCACTGCGACAGTGACAATGATCACTGTGAGAAGTTAGTACACGTCAGAACTGGACAGTATGAAAAGTGGTTTACCGGCAGCCAGAATGCATGGCAGACCTATCCAGGCCAGCCATGTGATACGGCCCAGAGTCCGAATGCTTGCCATGGCGCATCCGAGAATCGCAGCCACAGCAGCAAACACAGCAGTACATGTGGCATGTGTAGAAACTGCATTCAAGCCAATTGAGAGACTGAGGATTGCGGAAGCACTGTTGAAGACATAATCTAAGTGTTGTGAGCAAGGGCCTTTGAGCAGAACCAGCTGGTGAGTGCACATACAAAGGCAAAATCCGGTGGACAGAATTGCACGGCCTGTCAATCCAAACATGACGCCTCCTGCATCATCAATACTGTACACTTCACGATGTCGAAGCTTGAAGGTGCCAATGACATATCCAGACCATGTGGTAATGACAGCCATTGCAAGCAGACAGATAATTCCGGGCACCATGCCGAGGACGTCCAAAGCCGAAGGGATCGCAAGGACACCCAGCCCAATCTGAGTCTTCATCATCAAGATGACAGTTCCCGTGAACCCAACCTGGATATCAATTAGTGCTGTTTCTGTTTGCTTGCATTGTCAATGGCAAGATGTCTGCCTACATTGCGATAGTTAGGACCATCTTCTCTCAGTTCTCCAAAGACATCATCATGATTCAGATCCTGTGAGGGCACAGTTGCAAGATCGCTCTTGTCTTCTATTTTAGAGGGGTCCATGCTGAAATTTGTAGCAGAATTGAAACCGCTTGCGTGAAGGACTAGCCTCTTTTATATGAGGCTTAGGGACAGGATATCGACTTGGCGAACCCAATTGGCTTGGCTTCTCCAGAAAATTCGGAATCCTGGGGTCCCCCACATTCTCACGAATTCGCGGGGAGTCCGGAGAAACCTCCTCGGCAAAATCCCGAGTGGCAGCTGGATCCCGAGCAGCACCCGAGATTGTCCCCACCGCGTTGAATCCTATGGGCGGTTGGGAAATGTCATCTCGGGTTTGATTCTGTCAACTCTCACTGGCTGAGATCTGTGGGGCTACCCCAAAGTTCTACTGTCATCTTTGTACTGAGCCCTGGAGCTCTTGAAGCTTTCAAACCCGATGTCACTGAGGAATTGAGTGCACCTCAGTCCGAGGTGGACCGTGGACCAGAGAGACATTGGCCTGGTAAATAATGTAAACCTTGGAACTTGGAACGAGATGCAACTTTCCCCTGGCATATTAGCGAGTGATCATCTCGTGTCAATCCGGGCCCTTCGCGGTCCACGGCTATCACTCCAACATCTAAGCGCGGAAGCCATCCGAGGGATTTCTCGCGAAATATATCACGGAGTACGGCGTATGAGGAAGTTAGATAGCCGCCACAATATTCACGCACGGATTTCCCATCGGAATTCCGACTTGATCCTTCCAAGGTTCTTTTTGTGTACCTCCTTTGCTTTTCACTTCGTGAACTGTCTCATTTAGGAAATCTTATCATGTCACGTGTCACATATCATCGCGGGCATCTCTTCTCTCACCATGGCCATGGAGTAACACGCGACGGCGTGTTTGTTTGATCCGACCGAGCTTCAATTAGGCCAGTAATTTGATTCCCAATTTCCATTGTGTCTTATAGCCGACACCACGCGTGAAGAGCAATTGGTTCTCCGTCACAGTTCTTCCCACCGCGACAACCAACTACCAAATCGCCCGCCCTCAGCGCTTCACCCAGCACAAACGTGTTGCTGTTTGTTTAAATATGTTCGCTCAGACAACCATCACTCCACGTGCTTTCACAATCTCGTGGTGCTGTTCCTAATATGCTTACATGCGACGTGAAATAGGGGTGTCGCGTGACCGCGCCGGTCACAACGACCATTACCCCTACGCGTCATGGCTAAGCGTCCAGGAAGTTTTTTTAAGACAGAAATACATTCAGGCACAGAGAGAGGTAGGGATTGGAAAATAATAGATCGTGCAGGCTGTTGTATGAATCTGACCTCGCTCGTTTTCAGTATCATTAAAGATTCACCTCAAATGTGATTTGAATTCGGCCACGGGGCATCCTATGTGCTGATACCTTCAATTCGCTTCATTATTCCATACATACAGTCAACTTTGGGATTCATCAAAAAGCTTGTACAACTGAGCCATTTTCATTCCACCTCTTCGATCTCCTTTATCATCGATTCCAGGAATAGCTTCTGCTTTCCGAGGAAGCTTTGGATCTCAGGGACATTGAATCGCTTCTTCGCAATGCCTCCCTCTCGCACCTTCTTCAACTGGTGACGAATACGCTCCTCCAAAATTTCCAGTCGGTACTCAGTGTACTGGGTGTACAGCTCAGAGATCTCGCTGATACCGCGCACGCCAACCAGAACGGTCTCATCCTTGACCAGGGGCGACTTGGGTCGGAAACAAGTCACCATACTGATACGCTCGCGGCCACCGAGTGCTTTCAGTGCCTGATGCTCGATGTATCGGCCTTGCATCACGACAGCAGTTCCCTAAGGAGAGACTCGTTAGCCATGGAAGTAATTGGACCAAGAGGAGTATTGTTTACCATTGCAGGTCCGCGGACCTTCATTATCTCACCGCTGGGAGTTCTCAACGCCGTTTCACCACCCACCATACCAGTGCAGTCGGAAAGCATCGTCACACACACAAAGGGGAAGCTGTCATAATGCCAGGAGACAGCGGGAAGATCCTCATCGCTGACTACAGGGACAATTTGCTCCACGGCATTTTCGTCGCGGATCGAGATGTTGATGTTGGCGATTTCAAAGTCGATGGAGGGAACAAGTTCGATACCGGCGACTTCGGAAATTCTTGCGAGGACTTCAGGGGACTTCCAGGCATCATAGGTGAAAGGAGCGCGTCTGAAAACAGATTAGCAAAGGAAACCTGCATATACCAAACTCTGCACTTACGCTGCACCCATGCCGCGAACCATGTTCTTGTTGAAGGTTGAAGAGTACTGGCATTCTGCAAGTACCTTCTCGTCGAAGATCTCAGCTCTCATCTGGGCAATGGCCTCTTGAGTGAAGAGCGGGAAAGGCTCAGTCGCTGCATTTGGTGAAATGCCATGCCCCTCGAGTCCGATTTGCTTCATAGTATAGATCGACTTGGGGGGCTGGAAGTTCATGTGCTTCGCAGGATCGAAGTTCTGCTTCTTCGCAACCTTCGCCCCTTGAATCAAAGATTGAGGCAGCTGGTTTGAAGGCCGTGTGGCCTTCTTTGTGGAAGGGCCAATCACAACGGGAGGTTCGACATCGATGAAGCTTGCTGAAGGTGCCATCTTTTCTGATGTTAAGATATGAAGTGTGTTCAATTATAATGAAGAAACTTACTTCAAGAGAGTTTCTGGGGTACTTATATCTATCAAAGATCAGTATTCCGAGCTGCAGTTCCCCAGACTCCGTGTGGCCTTCCGGGGTTGTGGGACTTGGGCTACCATCGGCCCAAATTACCATCCCGAATGGCTATCGCGGCTCCCTAGCATGCATTCAAGGCTTGTGTCAACAAAAGGTAACTTAACCCGCTCGGATCTCGGGCCAATCCCGATCTTCGATGAATTCGTCAAAGCTCGAGATCGCGAGCCAATCTTCAGCCGGCTGAAGCCCTCTCTGGCGTCGGGTCGGCCTCGGCTTCTAACCCGAGGCTTATTTCCACCCCAGTGAGCCGCAACTTTCCAAAGTATTACCTATCCGAGCCGATAAAAGGTGTCATTTTCGAGGCCAGTGATGATTTCTCGGGTTTTTGCTCCCCGAAGAAGCGAAATATTGAAACGCGTAAAGAATGTGTTGACTTATATAAAGGAACGCCTATAACACTTCCGAGTTATCAAAGTACCTTCTATCACACAATTTCCCTTTTCATCTTCTCGTTGCTCTTTCTAATACAACATGACTGCCTTCGACTTGAGTGACGTTGCAGCCGCCCTCCGCACAGCACGCGCTGAGGCAACACCCATCGATCCACCAACAAAGACCTGGCCCAGTCTCGACGCCGACGGTGGATTCAAAGTCCAAGAAATTAACTCCGAATATGCAGTCAAGAATGGCGATCGCCTGGTCGGCTACAAGCTTGGAAACATCGCGAAAGTGATGCAAGCTGCTTTCGGTCTCGACCACCCCGATTATGGATTCCTGCACGCAAGCTCCTTCATGTACGAAGGCACCGCCATTCCTCGGAGCAAGTTCATCAAGCCATATGTTGAATTGGAACCTGCCTTCGTTCTCCGGAGCTCCTTGAAAGGTCCTAATATCACGGTGGCGGATGTCATCAACGCCATTGACTATGCGATCCCTGCTATTGAGATTATCGACTCCCGTGTCAAAAACTGGGCCATTGACCTTCCCGATACACTGGCCGACAACGGGTCAACGGGAGCTATCATTCTTGGTGGAACTCCTCGCAAGCTTACCGATCTCACACTGAGCAACACCAGAGGCTCTTTGAAGTTCAATGGCGAGGAGGTGATGACTGGCAACACAAAGAATGTTCTTGGAAACCCTTTGGCGGCTGTCGCATGGCTCGTGAACCGTTTGGCCGAATATGATATCGAGTTCAAAGCCGGCCAGGTCATTATGCCGGGAAGCTGTTTGGAGGCAGTACCAATGGAGAAGCTCGGTCATTGGTCTTGTACATTTGAAGGCTGGGGTACAATTGAGTTCGAAGTTGTGTAAATATGAAGCAATTGTTAGCGATGACTATTAAGAGACTTTATAATGAGCAACGATTGCCAGTTCCGAATTCTCTGCTATTTGTCTTTTCCATGAAGCCATATTTCATCTACGAATCTCCTCAACCAAAAGCAAAAAAAAAAAAAAAGAAAAAAAAAGAAAAAAGAAAAAAGAAGGAAGAGGAAGAAGAGGAAGAAGCAAAAGAGCACAAACGAAGGTGTCGCCCATGCTGACACCTCAGGCACCATTGGATAGGTGCCTTAGAAACCGGGCATCGATATTGGCCAAAACATCCACTGGATGCTCGCAACGCAGCCGATAGCCACCAACCCTGGAAGTAACTCTCTCATATGAAGCGAAGATCTACTAGGTGCCTAAATTGACTACTATCACAAGAATGCTCGAAGAAGATACCATACCCGATCACTCAGATGAAGCCAAAAGCAGTCCCCATAGCCGGAACCTTCCATTAGAAATTAATTCGGTTCGTAAAAATCAGTGTAAGAATATAGAATAGCACCCGGGTATGTATGCGTTGTTGGACAATTATTTTCGTTGTTCAATTTCGCCTCGCAGACGCCAGTGGGACTGGGTCCCTCTCCCAAGGACCTCGCCCACGTTCCACAACCTAGAGGCGAACATTTTGGTGCTCCTGTTTTCTTCGCCGAGAGTTCGGTATAGTCCCTCCCAAGTGCAACGATACAGCCCCCCTGCTTCGACGAATTTTCCTCGTCGCTCAAAAGTCCAACCCAGCCAAGAAAGAGAGCAGAGTGTGTCTTCATGGTGTTCACCGAGGATTATCCTTCGTCGTTCGCAGACGTCTCGAAACACGTCCTCAGCCCGCCCATAATTCTGTTGGTAGCCGAGAGCTTGACCCAATGAGTCAAGACTCGCAAGCGTGTCCCTGTGAATACGCCCAAGAGATCTCTCTCTCCCATCTACCGCTCTTTGAAACATCTCACGAGCTTCTGCCAACCCAGCGCTTTGAGGCTCTGACGATTTCTCTAGCTCGAGCAGAGTAAATCCAAGTCGATGAGCAGATGAGAGCGTGTCTTCATGTATAGCTCCAAGTTTCTCCACGCGTCCTTGATACGCACTTCGAAACAGTTCGCTGGCTTTCGCGTGTTCATTCCAGCTTGATAGAATCCGACCCAGGATATCCATGGAGCGAAGTGTTATCACATGGATATCTCCGTAAGCTTCTCTTTTGAGCTGAAGCATTTCTTGCGCTGCACTTTTGCTTTCCGTTTCTGCTGCTAGAATAATAAGAGCGTTAGTGTACCCATCCAGATACTCCAGTGTATTTTTGTGCGTGGCCCCAAGTGTCTCTGCACATCTTTCATAGGCAACCCGAAGAATTTCCGCGGACTCTTGATATTTTTGCTGACCGAGGAGCAAACCACTGAGGAAACACATTGAAGCTAGCGCATTTGGATGAGTACTGCCAAATGCGTCTGTCTGAAGCTCGAGCAGTTCTCGCCCGTGCCTTTCGCCCTCCATATGTCTCCCTTGACAGAACAGCGAGTTCGCGTATCCAGCCAGGGATTCAAGCGTATCTTGGTGGATAGTGCCAAGCTTCGTCTGGCGTCCTTTGTACGCTTTATAGAACAATTGTTCTGACTCTATGTATTGATCCTGTTGAGCCAAGGAGTAACCAAGGTAATGCGTGGAGTCAAGTGTCTGTAGATGCCAAGCCCCGAGTGCTTCTTCCCGACCTTGGAGTGCGCTGCGGAGTAGCTTTTCAGCTTCATTGTAGTCTTCTGTATTCAAAAGAGATACACCGGTGTCATGCGTCTGAGTGAGACTGCTCAAAACCAAGCTGTTTCCTTGGCTATTATCTGTTAACGCTCTGCCTCCCACCGAGCCTTGTCCCCACGAGCCCATATCGTCGTTCGAGTCGCGTAGTAATAGACTTTGCAGGTTCAATGCTTCATCATGGGCGATGATATCTGTATGGCACTATTGTGAGTATGGCACCTCAGCTATTTAGGAATAGCACTGACCACCCTTACCAACAGACCAGTATGCCAAAAATGTTTTTGCCGCCGAAGCTCCGGTTGCTGCTGCGTAGCATTGCCACTTCTTACTTTTGTGGCTGTCCGCATAATCGCAAACTCCCTTGACGATAATGCATGGAATACTATCCCACACACCCGCCCCTTCCATCTCAAATGCAATTGCTCTTTCCCTTTTTCTGATTATATCGCGATGCTCTCCAGACTTCATGACTGTGTCGGCGGAGGCGATCGTGCCGATGTGCATGGAGGCTGTGGCTGTAATTTTACCGCAGCGTCGGCGCACAACTTGGCTCTCGGAACACCCGAGCTCATTACATTCTATATCAGGGGCCTCGTCACACATATCAAAGAGCTAACCATCGATCGAGCAAGCACACCGAAGCGGCGAGTGCGATGCGTGATGTCTGTGAAGATAAGAAGCCTCGAAAAGAACATCGTCCAGGCCTGGGTGCTGCCATCTGGTCTCTTGTTGCTGGAGTGTGTGAAGGCTAGCAGCCATCTGCTCCTGAAATTCGGATCGAGATCGAGTCGTTCTGAGTGCGGCGAGAAGCGATCGAATTTCTTGATTTGGCCTTCCCAATGTGTCCTTGACACTCGTCTTTTTCTGAAATCCACCGGGGTATTGTCTGCCAAAATCATACGCAACCACGGAATCGCTGATAACGACATCGCCTAGGAAGATATCCCTCTCATGGGACGGCGATGGTGCCCCTCCACAGATACCAACAACTAGTGCAGCGTGGATTCCGGGGTAGCTGATCCGCATGGTAGAGGCCACACTCGCTGCACTTTCTTTCCCCATTCCTGGCATGTAGCACAGCACAACATTGTGACTGCCGATCCGTCCGTTGATGTAGGCGTTCGTGTCATAGGGCTGCTTACCGTAGAACCGGCTGAATCGATCGTAGGTTTCATCGAACAGTGATTCCACGGCATCAGCTTCTAGAGGAAGAGCACAAATAATGGCGATCGCAAAATCTGTCCGACCTTTCGGACGCATATCTAAAAACCGTGACAAGGGCAAAAGTGATGAAAAATTAAAAGGGTGAGCCAAAGTTCAGGACCTCAGATGGAAACATTTCAAGTTGCGTTGAGGCTTCAGAGGCGCCTCGTAATACCAGCCACAACACCCAGGGAGGCTGTAATAGGCGATAGGAGGGGCAAGACATGCTCAAGTCGCGTGAGTACCGCAACAGGAGGTGAGCTATATTGTATGACTGCATGAACCTCGATTAGAATCGCTCACTATCTCAGCAACTGGATACATCAAAATGACTCGAGATCGGCACCATATTCAAGCAGCAGCTTGACGACTTTCTCGTGGCCGTTCTTCGACCCTAGTGTCAGCGGCGTCTGGCCGTCATTATTCTTTGACTCGAGATCCGCACCCCGGTTGCGCAGGCACCCAATGATGGCCTCGCAGTCGCCCGTTTCTGCTGAAGCCAGTAGAGCCCTGTCAAAGTTCCTCTCCGATAGATCATCTTCATTGACCTCGAAACTTTTCTCGCTACCCAGAACACCCGAAGCGGCGGAACGCAAAGGAACGGCTGATCCGATATCCTCGGCTCTCCCGGATTCTGCATCGTCACTATTGTCAATGTTTCGTGGGATTGCAAATGTTGCGAATTGCTCTTGGTGAAAAGCCATGTGATTTTGAAATCCCTTCATGAAAGGCCCTGTAGAATAGCAGAATGGGCAAGCTTTTCTGTGATCGGCAACGGTGGCTTCAGTTATATCAAGGAGAACTTCGGCTTGTTGCTCATCATGACCACTGTGACAATCTAGAAAGTGTTGCAACAGCCCGTCTCTCGATTTCGAGATGTAGGAATTGTGTTCAAAACATCTCCATATGCGGCAGTGGACGAGTCGTTCGTGCTCAAGCCACGCATGTCGACTGGGATACATGCGTTCGCCATCTGGGCAATCCTCATAAGTACATAAGTACGGCTGCAGATCTTGGCAGATGTGCGCTCTAGAACCAATTAGTGTGAGCATCTCATTTTTCTTTGACAACCCCTGGCACTTACCTCCACGGCTTCCCTCTTCCCTCTTTCGAGGGACAGGCTACCCAGCAATATGGGCAAATAAACTCTGACTGGCCGGCTGCATCGCAAGGGGGTGGAGGAAGCTCGGAAGAGTTTCCATCAACATCGCAGGCCGTAGTCGCGTAGGAAATCACAGTCTCTGTATCCAGCTGTGTATCTAGCTCACGGGTGTACTTGGAGAAATCGGTTTCAGACACCATGGTCTTTGGCCTTGGGATCTGTTCTAGATTCCCCGCGGCAGATGATCTCACTGGAGGCCGGGAGCCTGGTCCCTCGAGATTCGCGCGACTCACGTTCTGTGTGGCGGGTGCTTCCGTAATGTGTGATAGGTACTACAGAACTTACTCCTCTCCAAAGAGTCCTGCAACTGTCCCAGGAATTTGAGGACGGCAGCTCGTAGTGCTACCGAATCTCGCAATCTAGCATCAAGAGAGCTTCGGCCTCTTTGCAAAGCACCCAGATTGCCGGCCCAAATTTTGAAACGGGCATACTCATTGTCAACTTCCATGGGCCTCATTTGCTCTTTGAATTCATCCGAGGCCGTGCGAAGCGATTTTATTAGAGTCTCGAAGCGAGTTGCGCAAGAGGTAGAAAGTGCGCCGATATCATCCATGGCTGGTGCTTCGATGTCTGAGGGCTGCAAGATCTGCTCTGTGCACCTCTTGAGCTTTACTGTCCGGTTTTGAGTATCAGTCTTCTTCCAGCGAACGAAGATCGAATAAAATCAAAGATTGATTTGGGCGGTTCGGCGGGGTTGTCCAGTTCTCGTGTCAGTCAAGTCGCTCATAAAGAGATAAAGATACGAAGGAGGAGAAGAGACCATTTGCTCAATTAGCGTTGAGAGCTGCATTTTAGCGGGGCTGTTGTCGCAACGTGCGGCTGAGAAGGAGCGGGCTCCGCGTCGGCCCCGCGTTGACACCTTTCCCTTACAATTCATCTCAGTTGGTTGAGGCGAGAGGGAAGAGTTTCTTTGGCTTTCTTCTATTCTACTATTCAAGCGCTTCCCGGTTGGTGTTACTTACAACACAAAATGCTGACAGGGGTGGAAACAGCTGAACTCGTCCTAGCAGCCATTCCTCTCATTATATCGGCCCTCAAGAACTATGAAAATTTGACGGCAACAACAAGAGCATTCTTACGTTGGAGACGGCATTTGAGAAGCTTGATTAGGGAGCTATACACAATACACACCTCATACGATCAAGCCGTTCGTCTCCTACTGAAGACAATTGCCGACTTTGCGGACCAGGCCACCATGATGGAGGATCCCCGCAGTGAACTATGGAGAGAAGGCAGCAGGTTTGAGTACCCCCTGTGGAAGATACAATTGGCACTAACTTTGGCAGGTTCTATCAAGTCAAAGTCTCCTACCAATCGTTGTTTCCAACTCACAGGTCGCAAATACACCAATTCTTCTTAGAAACTTTGAATTCAGACAGAGAATCAAGTTTACCATGAAGAAAGAGCGCGTGAAGAGTGCGCTAGAGCGGTTGGAAACCTGTACAACAAGAATCGATCATTGGGCTACTAGGGCCGACAAGCTACAGGATGACATGCCGCAATGCCGCTTAAAGCTGAAGTTCTCCGCATCATTGAATACTATTCAAGGGAATGCGACAAAGTTACATGACGGTATTTCTCGAAATTGGTGTAACGACACCTCGACCCATGTCGCTCGTCTGCTCCTCGAGCAACGAATAGTCAGACCAAAAAGAAACAAGAGATCTCTGCAAGCAGCAAGCTTGAACCTAGTGGCGCAAGCCACTTGTTTTGGTTTGAGTCTTCTTGGTGACTGCAACGCGTCTTCTCGGTGGTTGAATTCCGAGATGAAGATTGAAGACCCTTCGTCCAGGTACGCACTTTTGACGTCTATTTCCCTCTCATTTCGAGCTCTGATCATGACACCAAAGCAGCACAGGAAATGCTCGAGTGACGCTGTCAATTCCAGAAGATGACCACGACTCCGCGAACCTCCAACATATTACGAGCTTATGCAATGTCATAAGACCACCCACGCATGAGTTCTTGGAATTTTCGCTTGATGACAAGGGGTCTATTAAATCACGCCATTCCTCGAAAGGGACTGATGTGGAATACGCCGAGCAGACTTTGACACTCGGAGCTATCCTTCCGCATTTCCAAGCCAAACTCCCTTTCGCAGAAGTTTATGGGCTCGCCATCACCTTGATAGCATCGGTGCTCCGACTTAATCACACTCCGTGGCTCGAAAACACATGGAGTAAAAGTGATATTGTTTTCGCACGAGCGAAGACCAACATACCATCTACCGTCGACCTAACATATCCCTCCCTAGTGAAGGAATTCTATCAGGGTTAGGTTGTCTAAAATTCAATCTCAAAGTCAGTACCTAGGTAGCTAATATGGAGATTAGATTCGAACCACCAGCGACCTGATCGCACGCCTGTCAACAGGACCTGCTTGAACCTCCTTGCATTGGCAATTATGCTGCTTGAAATTAGCTCCGGGAAGCCCGTTGAGCAAAGATTCGGAGATGATCAAATAAATAAGACCTTACCCAATGATCAAGCTCACCTTCAACTAGCAGATGGATGGCTCAAGGAGGAAAAAGCTCATGGGAGATTATCAACTGCATTTTCCCAGGCTATTTTGACCTGCCTACAAGGATATCTCAACCCCGACGCAAGTTTCGACAACGACGAATACTGCAATGCCTTCAAGGAAAACGCTCTCGTGCCACTTGAACAAGAAATGCAGTTCCTTCTCTTTGGACCACCCAGGTAACAATATTTATCGCAAAGCATGTGTGTACTTATACAAGGCCATCGATTTTTCCAGATTTTCTCATTCTAAAGGCGGATCGAATCAATTCGCCCCTTCCCCTAGCAATTCTCGTTTGGTAATGTAGAACACAGCCTTAAGTTGTTTGAAGAACTTGAGCTATACGAGAGAAAGGTTGGGCGAGTAGGTGAGATCAAGGGAGAAACACACCCAAACATACACAGGGGGAAAGAGAGAGAGAGAGAGAGAGAGAGAGAGAGAGAGGAAGAGAGAAGGACTCCATACATTACTTACATTACTCAACAGCTACAAAGTGGGGCATCGGAGCAGAGTGGAAAAGGTTCCATGCTAGCGGGTCATCCGCCATGTCGATCTTGCCATCCTCGGTCTTGCTCATCAACCACCAAACGTTCATCTCCTGTGTGCACTCTATTAGTACAGTATGGTCCAAATTATATCAGCCATAAAATGGCCCACACGTCTTTTCGTTGCTGGCTGTAGGAGCAGCAGTACGAAGAACGCTGGAAGGATAGTGAAAACAAAGAGCCTGTCAAGGTTAGTGCTATATAACAATTTTCGAGGTTGACAGGGATAGGCAACACTGTTGGGATGCCCAGGTGCAGTTGATACGTTCGGTAACACTGGGCAGTATGCATGTAGCCACCCCTACGGTGTAATACGAAGGAATTCGATTCGCCAGGGGGGTTTTGCGCCAAAATCCGGGAAACTTGACCGCCCCACGCGTCGATCGGTGAGGTTCAGGCGCATTTCTTCACTAGGAAGAATCTCAGCTTACAAGAAGCATCGTTTCACTGTTGCTCTACTCGGTACTCCGTGCTCTCTCTGGGGTTTAGTCGTGGTAAGCTTTCCAAGCTTTTTTACAGCTCATTCGGGATCTAACATCTGTGGTGTGAACCAGTCAGTTCGATATCAAATTTCCAAGACAGACTTACCAGGGCGTTTCGGGCGCAAACTATTGACTGCTCGTACAGGGCTACCCTGCCTGGCTCCAGCCAACTTGGCACTATGTGGGGCGGGCAAACAAAGAACATCGCAAATGCCAATTTCCATCGCCTATGACCTCGACTTTCTCCCATCCTCCTGTTTCTTTCATTTCAGTTCCCAAATTTCAAGTCGAAAAGCCAGTGCGATCCCGGTCAAATCCTAGTCATGCACTGCTTTCCAATTGCACTGCGGTACCCCCGTGGGACCGCGTTTTGTTTGCTACTCTTGTCTACTTTCTTTTTCGCGATTGACTGTTTGTCGTTCTTTTTATCATACCTTGGGTATCTTGCTCCCTCGCGCCCTCGTCATCGCCCGGCAATTGAGATGTGTTAATTGCTTGATTGATTTCGAACCCGCCTGCCACTCGAAATCTTTTGCGACACCCTTTGTGGACGAGCATGTCTTCGAGCAAGATCAGTAGCCGGGTTTTTTTCACTCCGCGCAAGGCCACTTGTGTCTTCATCATCTTCATCTGGTTCCTTTTCTATCATCTGCCAAGTCCACCAGTCACCCAAAACAATACCCGCGCGGGCCGACCGTCCCCAAAGAATCAGGCAGAGGAACGACCACACTTTTTATTTCGATCCCCGTTCCGAAAGTCTCCGGATTTGAAATATGAGGAAGAAATATCGAATGCCTTGGAGAGGCTTGCGCAAGTTGTGCTGTCCCGGAATCATGGGAACTCCATATCAGAGGAGAGGATATGGCAGGTTGCTTTAGGCGACGGGATGAGGGGCGCAGATTCGCAAGAATTCGAGGCGAGGAATGACGAGTGGGCATATACTGTATGTAAGCTGAGAAAAATTGTCACCATAGTCACCAGCTAAAAAGAACAAGCTAGTCTGCGATCAAAAGGCCACTGAGTTTGTGACCACCGAACTATCTACAATTCCAGATATTGCGGATGCATATAACTCTTATCCCCATCACGTTCTACGGGCAGACCTCCTTCGATACCTGCTCCTATGGTACTATGGAGGCTTCTATGCAGACATGGACGTCTTCCCTGCTCGCTCGATCAAATCATGTTCAGCATTACAATCGTTTTTTCCGACATCAAAGGACTCCATACAAAATAGCAGCCCTAACGTATCCCTCGTTGTTGGAGTTGAGGTTGACGAGCCATACGCCTCGCCGCAATTCATGCGCGACTGGCATTGGACAAGGAGCTACGGGTTGATTCAGTACACAATGTACGCACCGCGCCGTTTCAGCCCGCTGTTAAGAGAGGCAATTGTTCATGTTCTGTCGCACACAAGAGAGCACCGCAAGAGCCATGGAGGCTTATTTTGGAGCGCTACCTACGACGAGAAGACAGTCCTTGGAGTCACAGGCCCCGATGTATTCACCGATTCTATCCTTGACACTCTTTCTTCGTCTCTGCCGGAGAATCATACTTTGATTCAGCAATCGATTGCGGCAGATGCTGGTATAGATGATCTTGTATCTGAAACGGGTGAAGGCCTCAAACAAGTTTCTTGGGCACCATTCCACAGGGTCCAGGATCCCATTTGCGTTCAGGATCACGAGCATATCAATGGCCAATCGCATGGTGGGCTATGTGTGCTACCTGTGAGTGTGTGGGGAAATGGGCAGCGACATAGCCAAGCAGGTGGATTTAATGATATCAGCGCTTGTATTAATCATCGCTTTGGTCGGACTTGGAAGAAAGGCTGGTGGGAGTATATATTCGGTTGAGTGATACGCTACATCTCAGATTCATCATAACTAGACCTATATTGCTGATACCTAGGTAAAAGTTTTAGAAAAGCCCGACTTCGATGACGGGGATTGTATTTGAAAAATTACAGCGTCAAGTGCGAAAGCAGTAGGAACTGTATTGACTACGCGGACACCTCGCTCGGCATGAAAACCACTTTTTGATCTCGCACCTCTCTACTCTGAGGTTTCTACATCACTCAGTAGATACATATCTCTCGCAACCCGGATAAAACTCAGCCTTGGAGAACGGCGCAGCGATAAGTGTTGTTTAACTCGCTTCAGCTTTCTCGGTCACTTGTAGCAGACACATCCTTCTTTCTTGGGGTTCTGGCAACGCGCCTGGTTGACATTGCAGCCGCCGCAGAAACCACACCCATCCGGCGCATAACAGTTTCCCTCGCCAACTACACAACTCCCATGATGTCCGACACAACTTGTGCATTTGTTGGTGTCGCGGCCTTCAAGACCTCCTCCCTAGACAAAGATATTAGTATGCTTCCATGGACATGTGTTTCGATGCGAGAATATACCTCAAACATATTGATCTTTCCAGTTAGCTTTGCTTTCAACGTTTCAAAAACTGTACTAGATACTTACCGGCTCGGAGTAAATGATATCGTCACCAACTTGATACATCTCTAGCTCCATGCCGCTTGCTGCAAAAATGCCACTCTTCTCGGCCGATGCTCCCGCAAGGAGCAAGGTGAAGAGTGCTGTCGCTTGGAGAGAAAACTTCATTTTGGCTTGCGAATCGGTTTTGAAATAGAATCAAGAGAGGAAGTGTCTTGGTTGAACTTTTTTCGAGGGTCATATCGAAGAATTGCAATGTCTCTTTATATGTCAAACCATTTGCCGCACATATCCCAGTATCCGGCACCTTGAGAGGGAAATGAGGAAACGAATGCACTTGATCATCACAAACTCCAGGGTTGAAATCCTTCCAGACGACTTCATGATGTTTGCTGCATCTTTAGTTCCTCTCCTGTGATTTAGCCGCCCCTAAATTGCCCCAATGACAGCTGGCTAGTAGGGGTAAATGCCTAGCCAGGAGAGCATACGGTATTTTCCAAGGTTTCAAATAGCAGATCACTTGAGCAGGGGGTTGGTTGAAAGCACTTTTCATCTACAGACTTTTGGCCTTGCTCTCACTTCGGAGTATTGGTCTCAGAACTATGGGTATTTCATTCATGACGACTCGATTAACCCAATCTCGAGTCTACGGAATGTTGCGGGCTGGGCCAAGGTTTTGAGCCGCGTCGGCGACTGACCCGATTGGGGTTCCGTGATATACTCAAACCTTCAACACTCAAAATTGACCTTTCAGCATCCCTCATCCCCACCAACGCCAAGAAACCTGAAAGTTCACTGCTCTCCTTTACCTGCCACTTTTATTCTAATGATTTCCGCTAACACATCAAAATTCTTGATCTAGATAATCAGTCTCGATTGTTGGTTGCATCGATACGACTCAGGTGCAGGTCAATCCGAGGACGAGTCTGATCACGATATGGGCCGCGCCGCTGGCATCCGGTAGCGACACAAATTACACGCATAATCCTTCGAAGACCAGCACCAGAACTCTGACTTGCTTCGCGAGGCAAACAAATCGAGGGAACTGAGACCCACACAGGCAAGCGACAAGACTGAGCCAGCGAATGACAGACCAGCGATCATCCCCAAACCGACTCGGAGGATTCCAAGTTGACTCGTGTTGTAATATCCTATCGCTCGGTCAGCATGTTGACTTGCTCATCTGCAAGTCCCCGAGCACTTTTGGCTCTTTCACACGATCCACACTTCGCCTTGAGGACAAAGCGTCTATCGATGCTAACAAAAAACACAAAGAAGTGAACAGCTCCATTGATTCGGCTCTTGGATAATTCCTTTCACGATTGCGCTTTATTTCTTTGTTGATTAAAGCGGGAGTAACAATTGATGGCCAAAATACTCGGGTATATCTATACCCTCGACTTCTGATGAACTTTTTCAAACTGGATTCCGACAAAATAGCCGGCACCGCGCAACACATCCTACTACTACAGCTTTTACCCTGGTATATAATCTACACAGCAGCCATGATACAACGCGAATTCACTGCGCAGTTCAAAATCCACTATATGAGGTTTCGAAAGAGTATGCACGCGCTACTCGCTAGTCTGAGAAATACAGCTTCTCACAGTACAATAGTCCAGCAGACAGACGGCTTATTTCTGCGGTTATCCGAGCTCCGCCGAGTAGGTGAGTTAATGGAAAGAAGCGAGTCACCGGACGAGATCGTCAAGAGTGCTCCTCCGGGTTACTTCATTGATCGTGCGCAGTGTCATCAAAGCTTCTATGGAACCGAGTTTGGCTATTCGTGTTGGTACATTAAGGCAACCATGGGATATATAGTAAGCGGTTTAGAGCGCGGAAATAGTCCAAAGCTCCTCGCTGACTCCTTGGAAAGAATCCTGGCTAACTTTAATATGCAAAAGTTGAAACTCTTTCCTCGTTCGCTTCCATTTGAGTTGGAAGAACCGATGCTCACGTCGGTTCAATCTGGCTCACAATCTCCGAGCTCTTCGGAGTCCTCTTGTTCCACCGCGACACCGTCAGTCAGCAATGGAATCTACGAGTCAAACAACACACCTCCGTCGATGCCCTTCTCATCGGAATATCAATGGTCGTCAGATTCCTCTGCTGTTAAAGACCCCTTCAAAACACCCACACAGTCTCCAAATAAGATATATGCAGGACCTCCAAATACCCCATCATTATCGACCGATTCCATCGAGGAACAGGCGGGACTTAGACATGCAGCAATATTTGCTGAGCTGGCACGACGCGCTAACGAACTAACCCTATCATTCGGATCTGATCATTCACGATCTTCAAGTAGAAGACGACTGTCAAGATCGCCACGTCGCCTCAGAACCTCTGCCACGAGCGAAGGAAAACAGAGAAGGCGCAATAGTTGACAACTCACTTGTGCGAATTGCTTTGAGCGAAACTAGAAGAAAGTCTGTCTTCACTGGGCAGGCGACAAGGGAGATTTGTCGGATGCCTCTTGACTCTGCAGTCTCCGCTGCTTATTTTTTTTGTACTCTTTGCCCTTTTTCCCGTCGTCCTCTTTGCTCCATTCTCTTTGCTGCAGCATCCCACAAACTCATGCGTCATATCAAATATTATCCGGAGGTTTCATGCATTCAATGTGTAGTTGGTGTAATTGGCTCGTAATGACGACTATGGAGAACTTTGTATCGAGGCTAGAATTATACCCGGCTAAATCATCGCTGTGATGTTTTGCTACAATCAAATTAATTATTCCAGTTCTACTTCATACAGCAGGACTCGGAAACAAATGACCCCTCGATTCTCGGTCCGTACCCGAAACCTCGCTAGCCCGTATCAGGTTAATCCAACATCAATCCCGAGGTCATCGAGGAACTGAGACAAAAGAGATCATCGCCGTCTTTAGAAAGAGGGGCTCTTCTGACAAGTTTTCCCACCAATTCGTTGAAAATACCACCTTTCCGTCCAACAAAGATATCTAGTCGTCATACATCATGTTCGTGAAGCTACGTGTTTGTGTCCCTGGATGGTATTGGATTTTCTCACATCAGATCTCGCGGAGGGAGACTTTATTGGTGGGAAAGTCGGGATCTGCAGCATAGAATTGTGTTTCGTCCTGGCCAAAGTTCCACCGAGGAGGCGTCTTCCGATTCCATTCTCTTCACATCTGTATCGTTTTGTTTACCTGAAATCCAATCTCTTGCGTGAGCACGGTGCTGTGCACCTATGAGCCTATTCAATCAAAAGAGCCCTCAACTATCCATGGATGTTATGCCATATTGCGATACTCCGTATTCGGTACAGCACAGAGTACTCCATATAACATGTACTAATGTTGGGCTCGTACGACTCACAACTCAATGCAGATTTCCGCCCCATTTTACCATACAAGCATGAAGAACGGGATGTCATTCTATGGAGGCAATGTAGAGCCCGCTTGGTTCGTCAGACACAGAGTATGCAGTCCTCTACTAGAAGTCGTAACGTGATCCAGTCATAGACCCTTAAACCGAGAGCGATGCACAAACCAATGACATATCCACAGATTAGCGCGGCTTTAGGTACGGGCCGAAAAGCGAATTCGTGCTCCGTAGCGAGGTCTGGAATCCTATAGTGGATCCGCAAGTGCACGATCAGGCGAGGGTTTCACTATACTCCAACGATCAGCACTCAAATCACCTATAGATCGTCGCTAGGCCTCATAACGATTAGTCCTTGTGTCAGCGAGGAATGCCGTTTGTCGCTGATTGCTTCAAGGTCCGCCAAGAGCGGGTCCTATACCACTGTCGTCCAGCGCAAGCGTCTATGCACTAGTCACAAAGAACGTACTTTTAGGCGATTTTTAGGCTGAAAATCGACAAAGAAGCGGTTCAGAAAAATTCTGCATGTCGCATCGTAATCACTCCATACGCCACAAATCATACCAATTTGGCCCCCATCTGTCAGATTCTCGTAGGATGGCTTGCCCTGTCCTTCTCTTGCCGAGGCCCCAGGTGCTCTTCTTTCTCCTTGACTAAGCGCTACTACAAACCTGGGGATCGGTCTCTCCAGTCTGACCAGGCGCGTCTGATCCATCTCGTATTCTCCTTGTACTTGCACAGCCGCAAGTCGCAACTAGACACCCGCTTTCCATGGCCGACTCGCTCTTCCGTTGAAGCGACACCAAGAACGCCATGAACCTAATTAGATCCACTTGCGATCGTTGCTACGCCGCGAAGACGCGGTGCACGAAGGATGCGTCTACCAACCAGTGCCAGAAGTGCTTGCGGTCTGGCGCAGTCTGCAAATACAGTCCGCGCGGCCACGCTGGCCGTCCGCTCGGTCGCGGGACAAACCAGTCAAACTCCCCTCAGCAACCAGCACCAGCTCCAGCTCCGACCAGTACGTCGCGAACCCTGCGCTTCTTCCTTGCCCTTGCATTGAACGTACTTGGCATGATGAACTGACAGACATGACACAGCTGACGAACCCTTCACCACCCTGCCTACGGCTTTCGCCTCCAACCTAGACCTCTTCAATAATCTCCACTCCGACGACAACACTGCCGCATACTTTTGGGATCATCCGCCCCTGTTAGAAGACTACGGTCACTCGTACCTGCCTATCGATGAACCGACACACACCGGTCCACTCGCAACACCAACCACAAGCTCAAATGCTGCATTAGACTTGTTCTCCGCCTTGGGAGGCGGGAGCTCCCACCCCTCCAGCAACGGCGCGCACCACGACACAAATTCCAGCAGCGGCACATACCATGACACCAATTCTAGCAATGGTACACACAATGACACCCATTCCAGCAGCGAAGCGACTTCGGCCGCCGCCTCGGTTAAGAGCGACAGCCTACACGGCCGACTTGTAGGCACCCACGCCGAGCTCATTGCCTTATCCGAATCCCTCGCCGTGTCCTTCAGCTTGACCGACGACATGGACATCATCTACAGGCTCAGCAACGATATGACCGAGATACTTCAGCGCCTTCGGGATAATGGGCAATGTTATCCGCCGGCCCCGATCGCCAAGTGCCACGGCATGACGTCCCTGCTGATTTTGGGCTGCTACAGCTATCTTCTTGAGGCCTATGAGTTTACCATGGAGAAGCTGCGACATGAGCTGCAAGACACAGGTGGTCCCACCGACATGCAGCAGCGGTCTGCGTCACCCGAAGATTCCCCGCAAATTACCATCGGAGGCATTCGGTTGCACGTATCGAGAAAGTCAGCCGCCGAAATCCACCTCCAACTCGTTTCTCAGACGGCTCAGAATCTCCGCGAGTCGCTCCGACAGTTCGTTATGCACACGGCTGCTCCGCGCTGCTCCATGGACATGGAAATCGATGAGAGCCCGGCATCGAGCAGTGCCGGGGGAAGCACCGCGGAGACGAGCCGGGGTGACACCATTGGGAATCTTACAAAAATGGCGCAGCGGGAGCTACGGCGGCGAGAAGATGGCATCTTCCAATATATAAACGAGAGCGCCGCCAAAGGAACAAGGTGAGTATGCAGTAACGATTCTACGAACGCGATGTTTTCAAAAATTCCATAATTTGAGCCATGCTTGTTTGAATACGCATTTTTTTTCACTGCGTGAACCGGCCTTGGGTGCAAGATGAATCTCGACCTTGCTTCTCTTTCTTTTTTCACTGAGACCCTACATACTACACCCAGACATTTCTGCAGTGGATGAACCTTGGAATGAATCATGATTGTGTAGCATAGCTGCAGTCCAAACTCTTTATGAACATCCTTGAACTCGGAAAATAAATCAACAAATGTCAAGTCTAATATTGCCCAGCTTGCCACTGCCTTTTCGTCTATTCGTCTAACTGTTCATCTCAGACAACAACTAGACAGTCTCCTGCAGTCGAGTCGTCATCATCTTCTTTAGCGGAGCCAGAGCATCGTCAAGTCCGTTTGTGTTCTCGTTCTCCAGAATGGACTTTCCCGCCGTCATGATCAGTCTCTCTGGTGCTGGCTGCGTCAGGTATGGGATGACTCGCGTCCGATGTGCCGCGCGGAAAACCTTGCGCGAAGCGTCAGCAAAACAGCCTATGTGAATGGAATGGTGTATGACCACCAACTTACTCTCATGGCCTGCACAAGCTTATTGATCTCCTCCCGAATTTCTTCATCTTCGCCCTTTTCAATCTGGGCGCGGATAGAGTGCCGTCTCAGGACACTCGTGAATTCGCGCTGCCGCACCGGGATGTAACGGATCATGTTCTCGTCGATCAGATATCGCTCCATGCCGAAGAAAGCATCGATTGCTTGAAAGATCAGAGCATGGTTCCCTGATAGACCGTCATACTTGACGTGGCGGCCATCGATCACTCGGCCAACACCCCAACCCTGGAAGCCTTGGCAGTAGCTGAGCCAGACCTTGCGGGATATCTTCGCGTCAACCAGCCCATCATAGAAAAGTTGATAGATTTTGTCCAACTTGGGTTTGAGTTGCTGGAGAGATCGCAGAGCGTCTGCTTTTCGGTTCTCCTCAAATGCGACGATCGCGTCAACCATGTCGATGTACACAATACGCGCCTATTGTGTTGATTAGCAACGACACGACAATCACACCAGGCTGACAATCCATACCAAGTCTTCGATGTCATAGAACATCCGGAAGAACGCCTCTTCAGACGATACAATCTCATCTGATTGGCCAACATTGATCTTGAACACCCGGTTCCCACCAGGGGTGAAATTGTACAATACATTCGCGGTGTTGTTTCCACTTTCTGCGGCGCAGCCGAAATGTCGTTGGAGCGAGGCCCATGCACTGTCGAGCTCGACGGGGAAGTCTATCACGGTCTCCGCTTGTGCGACCTTTACGACGGGGATCATCGCCCATCTATCACCAACCACTTTAGCAAAAGGAGTTCGCCAAGTCTTGTGGCTTGGAAAGATGGATTGCAACTTACCTATACGCATGTCTCAAGACAGCAACCGCACAGTAAACACCATTCAACTGCTCACGGCGGAGATTCGTCCAATTGCCCGCTTCTGCTGCGTTCAAAAGCCGTTCGACTTCGAGCAAATTTATTCGTTGTTTCAGAAGCTCACGCATCTGAGATCGGAACGACTCGCGACGGGCCATGAGAATTTCATCGTCAAGAAGCGGACTCGAAGATGAGAGTTGTGGCACTATCTCGTGGTATATGTCTTTATATGGCTGGAGAGCTGACGGCCAATCGTCATATACAACAAGTGGGGGCCATTGACCGGCGCCATCTTGTTCGACGAGATTCAACAGAACGTCGACGGCTTCACTTTGACCTCTTTGGGATTTCAGTAAATCCAGGCGGGATCGGAAGCATGCCTCTCTAGCGCTACTTCGCAGGGCCTGCTGGTGTGTATAATATTTCCAGGCTTCCCGCAGAAGGAGACACAAGAGAGCCACTGCCGGCAAAACGAGGTATGAATTCGTCTCTATCATTGTCTTTGTTGAAAGTTAATGATTATCTTGTTGAAAGTGATTGATAAGTCCAATGCCACTGAGAACATTGTGGAGATTATATACGGCTAACAATGGCAAGCGTTGTCCGCGGCGAGCGTCTCCACTCCGTGTCCGTTACCTTAACGGGCAAATTTAGGCAAATTATCATACAATGGGCTTTGCTCGGGATATTTTGTGGTGCCGCGACTGAGAGGATTGTTTCAGGCAGAGCCTCGAACGTGTACCACACACTATCACTGCTGCATACTGCCAGAACAAGTAAGTGCCCAGGTGCCTAGGTGAGATTCAGGTCTTACTCATATCACGCCACGTCCAACAACCACAGTTGATGCTTCTAGAAGTTACATAATTGCACCGAACAGAGATACATTGCGTGCTAGCTGAAAGGCTGTGTGAGAAGATTTCACTTTCCATCAGCCGCTCTCTTCTGACGATATCCTTCCCACCATAGGCCATCGGGGTCCTCCGAGAACCATCGTTGGCTGTCATTGGCAAACGGAACAGAGCCGCGCAAGTAAACCTCAGCCATGCTGACTTCCGCACACTCTCCAGTGAGAGGCCCATCACCAAGTGCGGCAGGTACCTCGATTCTCTGAACGCCATTCGGCAGCTCCGCAGTCTCGCCCAGGAACAAGCCCAGAGCCTTTAACACAGTATCCATCTCCGTGATGTAACCCCTGTCTCTGATTTGCGCCACCAATCCCTCAGGCGCTAAGCCCGTTGGCACGAAAGCTGGCAAGATGGCGTTCAGTGTGAAGTTTGCTTCCTTCTGGGCGCGGCGACCAAGACTCTGGACAAGTCCTCTCGTGGCGTGCTTGGTAGCAGCATAGACAGGATTCGTGGGAAACGGATACAGTCCGAAAGTTGACGAAGTGACGACCATGCGGCCAAGTGGGGGAGGCGTGGAGCACGCGGCCTTTGCATCGTATTCGGCACGGCGACTATAGTGCACCATAAGCTTAAATCCCTGGAGAACAGCGCCCAGATTGATGTCGGCCGTGGTTGCATTGTATGGCGTTGGCTTGGCGGCAAATGTGGGATCGACAGGCTCGGCGAGAAGATCCTCCCGGTCATCCACGCCTGCATTGGCCAGGAAGACGTCGATGTGCTGGGCGAAGGAATAGGCAGTTTCAAAGAGATGGGCCTGGTCCTCGAAGGAGGCAACGTTCCCGTGAGCGAAGGTGGGCGCAGGGACAGCGGACGGGCGGGCCAAGGCATCGACTACCTCGCCACCTTTGGGGTTGATGTCACCCATGAAGACCTTGTAGCCTCGATTGATGAGCTCCTTGGACATGGCGAGCCCAATCCCGGAGCAGGCACCAGTAACAATTGCGACAGGGGCCATGATCACAATGGTTTTTCCTTTCTTGGCTTCCTATTCTATCCAGTGGGGGAACTGACAGTGCCTGAATAGGCTCCTCGCTGTCCAGCTTACGCAGACTGTATTTATACTACAAATTAAATGAGGATCCTTGATGTTGTAAGATTTTAGGCCAAAGTTTTGCATGTCTCATGCCAATGTACCCGCCTTCCGCGTAGAATATGCGGAGATGCTCCGGGAATTTAATGTAGGAACCGATTTCGACATCGCGGTGGATTTTGTGGGTTCCTGCATGTCAGATTGATAATATCGGAGTCTCGAGATGGGAGTCCTAGAGGGATCTCGATATAGGGTCGAATTTGGCGATGTACTAGGTTCAGCACGCTAAAGCTGCGCACTGTTACATCGGGTTGAATTTAGGTTAATCCCGTTGCGCTAGGGTCTACTCAGGCTCGGGTGGCAGCGGTGCTCCGTTCCACCAGTTCGCGAGCCCGCTTGACCCTATAGCCCCCAAAAGACAATGGGCCCAGGCCTCGGTTCGTAGTGTGTCCCGCGGTGGGTCCTGGGCCTTTTCTTCAGTCCAGCCTGCCGAAAGCCCGTTTCTGTGTAGAAATACTATCTTGGCAACTATAAAGCAACCAATTATTATACAGAAAACAGTATTATGTATCTTGTGAGGCTTTTTATCCCTCATACGGTATATCAATTCACTAAAATACCATAGAGGTGTACATCATTTCCATAGCGATAATAAAATAGCATGTTTGTATTGGTTTTCGGTCATCACAGCTCATGCATAGCCCCGAGGGTAAGGCCGGACATCTACATCCGTTTGGTACCAGCTGGACTCCAAGTCGGGCTAGGCTGCCAAAAAAGATTTGCGGGGATTTGGCAGGTCTAGCCCAATATATCTCCGAGCCGCAGTTTGTTTCGTATACGGATGTTTAGTGGCGGAAGCCTCGGTGGATTTTGCGGGTACATGCACGTCAGATTGATAACATCTGACGAAAAGAGAGTCCTGGAAGCACTCGAAGAAGAAGAAAATATGCGATATACTAGGATCAGCACAAGGACGCGCTGTTACATCCGGCTGTATGTGGGTCGATCCCGTTGCGTAAGTCCCGTGGCCTTCTTCAGGCCCGGCGGAGGTGCCGGCATCTAGGCGGCCCCTCGTTCCGCCCGAGCCCACTCAGCCCCAGTGTCTCCGAGCTGCGTGTGGTTTCCGTAATATGCCAACCCTTTAGTGGCGGAGGATTCGGTGGGTTTTCTTCAGGCCACTCACCATCATCGGGTCCGTCTGCGTAACGCTCTCTAGACTCATACTTATATATTCGAATCTACATGAAAAACGACTGACCTGGTTGATATGATATTCTAGTCGAGGCAACAAAATTTATACATCATGTCAAACACGGATGATGAAAAGCAGGGGCAGGCTACACCAAGCCACCCCGAACCAATTTCGCTGCCCCCAAACACGTCTTCAGCCAAATTTCATGATTTCCTGCGCCGTGCCAGCGCAATCGTCGGCGACGAAAATGTTGTTGTTGTAGCTGGCGATGACCAGCTCCAACAGCAAGATTATATGGACCGCTCCAAGGTGCATGATATGTTCCACATATTGGAAAAGAGAGACTTCCTCCACTCATGCACTGTCGCTCCCAAGGATGTTCCTGGTGTCCAGGACATCATGCGCCTTGCCAATGAGATGGAAATCCCCGTCTGGCCATTCTCAATGGGTAGAAATCTTGGCTATGGAGGTGCGGCTCCTCGTGTGCCCGGTAGCATCGGTCTTGACATGGGCAAAAACATGAACAAAGTGCTCAAAGTAGACGCGGATAGTGCTTATGCCCTTGTTGAGCCAGGTGTCTCTTTCTTTGACCTGCACCAATACCTCGTTGACCATGATCTGCGAGACAAAGTCTGGGCTGATTGCCCTGACTTGGGTGGTGGTTCTGTCATTGGTAACACCATGGAGAGAGGCATTGGATATACTCCTTATGGAGATCACTGGTAAGATTCCATGCAGTCTAGCCTCCCAGAAACAAATTGCTGACCATTCCAGGATGATGCACTGCGGCTTGGAAGTTGTTCTTCCCGATGGATCATTGGTACGAACTGGCATGGGTGCATTGCCCAACCCGAACGCAGACAAAAGCGCGCCACCTCATGAGCAAGAGCCAAATGAGTGCTGGCAGCTGTTCAATTACGGCTTTGGCCCGCACCATGATGGAATCTTTTCCCAAGCCAACAATGGCATTGTGACAAAGATGGGTGTTTGGCTCATGCCTAACCCAGGCGGCTCGCAAACGTACATGATCACTTTCCCCCGTGATGGCGATCTGAATCGCATTGTCGAGATCATGCGGCCCTTGCGAGTTTCCATGATTCTGCAGAATGTGCCAAAGCTAGATAATATCCTTGTCAGCGCAGCCATGGAGGTATGCAGCACACGCTCCCCCGGATCGTATGGACCAACGCTAACAAGAGAAACCAGGGAACTCGCAGCTCTTATACAAATTCCAGTGAGCTTCTGACGGATGCCGAGCTTGATGCCATAGCCGAGAAGCTAGGCCTTGGTCGCTGGAACTTCTACGGTTGCATATACGGACCGCCGGAGGTGCGCGAAGTCTTCTGGAAAGTCATCAAGGAAGCCTTCAGCCAGATCCCAGGTTCCAAGTTCTACTTCCCAGAAGACCGGCCTCACGACAAGGCGCTGCAGACGAGAAAGAACACATTCATCGGAATCCCCTCAATCACAGAATTGGACTGGGTATCATGGTTGCCAAATGGCGGACACCTCTTCTTTGCGCCCATCGCCAAGCTCACAGGGGACGATGCCGAGGCACAGTACGAGTTGACGCGCCGTCGTAGCGAAGAGTATGGTTTCGATTTCCTCGGCGCGTTCCTTGTCGGCGTGCGTGAGATTCATCACATTGTTTGCATTCTCTTCGATCGGGAGGACCCGGAGATGCGCACTCGGGCACATGAGCTTATCAAGCTTTTGATTCAGGAGGCGGCGGATCGTGGATGGGGAGAATATCGCGCTCATCTGGCGCTGATGGATCAGGTGGCGGGTACTTACAATTTCAACGATGGGGCGCACATGAAGTTGAGTGAGAAGATTAAGGACGCGCTCGATCCCAAGGGTATTCTCTCGCCTGGCAAGAATGGTGTGTGGCCCACGACATACAAGCAATATAACAAGCAGATTTAGGACTAGTGTCAGTGCTACTAAATAGCAAACAAAATACGCATAGAAGACTGATATCAGGATTGACGCAAACCATCAGTTATGTGGCATGAATACTAGCAAAATGCTGTGCATAGGGCATAAGGAATTCAGAAGCAGACTTCAATCAGACATTCGAACTTCGCTCGGGAGGCATCGTCACGTATCGACACTAGTTTCGGACCCTTGGGCGCTGTATACTCCCGTGATGGGCGACCATATTCATCAACTTGGGCATTCAGAGTCCTGTCTCTTATTTTTATTCTGTATTTCCTGCCTATCATCCCATTCTCCTCCGAGATCGTCCGCCTCAACAGTAAATAAACCTTGCGGCGCATTAGCTTAGCTTTCAGATCAAATCACAAAGCTCTTACCTCAACTTGCTGGATTATATACATGAGAGCCATGAGTAAAGCAGCGGCCTGGATGTAAAAAATTCGGTCGTCGTCCATTTTGATGGTGAGGCAGGGTAGAGAAACAGGGAATATAAGGGCAAAAACGTGAGCTTGCACAGAAAAAGTGAAGTATCAGTTGAGTTAATGAGCATGACTCAATAGTTACCAGTACTTTAAGCCATGGACACTTGCGTGTCCCAATTTGAAGTACCACAAAGATATAGGAACAGATTTGAAGCGGCCACGGATTCCTTCGGGATGCACCAACCTTATTCTGGCTTGATAACCGCTGGGATTTCCCTTGTCAGTTTACTTGAGATTCCTCTAAAAGCTTTCAAAGTTTGGCCCGATGTTTTGATGTTACGTCGGTAAATTCCAACATTATACCTAGGTAGAGTTTGTTCATGTCGAAATCAATAGCTTAATAAAATGCACATAAATCATGATAAACATCAGCGTCGACTGGCTATCTTTCCCAGAAAGCACAGCATGCTCTCTTTTCCTGGTCCAGGTTAAACCAGGCATTTGATCCCACTCATGCTTTCTTTGCAATGGTGACAGTATACTTCTGGTGAATTCCTTCCTCAGAATACAGGTCTCTCAAAGCATCACGGATGAGCTCCTCCACTTCGTCGTGACCAACATCCAATGAGCCCAAAAGCTTTCGAATCAGCTCTGGGTAGTTCCTGATCAGCTTCGCTTGCACGTATCGGCCCATTGCTTGACTGTTAGGAGTCTTAGCAGACGGGACAAACGAAAACTCAAACTTTCGAGTTTCCACCACTTTCAGACCAGCCTTCTCCATGAGAGGGGCCGCATTTGATCCCGAAAATTCAGATAGACCTGTCTTCTTGACAGCCTCCATGAGGCGGGCGTACCATTTCCAGTTATCGCTGATACACTCGTCCGTGCCGACACGATAGAACTTCCAATCCAGGTCCTGGTGCTCGATAATGCCTTGGTCTTCGAGCGCGAGACTGGCAATCTGGAAGTACTTGGGCCAGTCGTTGATACCTAGGAATAGCATGCGACCGAAGAAGTAGCTGATAGTGTTTGGTGCCAATGCGGCACGGCTGAGGCTGTCCGCCTGCTTCTCAATATCCACGTCGAGAATATTCCCAGTCTCCCATTCCAAATTGGGCGAGGCAAGCGCAAGTGCGGGTGCGGGAACGGGAGTAATGTCGATGCCGACGACCTTTGCGGTGGGGAGCAGAGCAGCTAATTGAATGGTTGCAACACCGGTTCCGCAGCCAATGTCGACTGCTTTGGAGGCGTTTGTGAAATGGTTGTTGTACGCCAAGAAAGGAGAGCCGCCCAGCATGGTCACAATGGCATCGGCTTGTGCGTCGAGTCGGTCCTGCTCAATCGCGCTGCATCGACCATATTAGCGAAAGATTTAGCCTGGGTCTTGAAAATCGTACTCATTGGGGAGGACATATGACGATGATGTGTTGTGATATCCGCGTTCGGTAGTGGTAGCCATGGTGGTAGCCATTGTAAAAACCGGACTTCAATGAAAGAAACTTTGAATGCTATTTGTTGCAGAATTGTGAGAGCACTCGAACATGGGTGAGAATCTTGAGATATACTGTAGCCCTGGAGGCCTGAAGTATACAATCGCTGAGGATGTCTGTCCAGCCAATCAGCGGGCCCACGGAGGGTTTAGTGGATCCCCAGTCTAGAACCTCATCCCCAAGAGTATAGGGCTCGTTCCAGATCAGCAAACCCGGTCTTCCCTTTGTCAATCCTCCGGATTGTAAATAGGGGTGGACGAATTCCGCACCTTTTCCCCTGCTCAGTAATGCAAGAAAAAAAAATTCTGGACACTAGTGGAGTCCGGTTCAGCTCAACTATAAAATAAATTATTCCTACATGACCCGATTCTCGTATCTCCCCAGTGGCTTATTCCATACTAGGCAAAATCGAGCAAATTAATCTGAGATGAAAGAGCAAAGTGAAGACAGCGAAAGGCAGTCGCTGGACGACAACAGCAAGACCGCCACTCCGAGCATGGCACGAGCAGACCAAGAAGCCCAAACACCACCGAGCACAGAAAAAGACAGCTATGAGGTTGGCTGGGAAGGTGGTGCAGATCCTCTCTGCCCAAGGAGCTTCAGTGCCTTGAAAAAATGGCGGATCACTCTTGTGATTTGTTTTGTCAGTTTTTGCATGTAAGTGGCACATCCGATTGGAAACAACTGGCTCAATCTTGGAAGCTAACAACAGACTCAGGACATGCGCCAGTTCTATCTATACCGCGACATACCAGCAGATGGAAGCGGAGTTGGGCAACTCTAGAATTGTGTCAATTCTTGGCCTTTCCCTTTTCGTTCTCGGCATCAGTTTTGGTCCTATGGCCCTCGGTCCTCTCAGCGAGTTTTACGGTCGACGACCCATTTACGTCGTTTCCTGGACGATCTATGTGATTTTCATTATACCGCAGGCTGTCGCCAAGAATATTGGGGTGATTCTCGTTTTCCGTTTCCTCGACGGCTTCGCTGGCAGTGCTTTCCTTGCCGTGGCTGGAGGTACTATTCACGATCTCTTCGACAGGGCACAGCTACAACACCCAATCTCTATATTCTCGGTATCGCCATTCATTGGACCCAGTCTGGGTCCCTTGATCGGTGGTTTGATCTGCTCTTGGGTCGATTGGCGATGGACTTACTACGTACTAATCATTTGGTCTTTTGTTTTATGGCTGGCAATCGTCTTCCTTGTTCCTGAGACATTCCGTAAGTTGATCGTCCTTCAAATCCTCTCTCAAACTGACATGGACCAGACCCGGTCTTGTTGCGCAACAAGGCGAAAAAGCTTCGAAAAGAAACAAACCTCGAATATTTCGCTCCTATCGAAAAAGCGCACCGCTCCGTTGCCTCCGCAATTGGCAACTCTCTACTCCGACCATTCCAGCTTCTCATCCTGGAGCCCATGTGTCTTTGCCTTTGCATCTTTGCAGCACTCCTGCATGGCATCCTCTACCTATTCTTCGATGCCTTCCCACTGGTCTTTGTCAACAATCATGATTTCAACTTGTGGCAAGTTGGTCTATCGTTCCTGGGAATTGGAATTGGTATGATCCTCGCCGTGTTCATGAATCCGGTTTGGAACAGTGCGCGAAACCGTCTCGTGCAAAAGCACGAACAAGAGACGGGTATTCAGGGTGCTAGCGAGCCTGAGTTCCGGCTTCCGGCTGCTATGGTGGGCTCTTTGATTGTGCCTGTTGGCATGTTCATGTTTGGATGGACCACATTCCCCTGGGTGCACTGGATTGCTCCTATCATTGGCTCTACCATCTTTGGATTTGGGTAAGTGGAAGCTTTTCAAGTGTATGAGAAGATTGAAAAGCTGATGTGGCATCAAAATAGAGCATTGCTCCTGTTTACCTCTATTTTTGGATTCCTGGTAAGTTTTCTGGATTACACTTATCTCATTCAATCTTTCTGTTGAGGGGCACGACTGACATACTTCGCCTCAGGTCGACGCTTACCCAACGTACGCCGCCAGTGCCATGGCCGCAAATGGTTTTATCCGATGCATCTTCGCTGGTACGTACATAGAGGCAGTGAAATGCCGTGACTTTCATTGCCTGCATCAAGCTAACGTGAAACTGCAGCTGTCTTCCCACTTTTCGGCGAGCACATGTTTGAAGGACTGGGATACCAATGGGCGTCATCATTGTTGGCGTTCCTTACCGTTGCTATGATACCATTCCCGTTCCTCTTCTTCCGCTATGGAAAGCTCATTCGAGGCAAGAGCCGCTTCGCTAAGAAGTGATGGCCTCTGGCTGAGCGAGCATATCCACGATGGCCAAAGTCCGCCACTAATTTCATCCACTTGTGGCTTTCGTTGGTTATCACATTGCTACACGCAGGTTTAGGCGGACTGCCTGTGTGATCAGACAAAATACATTGCACAATTTCGGAAAATCTTTTTGTCAACATATCTTCAAGGTTATACCCGTGGACTTGTTCAACCTAGGATTCAATTCATGCTCAGGAATCCAATCAATTTGCCAAGGGTTATGCATTGCTGTCATACCAACTCTGTCCGAACTTGTCCGTGTCATCTCGGAGCGCCATCATATCCACGACCTCGGGAGTGGAACCCTGAAGAACGAGATTTATAATCCACACTTTGACCTGGAGCCTTGGAAACTCGAATATCCACTGTTTCTATAGGAGTCAATATGAGGATTGAGTGCTATAAGCACTGACTCGATGGAGACAAGGAACAAGCTCCTAGATATGCTGTGTACCCTACTGATTCCAGTCTCCGTAAAGTCTCGTGCAACGAGAGAAGTATAGATGTGGCACCATCTCGTCTTGCCACACCGCCCCCAAAATAGTCAGCCAATCAGAGGCGTGGCAGAATCAGGCCATTGTCAGGCTTGGCGATCGGCCGATCCTCCGCGGATGTCCAGGCCAGCATGGCCACTACTTCCTGTTTTTAAACCGCATTCCTCTAGATTCGGTGCCTTTCACTACTATGTGTTATCTTTGAACTATTCCTCTTCTGCTAGAAACCACCTCGAGCCTTTAATCTCCGGATCGTCCTCGAAGTTTTGGCCTTCGCGCCACCGTGAATACACAGTGACGCTCGCGTTGCTCCCCCAGATTGGACTGAAAATGCGATCAACGAGGCTCTTCCATATGGCAGTGCTAGCACTTGCTAGCTTGACCAGTGCCACCGAACATGAACCTTCACTTGACCCGACCAAATGCGCGGTATGACAAACAAATACCCTAGATGCAGACTATGTAGCTGACCCATGAACCGTGCAGCTCGAACCCTCAGCTATGGTGTCCGATGCCTGCGTTTCGTACGGTGAAATTAACGGAATCAACGACCTTATATTCTCCACCCTGAACTCCATTACACAAGAAACCGACTTTTTCTCTTACTACCGTCTCAACCTCTTCAACACAGAATGTCCCTTCTGGTCGGATGCCAACAGCATGTGCGGCAACATTGCTTGCTCCGTTAATACCATTGAATCCGAGGACGAGATCCCTCTCACCTGGCGCGCAGAAGAACTGAGCAAACTTGAAGGCCCCAAGGCGAATCATCCACCACGCAAGATCCAAGCCGAGCGTCCCAAAGAGCGCCCACTCCAGGGTGAGCTGGGCGATGACGTCGGAGAGAGCTGTGTGGTTGAATACGACGACGAGTGCGACGACCGCGACTACTGTGTCCCGGAGGACGAGGGCTCAGTCGGCAAGGGAGATTATGTGAGCTTGGTAGACAACCCGGAGCGATTTACAGGATACTCGGGAGAAGGTGCGCACCAGGTGTGGAACGCCATTTACAGCGAGAACTGCTTCATGAAGCCCATGGCCGATGAGCTCGAGGACCAGACGCTGAATGTTCCACTGGGCGGCCTTCAGGCGGCGTCCGCCTTCCGTGATGTGCTTCACCAGAAAGCACAGCGGCCAGAAGGTCTGCCCTTGGACAATGAGTGCTTGGAGAAGCGCGTATTCCACCGCCTCATCAGCGGCATGCATGCTTCAATCTCTACTCACTTGTGCTGGGACTATCTGAACCAAACCACGGGCCAGTGGCACCCCAATGTGCAGTGTTTCCAGAAGCGACTGCTTGAGCACCCGGAGCGCATCTCCAACATGTATTTCAACTATGCGCTTGTTTCGCGTGCCGTCACCAAGCTCCGCAAACACTTGGACAACTACACGTTCTGCACCAGCGATCCCGCGCAAGACCGCGAGACCAAGGCTCGCGTCAACAAGCTGACATCCACACTCAGTGGCCTTCCCCAGATCTTCGACGAGAAGATTATGTTCCAAGACCCCGGCGCTTTGGGCCTGAAGGAGGACTTCCGCAACCGCTTCCGCAATGTCAGCCGTCTGATGGACTGCGTGGGTTGCGACAAGTGCCGACTGTGGGGCAAGCTCCAAGTCAACGGCTACGGAACAGCCTTGAAGGTGCTGTTTGACTACGACGAGACCAAGAACGGCGAGAACCCCCCTCTTCGCCGTACTGAGCTCGTCGCCCTCGTCAACACCCTCGGCCGCATCTCACACAGTATTGCCGCTGCTCGCAGTATGCAACGTGCCCTCCTTACCGGCACCACGCACATGTTCCCCGTGCACGGCGCGGTACCCTCCTCGCATCACGCCAACGCCCTCGCAGGACAGGGCGGGAGACGTGTATTCAGGGATGGAAACAACAATTTCTTCTACGAGGGTGATAACGACGAGAATTTCATTTATGGCCGACAGCGCGTAGAGCGCTACCCCTGGGAGCGCCGGCCGCTCGGCCCAGACGCCGGAGTCTGGGACGACATCAAACAAGAATGGGAAATGGTCTGGGGCACAGTCGGATACATCTGGTCGGCCTGGATGGACATTCCGCGCACACTGTACGTTCATGCACAAACTCACCTTACGCAATGCTAACTCGATCAGGTTCCAAATCGGTATGTGGGAGTCTGTCCGGTTGTACAATTATTGGCTCGGCTTGCCGGTGCCACCTCGCGCTTGGAAGCTCAAGGCGCCTGAGCCGCGGCCTCATACTCAAGCTCAGGGCAACCCTCATCGGGGTGAGTTATGAGTTGTATATTCATTGCATTAGCATGTGTACATATTCATGGCACTACGGCGTTCATAGACTGGGTTCCAAGGTTTTCATTTCGGAGTAATTGAGTCAATCGCGCATGTTATAATATATTCAATCATGTTAGCTTTTCCGTCTTTAATGGGCAGTTCCAACCTTGAAGGTTTGCCACTTGCAGTCCTTATATAGCCCAATTCCAACCTTGGAAGGTTTCCGCGACTCGGGGGTGCTGCATCTGCCCAGGACAGTAACTATCCAAGTTGGAAGTCCAACAGTCCCAGGCTGACAGCCGTAGGGTTACACGTATGCCGTTGTTATAGACATGCATATCCCTGGGAACAAAAGAATGAGATCGAGATCATCGTCCTACCCCGTACTCCACTGGGCCAGGGCCCGATCTCTCACATTGCCTCGGTCCCATTGGGGTACATGCGTTCGCCACCGCCATTTCCCAGAGAACGGTGGATGAAAACGACAAACGAGCCCTGGACAACGTAGAAAACAACCTTGGAAGGCATGAAATACTCAACAAATAGTCTGTAGTCGATGTAAGATCCCCCCACAATATGTACTAGTCGAGAAGCTGGAGTAAAGAGTCCTTCGGTAAACCCCGACCTCGGTATCTCCACTCCCGGCCACATGCGACTTTTCCTCTTCTCCTCGTCATCTCTCCGATTCACGTCTTCCGATTCTCGAGTAGTGTCTCGATGCAAGCCCGCTAATATCGACATCCATGGCGACGCCTTCGCCTCCAAAACCCTGGGAAAGAGCAGGCGCTGCTGGTAAGTCTGAAATCTCGGCTTTGTTCCCGATGACCCAGTCATCTCAAGACGATCCTCTCTCCTCCATCAAAACAACCATCTTACACAAGTCTCTGGCAGGAAACACACTATCATCAACACCAGTAGCCGGTAACCCAGTTGCCTCGACTGCCATGACGACCACGAACCCCGCAACATCGGGTGCCGCCCCCGACCTGCCCGACCGCCCCAGCACTCTCAACTCCGTGGTCAACAGTACAGCCTCGAACTACTCCCCCTACGGTGCCTCGCGACTTGGAACAAGTGCGTACGGCACAGGGATGGGCGGGTACGGCTCGATGGGCGGCATGGGGAGTTACTCATCGCCTTACTCTCGCTTCGGCACCATGGGCGGCATGGGCTCCATGTACGGTGGCGGCTACGGTGGCTATGGAGGTGGCATGTATGGAATGGGTGGTATGGGTGGTATGGGAGGCATGTATGGTGGCATGGGGGGACAAGACCCCAATGATCCCAACAGCCTTACCAACTCATTCGGCCAAAGCACCCAGGCCACTTTCCACATGATCGAAAGTATTGTGGGCGCCTTTGGAGGCTTCGCCCAGATGCTGGAGAGCACATACATGGCCACTCACAGTTCATTCTTCGGTAGGTGGATTTTCCCATGGATCGCACGAGCACATACTTACTTCTCACAGCCATGGTCTCGGTCGCAGAACAGTTTGGAAACCTGCGCAACACCCTCGGCTCCGCCCTGGGCATCTTCACAATCATTCGGTGGTTCCGCACCCTGATCGCCAAATTGACGGGTCGTCCTCCCCCAGCTGATGCCACATCTTTGACGCCCGCCGCTTTCGCGTCCTTCATGGGCCGATCGGGCCCCGTCACTCTCCCTGATGGCTCACCCGCCCCTACCAAGCCATCCAAGAAGCCCTTCTTCATGTTCCTGATCGCGCTCTTCGGTCTCCCCTACCTAATGGGCAAGTTGATCAAGACCATGGCTCGATCCCAAGAAGAGGCCCAGCGTCGCCAGCAGCTCGTCGGCCCCAACGGCGAGCCTGGCTCCGCCTCCCTCGACCCCGCCAAGTTGGACTTCTGCCGTCTCCTTTACGACTATACCCCCGAGACCCAAGAGTCCAACGGCATCGACCTAGCCGTCAAGAAGGGCGACATCGTCGCAGTCCTCAGCAAGTCCGATCCCATGGGCAATGCCTCTGAATGGTGGCGCTGCCGTGCCCGTGACGGCCGTGTCGGATACCTTCCCGGTCCTTACCTGGAGACCATTCAGCGTCGCCCGACGCAGGCCATCACAGCTGGTAGCGAGCCTGCCACTCGCACGTCGACCATGAACGGTGAGACTGAGCGCACACAGAGTCTCTGCTCTTTGAAGACGGAGCAGAAGCCCGAAATCAAGGGCAAGATGGGTGATATCTCACCTGAGAGTTTCCAGAAGAGCACCTTCTACTCATAAGTATAATCCTGGAAACCTTGCCCGGTGCTTTGTTTCTGCTGGAGTACGGAGTAGATGGGGCTTCTTAATTTTGTCGACCAAAAGCTCTCCGAGCCATCGTGCTCTATATATCCCAACATGCGTGCTCTCTCTACAGCTCCCCTGCCCTACTTACCTTTCTCCCTTCTTGCCTTGCCAATAGCAAGTCTCTTCCTCGCCTCCGCTGTCCAAATCACGGAACAGCCAGGCTCCTTGCCACTATCCACAGGACAGTGGCCGACCATTTCCTTACTCTCTTGGGCTCTTCAATTTAGCGAAAGTGTTTTATGTATTTAGTAACCTGCAATGATTCAAAATCCACCAACGTGCGCCTAGTAAATCCACAATCCACAGTGGGCCAAGGGACCTCCCGCTCTACCCGGGCCCACTGGATAGTTGATACATCGAATATCAAAATCAGGTGTGTGAAGCTCAATGCAGATACCCGATGTCATCTTATTTATGCAGCCCCCCGTCTCCTTCGGTCCCCTGCAGCCTGTCCAGGGTGATACGTGGCTACTTATGCTGGAGTAGTTATTCCCGAGGTCCGTACGGAGTACGGAGTAGAGATTGTGCTTTTGCTCGATAAATTGGTAAATTGGTAAATTGGCTTTTGCATATCTAGGGTGGTATTTTCCTTTGGTCCGGGTTGGATTGGGTGTTGACCTACGTCTACCAGCACTCGGACATGGGTATCGATGTGGAGTTGTGACTTCCCATCTGTGGCTGCAATCTGCAATTTACTTCCCGCTGAAGAGCCCAGATAGGAAAGACTGATGGCGTGGGGGTTGCATCAGGTGAGATGACCTTGGAATGAAAGCGTCCTGTGACGTTGAAACAAGCACAATCCCGGATTCGAAAGGCGCAGATGGGTACATGGCATCGGGCGAATGGAAGAGAGTAGTCGAGGATTCTCAGCATACATGTGACCACAAATAGATCGATCTAATCGAAAAATGCCAGAAAAGAAGCAAGAAAAGAAAACGCCCTTGCTATGAGTCGCGCCTATTTCTGGGGCCAAATGCGAACTCCAGAGAGAAGAACCATGTACATAGAATGAGAAGATAAAACGAGAAACAGACAACGCTGAGCAAGAGCAAGAGCAAGGCATTAGAACTTCCAAGATTGGAAAACATGAAAATCACATCCCCAACCCCTCATGGTGAGGAATCTCCTGATTCGGATCCTGCTCTCTCGCCCACTTCGACATCGACTGCGAAAGCGTGTAATCCAACGTCTGAAGCCGGGTCTGGAATGACTCGACCGTATTCCAATCAGGAGGGTGGGCATCGACATCCGGGGCCTCGGGCTCCGTCGGCGCAGGGCCAGAGTGAGCCCGGGCATTATGAGCATGCAGAGCATGAGCATGGGGATGAGGAAGGGCATGGGCATGAGCATGAACGGCATGTCCGTGGGAGTGAGAGTTGGAGTGAGAGTGAGTGGGGACAGTGCCTAGTTGGTAGTTGTTGCGGTTAGAGTGCATGGTCAGAGGCATGTTCGGATCCTCGTCTATGATGAGGTCTGGAAGATTTTCGAGGTGGTTTGGGTCTAGAGCGAGATAGCGACCATCAATATCAGGGATACGCATACTCATCGAACCCGTGGATTTACCGTATGGATTGAGCGGGAAGGACGGCATTTCTCGGGGCGAATGCATCTCCAGCGGGGAGATGGGCGTGGTGACGCTGTTCTCGTCGGCAGGCTCGGGTGTATAGCAGGTCATATCCGAGGGAGTTTCTGGTCTCGTTAGTATATATTCTTCAGAAGGTAGGGCTGGTAGCATATGGTATATCCCAGGATACCACGTAGCATCTTGGATCCCTGGCTATAACACCCGTATTATGCATATGGCATATAGAAGGGGCACACTCACGAGGCTCGGGACTCTGGGGCTCGTTCTCTGGTTCCTTGCCTCGAGTACTGTCCCAGGATGTGCCGTAGCGACGGACGAAGCGGGCGATTCGCTTGGGGTCAACGTTCTGGCCATTGACCCTGAAGGCCGTCTGTTTGCCTTGGGCGGCCCGCTTCTGCTGCTTGCGAAGCATCAGGTGGACCTCCTTGGCCTTGATGTTCTTGCGGACATGCCATGCGGCGAGACGATCCTTGTACTGCTTTTCTCTGGGCAACGGTTAGAGGATCCCAGGGACTCCGGACGAGGGACTGTACGAGGCAAAGAACTTATAATCCCTCTCCATGATGCGTTTGACATCCCGTAACTTTAGCTGGTCATTGCGGTAGAGCTGCTCGATGATCTCGCGATATTCATGCCAGTCATCGGATCGCCGGGGGCGGAAGACATTGGAGGGGGATTGCGCCGGTGGTGACAGTGGTTGATAGGTATTCATGATGAGGATATAAAGTTGGGACTCATATCATACTGGTCTCAAAGGTCAAAAGGTTGAGATAATATGCAAAACAGGTCCCATAATAAGTTTTTTTTTCTAGGAATGCAAATCATATAAAAATCAGAAATGCAAAAAGAACAGAAATAAAAACAAAAAGGACCTCCAATAACACCCCATAAGCCCAGATATTACCGCAAATCCAATTAAATATAACGAGAGATCAGGGTCAAGAGAGGGGGCCAAGGAATCTCTCCATCTCTTTCCGGCGACGTGCGCGCGGACGCACGACCCCCTGCTTCCCCGGTCCTATCAGCGTCGCTGCCGGGCTCCATCGGCGTAGGCAACTTGTCGTGATCGTCAGGATTTGACCAGATTTCCCTTCCTCGTTGTGGCAGGAGTCTCCTCTCTTGCTGCTTTGGACCAGCTGGGGCATTATCTTTGCTGTGGCGGGTGCATTCCACCGTGCTTTAACGGTTGAATTGAACGTGGGGGACTTTGTTCGGCCCTACTGTACAGTCTAAGCGAACTATTACATGCAGCGCACTGGCCGCAAATTGGATGCATTTTCCGCTGCCTTTGCCTCTTTTTTTACTAGTCACACTTACGAGGTACTGTAAACGTATACAGGCTACGGAGTGTACTGAACGGAGCAGTACTATTCAGGAAATGCATGTCCGTGAGATCGTAGCCGTTAATACTAGTAAATAGTAAATAAAATAGTAAATAAAATAGTAAAATAGTAAAATAGTAAATATCAACCGGGAGCGGGCCGAAACTTCCCTGACAGCTTTGTGTTCGAGACTATTTTAGTATACTCCGTACTGTAAATAGTAATGTAAGATACAGTACGGCCGAGTCATACGATGGGTCCGTGCTATGTGTACTTCTGATATTCTCCTGAAACTCGTACTCGTGAGACCGAGACTCGACGCAATGCCACTCTTATATACCACGTCCGGTCGATATCCCAACCTCGGAAGGGCTAGAACCTAAGGTTAAGTTTAGGATCGCCCTCGGGGAGGAGCCTGCTTAGTCCCCGACCGATGTACCCTTTGTCCATGGGAAAGGGGCGAAAAAACAAATCTAAAATTAACACTAGTCAATGTACTTCCTACAATGTACTTTCAAAATAGTTCTCGGGTACACGGACGCTAAACGACTAGTACTTGAACGGGTAGGATCTGACGGTTCGGTGCAAAAAGTGCGGGGTGTACTTTGGACCTGGTGAATTTCAATCGAGCCGCTCCAACCAGCATGCAGGAAAGGGCAAAAAGGACCTAGACTCAGAAATGAGGACTGTGCTGTACAACGGCGTGGAGTTTTGACCCGGAGATATCTACCGGGTGGCCTGTTATAGGTCCACGGACCATCGTTCACCGGCTCGGATCGCATGCAGGTACTGGCCAAAGGACTGAAATCGTGGCGGCGCAACGACACTGCAGCCCGGAAACGGGAGGGTTCTCCGTCACGTCGGCGCAGGCGAGATAGGAATTGGGAGAGTATTGGGAGGTCTGATGCCCGTCCACGCGCCAGTCCTGCACTCAGCCGATAGGGACCAGGGAGCGGATTGGCTGGATGTCAAGTCGATCCATCTGGGCTGTGACAGGCGAATGAGCACCTGCAGGGAGGGTCTGGCGTGAAACCGCCTGCTGTTCGGCACGTCATCGCCCTTGCTCGCTCTCTCGAGCTTATGACCAAAGTACGGATACGGAGCCTGCGGTATGGAGCGGACTCCACACAGTACTCCATACGGTTTGATGCGTTGGTGCAGCCTGCATTCGCTGTACATGACTGACATCTGAATCCTGCACTGCAGCCTCACACTATTTCGTGTTTTTGGATTTCCCCGTTTTTTTCTTTTTTTGCTTTTTGTTTTTTTGTTTTCGTTCCCCGTATCTGACAGTCCGTATTTTTGTTTTTCACGGATTCTTAGAGCCATGGGTCGTCTGTCGGGCTTGTTCGGCGGCTGCAACGGCCGCAGCCGCGACAGCAGCTGAGTTGCTAGACCCTGTACTAGCCAGATTGCTAGCGTGCGCAAGGAGGAACTTGCAGCAGGTCAGCGTGTACTTGCAGGCCCGAGTCCACGTTTCGTCATTCTGGTTGAAGCCCAGTTTAATGCTCGCGTCGCCAATCCGGTCTCGCTTGATCTCGTAGGGTAATTTCAGGCCCGGAGCTGTGGCGCCCGCATGGCCCCGACGTGGCGATGCAACGGGCGCAGGGGTGTTCTCGACGAACTTTCCCAGTTGCCGCAGGCAGTCAAGAAACGCCACCATGCCTGCGTCAAAGCGACGGTGGAGCCATGGAATGTTGAGCGGCAGATCGCCCGATGAGAATAGGTCTAGTTGGGTTGCTTTGGGCGCCGCTCCTTCGATGGGCTGGCCGGATGGCTGCACGGGATACTCAATCTTGTCGATCCGTGAGTTGGACCCCATGGGCCTGAGACGATACCCCTGGAACTGGAACCCGAGTTTTTCAGCCATCGTGGCCAGCAGCAGAGCGGTCTGTCCCCACGCCGCATTGATCTCGGGCCAGTCGACGGAGGGGTTGGCAAGTCGGCCTAGCCGTAGCCCATTGATAGTGCCAAAGTACCCGTCATGACCAATGCAAAACGCGTCATTGTAGACATTGGTTCGCTGGAGCCGTTCGAGCTGCTGTGAGTCATGATCGTATCGCATATTGAGCGCGTCGCGTTCGTTCTGAAACTCATTGAGCGTCAGGGAAAAGGCGTTGCGCGCCCGCCAGAAGCTCTCCTCGTCGGCATCGAGCTGGAGCGATTCAATCTCCAAGGCTGCAATTTCCCCATCTAGAGCGGCCTTTTCGTCTTCTAATGCCTGCAGCTCCGCCAGAGCGACCCGCTCTGCCTCGAGACTTTCCGTTAGCGACTTCTCTGCCGCCTGCAGCTCCTCTGCGGTCGGGGCCGACCCATTCAGACCCCGAAGAAACGAGATGTAGGCATCTCGCTCTTTCGTAGACCCCGCTAGACGCTTTTGCAACCCTTCCACCAGTAGCTCCGTACACTCAACGCAAATCGGATGGTCGATATCAGATCGCGCTGAGACAATCTCGAACAGTCGGGTCGTCTTCTCCACCTGATCCACGAATGACCCGTCTTCCTGAGTCCGCGCTGGGATCTGGGTGCGATTCTGCTTGCTCCGGGCTGTGGAGGGGTGATCGTTGATTGGTGGCGCAACTTGGGATTCGGTCAACATCACAAATGACATGTTGCCGCTATCGGCTCGGCCCATCGAGTTTGGTTGCGCGCCTCGAGGGGCGGGGATCGACCGTCGATACACCGGTGGAGTGGCATGTTTGGAGGATCGGTCATAGTGGTCGCGGTGTCCGGGATGCGACGATGGCGACGAGGTAGCTCCGTCGGATAGCGTCTTCCCTGTAGAGTCTAGACCAAAGATATCAGCACGGAAACACAGAGCGAGAGTAGAGACGAACTGGACAGTAGATCGAACGCTGCTGGATTCAGCGACTCTATTGAGCCGTCTACCTTGAGAGGTGTGCGGCACTTCTGGCAATACATTGTGGGGAGAGGAAGTTGGAGAACTCGGGAACGTCATTTTGGTTTGTTTTGGATCCCGCATATTTGCTTGTTCCCCCCATTCTCTTTGGCGCTCGCTGCTCGATTCTAATTATGATTTTATTGAATATACTATGAGTGTCTGCTCGTCCTACAATCCCCACCGAAGCTCCTGAGCGTAAGCTACAGCCTTGCGCCAATACGCCATGGCCCATCTCGCGGACAACCAACCACCAGCGAAACGCCCACGTCTCTCACACGCCGATCCCGAGGATGAAACGCCTGGGGAAGCTCCAGAGGATGTTCCCGAAGACTTTGATCTCCCGGCCGCGCGCGCCCAGAACGATTTCAAGCTCAAATCTCTGTTTGAAGGGATTTTCGCGAAATACAGCCACGACTTCACTGACGTGGGTGATGAGATCGATTTGGAGTCCGGGAAGATCGTCGTGGACAATGGACATCTCCTAGGGATGCAAGAGGAGGGCGCTAGTGGTGGCAATGCGCGATCGTGGCTCTTCCAGGCCGGCCTGGATGAAGAAAATCCTGATACAGATCATGGCGATGATATGGAAGTTGAACAAGACACGGAATCTATTGCGTCTGTACCCAACGAAAATTCGCCAGATGTATCAAATTTACAGACTGCGCCCCCAGTCACGCTCTCTGAGCCGCCAGCGGACGAGGATGACTCGCTGGATTTCGTGTTTACATTCAAGGCATCTGGAGCTGCTGGGTTCAGTCCGGTGACCAAAACACAGCATGTATCCCGTCCTACAAACCCACCCAGCTCCAAAACCATCGATCCTATCGCGACTTCCAAACCTCAGGACCCCATCTGGGCGGTTCCAGAACTGCCGCAGTCCTTCTCAACGCCAACCACCGAAACCCGAAAGATCAACGCGGTGGTCACCCCATCAGCCAGGTCCCCTTCTCCGCCGGGCAGTGGTTCCATCTGGGCCATGAAAGGGCCTGGTCGCCCTAGAACAGAAGCGAAGCCAAAGGCTACGCCGCGACGGCGTAAGTTGGCCACGAAGCGCAAGTATCACTCAAGCCCTGTAGCACGAGACTGGTCCTTTGCGGAGGTTCCCGACGGCAATGAGTCGGATGATCCTTTGCAAGACTATGAGCCGTTGCCGACGCCATCGAAGGTTCGAATCATTCGCGGGCAATACAAGGTGCCCACTAAAGGCGACGGCCCCTCTGCCCAGGAGCTCACTCCCTCAAAGGTCCGCATCAACCATGAAAAGCAACAGCAGCCTCAGATGGGTAATGACGCCCAGGTGCCACAGTCCAGTCGACTTTCCCCTACAGAGTCACCGGCGAACGAAGGTCCTGTGATCGAAGCAGACTCGGCCGGTCACCCGGAGAAAGTCAATCATATCCCCCAGGACAATGCACCCGAGATGGGAGTGCAACATATTGCGCCACCTGAGATCGCTTCCACCGTGAACAACGGTGACCCACATGGGGAAGACGAAGCGAGAAACCAGGAAGATAGTCCATTACAGCCAAATCCTGACGATGAGGGGATTGTTGAGCCCGGCGTCATTGCCTCTACGGAAGATGAGGAGACAGCAGCAGATGACAACATTGATGCCCAACAGCCAGCGCCCGACGTACAATCGCAACTTAATATGGCTCCCCAATCTATATTGCGACCCGAATCAACGCCAACCCACCGCACCAAAGTCCCAGCCACCGAACCCCCACAAAACACCCCCAGCAGAAGACGAATCATAGACCCCGATGAGGCAAAATTAATCATGCGTGTGATGTACCAGGAAAACGGCAAAGCCAGCGACGTAGTCAAATTAATGCCAACGCTTGACTATCATGCAGTCTGGCATTGGTACTTCACCCATTGGACCCAGCGCCTCACCAATCCGCCTCGCCTCTCAGCTCCATGGTCACACTCTGAGCTGGCAATCTTCACCCGCTTGACCAACCAATCGGGACTGACCTGGGCTGAGATCCAACGTGAGTTTTCGGGTCGATCGCGTCCGGAAGTCGAATTTGAGCTGCTTCGTTCTTTTGTCGATCCGCAGCCTTCTACGAAGCATCCGGGGAAACAGCCAGATGATCCAGCCAACGACAGCGCACATGATTCATCCCAAGACGTCTGGATGCAGGCCGAGGAGATGATATCCGAATCCGACGCTGAAGGCAGTCTGCCCTCGGTCAACCCCGAGTATCATGATGCACGCGGTGAGAGTGTTTCTTCAATTTCGGCGGAACCGCTAGATCAGTCGAGACAGGGTCATTCGTTTGTTTCGAATACTCTCAAAAACCTATTTTTGAGGTGATGCATGCGACTTGCATATTCTTACGGGTTCAGGGTCAATGGAAGTATCGATATGCATTCATGGATATTCATCTCCGCCAGCCTGCATAGACTAAATATATCCGTAGTTTCACGAGTGTTGGAACCCACCACGGCTGAGGTAGTGGCAAGCTAAACGGGAAAAAGTACCTCTTGTCCGAAGGACTCTCACCCCTCTTTGCCACACGGAACTTAATACACGTCTAGTTACATTCTCCCGTTGACATTGTATGTTATAAAGAGAACACATACGGTATGGCCTGGTGGAATCACTGGTTTCACCTTACCCCATGCCTTTCGGTAGTAAAACGTATACGAGACACCAATGTGGAAGGTCGTACCTCTCAGCCGGGATTGAGGAATCCTCATGGGTCGGTTGAATACTCCCATTTTTCATCCACAGGGTTACTAGTTGGAAAATTTCAACGTCTCAGTCCCTTGTGAGATCACACTCAGCTACCGAAAATGGCTACTGCGGACGCTGGTTTTATCCAATATGAGCAACTTTACTTATACAGTATAAACATCGTATCGAAGATTTCAAAGGCTTCCTGCATACAGTAGGACTATTGATTGTACTATTCCCGGGTACTGGTGGAATCGTGCATGTTCCGAAACTATAGCATTTGCAGCCCCAACATTGGGCGACCAGTATTGACTCGTCGAGAACACCCAACTGCCAGGAGGTTGATAGCCATTCCCCCGTATGGGTAGTTACTCAACACACGATGAGGTTCCTATTCACCTGAAAAACTGGGCGCCAACTCATCTGAGCTTCGACCCCGATATGAGGCGCAGCGCAGCATGCATTGCGGCGCTGTCTGCATAGTTGCCTAGTTATGCCTTGCGCGGCTTTCAAGCTTCTCAGCTCATCGATTCCCGAGAATATGCGGCCACAGATGTCGATGTGGTCATACTCAACTCTCTGAGGCTGATTTGAAAAAATGAGGCTCAAAATACTCTGAAGAGATGGAAGGTGAGGAGTCCCCTTGGCCGACCACTATCAGTAACCTTGCCTTCTATCTCCCTCGAACCGACTCTTTTAATGACCCTTCTCTTCCCCGAACTTTCTCGTGTTCGAGTCGAGGCAAAGTAACCTTTTGCCGAAGCCACGACTGCGCTCTCGGCAGATGAAGGCATCCGCGCCATGGAAGCTGTTGTTCATTATGAGTTCGTGAACGGAAATATTCTTTCAAAGGCCCTTGAGGCAGCCGGGGCCACTATAGCCAGTCATGACAATGAACACCTTGCATTAACCGGTGATGTTTCCCCCAGGTTCGTGTTATATGAGGTCAGCTGAAGTAGCAGCCTCTCTCAATGAGACCCATCGGTGAGACCCCTCAGTCTTGGTTTCTTCGTTTCTCTTCTGAGTACTAATGCTACAGAAGGCGAAATGACAAGAAGCCAGAATACTTTGGCGACATATGAGCATGTGAGCGTTATAGGCTTCGGGTCGGGGATGGCTATATCAAATTGAATCCTTCAGCTCAGGGCGTTGTGCCTGGCCGTTTAATGTCGGCCACCGTCGAGGTCATCATTGGCAGTGTCTATCTTGACGCAAATACACAAATATGGACATCACCCGTGCAAGTCTTCCGGCTAGTCATCTGCGCATTTTGGCGACGCCATAGTGAGCATCCTCAGGCACGTCTGGGGAACCTTTCTCTATAATCTTTCCCCCTTCTTCTCAATACTGATTGTTATTCTAGGCCACAATCATCGGGGTATTCACGGACCCTTGTGCAGATAGTTGCTGGCAAATGCACTAGTAAAGAGGCCTCGCGAGCCCTCATGTGAAGGACCTCTTTCGTACCAGGTGAGGGCATGAGGGCCTCTTTATGATTGCATCTGGTGATGAGGACGGTTGAAATGGTATCAGAGTACCCCTGTGGGCACCATTCATTGGTAATTGCTCGGTACAGGGGTTTTACCGGAGCTGTTCGACGGGAAACCTCCTGGCACCCAGGTTTCCTGTCGAATAAATGCCGACTTGATCCCCATGCTAGCAAATTCCAATAGACGGTACATGTGCTTTTTATTTCTTTGCTGATCTGCTTGTTTTTTGTTTGGCATATTCAACATGCTGTCCGCTGATCCTGTTGGTGTCCTTGGGGGTTTTGTTTGCTCGACGGTCGTAGTTCTCCCACCGTTGCTTGACGATTCAATATCATAGACTCATCAACCGATCTTGAGTAGTTGCTTTCATTACTTTAGCTTAGTCCCTCGCTCCAGTTTCATTTCCAAGATTCTAGAACTCTGTAAGGAGACTTCATTAAACCCAGAGCTCATGCCATATTTGCCTTATATCCGACAATATTCCACGAAAGTCAACTTGACCATAAGAGCAAAAGATTTCTCCGGTAAAATATTCCACGGCTATTTTCACGGCAGCTTAAGACCACTCTGTAGTTGAATGCGGCGGGAGGACTAGCCCTGCCATTCCATCGCGACCTAAGACGGTAATGTTACCACAGCATTGCAAGAAATTGATAGCCCAAGTCCTGTCTATACAACTAAGCTAATCTCTTTGCACGGATTTGGACATTGATGTTGCAACTGTATTGATATCACTGGATCTTCATCCGCTACCTAAAAAATGGACCTTGGTGTCCCCGAATTCGGTTCCCTTCGTTTGATAGTATCGCTCTTACAAAACAGATGATCTGGTAATCTGATACTTGGTCAACTTTGCAAACCTTTGTAACTGTGCTGACACCAGTGTAAGTCGAGTAATATGCAAAAGTCCAACTCGATCCTGGTATCCGAGTTCAAACGCCCAGGTGAGACAATGCGGTGATCTGCGCGATATAGACGTTACACGGTGACACGGAGCACCAAGGCGAATACTGTGCATCGGAGTGACCTGTTCTTCACGCTATCGACCCATCAAAGGTGAGTATTACCAATATAGGCAAGAGGAAGTATCAGAAGGGGAAACAGGATAGGGGAACGCGGGAAGGGCGCGGAGTGGCCCCGAGCAAATGTCCATAAAATCTGATAGTGTGAGTCAAGAGGGTCGATTGTGGAGACGTATCGTATTCAACTCTTTCTTTGTTCATGCGGTCTAGGCTATTCGAAGTCTTCATCCCGGGCATTCATTACATCCTCAAGTTTGGTATCGGTGGCCCCACCGACGTCTCCAGCCTTGGCCCAGAATCGAGACAGATGCCGTGACCCGGAGTCGGAGAGTACTGTGACAATTCTATGGCCAGGGCCTAGTTTTCTTGCCGTCTTGACAGCGGCAATGCCTGTGAGATCATCGTCAGCTAGCTCGTCCGGTATAGGTTGTCAAAGTACTCACAATTCACCGCACTACTGCTTCCGATAAAGATACCGTCCTTTTCAACAAGCCACCGGGCCATGGCCAGAGCCTGGGCATCCGTAACACGTACTGCGTCATCGACTAATTCCTTGCCGGCCTCAAAGTTCGCAGTCACACGGTTAATCCCGATTCCTTCAACGATTGTATCGACCTGTCGACGACGCCTTGTGCCCTCTCGCTCCTTCACGTCAAACATGACACCATAAACGACGCGGTTGAACAGCCCACTTCCTTGTGGATCAGCCAGGACAACCTCAAGCTTGGGCAACAAAGGCTTCAGGAAGCGTGCCACACCGGAGATTGTCCCGCCAGTCCCGGCCCCGGCTACGAAAGCATCGATCCGACCACCACACTGGGCATATAGTTCCGGACCAGTACCATCGTAGTGAGCACGCCAATTAGCTTCATTCTCAAACTGATCGGCAAAGAAGCCACGGCCACGAGTCATACGCTCATCGGTGGGGAGATCATCTTCTGACGTGGACTCAAGGCCAGAAGAAGCTGTATGCGTCTTTGCCAATGCTCGAGCGCGATTCACAAAGTTGTCTTTCTCCACAATCGGTGCCGGGGGCACCCGGTCGACAATTGCGCCGAGTTTGAGGAGTAGATTGGACTTTTCTATTGCCTGGTCCGAAGGCAGGCAGCTGGGTTGCATGCATTAGTGTGTTGCTATTTAGTGGGGGCGGGACGTACATGTGTGCCAGGTATCCCTTTGCGCGGGCGAGAGTCGCTAGCGAGATACCTGTTGATCCTGATGTACCTTCGTAGATGGTATCGCCTGCATGAGGCGTCAAAATACCTTGCTCTTCCGCCTGGGCATGGTTAGTCTCTGGATAGATTGCTTTGGTTCTTTTGCTCAACGCACAATTTGAATCATGCTCAACGCTACTCGGTCTTTAGAGCTTTGACCGGCGCCGTTCAGAAACTATAGACGACGTTAGCTGTGTTCTTGCGTGCACACCATCGGCCCATACCTCTGCTTTGCCGAGGATTTCGCATCCTGTTTCATCTGATAGTGATTTGATTCTGAAGAGAGGCGTGTTCCCAATGCAGCCCTCAATGCCTTCGACAATAGCCGGCGGACCGGCTCGGGCTTCCAGGCCTTGTGCTTGAGGTTGTGGTTGTTCCTGTGATTTTCCTTCACATTTTGAACGCGAAAGCTCCTGGTATGCGAGAGCTAGGCATACTCCAGCCGCAAAGGCTGTCCCTATATAAGCCGTTGAATGATCCGGCATTGCTTTTTGGTGTCTGCGGCGTTGACGTGATGCACTTCGACGGGGCAGAGATATAAAGCACGGACCACCTGCACCGGAGGAGATGAGATGTTCAATTGAGCATCGACAATTCAACGATGTTCAATTTGGATCATGAGATGGTGATTGATGTGTTCATCGAGTAGATTGCAAGTTATCAACCGCAAACCATCGAGTTCGCTGTAGTGACTATCGTCGCCTGAGGCACATATTTTGGCCTCAGGCGGAAACTGCAGTTTCTCCGTTCTTCTTCCCCGGAGCAACCTCGAGCTTAGCTGTTTGGCAACAATGGACTCCCCCGTCCTCAATCAGCTGTTTCGGCAGCTCTTCCGCCATCCAGCCTGTCAGTCAATACGGAGACCACCGACTCTACTTTCTCGACCCCAGGCCCGCTCGTTTCTCACCCGGCGCGGACCAGCCAAGCGCAAGCCGCAAGATGAAGTCCAGCTTTGGACCAAGCGGGGAGACTACCCCAAAGACATCGACGAGGAGTACCGGAAATTTCCTACGGTCACTGCTAAGGAGCTTCGGAATCGCCGCGAACGACCGCGTCAGGTCAAGATGTTGACGCGCGAGTTTATCGACGGTGAGTTTGGCGGACTTGTGAAACGGCGTGAACCCTTCTGACTTTACGGATTTAGACAGTCTCTATAACCCACACTATGGATACTTTTCCAAACATGCAACGATTTTCAGTCCCGGCGAACCGTTTCAGTTCAATTCCATTGAAGATGGCCCGGCCTTCCACAAACTCTTAGGAGAGCGGTACACCGAATTTGAGGACAAGCTCGATGAGACCAATCCAGACATCGCGCGCCAACTGTGGCACACACCCACAGAACTATTCCGGCCATACTACGGAGAAACCATCGCGCGATACTTGGTGTCAAACTACAAGCTCACGCTGTACCCCTACCACGACCTGATCATTTACGAAATGGGTGCAGGAAACGGTACAATGATGTTGAACATTTTGGATTTCATCCGCGATACCGACTACGAGGTGTACCAGCGCACCAAGTTCAAGATCATCGAGATCTCACCTGCGCTGGCAGATCTGCAGTTCAAGAACTTGACCGACAAGCTCACTGCGAAGGGCCACCGTGACCGAGTCGAGATCGTCAATCGTTCAATCTTTGACTGGGACACATACGTGCACTCCCCGTGCTTCTTCCTTGCTCTCGAGGTGTTTGATAACTTCGGCCATGACACCATCCGCTATCAGAACGGCACGGAAGCCCCGCAACAGGGAGGTGTGCTGATCGATGCAGAGGGCGAGTTCCACGAATACTTCAACAACCAGCTTGATCCGGTTGCTGCTCGCTTCATGCGTGTCCGTCAAGCTGCCGCCCGCAGACCTTTCCCAAGCCCCCTGGGCCCTCCACTGCTTCGTGGTCTTCGCTCCGCCGCTCCCTTCCAGAAGGAGTACACTCTGCCGGAATACATCCCGACCCGGTTGATGCAGTTCTTCGACGTCTTGAACCAGTACTTCCCTGCGCATCGTCTGATTTCAAGTGATTTCAGCTCCTTGCCTGATGCTGTGCCTGGCATCAACGCGCCAGTCGTGCAGACACGGTACCAGCGACGAACGGTGCCTGTCACCACTCCTTTTGTAAGTCAACCTAGCGAAGTGTTGTTTGTAACCGACTAACAGTTAAACAAAGGTCCACCAAGGATACTTCGATATCTTTTTCCCGACTGACTTCAATGTCATCGAGGATATGTACCGTGCCATCACAGGAAAGCTGACTCAAGTCACGAGCCACGAGGAGTTCGTGCATCGCTGGGCGTATATTGAGGACACGGAAACACGGAGTGGAGAGAACCCGCTGCTGAGCTGGTATAAGAACGCTAGCATGTTGATGACTGTATAGATTAGTGCGCCGATCTTAATCAATGGCTTCAACCTCACAAGCTTTTCTTAAATTTCTCGCTGGCTGTAGAGGTCAAAAATAGAAAGACAGCTGGAGAGATCAACTACAGTCAGTTTAAAGGTTGCGATGCTCAACCTCTCATCCACACTAGTGCCGGTCATTAAGCCTCTTTGTTCTACTGGCACCTCACGCGTCTTCCAAGGCTAGGGCTTAGAAGGGCAGCATCTTGATGCATCAAGTTTGGAGAGCCATTTGAAGATACCTTGTTAGTGAATTTGGAATCCAGAACAAGAGTCAACGGTTCGAAATATTCAAGCTGGGCTCTTAAGGGCTATACCGAGCCAGATATTTCCACCTGGGCAATATTCCCGTTGTGGAAATATCAGGGCTTGATCCCTCGATCTCCCCTGTTCGGATCCCCTGTTTTAGAATATATCTTCTCTCGCACATCTGAAAGATTGACCGGAAGTTGGAAGAGTGATGCCTGATGCCTTGTCTGTCTCACGGAAGCATGCAGATCATTCCAAGGTTGCAAGGATAACCGTCTCTACTCCTGAGTTCGTAGGTGAAGTCCAAACGTATACGGCAACGATCGGCTCCCGCATCTTGGACATCAACACAACCTTGGACTTCTAAACACCGCATGCCAAAGCAAGACATGGAATCCATTTCAGTCGGACTTCCACAGGTCCACGCCAAAGGATCTCAATCCCCCAAAGCCCCATCCAACGACTTCATCACAGGCTGCTGGCACGTCACCCACTCAAGCCTCCCTCTCTGGAAAGGCAAACGCAATGTCAACATCACCTACAAGCTGCTCCCCGCCGAATCAGGAATTCAAAAGATCGATGATCTAGTCCAATACCAAGCCATCGACTCTGACAAAATCAAAACTGTCCATGGAATCGATACCCCGACGCCAGGCACTCCTGGCGCCTGGGACTGGCGCGGGAAAGGCTGGCTGATCATCGCCAGCTCCCACTGGGAATGTCTGGGCTTTGGCCAAGTCGATGATGGCAATCAATGGGTGGTGACCTATTTTGCGAAAACGCTCTTCACGCCTGCGGGTGTTGATATCTACTCTCGCAATAAGGAGGGTCTTCCCCAGGCGACTGTTGATGGTATTTTGGAAGCTCTCAGGGGCTTGGGGGTGAAGGACATTACTGACCTAGCCAATGCGATCTTCCAAATTCCGCAGAAGTAGCTGTTCAAGTCGATGGCGTTCTATTCGTACACTCTGCGAGTGCGAAATATCGCCTTCCAAGCCACGATCGATGTTGGTGAAATTGACCCTGCAATATCCATGGATTACAATCGCCCGCGTGCCTAGGTGTCTCTTGATATCGATCGAGCAGTCCGAAAACCGAGCATCTGGCCGTCATGGATGGTTCCTTCCAAATCAGCGATGCAGTCAGAATTGGGGTGTCGGCGCTCTATCAGCAACTCTTTCCTTTCCTCTTCTCTTTCTTCAACCAATCTCAAATCAGTTTCAAGCAAAATGAATCAAGACCTCTCTCAAAAGTTGAAGCCTCCGGTTTTCGACCAACTCGGTGACTTTGCCAAGCTCCCACCAGAGATTCGCTATCAGATATGGAACTATATTTTGGACTACGCCTTCGATGTACCGGCCACCGACCATGAGTTTTTACGCCGCTTTTGTTGCCATGGGTTAGCCATACTATTTTGCAATCGACACATCAATGAGGAGGTATCTTATCTCCTCTACCGAGAACGCGATCCATCGCCTATGATATTCATTCACAACCTGGACGGAAGTGGAGATAAAATCGACCTAGGTGTGAAGTCGAACCGTAACCAGCTACATCGCCTTAGGATGCGTGACTTTAAGGATCCCTTCGAACAATTTCAGAAATTCCCATTTCGGAGAACCAAAAGCAGCGGACTGTGCATTAACGTCATCACCACCAACCTGTGTTCTACTGAGCAGGCTTCGAAATACTGGAAGCGCATTGTCACGGCCTTCGACGATGTCCGGGACAAACCAGACGACCAATGCATGGACTTCACTGCCCTTATGCCCGAGCCGCTTATGCGCATGACATTGCGCTACTGCGCTCGACATCAATCGACAACCATGGACCTCACGATGCCAGCATCCTCATTTTTCCCCCAAACTGATTCCGTCAGTGGGGTCTCCAATTAAAGTTGGTCTTTCATTGCGCAATCTTGAATGTTGTGAGCAGTCTTGCTACCCTGGGTACGGAGTTGGCAGTTCCAGATTGCTCTCCTCGAGCGGTGGCCCTTTCATTTTGGCGCATTTATCTTATTGTCTGGTGGTGGCAGTATTGGCAGCATTGGCAGTATGGATTGAAATTGTGCCTACACTGCCTGTGTGGCTGAACCTTCATGAACTACTAGGAATTACCTCTCACTCTCTTATGGTAAAGCTTTCAAAAATCAACATGATATAAGAACAACCAAACATCTTTCACCATTGAATACATCAGAGATACTTGTCAACCCCCTGGAATATAATCCGCATTGGAGAAAGGCCATCGATTCAGGAGTCTGGTTTTCGGGACCTCGGGATACATCTGCACGGAGTTACCGTCGCGAACCCCCTTGATTCAAACCTAAGGAGTCATGGACGAACACGCACTCAGCCCAATGCCCTCGATATAAACCGATCAGGGCCATCATGGATGTTCAGAGTATTTCCCAGGCATTGCCTGCAAATTCCAAACCATGGTGGAAAACAGCCCACCTCCTACGACTCAATAGCCATCTAGCCAGTTTGATCCTCTTCTCCAGCACCTTTGGCTATGACATCTCCCTAATGAACGGCCTGCAATCACTCCCCCAATGGCAAGAATTCATGTTCCATCCATCCGGCCCATGGCTAGGTTTCATCAACGCCCTCCAAAGCATCGGCAGCATAGTCTTCCTCCCTATCCAAGCCTGGTCCGCTAATCGCTTCGGTCGCAAGCCGACCATACTTACGGGATATCTCTTCATGATCCTTGGCGTGGGACTACAAGCCGGGTCCTGGAATGCCAATACATTCATCTATTCCCGCTTGCTGATCGGCATTGCCGGCGCCTGGTTCCAATGCGCGGTTATCTTAGTTACCGAATTGGCATATCCGTCGCATCGATCGATTATCACTGCGATATACATGTGTCAGTATTACTTTGGATCATCTCTATCTGCTTGGATAACGTTTGGAACGAGGGATATCCAGAGTGTCTGGGCGTGGCGAATTCCTGTCCTCATGCAGATCGCCCTGCCGCTCTTGGCGTTGCCTGGTACTTGGAGTGTTTCTGAATCGCCGCGTTGGTTGATGAAGCAGGATCGGACGAGTGATGCGAGAGATATTCTTGTGAAATTTCACTCTGGTGGCGATGAGGGATCGAAGCTCGTCGCTTTTGAGATCGAGGAGATCAGCAGGGGTCTGGCCCTTGAGTCGCAGGCTCGGAAGGCCCGTTGGGTTGATTGTGTCAAGACGCCAGGCAATAGGTATCGATGTTTTCTGAGTATCTCGCTGGGTATCTTTGCTCAGTGGAATGGAGGGTACGTCTCGCATAAATATCTCCAGTGGACGACGGGCTGATATGGTACTTTTTCTAGCGGAGTGGTCTCATACTACCTGACTCTCATCCTTAACACAATTGGCATTACCTCAACGACTGATCAAACCCTGATCAACGCGTTCCTGCAACTTTGGAATCTGATCATGAGCGTCGTCGGCGCATGTCTGGTGGACCGCGCAGGCCGACGCGCGCTCTTCCTCACTTCGACTGTGATCATGCTGATCAGCTATATCTTCATTACTGCATTGTCCGGCAGCTTCACGACAACAGGTGCTGGTGCGGTAGGAACAGCCGTGATTCCATTCCTCTTCCTTTACTACGCTGGCTATGATATTGCCTTCACGCCGCTGCTTTTGGCCTATCCGGCTGAGATATGGACGTTCTCGTTGCGTGCCAAGGGGGTGGCTATTTCGGCCATGTCGAACTATATGGCGCTGGTTTTCAATCAGATTATCAACCCCATTGCGTTTGAGAGCATTTCTTGGAAATATTACTTCGTGTTCTTGGGCGTGTTGATCATCGTGCTGATCACCGTGTGGAAAACTTATCCTGAGACTCGAGGCAGGACACTTGAGGAGATTGCAGTTATTTTCGACGGCGAGGGTGCGAGGATCACAGGTGTTATTGTAGGCTCTGATGAGAAGGGGCTTACAGAGAAGATGGAGCATAGAGAGGATGTGAATATATAGACCTCGTGAATCAGACCACTTTCAAGTTGTACAAAATATATCCGAGGCCGCTCCAAGCATCTTGGCCGCATACATATGTACAACCTTCCAAGGTTGGAATGGGTTATGTACTTGGGTATATAGAAAAGAAGAAAGACATAAACAAAATGAGACGCAATGAATTAAAGTAGATAGCATGAGACATGAGCATATCGATCGTTAAGCAGTGGGGCCATATTCCGGTATGTGGCAGATATGTGATCATTTAGGGTTGTACTTGTCCTTCCAGATCCTGTGATAGCTGTCAGAATATATACTCGATACAAAAAAGACATCAAGGGAATCTTACCATGAGTTGCCTAGTGTCGGGCAGCCGTTCTCCTCGGCAAGTCTGTAATACTTGGCCGCTTTGAACTGTGCCAGCATTAGATCAACATGAAACCAATAACATTCCGGTTAAAACCACACGCACCTTGTCTTTCTTCCCTCCAAAGCCCTCGAGGTAGCACCAGCCGACCTCATTCATAGCGTCAGTGTCTCCCAGGTTGGCTGCAGTTTCATAGTATTGTCGAGCAGCCGCGGGATCTTTCGCCAACCCCCAACCGTTACGGAAACAATTGGCAAGTTCGAACATGGCCAAAACGAGCTCGCCTTTGGCAGACCCGCCTTTTTTCACACCAGCGCGCAGTGCTTCGGCTTCTACCGCGGCGGAGTTGGACGCTGCCGCCGACAAGTAGGTTACTGCGCGAGGCAGATCTTGAGGACACCCCCATCCGTGTCTACATGAAGTTAGGACTGTCGTTTCAATGGCACTAAAGTTGATAATCACCGTAATGCAAGGCCGAACAAGACCTGACTGAGAGGGTTATTTGCACCATTTGGGTCCGCAAGCTGCCCAAACATATGCGTGGATCGTTCAAGATCTACGATATATTAATGAACGAAAGAACGTCAACAGCGAAAGCATAGCAACTCACCACCAGATTCGTGTAACCGAATAGCCTCCTGAATATCAACCTAAACGAAATTAGTTTCAACCCCGAAGTATAAAACAACCTTGGAACACCACCTACATCCGTATCCGGGTCCGACACAACACGACTCTGACTCGAGCTCCTCGACCTCACCTGCTCCACCCCTAAACCGACCAGCTCCTCGCCCTGTCCAGTCCCAGACGAGCCGGAGTGTCCGAACTGCGGATTCTGCTGAACCAGCACCGTCGCCCTCTTCTCCCACTGCGCTTCGCGCTCCTGCTTCGATGCGCCCTGATCATCTTCAATTTGCGGCAAATCCGCAGGCAGGTTCGCCGAGTCGCGCGAGTTACTGCGACTACGGGAGTCGAGATGGAGGAGATTTGAGAGACGGCGCTCGCGGCGGGGAGACTGCGAGGACGAGGAGCCTGCTCTGGAGCGGTTGAAGAGCTGGAAGCTGCGGCGCGGGGAAGAGCGGGTCTCTTGCGTCGGGGATGTTATGTAGTCTGTTTCTGGAGTGATTATTTCCTGGGTATGTGTGTCTGAGCGGACGAGTTTGAACTCCGGTGTTGGGGGTGCATCTTCGGTCAGCTCGTCGCGTTTGTGGAGGATGTTGCGGAGTGAGGGCATTTCTAGGTGGATCTAGGGTTGCTATTGATGCTCAGTACTGGTAGGATGCGACTAGGTAGGAACGTGAGTCTGAGGCAACGAGTGACTGGAGATCAAAAACAGCTGTTTGCCGCTGATCCCGTCCCATGGGGCCAGGGTGTCTTGGCCGGCGGCTAACGGGTCAGGGTGAAGGCCGTTTCAGGCCATGTACTTGTGCTCTGTTTACTGTTGATACAGTAAACATGGGGATCTTTCTAGGGCTGAATAGATCTTATCTCATTCTCCACTAGGTGGCTTGCTGCATTAGTCCATGCAGCCCGTAGTGCGGCCAAATGTGGCCATAGTGTCGGAATTATGGTTATTTTATGCTACGTGGCTATCATTACGGAGCTTAAGAGAGGGACCTCGGGAGACATGTAGCGATATGCCTTAGCTGTTACTCCAGACAAAATGTTCTACCAGGTGCCATGTCAAGAAATCCAAATGCGGAAGACGAGCGGGCGATGATGAGCTGGCCATGATCCGAGGGTGCAGCTGCTTCGAATGGAGCGATCAAAGTCCAGTCTGGGACGGAGTCGTTGAAATAATCAAAATGGTATTGCAAGGTCTAGCTCGGCAGATGCAAATAGCCCTTATAGTTTTGTACACAATGCCGAATGCAGTCAGCTAAAGGCTATTAAACCCATTTACTGGGCCTTGGAAGCCATGATGCCTGTGAATAGTTAGCGTGTATCCAAGTCGAAGCTCTGTCGGTAAAACTCACGCTCAACATCAGCGACGCTCTGCTGGAGGATCTGCTGGAGAACCTTGGGGCTCTCAAGCTCCTTCTGGATCTTGGCAATGACGGACTCGGCAAGCTCACGCTGCTGGCGCTGCTTGACCTGGCTCTCGTAGCGCACCCAGGAGTCGAGGACCTGCTTGGCCTCGGCAGCGAGGGCAGTGCGCTGCTGGAGCTCGTATGACTGAGCCTCGAGCTGGGCGGTTTCCTGGAACGAATCGTCAACAACCCGCCCATCAACGCGGGGTGAGCACTCCTACCTTGGAAACAGCGAAGAGCTGCTTGGTAACCTCAACAACGCCGGACATCTGGGAGACGTTGTCGATACGCTGCTGGACAGCGTTGGTGTGGTCGGCACGGGCAGCGTTCAGGATGTCCTTGTGCTTCTGGACCTGACCCTCAGCCCACTCGCGGTAAGCGGGGCCACCGTACTTGCCAACAGCGGTGAAGACGGACAGCAGACAGAAGGCGGCGACGGTCTCCTCGTTCATGACGTACAGCTCGTTGCTGATGGCGGCAATGGACAGACCGGCGGCGGCAGAAAGAGTAGCGGTCTTGGTGATCAGGGAGTTACCGGGGACAGCATTGAGGATAGACTGAGCCTTCTTGGCGGGCTCCTCGGCGGGGACGTTGGAGGCCGAGCGAGAGGAGGTCAGGTTGGCCGTGACGGCAGGGACACCACGGGCGGGAAGGACCGGCCGAAGTCGGGATGCGCCTAGGGGAAGTTAGTGACTGAAGGTATCGAGTCGATCAGACGGTCGGGCGTCGTGGGTTCCGTACCAATGGCGCTCTTAGCAAGACGCGAAGCCATTGTTGCAGATGGAAATATCGTGGTCAATGGGGTGGGTGAACGGAACTGAGGAGACTTGAGGTTCGGGATGGCTAGGAGTGAAGACGCTAGGCCGTTTCGGGCCGTAGTGCCGTGCCTCGGAAAATCCCCCTTCCGAGGTGTTCTGAACGATAAAAAAAAGTTGCCGATCTACGACTCCAACCCAAAGGGACAAAATGCCGGCACTCGTTACGGATTCAAGCTCGAAGAAGCGCAAGAGTGGCAAGAATGCCAGCGCTCCGTCCTCCAAGCGTCGCGCGGTCGCCGAGGACAATTTCGCTGAGAAATTGGCGACTATCCAAGAGCTAGAGAATCAAATTGCGGAGTCGCGGAAGCACTACAACAATATTGCGACTCTTATCTCCATGCTCAATGTCGAGAAGTCCGCCGAATCCCCCGAGTTGGCTGTGGCAGTCTCTCTGTGCCGTGTGTTCGGTCGATTGCTTGCCGGAGGAAATCTCACAGAATCGAGCCGGGCTGCCGAGAACGAGAAGATTGTTGCGGCGTGGCTGAAGGAGCGCTGCATTGAATACCAAAATGCCCTTCTGGCTATCATGCGTCAGGCTGATCCATCTTCTCAGGTATGTGTGCACTGTCGTCCATAGAGAACATCCGTGCTGACATGAATTAGATCACTGCCCTCACGCTGAGCATGCGCCTTCTCAAGGAACGAATCGCCCATATCCCCGGTGCGGAAAATAATGTGTGGTCGACTGGTTTCTTCCGGGATATCTTCACGGCCGTCGTTGAAGCCCGCGGTGCGCAGGATCTACAATCCGAATTCATCACCAAGTTCGTCAAGGAATTTGAGGATGTGAGATACTACACCTTCGCGCAGATTGGGTACGTTCAACTTCATGGTTTGCGAAAACTTCCTCATCTAATCTCTATACAGTGACTATGCTTCCACCAAACGATCCTCGGAAATCCTCGAGACCCTCATCACAATCCTTCAGACCTGCGATGTTGCACCTGACGCGGAGCACAAGTTCGAAAACTTCTATGCGAAACGAGATACCAAGAACAAGCGAGTGGTCTCGGCCAATTCACACAAGAAGCAAGCCCAGGAGGCTTGGTTGGCCATTCTTCGAAACAACCTCTCCCAATCACAGCGCAAAAACTTGCTGCGCATGATGGTCCACAACATCGAGCCGTGGTTCAACCGACCGGAACTACTGATGGACTTCTTGACAGACTCGTACAACGTCGGAGGAGCTACATCTCTTCTCGCCTTGTCGGGTCTCTTCTATCTGATCCAAGAGAAGAACCTCGACTACCCCCAATTCTACACAAAACTGTATTCCCTCCTCAATGCCGATCTTCTACACTCGAAGCATCGCTCAAAATTCTTCCGCCTCTTGAACACCTTCTTGTCCTCCACCCATCTTCCCGCCACCTTGGTCGCCAGTTTCATCAAGCGTCTTGGTCGGTTGGCACTCAACGCCCCTCCCTCCGCCATCGTTGTCATTGTTCCTTTCATGTACAACTTCTTCAAAAGCCACCCCACGACCTCTTTCATGCTCCACCGATCAATCCGCGACAAGGATGAACTTGCCGAGGTGGAGAAGGAAGGCATGGACGACCCCTATGACCCGAACGAGTCGGACCCCCACATGACAGACGCCATTGAAAGCAGTTTGTGGGAGATTGAGACTCTCCAATCCCACTTCCACCCCAACGTTGCAGCCATTGCCCGGATTATCTCCGAGCAGTTCACCAAGCAGGCATACAGTCTGGAAGACTTCCTTGATCACACATACCAGGGTATGGTGGAGGCCGAGCTGGGTGTGGAAGAGCGGAATCTGAAGAAGCTTCCTGTTGTAGAGTACCAGATCCCCAAGCGTATCTTCACAGATCGTCTATTAGAAGAAGATGGTGGTGTTGATTCTGGGGCTGGCTGTTTCATGCGTGGTCTGTGGGAGTTCTGAGGTTTCAATTCAGCGTATACCAATTCAATTTACTTGGCAATAAAAGTACCTAGGGCTTGGAGTTGCGGGCTTTAAATACATTTCGCCGCTTTGAACAGAAACGATCTTCTGTAAACAAACCCCTTGCCGCAGATCTCTCGGCACCTTGGAGTACAAGCTGCCGGGACTGCTTCGGGCGGAAGCTTTGCATGATGACTAGTTGGAGACTACCCGTGGACCTAGGTAGGTTAGTATCAAAAAGTACAAGTGCATAATTATGAGCAAGACCCAAAGCAGAGAGACGTTGCAAAGCAAGCTTAAATATCTTTCCCAGCTGCTGAAATGTCCATGTCGGCCCTCGAGGTGCTACATGTAGAATATATGTTGCGTCCTCCCGAGTCGCTATAGAATCTCGTTCTTCGTACGTTTTGAACTGCTCAGGTGGACAACCTTAGAGAGACTGATGACCATGAGTTAGTCAATCCAAGAAGCTTATAAAGGTCCACGGTTATTGCATTCGGTTGAATTGAAGGCTGGGATCAGTATACTATGCATACATCCTTCATGCTACTGTATCCCGACTGAATGGCGATCTTGTAACCTCAAATCATGGACATACGGCCACAACCACCCAAATCACCACTCTACAACACCCCTTGGTATGAGATCTATGGTCAATCAAGGCTCGGGAAATGCTTTATGCTCTACAAAATTGATCTCAATGTCAGCCATGGCCCTTCAGAGCTGATTCCCCACCAAAACAAACCGGGAAGGGATGACATTCCAACACATCCCGGCAAGCGTTGTTATTGGGTCTCTACTACTCCATCGTCTCATTGATGTGTCAATGGCTGAACGGTCAGATTCCATCTCATGGCTTTTGAGCCATTCAGGTAGGAAGAGTGAAGCCATGCCGCAGCCACCAGATCATCCAGATCAAACCGTGGACGTTGGAAGCCGGAATAAATCCCAGCATCACACCTCTTCCTCCAGAGCTTTGCCAGACCAATGTCCATATTTGAATTTACGAATTTACCGAGAATGTCTGATTGTCTCTGGAGACATTCCCCGCCACCAATAGTGACATGCTTTGCTGGGAAATATCATGATGGCCCATCGTTAGGGCTAGAGGAATGCAACATTCTGCCCGAACGCCCTGAAGTCTCAGCACTCGAATTCCAACACGCGACGTCCGAGCTTGATTCTGTGGAGGTTGGGGCAATTCTGGTAATTCCTGCTGCCAGATAAGAATCGCGATGTGCCCGACAGTTGAATATCACTCCGTTCAACCCTCGACTTTTCGCCAACCCAGCCACCATTCGTTCTTATACTTCTAATACCATATCACTTTCATTAACATCCAAACCCCGGACCCACCCATTTCACCAAGATGTACTTTTCTCCCGCTCTGATTGCCGTGGCGGCGTCCTTCGTCACTCTGGGTCTCGCCGTTGACCCTCTGTCTTTCAACTCTTGGCCCACAGAGCCCCTCCAGGCTGGCAAGCCCATCACCCTCACCTGGTCTGGTGGCGATCCCTACACCGTAAGATCACATTCACCCGCTGCCAGTCTCATAAAAGCTAAAATAATCCCAGCCCGTGACGATTATGCTCCGTGAGGGAAGCTCCACCAAGCTCAAGGATGTCAAGGCCATTACCGATCAAGGCCATGAAGGCACTTTCACCTGGACCCCTGACAGTGATGTCAAGGCGGGCCACAACTATGCTTTCCAGATCAAACAGGGTGCCGAGATCAACTATACCGCTCTGTTGAAGTCATCCGACAAGCCCAGCGCCGACCTCGACGATGACAACACTACAACTGGAGCCACCACTGGCACTACCACCGGCACCCAAACCAGTGGCACTTCCACTCAAACCACCGGGACCACCATGACCACTAGCAAGCACCTGATCAGCTCATCAGCCAGCGCCTCTGGCAGTCCTTCCAGCTCAGCAGCTACTACCACCACCACAGAGAGCAAGCCTACCGGTACTGAGGTCGTTAACGGAAAGGAGCCTGATACCACTGATGCCGTTCAGACTGGTGCTGCCTCCATTCCCCAGTACTCCACGCAGTTGTTCATGGGTGTTGCTGGTGTGTTGGCATACCTTGTTTAAGTGTCTTGTGTGATTTAGTTCCGTGTCTACGCTCCTTTGTTTTCTTTCTTCTCGGGCGTTTTGGTGTCCAGGATAGTCATTCATTTCCAAGCAAAACTGGTAGCTTCGTGTATATAGAATACCCCATGGTGTATCGGCGGCATGAGGCGTTGAGGTAGCAACCTAAGTAATAGAAAATCAAGACACAATTCAAAAGAACAAAGGCGTTGCAGATCCAATGTTGGTGAATATCCGTTGTGGAGGCCCCTGTCTAGCGCGGAGTGGCGCTGCCGAACGTCAGTAGAAGTGGAAACAAAGACTCCAACTTCACCTTTTACCGCTACTCGTGCTGCATCTGCAAATAAGACTTGGCTTCTTTTTTTGCTTTTGATGATCTCATATGAGACAGTGTTATATTAGTCTCTCTATTGAAACACCTCCCTTGCGATGGTTAGATGATTAAGCGAGATAATAAACCAGCTTGGACACTGCGCTATTGAAATATCGGTATGAGTCCCAACCTCGTCCTGCTCTTTCATCCCTCTGGCCTTCATGACGAGCTTCCATGGCCAAGCTAGGCTTCAGACAGGCCATGAAGCGCCTTGGTCCTGCCAAAAGCCCCATAGTTACCGATCCTATACACATCACTGACCCCCCTATCTGCGCAGAGGCGCCACAAGTCCATCTCCCGCATGTGGACACACAATTGAACATGCACCAGCATCCCGATCTCGAAGAAGCGGTCACCGACGCTCAGACCCAGAACGGTACTTGTCCTCCCACTGCCGACGCGCGCCCCATCTCACATTCCTCAGGGGACTCCCACACCCAACGTCCGGTCCCATCCGGCGATACCAATGGCGAAGTCCCAACGGCAGAGTGGTCGGCGGTCGGCCACGCAGCAACCGGAAAGTCAGGGCGCGTCATCCATAACCTGCAGGAGGAGATCGCCCGACTGACGCGTGAATGCACGCTACAAAAGTCCCGCGCAGAGGAATACCTGCGGACCAACGAGGCCTACAAGATCCAACAATACAACATGAATGAACGGCTCCGCAACCTTGAGCAGGTGAACGACACAAATCTCAACTCGATCGCGCGCAAGGACCGCAAGCTGGAGGAGCTTCGGGCTGAGCTCCAGCACGAGCGCAATAGGCGTCAAGATGCCGAAAAGGACGCCAGCCAAACGAATCACACCATGTTTGAACAGCGAGAGACGCATAATCGGGAGCTGGCTCGAGCACAGGAGATTGCCAAGCACCATGAAACACAATATGAAGTCTTGTCCAGCACGAATAAACGGGACAAGGCGGACTTTGCAAAGCGTATCACTGCAATCTGGACTGAGGTTGAGAAAATCACCGGTGCTCAAACAACCCATATACACTCCACGGAGAGGCTTGAGGTTCTGGCAGATCAGAAAAACCGCGAGGTCGATCTGCTGAAGGAGTCATATGAAAAGCTACTTGCCAAGCACACTGAGTATAAGGACATGAAAGAGAAAGACTTCCGGGATACAATCAATGCAGCCAAAGCAAACAACGCCGCCATCAACCAGACTCTTGCCAACGTGAAGGAGACAGAAACCGAGATGAAATGGGTTATGCGCCTTGACGCCAGTCGTGAGGGCCAAAAATGAAGATGGCTATGTCTTCTCGTCTCATCATTCACGTTGCATCCGATGCCCTCACCCTCCTACGCATCTTTGCGTCGATCCTACCAAAAGCATTTTCTGAACTTTCCACTTCCGCCCTCATGTCGACATACCCTCTCCGACCCGTTGTTTCCTGAGCTCATAGACTATTCCCCTTGCCGGTGCATGGCGTTTCATTTCCTTTGCAGCAGATACCCGTTGTGGCAGAGTACAGTTCAATTTTCTTCCGATGATCATCCCCTTGTCTGACTGTCTTGACTTTCTCTTTTTGGCATTTGCATCCTGTTCCCGGTTGAATCTTGCAGGCAAGTTCTTGCCAGACATGACATTTGATGACCTGCATATTTAAGATACCATTGTATAGTGATAGGGCAAGTGTGAACTTGCTCCGATGCACAGAACCATCAGTGTTTACCAATCTCTCACTTCGAGGGGACTAGATTAGGTTTCTGACGCTACTCTTCCTCCGCATCTATACATTCTACTTCTACTCTTGGCTCTTTTCCCCTACATCTCTGTCTTCTCCCGACCCTACGAAGTGATACCGAACAGAATCATACTATTATACAACCTAGTTGTATCTCAATCAGACTTTGATAGACAGTGCATGTCTTATACTCAAACAACTATCATTGCGAGCCCACAATTGCCTCAGGAGCGGAATCGGTCTCACTCTCGCTCAATCAACAAGCAGTTCGCGTTCAGATCGTGAATCACAACGACCTCACATCGGTCGCAATGAACGCGAATTGAATTAATCTAATACCCAGGGAATGATCTATCCTTTGCAAACTGGCATTGGACCTAAGGGATAATCAGCTCGAAGTCAAAGCCCATCACCCCGGCCTTCTATACTTCAGCATCGTTCCTGCCCTTTCCAGTATCCCGATCGGGCCTACCCCAACTGACCAGCTCGATTATTTCCCCCAGCCGTTCAGGATCCTTTTCACCTTCGCACCTCTCGTTCTTGCACCTTTCGTTCTCGCGTTCTCTCGTTCACTTCGGTGTCGCTTCGCTTCGCGTTCACGCGCAGATTTCCATCGCTCTGGTGCCACGGCGTCATGAATAGGACCGGTGGCAATCAAAAGTTGCTCCTGGGCTCTATGTGGGCCCTGGAGGAACAAGGCGTAAGTCCAGAATGCACTCTATGTTCTTATTAGCCACGGCTAACAAAGCAACCAGGTCGAAGAGCTCAAGATCACGATACGGTAAGTCAGATGGTGGCTATTCGTCCGGTCGGTGCTGACTATTTCAGTGACAAATTCCCTGGTGTTTCGCTGGAAGTCGCATACTCTAAGCATAGCCATGTAAGTCGCTTCTTTGCCCGTTCGTTCGTGGATTTGCTGACCTTTGCAGTCGCTGGTTGTGAGCGGCCAGCTCAGTCCCCTCGACGAGCAGGGTATCGCAAACCTTCTGGCAGCTTACATCGAAGAGAACCGCTCCAATTACGATGTCTTTGAGGTATGTGTTTGTACAACGCTCGTTCGGTCGCGCAGTCCTTGCCCTACTTTGGCATCTTTGTATTCCCAACCCCCGACCGTGCCGAACGGCGACTTATTGAGATTGGCTGTGTTGACATTCCTTCTTCTCAAAGATCCCCCGAGTGCGGGAACTGTTTAAGTTACCTGTCACTCTTGACCCGTCGAAATTGCCTCGGGCCAAGGTCCCAACTAGTGGAATTCTGGTGGAGGATTTGAAGCCAGAGCAAATACTCCCTGATGGCTCCTTTTATGACGACTGGCTTCCTTCCCGTATGGACTCCCGCCTAATCCCCCCCATCTCATCTTGCCTTCTGCCTTCTGTCTCCCGGCCAAGTGGTACATCCACTACAGCAATCACTGTTGGGAAGGAGCATGGCATTCGAGTCTCGGGACCAAGTAAAGGTCATATTGAGGAGGCTCTCAAGATACTCAAGTCCCTCGCGCACTGCCTGGTAAGTCTCAATGGTTCTACCATGTTAGGGCTCACTTTGCTGATCCATCTAGAACCGGATTGAATTTCCCCCCAACAAACTTATCATCTATGTTCCACACCACAAACCCGGCGTCTTTCGTATCATGCCATATGTGACCATCAGTCCAACAGCCGTGTTCCGATTTCTATCCGACCCACTATCATCCCGCACTCTGCCCTCCTTGATGAGGCTAGTGGTCTGCAAGCTTGAGACTACTATCAATGTTTGCCTACCACTGGTAAACATTCGTGACCCACCAAAAGTGGAACAGAAGCCCGACACGATCACCAGTCAGGACTGGAATGGCGTAAAGTTTCCAGAAGTTGGCACAAAGGCCATTTATGATGTCTACGAGATTGAAAAGCATGTCGAACCCAAGGTCGCTGGCTCTGCTCGAGACAAAGTTTCACCACATCCCTATCTCTCTGCGGACAAGGCGCAAGAGGTAGATACATGGATTCCAAAGGGTGGTGCCGCTGATAGCTCCCTGAAAGAGCGGGCAAGCCTCGCCGGGCATCAGAAGGAGAAGCACACAGAGGCGAATAAAGGCAGCGTGACCATGCTTCCGTCGGCTGAGGCCCGGGATCCGGTCAAGAATGTGACTGTCGCCCCTAAGTTGGTCAAGTCAATTGACAAGAAGGTGAAAACAGAACCAGCTTCGATCAAGGAAGACGTTTCTTCTTCGTCTCGCAAAGTCAATCCAAGCCCGTCCGCCGGCGCTGGTGTTCCCAATCCTCAGGGACAGTCTGCCCAACAGCTGTCCCCCGTGCTTCACAACGCCGAGAAGAAAACTACTGCTGGATTTGCTTCGGCTGAAGCCCTCCCGGGTGAGCCAAAGATGAAACCAGTCCCCGTTTCTGGAATTCTCATCGACTTCGATGACTTGGAAGTCACTCCCAAGGGTGATGAGCTTCCCCCAAGAGGCAGGCAATATCCCTCTAATGAGCTTTTATCACTGCGCCCAGACGTTCCGGAGGAAACCAAGGCCATTTCCCAAGACCACAATACCAGGCAGAGGGAGCTCATGCTTAATCGCAGGGAAGGGCGCCGGCAGTACTGGCGGCGCTCGGCCGAGTCTCATGGAAGAACTTCTTCTCATGGAACAAATACCAGCTCTGACCGCGATTCCCCGACCCCAGGTCAGCGTCAGCCAGGCTGGAAACGTGCTCACCTTCGAGCAATCATCGATGAATGTAACCGTTCTAGCTCCTCTCGTGACGCTCTCGCTATTGCCCTTCGCGACGTAAGCCCCCTTCCGGCGTCTCCCAGCCCCGGGCCCTCAGGCACTGAGGTCTCCTCTGTCGGGGAACCAGTGGGACAACAAAGAGTATCGAAGCCCAACCTACGTTCGGAGGAGCAGAAAATGGAACTTATGAAGTATCTGCAGAATACTATTGAAGAGGAACAAATTTCGAAGACTTCGCCCACTCTCTTGGGTACGCCCCAACTTGTTCCTGCCCAGACCGGTATTGAAGGGCTTCTTCTCTCCAATTCTCCTGACCGTGCCACCTCGACCAAGCATGTTAAAGACACCTTGGTCACACCTCACGGACGAAGCAGTATTCCTTCTCTCCATCCAGATCTGGCTGGTCTCTTGTTTGAGGAACCTGTGCTTACCGGTCAAACCAAGCCGCTTCAGCCTGATAATCCACCTTCTGTTCAAGCTTCCAAGACAGACGTCAGTGAAAGTGTGGCCCCCATGGAAGAGACCCAGACCAGGGAGTTCCGGAAGACAATGTTTCACCAACGCCCCGCCAATCGCAAGCCAGGCGACGCTGACGAACAGGCCAAGTCAAAGAAGGGAGTGACACCCCAGGAAGGCAAAGCCAAGGACGGCGATTCTCTTGCTGCGCAGTTCAGAGACTATTCCGAAACTGAGATTGAATCATCAGAGGAAGAACCCCCCGCTCCGAGTCAAGTTATGTCTGCTGAACAAAAGGCCCTCACTGATTCGACTCGAGACCTTTTTAATTCCCTGCGCCCAATACTTGGCAGTGTCCGCCATTTTCCCGGCCCGCTGAGTTTGGAAGTCGAGCTTGGGCTCGTATCCGTTCTCAACTTGACGACCTCGATGGTGGGACAAGAGATGAAGCTCAAGGAGGTTAACGACCTCTTCTTCTCAGCGCATGGTATGGAGCCACCAGTGACTTCTTTTTTCAATCGAGTTACTTCTTCTCCCTCGGACGTTGACCACATAATCGGTCTCGAGGTTAACCAAAAGCGTCTTTTCGAACAAAAGGCCGTTCAGCGGGGGATTAGATACAACTTCCATTGCCGTACAAACTCAGGCCTGGAGTTTGTGATCTCTCTTAACCAGGATGGTGTACCGGCTTACAGATATCCTCGTGTGCCGCTTGGTCAGGCATCTATGAGCTTCCCAGCTCAGGTTTGGGATGCCTCTGCTTCCATCAAAGGGTTTACTCGATTTTACCTGGACTGTGAGGAAGGTCTCCAAGAAGCGGTTGAAGAGATGGTAAAGAGCGTGTGGATCAACCCAGAGAGCGAGCAACTTCAGATGCTGATCCGACCTCCACCCGCGGAGATCATGAAAATCGACGTGGTTGTTATGGAGAGGCGTACGTGCCACCGCTGGATCTCAGACCAGAGCAACAACATCTTTCTCAAGGTGACTGAGAACCAGGTCTTGAAGCTGACACCTTCTATCCTCGATCCGAAGGTAGTGGTGATTCAAGCCGCGCCTTACGAAGATTTAATCTCCCAATGCAAATATTGGTGGAATGTTGCTGTTTCCAACCCTACCATCGATGCTGCCATGATGAAGACATTCAATGCTCTCACTCACGCCCCGGGCAGCTCAACTGAGGCGTGGACGGACATAGACCTTTTTGGCGAAGCTATCAAGCTACTCAACCCTTCGATCAAACTGTCAGCCCTTGGGGCCGAAATCGGACACTCCGGGATCACCATGATGTTCGAGCTGGCCAAGATTCTGGTCCAGAACCTCGACGCCATCGGATCCCACAACAAGGGCCCTGCAGCTCACGCGAAACTGGATAACGTCGTTTGGGGGGAAGGAAAGGTGAAGGATGCGCCTCAGAGCTATGTTTCGAAGCTCAACAGCATGGTGAAGTGGAAGCCCACCCCTAAGCACCAGAGCAAGAAGCACAAGTGGTAAATGCAAACGTGGATGTGGGCAGGTGGGTGGAAGAACGATATGGGATGTGGGTTTGGAGGAATGAAAGGGCTCAATTGAGCATTGTTGGATCTATTGAGGAGGGAGGGTGGGAGAAAATGTTGATTTCGAAGGAAAAAATTAAAAAAAAAAAAAAAAAAAAAAAAAAAAAAAATTTGCTGAGATATGGAAACAAAGTAGTAGTAACTAGGCAAATCTCCACTTGAAATTCTTGCTTTCTGGTCAAGGCCGTAGGTAGGAATCAAATAGTTCATGACTCTAACATTGTGGTACTGATCATGAGCTCGAGCAAGTATTGGAATCATCGAAACGTAGGTACTGGATTATGGGAGAAGCCCTAAGGGAACCACCATCTATAATGCATAAATATCTAAATCTTCATCGAGGCCTTGTGCAAGCAAGCCCTGTTCTAAACTTTTGTATCAAGGGACCCGAAAATACATGAGATTGGATCAATCGTCTTCCTCCGGGGCATCATCTACACCACGAAGCCAGGCACCTCTAGCATCGACAGCAGCCTTGCGAACGTCACGCTTAGGATCATCAAGGACCGTACGCAACGATCTCAACACCTGATTCTTGACAGGCAACAGCGGCGAAATTGCCGGCGGAGCACGGGCATTGGGGGCAGTGCCAGGTGGAGATTGGTGGGCAGCGAGAAGATGGAGACATTTCAAAGCATCTGCTCTGAGACGAGGACTGTTCACTGCACCAGGACCGTTGGAAGTGACTGTTGTTTTGAGGAGTCTTGTAACGAGACTTTGAACATGGCCACATTGGTCGATGACGACGACGCCGTTATCGCGAATGATGACGGCGAGGGTATCGAGCGTTGCGGCGCGGACGGCTGTTGAGCCGCTCGTTTGGAGATCGAGGGATTGGAGGAGAAGGGGAAGCAATGTGGGGAGTTCGGGCATTACTAGCGAGGTGGGGATTGTGGAAAGAATTCCAGATAAGGCTGTGAGGTGGGCTGGTTTGATGTGGTCTGGGGCTTTGTCGGTTACGGCTGTGTTGACTTCGCGGATGCGTGATGAGATCAGGGGGATGACGGTTGTGAAGAGACGTTGTCTGCAGAGGAGGCGGATTGTGGCTCCATTGGTTGAAGAGAGGATGTCGTCTTCGCTGAGGATGATGGCGAAGGCTTGGGCTGCTGCTACGCTGGTTTGTTGGTCTGGGGAGGAGATCAGGGCGACCAGGGAAGTCAGGATGTGGGTGGTTGTTGGAGCCAGGCGTAGGACTAGTGCCTTTGCGAGCCAGAAGATGGTGCGGATAGTCGCGTGGTTGAGAGTGTTCGGCTCTGTGCTTTGGCCCTGGAGGAGAGAGTCGAACAGTTGCTCCGCGATTGTCAAATCTTGCTTCGACAAGAACTTGTTCACGAGCAGGGCCAGGTGACGCAGGTATGATTGATGGATTGCTGGTTCGGTGCTGGACACTGAGCGATTGACCAGGTCTAGAAGCAAGGCCGACATGTCTGGGTTGATGTATGGAAGCCGGCTCCCAGATTCCTTTGACAGTCCTGCGAGCAAGTAGGTGGAGATGATGATCGTGCGCTCTTGGTCTGCGCCTGCATTTTGGTTGAATGGGACAGGCACGAACACGTCACTTGTGGCGAAGAGAGTGTAGACATTTTCAGCAACTTGCTCCTGCTTCTCGGTCGAGACAGATCGCACAAGGAGATTGCAAAGCCGACCCAAAGTATCAAGCACAGTGGGATCATTGAGAATCCCATTCTTCGCCATACCGGAAGCCGATGCTGCAACATCGCGGCACAGACCAACGACAACTTTCTCGTAGTACAGATCAATGCTCTGATCTTGCCCCATGTTCCTCTGCTGCATCACGTAGAGCATAGTAACGAGAATGGCCCGTGGGTAAGCTACAGATCCAGGCTGCTCCTTCTGCAGCAAGATAGATAGCTTGCTAAACAAGCGGCGGAAGAGGGTTTCGAAGATGTCTCTCTCAACACTGATTTGCGCAAGTGTCTCGAGTGTTGGCAGGTACAGAGCATCGGATCCTTCGTCCTCTTCGGGCAAGGTTGCCACAAAGGCCGGGAATGTGATATCAATGATCAACCTGGGCTTGTGCTTGGAGATTTCTGCAAGTGCAGCGATGGCTTCTTTCTTCAGGTCGTCGCGGCCCACAGACTCCTCCTTCAGAAGAATCTCGTCCAAGTATTGCACGAAAAGTCCAATCTCGTTGTCTTGGAAGAAGTTTCGCAGTGTCGACAGGCGCAGGAATCCCTTCAAGGCAGTGACTCGGAAGGAGACTTCCTCTTTAGCTGCTCCCATCAATACCTGGCCCAGAATCTCCGAGAGTTGATCTTTGAATTCCAACAACGGGTTATCAATAGCAGGTTCAGCTTCACGGGTGGTCCATTGACCAAATATGGTAGTCGCAGATTCAAACAGGACATTGAGGGTCTCAAGGAGGGCCTTTTGTTTAACAATGCCATCAGCCTCCTGGTATAATGTGAAAATAGGAGCAACGACGGTCTGAACGACCAGCGTGAAGGAGACTGGAGAAGCAGCCGATACACAGCTAAGGATTGACTGTGCAGGCTTGGCCTGCTTGTTCTGGGGTTCGTGCAACTGCTCGTTGCACTCCTTGGTGATCGGCTGAAGGTACTTCGCGAGGGGAAGGTCCTGCGAAACTTCCGTGACACCTTCCGACAGACGGCGTGTGATCGTTTGCAATGCTTCAAGGGAGCTCTCGGAAAGGAACTCTTCTTGAGCATTCAGGATCTCGAACTTGAGAACCTCCCAAACGGTGATGGAGAACTTGGACACTGTGTTGGGATCATATGCTTGAATACAAGCAATCAATGCATTGAGAGCATCTTTCTGTAGATACATGTCAGATATATTCAGAATCAAGAACCAGTCAAACTTACCTTGACATTAGGAGAAGTAGAGTCAAGTTTGTCCAGCAATGCGGGGATGGCATGGGGAGCAAAACGTCTCGTTGAAGCAATACAATCCTGAAGACGACCCTTCAGGTCTTGTGCGGTAATTCCATAAGGATCATTTGGTGGAGGTCGGAATGTGATTGGGAAATAATTGTATACGGAGTCAAAGAGAGTCTGTTGAGGGTTAGCCACCCAGTCCATGATGTTCAAAATCATATACATACCTCTGTGTGGTTTGAGATGTCCCATTCCACCATGACAACCTTTAAGATAGAAAACACAATCATCAGGTTTCTAGGGTCTTTCTCTCCTGTCATTATATCAACCACGCCAAGGAGAGAGATATCTCCCATGTCACGCATAGCTGCGCGGTGTGTCGACATCAAATCATTGAGCAATTCATAGACATGGAACCGCTGTGTCTGAGACCGAGACTGAAGATCTTGGAAGTTGGAGAAAAGTCTTTATCGCAGTAAGTATATGGCACGGCAGCGCAAAGTTTGGGATAACTTACGCTTCTGCTACCTGAGTAGCCAGGTACTTGTTGAACCTATCCAGGCTCTGCAAGACCTTCAGTCCAGCGACAGCACCTCCATCTTCAATTCGATCACAGAAGAAAGTAGTCAAAACTTGGATCTGTTGTCTCGTGAGGTACTTCTGCGAAAGGGCCGAGATAACGGCTGTCAGGTAGGAGATAGCTTTTCCGCGCAGGATCGGGTCCTCGTCGTTGATATATTCCCCAAGCGATTGCACGGTATCAATCAAGGTGGCTTTCTTGGTCTCGATATCTACAGTCACTTCGTTTAGTAATGCAGTGCTTCAAGTGGTCTCGAGTGCGGGGCGAAGCTGCATACCATTTGCAATTCCCTCGGCAATTCGCTTGGCTTCCTCTTTGTCGTGGTCGACGACCAGCATGAAGGTCTGCAAGGCCGACATGATATCAATTAATTAACCAGGACCTGGCGTGTTAGATGGCGGGCAAGAGTCACGTCGGCCGATGGATTTCTTGTGGCCCTTATCGATAACAATCAGGTGATCCGAATCTCCCCACGTCACGTGTGGGGTCTTGCCATGACGCAACCGTCGTACATTCAGCTGTGCCCAGCAAGATGACCCTAACACGCAGCATGAGAGTGAACCAACTAACCACATATACCATATATACTTTCATCTTCGTTAGTTCGACGCTTGCCATCTGGGATCCGACGTCAATCCTCCCCTCACGTCAACAACGACTCCTTGAGCACCAAGAGCGTCAGGCAATGTTGGACAAGATGTTGTCTGGGATCGTCCGGCCACAGCAAACAGCGCCAGAGGAGGACGTGAGCTCCAACAGCAATGATAGCCCTATTATCTCAGATGTGCTGCCGAAGACCAAGGCCATCAACACCTTTGCACGTTTGACCCGTGACTTTGACGCAATCGCCAGTCGACTCAACGACGGCTCCAAAAACATGACAGTTCTTGCACCCCGCAACAGTGCGATCCAGAATCTTCCCCGAAAGCCTTGGGAAAATCCAGCAGACTATGAGAAGTTCGGTGAGGTAAATGCGTATGAAGGCTCAGACGGTCAGGACCGGGCAAAGCGTAATCTACAACGATTTGTCGAAGCCCATCTCATTCCTGTCAGCCCTTGGAGAGTTGGAGAGGAAGTGGAGACACTCGCAGGGGAGAAGCTGAAGTGGACCAAAGAGGGTGACAAGATGTTTGTGAGTTTGAATTGCAAATGATTCCTGCCACGGCTGACAGGGCATTCGTAGATCCAACCTGGCAATATCGAAGTCGATTCGGTTGCAGAGAAGGTTCACAATGGCGAAATTTGGGTGTTGAACGATGTGATCAACTACCGCCAGGGCTGAATTGATTTAGGATTATGAAATATTATGGATCATGAATTGGAACGAGCACGGAGTCGATCATTCACGTAGATCTATAGGATCCCGGTCTTTCGGAAATCGATCTTTGTGTTTTATAGTAGTATGAAGCCCAGAGATTAACCAAGAAATACCTAGTATGTACACCAATATCTAAATTTCCAGACATGAGATGCAATTTCCAAGGTTAGATTCCAGCAGGAGCAAAGTTCTGCAAAATTCGTTCCTCGACACCTTCCAAAATGCAGAAGTGCTCCATGACTTCCAAGTTCTCTGCCTCGTTCAAGTACAGCTTGTCGGGGTCTTGGCCGGGTTGCAATGGGTTGACCATTGCGGCGGGATTGGCCATTCCCATTTGCTGGGCCATTTGGTTGGCAGCTGTCAACAATTAGCTTTTTCTAACTTATTTATGATATTCGAACAATGCATACCGTTGTCGCTGCCGAGGATGAATCCAAAAACGGACTGCAAGCCCATCAAGTTGAGGAAGTACCAAGAAAGACTGGAAACCCACTGCACATCCAGATCACGAGTCATGACACCAGACTGCAGCATGGACTTGAAACGAATAGTAAGGGGGAAAGGCAATTTCACTGCAAAACGTGTCAGTCCGTCACTCACGCAAGAGGCGCAATTTTACATACAGATCACGAATCCGGAGAAGAAGGCATTGATCCAGCTCATGATCAAGGTCTGCGGAATCATCATCATCATGTTTCCCTTCAGCATGCCCATCATAGCTTCCATGCCGGCAGGGTCCGTCATAGGGTTGGCGGGCGGCTGACCCCGGTTATTGGGGTCCTTCAAAAATGCACCGCTGCGGAACCCCGAGATCATGTAGTTCTTGCGGGTCTCGAAGGACTCGCGGTCGAGCACGGAGCAGGCATTGTTCCGGAGGTTCACGCCACGGAGGAGAGCAAGGCGCTCGCGGGATTCGGCGAGAGTGGCTGGCGACTTGGGCATGTTGTTCATAAGGACTGTCGCATAGTGGCGGAGGATTCCGGTCAGGATCTGGAACGGCCAGGTTAGTTTTTGTATATCTACAGGTATAGATGCGATGTTTAAGAGTCACCGTACCATAACAATTGAGATCGGGAAGAGAATCCAATAGCTTTAGGTGAATAGTCAGTTTCCGCGTCAAACCGATCAGTCAGGCTCTCTCACAATAGCGCCGGATCCCGCAGGATGGTTTGCTCTGCCCCTTGAATAGCCATGATCGAGTACAAAATCACAGCCGTGGGCTTCTGGAGTGTTGGCTGCAGGTGGGGGAATGTGAAGTTGAAGGGGCGAAGGAGAGGTTGAGGCGGAGAGGGCTGTCATTGGCCCGCGCTAGCTCCAGCTTTCTCCAAAGGGCCACGCCGCATCTTCGACAAACAGTCCTTGTCTCTCGATGCACGCGCAACTCTTTGATATTTGCGAGTTTTTCACTTCATATTCTTGATCACCACTCCCATGGCGTCCAACAAAGTCCCGGTCTACTCGACCAATGGTGTGTAACCCCGATCTCCAACTCTATACAACACGTCTGACCTGAATCGTGATTAGATCTCAAGTCTACCAGCGATGATGCGCTTCTGCCTTACTTGACCAATCTCCCTGCTCCTTATACCTTCACGCCAGACTATTCGAAAACGAACATCCGTTTCGTAGTTGGATACAGCGCTGTCGCAATCGCCGGCTTCACATTCTATGCAGACCGCACCCTCGGCTGGGAGGCAACAACATCTCCTTGGATCATTGCCTCTGTCGCAGCGTACTTTATTTTGAACACTTTCCTTACATATTGGATCTGGGCTGTCGAGGCTGGCGAGGTATACACTGGAAAGAGAAAGACGGGCGAGACGGTATGTCCATTGGTCTATTGCGCCCATCGGGGCACTTGTTTGAAGACAAAGGCTAACGAATAAGTACAGATATCCGTGTCATCATCTGCTCAGAAGTTTTCCAGCATTTACAAGCTGCACGTCGTTTATAAATCTCCCTCTGGGAAAGTTCTACAGGACAAGCGATACGAGGCACCCTTCGCCACTTGGTTCTCGGCGGAAGGCGTATTCCACCCTGAGCCTTTCCGTCAATGGGTTGCCAGCGAGGTTGATGTTCTCAGATTGGCAGCCAAGCAGGGTGAAAAGAAGTCGGGTTGATATGCGTAGTGTGTATTTTTCATGGCCGAAAGCCCTGTACTGAGGTAGACTCATCTCCTTCCGAATATTGGCCCATCAGATAGCATTTTGTCACAAATTTCAGGGTCGTTCTGTTATTGTCAATTGCCCCTACATAGTGCAAATATCAAATTGCCTAGTCTATAGTATGCCCTGTTGAGCAGCCTTTGTAAACAGCATGCATTAGACACGGGATCCACGAAGCCATGTCCTAATCTCACTCTTCCAGCATGGAAATATTACTATTCAGACTTGGAAAATAGAATGCATACTAAGTAGAATAAGCGTTCATCGTGGACTCGAGGTCTATAGAGCCCCAGGGACGTTTCATGGGCTCTAAAACTACAATTTGAACGAATATATCAAGCAGAAAGGTAATGGAACGTGAAGTTTCAGAGTATATCGTAATGGCTAATAACAAACATAATATCTATAGGAATTTTTACGGCACGGCCAGCTTACTATACATAGCCATGGACACCAATCAAGTCTATAGGGGACAGACGACTTAGGAAGCAGCCTCGAGGGTGCCGGGACGTTCTGTGGCCTCGGCGGGCTTGACATCATCCATACGCTTGTTTTGGATGAGTCTCTTTAGAAACGGTTAGTGGGACGTCGCAGTGGGCCCGGGGAGTAAGCGATAAACATACCAGTAGGTTGCGCAGGAGAACAACAATAGTAACCTTTCCAATGGAAGGAACGAAAAGAGAGGCCTTGTCACGGACCTCCCATGGGAAGTTCTGAAGAATGGTCAACGAGCAATTCCAAGACATCATAGATAATATACATACCTTCTCGCTGGAGAAGTTGACACAGACAGCACCGTCCCGCAGCAGGCTAGTGTCAAACTTGTAGTTCTCACCAGGAACACCGGTGATGACAACATCACAGAGAGGGGCAACATCCTTGATGGTCTTGCCCTCAAGATCGTGGATCTCATGTGTCTTCTTCTGCAATCCCTCGCCACGGGTGAACTTCTGCACACCGGTGACATCAACACTGTAAACACAAGCACCGTCATTAGCCAGCAGGGCAGCAAGTGGCCGGCCAACGACCTCGGAGCGGTTCACGACGCAAATGGTGTGGCCGAACAAGCGGTTTCCATAGGGCAGAATGGTGTTATAGATGTTAAGGTACTCGAGGATCTTGATGTTGGCCAGCGGGGTGCAGGGCAGAATGGACTTCTGACGCTTAGCCTCGCCGTCGAGGAAGCGGACGTTCTGGTACATGTTGAAGATGTAGCGGTGGCTCAGACCCTCGACATCCTTGGTCACGTCAACAATCTGCTGCAGGTATTGGTCCTGGCGGTTGTTGAAGATCGGGTAGTAGACGATGATTCCGTCGACGTTGTTGTCGGCGTTGGCGGCGAGGATGGCTTCTTCGATGTCGTCGCGGGACACCTCGCGCATGGAGTACTTGAATCCACTGCATTTTGTTAGTATTGTATTGGACTCGACATTGAGCTTGGCTTGGCTTCTGGTTGAGATGTTCTTTTTTTTTTCTTGCGCGGCCGTGGGGTATGAATCATAGTAACCCCACCATACATCCCACCAAGGAAGCCATTGATGAAGCCATTGACGCCGGGGAACATCGAAATTGGGCATATACTCACTTCTCCTCGCAGGTCTTCTGTGTCATCTGCGCGTAGGTCAAGGCGGCGGGGTCATTGTTGGCCAGCAAACCGACGAGGTGAGGCGGCTTCTCGAGGGTCTTGAGGCCTTCGTGGACTTCGGCGAGGAGGCGGTTGGCAACGTTCTTGCTCAACATCACCTTGCAGGAAGAAGGAGGCTTTTCTGTAGGGGCGGACATGGTGACTAGATTGCACTGTATACTCTGGAGAAATGAGGTTATTGGCGCGAGGGAGTCAATGTCGATTTTGGCGGGAAAAAGATCGTTCGCTTATCGATAACAGATCGGATGCCGTTTTCGGCCGCCCCTGCCGATGTCGTCCTTGCAACATGCAGAGTACAGGGGAAAGACATTTATAGATCAATTGATGTAAAGTAATTTCCATTTAGGCAAGGTATTCATTCGATGTATGGGGTAGAAGGTTGTATGTGAGGTATAGACCGCAATACAAGCCACCGTCAGTATCAGTGTAGATATTGGACTTCAACGGGACAACGTTACCTGAGAGAGCAGATTGAGAATATGGAAAGTAGACAAGGAAGCAATAAGGAGAGCCCAAGAAAATACAGGTGTAAATATAGTCGAATTTGGGATAACATGATCAAGGTCTCGAGTGTTGTTCTTGACCTACGGAATCAACACAGCTGAAAGACAGGTTGACGAACTACTGCATACGAAGGGAAGATTCAATTACACCAAATTGAAACAAATGAAAATGAATTGCGGTCCACTGGAGAGCATAGGAGACCAGACGGAATTAGAGCGGTATCCTCCCATCTCGCGCCCCTGCGCGGATAAAATCTAAACGTACAGGATATAATCACATTTTGACAGCTCACGTCTTTTAGTTCTAGCTCATAGCAGCGCTACGTGATATCCACGGTCCGCCCCAGGATCATGCAGACAATTACATCGCTACATCCAGAGGGCAGACAACTAGGACGTCCATTCAAGCACCGGCAAGGAAGAACAGAAAAACAAATGGGCTCAAAATTGTACAGGCTATCTTGTCTATACACATATAGTCAAGAAAACAAAGCCGACCACGGGGGATCATCCGAGTAATTTCTTCACTTATGCGTTGAAGGTGGAGTTGAAGTCGCTGATGACCTTCTTGAGGTTGGCCTCGGACTCCTTGGTGACCTGGCCATCCTTCTCGATGGTGGACTGGATCTCGGGGTGGGAGCTCTTGAGGTGAGCAAGGAGGTCAGACTCCCAGGTGAGGATCTTGTCGACGGGGATGGTGTCGAGGAGACCGTTGACACCGGCAAAGATCAGGGGAACCATGTCGGAAACGGCCATGGGGGAGTACTGCTTCTGCTTGAGGAGCTCGGTCAGACGCTCACCACGGGCAAGGGTCTGCTTGGTGGAGGCATCAAGATCGGAACCGAACTGGGCGAAGGCAGCGACCTCACGGTACTGAGCAAGGAAAAGCTTCAGGGAACCGGCGACCTGCTTCATGGCCTTGACCTGGGCGGCGGAACCGACACGGGAGACGGACAGACCGACGTTGATGGCGGGACGGATACCCTTGTAGAAGAGCTCAGACTCCAAGAAGATCTGACCGTCAGTGATGGAAATGACGTTGGTGGGAATGTAAGCGGACACATCACCACCCTGGGTCTCAATGACGGGAAGGGCAGTGAGGGAACCACCACCGTGGGTCTTGTTCATCTTGGCGGAACGCTCGAGGAGACGAGAGTGCAGGTAGAAAACGTCACCGGGGTAGGCCTCACGTCCAGGGGGACGACGGAGGAGGAGGGACATCTGACGGTAGGCAACGGCCTGCTTGGACAGATCGTCGTAGATGATGACGGCGTGGCGGCCGTTGTCACGGAACCACTCACCCATGGCGGTACCAGTGAAGGGAGCAATGTACTGCAGGGGGGCGGCCTCGGAGGCGGTGGCAGCGACGACGACGGAGTACTTCATGGCATCCTGCTCCTCAAGGGTCTTGACGAGCTGAGCGACGGTGGAACGCTTCTGACCGACGGCAACGTAGATACAGTACAGCTTCTGCTCCTCGGAGGCGTTGGCGTTGTTCCAACGCTTCTGGTTGAGCATGGTGTCGAGAGCGACAGCGGTCTTACCGGTCTGACGGTCACCGATGATCAACTCACGCTGACCACGACCGATGGGAACCATGGAGTCGACACACTTCATACCAGTCTGGACGGGCTGGTTGACGGACTGACGGGGCAGAATACCGGGGGCCTTAAGCTGGGCACGGCGGTTCTCCTTGGTGTTAAGGGGACCCTTTCCGTCAATGGGGTTACCGAGACCGTCGACAACACGGCCGAGCAGCTCAGGGCCGACGGGGACATCGACCTGGGTAGGGGGTTAGTGACGGTTTCCTTGGGGTTCATGGCGTTGGGGGCCAATATCAGAATGGGACCCCCTGGGGGAATGGGCTTACAATCTCGCCGGTACGCTTGACGGTCTCACCCTCACGGACGAGACGGTCGGAACCGAAAAGCACAACACCGACCTGGCCGGCCTCGAGGTTCATGCACATACCCTTAACGCCGGAGGCGAACCTGGAGATGGGTTAGTTTTCCGGTGTTGGGGATGCCAAGACTTTGGGGGTTCACATACTCGACCAGCTCCTCAGCCTGGACGTTGGTCATACCGTGAACACGGGCGATACCATCACTATTCAAAAGCTCGATCAGTTTTTCGTTCGATAAAGTGCCGGAATTTGGTAGATGATGGCGGATTCGATGGGGTTGTTGACGGGGACCGAATTTTTCTTCGCGCCCCTAGCCGCCCAGGGTGAAGGTGACATACCCGACCGACAGAACACGACCGGTCTCGGCGAGACCAGCCTCCTCAGAGACACCACGGATGCGCTGCTCAAGGATGGAAGAGACCTCAGTGGGCTGGGCCTTGGCCTCGGAAGCGTAGGAGCGAACGCCGTTGAGAGGACCGGCAGCAGCCGCGCGGACCTGGGAACGAAAAACTTGTCAATGACCATCACATACAAGGACAACGTGTCCTAGAGGTGTCTTAAATGTCGAAGTCGGGGTAGGATGGTATCTGAGCACTGATCGAGCTCAGGTTTGAGATGAACGATGTCGGAATGGCGATGGACGAAGTCGGCTGGGATGGGATGGACTCACCGAGGCGATGCGGCCAGTGGCCGAGACGGCCGCAACGGAGCGGCTTGAGGACCGCAGAGCGTTTCTGAACATTGTGAAAGGTGGTTCAGAGGATGGGAGGATGAATTCTCTGAGGGAGAGATGTAATTGGGGAGAGAGAACGGGAGAGGAGAGAGGATTGTGGACGGGAGAGCTTTGTCGTCGGGGGGAGGATTGGATTCTCAGGACTTGCGCTAAGCCGTTTCGGACACTGGGTCCTCCGAGGTGGCCCTAGCCTGAGGCCACCTCTCCTCTGTTTGGCTTCACTCTGCTTTTCTACAGTTTTTTTCTTTTTAATTATTGTTCTACTCCTACTTTTTCTTCACATATTAAAAAAAAGAGCTCCGTAAACTGACAGACTGAGGCCCTTTGCTTCATAGCCGACCGGAACAGGGAGTCCACCCTCGTCCCGTTTTTTTCTCTTCTCGGATCGGCGGAATTCCTGGTCAGGTGAATCGCTTATGTCATGGCCTTCGTCACGGCAACCATTTCTATACTTCCAACCTTGGGAGCTCTAACTATGCAGACTAGCTATTGTATACTTTGTCCTTTTGCCTGCTTAGGCCGTTGGAACAACTCAATCGAATGGTTGCATGTGAAACCAAATACACCTCAAATTGGAAAGCAATCGCTCTGCTAATGGAATCAACGGAAAAGAAAATACAGAATTGAAGCTTCCTCAAGCTGCAATTCTCGGGCACCTGTGCAAGACACTTGCTGCAAGAGCTACGGAGTACTGACATAGCAAACGATCCCCTTGCGCCCTGCACCTGCACCTGCACCCTACTGCTTCTCCTTGCCCTCGCTCTCCTTCCGCTGCTTTCGGAACTTCTCAATTTCCACCTGAACACCCTTGTCGAAGCGCTCCTTCAGCTCTGGCCGGTACCCAAAGAAGAACAAAATTTCCATCCAGACGAATAGCGGGGCCAGTAACAAAGCTTGGACCAGGTTATCCAGGAGGGCGGGAGCGCGCTTCTCGAACGCGCCATGGCCGACAAATTGCGCCAGCCATGAGACAACGTGGATGCCACCGGCCCAGTAATTCACGATCGGGCCGTGCGTGCTCAGGAATTGGTTTCCGTAGTACGCCGCTGCGATCAGGGCGGGCGCTAGCAGGGCGCCGGCCATCGGCTCGAGGAGGATGTAGAAGGTCGCATAGATAATCGCGCCAATGGTGCCGGCGTTGGCGGGAAGGTTAGCGACTTCGATTGCGGATGGGACCGGGAAGAGAGGTGGGCAGTTGCAGGCCTGATGGGTCAGCTTCTTTATCTGGGGCCGTGGGCAGCGTGCCGTACAAGAACAATGCCAGTGACTAGCAGGATCGGAACACAAGTAATGTGAATCGCGACATTGACCTGGACTGTCAGTACATATGGGATATCATGCAGTAGGCGACTCGAACCGGATTGTTGTGGTAGGCTCCGTACTGGGTAAGAGTTAGCGATCGTCCCGTGTCATCATGCAGATGGGCTCACAAAAAGTAGCTGCTTCTCGAGATTAAGCGCCATTTCTGAGGTCCGGAAGAGTCAAAAGTCTGGGGAATATGGCGGGGGATAAAATGCGATCATACAATTGGGAAGACAATTATATTAAATCATGTGCTGAATGCCGAGGATGTGCCAGTCTTGGCGTCATCTTTTATATCCGACTCAATTCCTCTTCCTACTACTAGGTAGTACTACCTACCCCAGATTTGACCCGATCAACTTCGGATTGAAGTAACTCTCTGACAACTAACGGCTGGAACAATGTGTCATTTACTTGCTGTGCAGTTTACTCGCACTTCTCTTCCAAGGCTTTAACTAGCTTCCAAGGATGGACGGATACTATAAGCAAGATTTCACGGCCCTGGTTTCAAGGCCATGATCCTTATGGCTCCAGTAGATATCTAGGAAAACCTCATTAGTTTTGTGGCGCAATCTGTCTCCTGGGCAGACCTTGCAGAAGAATATTACGTGGTTATTATCTGTTGCATCTGAACTTGTACTCATATGAGCTTCGTACTCTGTCCATGCCATTCAGCCGTTTGCTTTCGGTGAACTTGTGGGTGTGTTTCTGCCTTGGAAACATTTCTTTTTCGACTTATATATCTCGACTGTGCTTCAATCTGTGGTCCCGGGGGCTTGGTGGTAGAGTGAGAAGTTAATTGTACCTTTGAGAACAGTTTGCTAGATGTATATATGGTTGTCAGATGTTCTGTAAGCTTGACGCGAAACCACAGCACTTGGAATGAGGAATATTGTTCATGGAAGAAGAAACATTGGAAGGACATGCGAATAGAAGTAAATCATTTGACTAAAAAAAGTTGCTATTTTGGAGATTCCTGCTAGTTTTACCAAATGCCATGGGCATCTATACAAGGAAAGTTGACGGATTGTAGCATGCGATACATTGGCTCTCCAAAACACGCGGCTCTTCCCAAGTGAAAATTATACATTAAAGAAGATTGCAGGATATTACGAACATCATATCCAAGATCAATCTACAAACTAACCACAAAGCTGAGAAGCCTTCGTCGAGAGCCAACCCCTCACGTGACTCAAACCAACCAAACTTGGCCCGTCGGTCCAGCGATGCTCTTACGAAGGGAAAGCTTGCGCCTGCAGCATTTGTATCTGCCTCATCGCCTTATTTACAGGGCAGATACACTCTCTGCTCAACCTCCAGTTTCCAGGATCTCCCTCGCTCATTCCCGACGGCGACAACCTGCCTGAGCCTCACCGCTGCAGGTCATGAGCTCGTCGAACACGCCGTCCCTCGACCTCGATTGACATCACTTCTTTGAAAGAGACTACCGTCCATCGGACCTTCCACCCACACAGCGAGATTCGCGCACTCTCTCCCTCCCGCGACAATGTTCTTTCTCAAAGAAGAGACCAAGGTCATCGCCATGCACCCGTCCTACTTTGGGCCCAACATGCGAGAGTACCTGATCGGCCGCCTCAACGAGGAGGAAGAAGGCCGGTGTACCGGTGATCACTTTGTGATCTGTGTCATGGACATGGTTGATATTGGCGAGGGGCGGGTGATGCCTGGAATTGGTCAAGCGGAATACACCATCCGATACCGTGCGATTATTTGGAAGCCGTTCCGTGGCGAGACGGTATGAGCGTGAACTGGGAGGTGGTTCAGAGCCATGGCTAACAGCGCTCAGGTCGATGCAATCGTTACCTCCGTCAAGCCTACGGGCATCTTCACCCTGGCGGGCCCGTTATCCGTCTTCATTGCGCGCAAGGTTTGTACTGGACTGCTCCGTGGGAGACTGACAGATTGTTGACTATCGAACCAGAACATCCCCTCCGATATCAAATGGGAACCCAATACCGTGCCGCCACAGTATACTGACCATGCCGACCAAGTGATTGAGAAGGGAACCAGTCTGCGGCTGAAAATCCTCGGTGTGAAACCGGACGTGGCTGCGATCAACGCCATCGGCACCATTAAGGAGGATTATCTTGGGTAAGTCTGCAGAGCCCCGTATGCCAGCCGATGCTAACCTGAAGTGTCGCAGACCTTTGTAATGAGACACGATTGCAACACATACCCAACTTCAATACGATTATGTACGATGCCATTTACCGCTCCAAGGATACGAGTACTTTGGACCGGCATTGCTACACCAAAAAGAACCGGCCGGACATGGAGATAATACGCTACATATGCCCATCTCCCTGGCGAATGATAGACTTGCAGCGTTCGGACAGACTCAATGCGATCCAGTCCAGTATTCGGACATTGCAGACCCGAGCTGAAAGGGTCAGAGATCGGCGTAAACCACCCTTGTACCATACAGAGACCAATGGATATGCCCCTTGTGCCATACCGGAGAAGCCATGTAAAGTTTAAATCGTATACATTGCCCTGTGCATAGAATGCATGTACTCAATACTCCAATGGAGTATGTACTACAGTATGTGCTATGCACAGTTGCTGGAGAGACATTCGAAACTCGATAGCCTAGGCCTCGGCTGGGGGGCCACTCTGAAACACTGGCGTGTTTTTCAGTCCCCCGTGCGCGGGTTTCGAGGCTGTGGTATTTACATGTTGTATGCAAGGTACCGTGTACTAAGTGGTGCTAGCGGAGCCCCTGTGTGGGAGGTATTCGGTACGTTGTATATCGTGTACTCCGTAAGTTGCCAATCTCTTTCTCTTGTAAAACCCCCGGCCCGCTTCTAGGCCTCTTTCATTCTCCCTTCTTCTTGTTGTCTCACCCCTGCAACTGCGATGTCATACTACAAGACCGAGTACCAGCGGTTCCTGGCGAACCCCAAGTCCGCCAAATTGGCCGGTGATGTGTCTCTGATCTACGTGCCCACCACCACCAAGTTCGATCAACCCGACAATGTGATCACTCATGTCGTGAAGCAAAGCCAGATCGTCAAGACCCGATCCCACACCGTCATCAGTGCCATTGAAGGCTCCGACGCGCTATGCCTGGACATGGAGACTACTCTGGAGTTCCGCGAGGGAGGCGGGGCCTATCTCCCCTCGTTGGACGATAATTTCCTGGCCGACCGCGTCGTCACCTTCCCCACGGTAAATTCCCCGAGATCGCGCATTGCCCGATCGACGCTAATGCAGGCAGATTCACATTGTCCACTTCGACTCTGAGCAGCAGATCAAACAAATTCGCATCCATTGGGACCAGGCTTCCCTGCTGAGACAAGTGGAGGTCATCGGCGCACGGGGTCGTGCCTGGCCTATTCGTGATGGAAAGGACCAGATTCGTCTCCTCAAGGCCTCCGCTAGTGCCTGCTCGACGGCAGCTGTTCCAGCGCCGGCCCCAGTGGCCAAACCCCGCACGCGCTCCTCTTCCCCGCAAAAGCGCTATACCAAAGATCCCTATGCCGCCGAATCCTTGACTGAGCTACTGTCGCCCAGCAAGGAAATGGCAGAGCTCGAAGCTCGCGCAGAGCCCCCTAAGCCCACATCCTCCGCCAAGAAGTACACCCAAGATCCGTACGGAGCGGGATCACTCAACGAGATCCTATCGCCTAGCAAGAAGCCTCCAGCTCCTATTGCGCCTTTCGCCCCAAGTTCGAGTCGCCCAGCCACGCGCAACTTTAGTGATATCTTCGTGAAAGACGATGATGTCCCCGACTCGCCCTCGAGATCGCAGCGCCGCGCACCCCGAGAGCCCCAAGAAGAAAAGGGTCGCCTTGGACCTGTCGACGAAGATCGTCACTTCTACAAGACCATCGAGGGCAAGTTCAGCCATTTCGAGATCGGCGGTGACTACCCCGAACAGGAGGAGAAGCCTGCACCCAAGCACGCGAACTCATACCACGCCTCCAAGTGGGGGTTCGATGACTTCACCACCCCAACCAAGGCCACCCGCCCTCCCCGCGGCGAGGAAGTCCGACACTTCGATCTCAGCGAGGACGAGGGCCCAGAAGAGCTGAATGTCGCTAAGCCCCGCCGCGATGCCGAGCGCCACTTCGAATTAACCGACGACGAAGAAGACGAAGGCCGCATCATCAGCTCATTCGGTGGTCGTGGCCAACGTCTCTATGACAACCGTCTTTTCGAAGGCACCGAAGGCCCCGAGCTGAGCGAGCGCGAGAAGAAAAACCAGCCGCTGGCCGTCACCGGAAACAACAAGAACCGCGACAGGAACTTCGTTTCTCAGTTCGAGATTGTTGACGACTCGCCTATTTCCAAGGAAAACTCCAAGCCCATCGCCAAGCACGAGAAGGCCAATCAGATGATGGAGTCTCACTGGGATAACTATGACGAGACACCCCAGCCTAAGCGCAATGCTACTGCTACTGCGTTGCACAACCCGCTTAAGCACAACCAGCCCAGCTGGAGCCTTGGTGATGAGTAGGCTCTAGTGTGTGAGGCCTGTCTACTATACGGCCGACTGACGAGCGATATGTATCGATACCCGCATCACTTGGACGTCCAATATGCAACATTACAGAACGAGCGGCCGGATGAGTGTCTGGCCCGCATGTACCACCTTTTCTATTCTTGTCTATTTTCGTTATGCGTCGGGTGTCTTGGATTCCCTTGTTTCAATTATTGTACAAGTTATTATTATTTTTTTAGAGAATGGCGTGGTAATCAACTGTACGATGTTCTACTTGCAAGTCGAATATAACCAGCATGACCTCGGAGCGCTTAGGATGTAAACAGCGTAGCAGCTTAAACTTTCGACATTAGGCGCTCCCCCGGAGCCGCACTTCACGGTTGGTTTCCAGGGCTGAGCTATGCCTCCAAGTGGCAGCTGAGAATCATTCCAAGGTTGTGCATTTCAATTAATTCGATATTGATAAAGGAACCAAGTAAACAAAACCAGCCATTTGAATCCAATTCCAGGCTTGCCGACAAACAAGATCAAAGCCGGTCCCCGCAAAGTCTATAGACCTTTCTTTTCCACAGCCCCAGAATCAGTATTCGGCTGATTCAGGTAAGTATCTACATCCCTAGACATTCGCTCAACATGCGGATTCACATAACGTGCATATGACCAAGCCGCTAGAAGCACCGCAGCATAGGAAAGTATCCCAGAAGCAATCCAGCTCAACGTAAACGAATACCAACTTTGATGAGCCTCCCAAGATCCAGGCCATTCTCGATGTTCCTGGAGACGCCAGATACAATCCCGGAGAGGGCAACGGATAATCTGATAAATCGGTACATGTACAAGATATATCGAAAAAGAGTATCGTCCGAGATACTGGAAGGGTCGCAGGGTGAAAATCCATTGAAGCCTAGGACTTTGCATAAGGACCGAGAACAGCAAGACCGCACCAAGAGAATGCCAACAATGTCTCGCATTTGTCCAGCCATAGCGTGACCACAGCCGTGGTTGTGCGAGTTCCAAAACGCGGAAGTCAGGAGGATACCCATTGTCGTTGCTGTTGAGCGAACCCACGTACGCCGCCAGGGCGAAGCGCAGGGTATAGCTGACGATCCCGCGGAGAATTCGGGGCTGGTATCCTGTGCGTTTGTCGAGGGCGCTGATCTGGGCAAAGGTAAGGCCGGCCAGGATGCTGAATGCGTCCCAGATTCCATACCAGAGAGTGTGCGCCTGTAAGAGGGCCAGAAACCATAGTCTCGCGTGGGGTTTCCATGTGGCCTGCAGAATGATCAAAAGATAGACAGTGAATGATCCACGTAGATCAAGTGGGATTGTCCAAAGTTGCTGGCTTAGTCCATGATTGTACTGGAACTGAAAGAGTTGCAAATTATCCGACACATATCTGCAAAGATATTTCAAATGACTCCACGGTGAAGTCCAAGGCTGGAGACCAGGCGCAGAACCTTCTGGTAGAGATCGAATAAAAAGATCGCAGAAATAGATGATCTGACAGAAAACGGCCAGTCCTATCAGAGGTAGCATGAGACGGACGAAGCGGCGGACAGCCGAGGATCGCAGGCGATCGACGAACTGTTCGGACTGCTTGTCTCTAAGCTCTAGCAGACCACTTGCCATTGAGTATCCGGATATCACATAGAACAATGGAACCATGACGTTCATGGACCAAAGCAAGTTTATCGGAGGAAGTTGATAGAGTCGTTGGTTATCTTTGAGCGGTTCTGTCCAATATGTGCGAAAAGGCGTGGAAAAGTCGCCATTGAAATAATGACCAGAAGCAACTATAGCCGCTGCCACCCCTCGTAGGCCATCGATCCATTTGACTCTGGGCATGTTTGTGGTGGTGTGGTTCCCAATATCTGTAGACGATGGGTGGAGGAGGGTTGTAAAGGAACAAGAAACGACAGAACAGCACCTGGGCATTGGCTCAGCTTCCACGTGATGAAAGGTACAGAGAACAAGAGCTGACGTCTATAACACATAGTTCTACATGGACTATGTTACTCGAAAGTACATGGGCGTACTCCGTACGGTATTCTGAGCCGAGCTAGTACACGGGCGTAGTCTCAACCATAAGGCATTGAGAATCTCATTCTACTCCATATATTCGTTCATATCTATCGTTACCTTTTCTTCTAATTTCCAAACGATGTACCTACTTCGGGGCATCACAAGTCCTTCTCTCGACCTCCATAATTCCCAATCGAGTTGCGTTCCTGACTATCTAGGTCTTCTTGATCACATCGAATCCCTTCGGGGGCATCAGCACCACTGAGAAGAACAGCACAATATGTACCAAATTCACGATTGGCTGGGTGATGACTGAAATGACCACATGCAAAACCATAGATGTCAATGACTGGTTCACGATACTCAAATCCTGTAAAACACAAGCAGACATGAGCACGTGCAAACCAGCAGCATCATTGAGTATCACAATGTCCCTGAACCAAGCAGGGACCGCTGGTTTCTGCCAAAGGAAACCGATCGTTGGGCTGCAAGTATGATTAGGTTCAGCTTTCAGCAAAATCAATATTTACCTACTATATCAATGTTCCGATCCCAGCAAAGACCCCCAGGGTTAGGGCTAGACCTGCAATAGGCTGTTCAAAGCGAAAGATACCGGTGAACCAGCGTCGGCGCTGTTTGCATAGATCTTTGAATGTGCAAGGTGGCTGTTCTCGGAAAATACCATGAAGCCATTCGAATTTATATCCAAGTCGTGCAGCCTAAGATCCGAACCCGTTAGATCATCCCTTGTTGGGCTCTGAGTCTGGGAAACTCACATGGAATCCAAACCAGTAGTCCTCGCACACATTGTCGGTATCCCACCCAATCGCATTCTCTACTGCGCCGTTTATGAGGAGCCAGGAGCCATGGGTCCATCCCAAGAATGGGCGCCGGAACAGTAACAGAGGTAATTGGAATCGCCCGAAGTCTTCAGCCACTCTGTTCACTTCGGCAGCGGATAGCAGTAGACTAGTCCAGTGGTTAGATGCGGTGTAGTATATCGTTCCCTGTGTAGGTAATGTCAGAAATAGCTCTTCGTGGATTTGAGAATCATCATACCATTCCAAGATCCGCTGTGCCTCTCTCAATGAAGTCCAAGGTCGTCTGCAATGCCCGATCATCCATTTCAGACTCTTCGTCTAGATGCAGAACCCAATCTTCTTTTGAAAACTTGTACTTGAGCCGGAAATACTCCTGGGCCCTAGCTTTGTACTTTGCTTTCTTTACCGAGAAACTCTTGGGCACTTGATCAACAATGACATATGATGGGAGTTGCTGTTCCAGTTCTTCGGAGCTCTCACTGTCAACGAGGACGTGAAACTTGACCGACGGGTTGTCTCGCTGTGACAGACTATCCCAACATCTTGCCGAGTTGACCGCTGTTGATACATTAGTGCCTTTCGTCACAAGGCAGACACGGAGCGTCCCCAGTCGTCGAGTTCTTGGTTTCTGCGCGAACTTATTCGGTCGCATGGGCAGACACAGGCCTAGAATCTGTCCAAAGGGTGGCATTTGCAGTAGGAAAAATATTGTCATCGTGATAACATGGAAGATTGAGGAGCTAGTCCAGCCATCTTCTTCAACGTCGATATAGTATCCGCCCACACGAGCGACATGCTTGAAAGCTGATTCGTGTAAGCTTGGGCCTCGGGCTAAAGTGATTTTGAATAACAGTAGCTTACCGTAAAATGTCAGAATAAATGTGAGAGGAAACACGATATAGTTATATTCCAGTATCTTATAGATTCGATTCGTGTGTTTCCACTGAGAGCCAGGCCCTTTAGCCAATTCATCGACGGCGACAGCCATCTCGTACTGGGAAGAGTCAAAGAGAAAAGCAAAGTACCAGCGGGGCAGCAATCCAACCTGGCATTGACAGAAATATTATATGAAAGCGCGTGGGTTCGGACAAATTTCTAATCCCATTCCCACATTATCCCATCCCCTTGCGTCGCACGAGACAGGTCTACTCCGTAATTGAGTATTGAGAGTGGATGTACTTCGTACCCTGCGAGCCATGATCGACTCGAGGAAAGCTGGGAAGAGCGGCTAAAGATCGTGCATGCTTGTGCTTGTGTAATTCTGACGTATCACAGCAGTTAGAGCATGAATCAAAGGGAAGTGAGAATCGCCATTGCAACCGACTAGCTCGGGCTAAATGAACGCCCATTGGACCTCTGGTCGAGGTATCGATTCATTGATGGATCGCAGGTGCCGGCTGGATCTGGGATCCTTGCACTATCGATTCTTGGGGGGTCTGGTTTGCTCGGCATGACCCGCCGCGTAGATCAGTGGACACGTCCCATTTCAAAGCCCGAACACCGCCGCTTTTTTTGTATCTCGTGGAAAGTACGTAGAGTACTGGAGAAATGCGCTGTATCGAGTACGTCGAAGGTTGCAGGTGCAGGAAATGGGTACCCAAAGTACAGTATTGTATACTCATGGAAAAGTACCATTTGCCCAGGGTAAGGTGAGTCTGCCCAGGTGAGACTTGCCCATCTTTGGAAGGTTTAGCTCGTTAGTGCCCAAGGGTGAGGTTAGCATGCAGCCTGATCTTGAGCAATGGTGCTTGCCCACTGGGCAGGGGGGTTGTTCTCGCTGATCCTTGATGGGACTGATGATGCTTCCAAGGTGGCTCTCAGACTTTGTTTCCATTGACTTTCACGGAAACGACCAGTCTGGCTGTAGTCCTTCCGGCCCGGAGAGAACAGCCTGTCGACTAGTACCATAGTAAGCATGGAATTGGTCATTAGATTGATTAATTCCCCGGTGTAAACTCGGAAGAGGACATCCATGTGTTGTGAAGGTCGTGTGCTCGTCCCAAGCTGCCCAGGTGCCATCCCAAGCTGCTCTAGTATAGCATGGCTCTCTCTCCCCCCTCACTTTCAGTCGATAGAATATATTGTCTGCCTGTTCTGATTGTCAGCGAGTAGCCAGCTCAACAACATGTTCAGCAGCTTGGCCCGCCATCCATGAGTAAAATGCTTTGCGATAATAGTGATGACACCAGCAGTCTTGGAAACCCCAAACAAAAATGCACTTGGGCAAGGCCGCAGGTCACCTGGGCAGTATGGAGCCCAGGTATGGACTAGGAGTTGATTACCTGTGAACACCTTGACAGTCGGTGGCTTCTTTGTCCTGCGGCCATAGGCAATAGACGGAGGGGATGAAGGCGGCTGTTCGGTTCTATGGATATTGGAAGGAGTGAGATAAAGGTCACTACCGAAAATTTCGGTGCACGGGTGTCTTGAGTCGCTTAAGGATGAACAGAAATCCGGATGCCAACAGATACCCCCAGGGCTAGATCGGATCAGAGACCTCGGGAGGATTGTCAAAAGAGATTGAGCGAGCCCATATCGGTGCCCATATGTAAGTTAGAGCATTGCAACTTCGAAGGTTGGCGTTATGCTACTTCAGTCTAACCTTCGAAGGCTGTAAGTTTCAAGATTAAAATGGAGTTTCGGAGAATTGGACTTTTGGCCCTGGGCAACTCAGTTCCAACTTTGGAAGATGACCAAGCCCATTGTATACTTGACTTCCGCAGCCCAAAAGCCCAGGCCCAACCCGGACCCAACCCGGTAATGGGCTGGGCCCGGGCTCAGGGTCGAAGCCCAGTGGGCTTTTCCGGGGGCCCATTGGGGGCGCGGTAGTGGGCTCACGGCCGGGATCTCGGGCCCAGAGCCCATTGCAGTCTATTCGTGTTTACGTTCTTTCCAACCTTGAACTAAATATCAGTACAGCCCTCACCTCTCTCTACCTGAATGCATACCTAGGTATTTTACATCTATGAGACCAGGCATAGGCACGAGAGCTCTGGAACTCACAAGATATGATCGCCAGCCCAAGTTTGACGTTGGAATTTACAAAATTGACGGTGTTGACATCCCCCGCAGTGGTAATTTTACGCGTCGAAGGCGAATAGCGGGGGCTAGAGAACTCTGTAAAATGTCAAAAAAATCAGATAAATAGAATCGATTCCCTATGAGCTAGAGCAATGAATTGAAAGAGCAGACTGGATCGGGGAGCTCGAAAAGACGCCGGAGGGGGTGAAATGCTGCGCGTCACGTCGCGCATCACGAAAAAAGACCCGAACTTCCCCAAATCCCCTTTAGCCCTTTTCGGCCCACTTCAATGCTACTCTCCCCCGGCCGTTTTGCGTTCCCTTTCTTTGCTGTAAACAATGGCGCCTCTGGATTTACCAAATGTACCCTTTTCAGAACCCATTCTTCCTCCTCAGCCACCTTCGTCCCCTCCTTCCATCGCCTCCGATGGTCGCAGGACCAGAAAGCCACCAACAGTGACGCCCCGGTCCTTTCGTCGATTCTTCACCCCACGCTCATTGCTCCCGACTGCCGATAACTCGACTACTCCGACAACGAGTCGTCAGGCCTTGAGAGCCCTCACCTCGCCTGCTGTTAACCGGTTGGGACCTGCATTTTCCCGAACCTCCAAGGCGGGCACCAGAAGCCCTCACGACGGCTTACCGGAAGACTTCATCCGAACCCCGAGTCGAAAACGCAAAAACTCCTTCTCTTCAGTCGCATCTCCCCCGCAATCATCTCCGCTGAAGCGAGTCCGAGTCCGGTCTCCAACCAGTGAACTCGATCATGATATCAGAATACCCGACCCCGACTTCCGCCTGCGACCTGCAGAGGCTCCTATGCCAAAACAGCCACCTCCCGTAGCTCCTGTGCGTCGCTCTCAGGCGTTGGCAACTTCAGGTGCTCTTTTCATGCGGAGTGTGCTGGGACCGCAACGCAACAAAGTCACCTTGCGAGCAAACTCCGGAGTTGGTAAGTGTTGTGCCCAATGTATCAATATTCTTCTACCTCTAACCCTTCATAGGATGGCAAGATCTCACCTCCGAATTCTATTCACAACCGGCAGACCTCCACGCTTGTTCAAGCTATTCATCGGAGGGGGCACCTGCTCTTCCGTTCTGCAATGCTTCATGCAATAGTAAGCTGGGATGATTGATATTTTGTGGCTCTGCGCTAACCATTGAACCAGCGAACTCGATCGTTGCAGTAGGCGACGAAGAGGGCGGGATTCGACTGTTGGATTCGTCTATTGATGAGGATGCTGGATTCACCGATGCATACCTCGGATTCCGTCCGCATATGAACTCGATCATGGACCTCGAATTTTCTTCCGACGACATGCTACTGGCCACCGCATCCGGAGATCAAACGTCTCTGGTAATCGATATGACGACGCAACAACCCATATACTGCTTGTCAAACCACTCGTCGTCCGTGAAGCGCGTTCAGTTCCAGCCCGCTTCGAACAACAAGGTACTTGCAACTTGCAGCAGAGATGGAAATGTGAATATCTGGGATCTTCGCTGCAAAGGATTTGAAAGACCCGCTTTGCAAGTGCGATGTTCGCTGGAAAGTGAGAGTGAGCCTCCAGCTTCTGCGCCGACCGCATTGCCAAAGATGCTGTATCCTCACGTTTTGAATACCATCGGAGGTGCTCACGCCTATACCACCTCTCATAAACCCGCAATGGACAAAAGCGACATACAGCCAGTTGGTCGGACAGATATCACTGTGACCTCACTTGCCTTTCTCTCACCAGGTCGCGAAAACCTCTTTGTCACGGCTTCCGAGGCTAGCGCAAGTGTCAGGCTCTGGGATATACGAACCGCGCATAATAATCGCCGCGGTCGACCCGTTGCTCCTTTGTCCACGACGCAGGAACCGGAGAGTCACCTGAAATACCGACGATTTGGCCTGACTTCTATGGCATTTGGAGGAGATGGCTCTCGATTGTACACTCTCTGTCGCGATAATACGGTCTATACCTATTCGACCTCACACCTAATCCTTGGACATGCTCCCGAGCTGTCCATCAACAACAACCGCCCCCGTCGGACCGGTGGCTCCGACAAAGATGGCCTCGGACCCCTTTACGGATTCCGCCACCCTCGCCTGCAAGTCTCTTCATTCTATGTGAAGCTGGCCGTTCGCAAAGCCAGTCAAGACCGCCCGGAAATGCTCGCCACCGGTAGCACCGACCACTGCCCTATCTTGTTCCCCACCGATGAACGATTCCTGAGTACCCCCGTCAAAGCCCCTGTCGAACCTACACCTACCAGAACCTCACTGTTCACGAATCGCCCCGGCCTTCGTCGGGTCAACTCTGGTATTGGGCTGTCCGGGCGTCTGGAAGATACTATCCCCATCTATCAATCCGGCACTCCTCTCATTGAGGGCCACCAAAAGGAAGTGACTGGACTATCCTGGACCCCATCGGGAGAGCTCATCTCCGTGAGTGATGACTACACCGCTCGATGCTGGCGCGAAGGGCCGGAAGCCCGAGATCTTCGAACGGGTGGAGAAACCGAAGGTAAGCGTTGGCAGTGTGGCTGGGCTGATATGAAAGATTCAATTGACGATGAAGACGAATGATGTTTCTGCGTCTGTCTGATCTTTACTGTTTTGTTTTTGCATTCTTATTGGTGTCTGGTGTTCTGTGATATCTCATATCTGTTGATTTTTTGCCCACGGGCATTCCTTTGGTGTTTGAAAGAACATGTGTTAGTTTTAGCGAAGCATATCATCTCGGGACATTTCAGCGTCTCCATTAACATTGGAATTGTCTCATCGCATTGATTAGAGTAAATCGTCTCTGGTTCAGATTATCTTCGGCTCAGATTGTAACATGTTTTAATACACACGAGCTGATCAGCAATGTATGAGCCACCGTAGCTGAAACACATTTAGGAATAGTAAATAGATCAAGTTTTCCGGCAGTATATACTTGATGTTGATACCTGCCCAGGTGTGCCCAGGTGCGCAGCCCGAAATGCGGCCCCGGGGCGGCCGCAAGGTGCGATAAGATAAGCCGACGCTGGAAAAAAAGTCAAGTTTTCCCAACTCTTCGAGGTTCTCAATCCAACATCTCCAGCCCAAAATGCCTCACAAACACAAGAGACGCGGCGAAGCCGATAAATCGTAAGGCGCCCAAAAGCCATCTATCTATCCCAAAGCTAACCACACCCAGCCAATTCAATCTCCCGCCCGAAGAGATCGCAAAAGCACTTCCAGTCCGCGACCCAAGCAAGCCAAAGCAAGGCAAGAATGGCAAAGGCAGCAACAAGAACCAAGCCCAGAACCAGAACCCCAGCGCCAACAAAGCGCCTACCCACCGCAACAAGAAACTCTCCGAGGATGATACCCCGAAAGCCTTCCTCCGCCTAATGCAGTTCCAAACAACGGGCAAGCGAGCCCCCTCCGGTCTGGAAACCGGCGAAAGCACCAAGAAGCGCAAGCGCAAGGATGCAGAGAAATCCACAGAATCCAACAAGAAGCCCGTTAAGGAAGCTGCAGCTCCCAGCGCCGAGAAGCAGTCACTCAAGATCTTACCGGGAGAGCGTCTCGCAGAATTCGCGGCACGTGTTGATCGCGAAATGCCTCTTTCGCAAATGACCAAGACTACCAAGTCTGGTGAGGCTAAGGCAAATGAGCAGCGCAAGCAGACGAAGCATGAGAAACATCTGCGGAGACTGCAGTCTGGATGGCGTGAGGAGGAAGCTAAGATCAAGGAGAAGGAGCAAGAGGAGCGGGAAGAGCGCGAGGCTGAAATGGAGGTTGAGTTGCAGCAGTGGAAGGATTGGGAGATTGAGGCTGGTGGGAAAGCCAAGAAGAGGGCTCTGGCTGCGAAGAAGAAGAAGAATAAGGATGGGGGTGGTGATAGCGGTGATGATGATCCTGATCCTTGGGCGAAATTGAAGAAGCGGGATCAGGAACGGAAGAAGAATCCCTTTGAGGTTGCGCATGCGCCGCCTTCGTTGATTAAGCCTAGAGAGATCTTCAAGGTGCGTGGTGGGGCCAAGGTTGATGTTGCCAATGTGCCGTCTGCTGTTGGTAGTTTGAGACGACGTGAGGAGTTGGCTGGTGAGCGGAGGAATATTGTCGAGGAATATCGGAGACTGATGGCCGAGAAGCGGCAGTGAAGTTTGATGTATATGGAATTAGGGCTACATCTATGTTATTTACTATGAGATCGGAACATGCAGTTGCAGCAGAACTAAGATTTTGTACTACCGGTCATCTATGTATGTCACATCATATTACTGCCTTTTTGAGGGTTTGAGTAGTCAAATGAACTTAGTGGCCGTGGCCGTCATCCGCCGGCTGCTCGGGGTCAAGCTTGATGATCGTGTCAATGCGCATGATGGCTATGCAAGCCTCCACGGCACTCTTCAACTGCTTGACCTTGCTCATGCTGGGCTCCAGCACACCGGCCTTGAGGGTATCGTGGACCCGTCCCTTCATCAGATCCAAACCGTAGTTGCGGTAGGTCTTCTTCTTAGCAATGGCCTTCTCCTCCTCGTTGGCATCGCCATCCTGCACACGCTGTGATAGGGCGTGGCGGACACGGAGCTGAGCAACGAGCTCGGATGAATCCTTTGCTGCGTTGACTGCCAGAGTCTTGGGAATGACAAGGAGAGACTGTGCGAACTCGCCGATGGCCAGCTGCTCACGAGAGCCCTATAGCAGAGTTAGAAATCATAAATTTTCAATACGTGGAAGGGTGAAGTCACTTACCACTGTGACTGCGAATTCCTCTAGGTAAATGTGAAGTGCAGTCTCCACAGCACCACCACCGGGAACAATGCTTCCGCTCTCCAGAGTCCGCTTGATGGCGCAAAGAGAATCGTGAACAGAGCGCTCCATCTCGTCCAAGCTGAACTCGTTGGCACCACGGAGAATGATAGAGGACGCAGTGTGAACCTTGGTGCCCTTGACGAGGATGCACTCGTCATCAGAGATCCGCTCTTGCGAGACCTCCTCTGCGTGTCCGAGGTTTGATGCCTCGAACTTCTCATCTCCGTTGAGGTCAGACAGAGTGCTGACCAGAGTAGCACCGGTGGCCTTGGCGATACGGCGCAGGTCCTCCTTCTTACAGCGGCGGACGGCCATGGCACCCTTCTCGACGAAGAGCTTGAGGACCATGTCGTCGATACCCTTTGTGGTAAGGACGACGTTGGCACCAGACTTCAGAATCATATCAACACGCTCCATAACAATGCCGGACTCCCGCTCGCGGATCTTCTCCAATTGATCGGGGTCTTCCACTGTGATCTGAACACCAAGCTTCATACGCTCCTTCTGCAGGTTCATGTCGAGACAGGCAATCTTGGCGTCGGTCACACGGGTAGTCATGGCCTGGGAAGCAACGGTGCAGTTCAATGCGTAACCGTTCACGAGAACGGACTCAGTACCACTCTTTCCGTGAGCCTTGAGGAGGTTCACGGCCTTGACTGGGTATTTGACCTCGCCTCTCTGGTTCACTGACTTCACCTGCAGCATCGCATCCACGCACATGTTCGCGAAGAAATCGGAGTCGGAACCGATAATCTTGCTGGACATGGAGGTCTTCGCAATGTTAACCAGACTGTCCTTTCCGATATTGTCCACCTTAGTCGTAACATTCTCGTTCATATACTTGACGGCCTCGCGCAGGGCAAGTCGGTATCCGTTGATGATTGTGGTAGGGTGTATGCGGTTCTTCATCAGCTCATTACCTCTCCGGAGAAGCTCAGCGGCGATGAGAACGACTGAGGTAGTACCATCTCCAACCTATCAGAAAAATGCTGGTAAGTATAGATCTAAGATAAGGAGAGTGTGGAATGTACCTCCTTATCCTGTTGTTGGGCCAGATCGACAAGAATCTTGCCCGCGGGGTGCTCAATATCAAGCAGGGAAAGAATGGTAGCACCATCGTTCGTCACGGTAACATCCTGCCATTGTCAGAATCTGCAATATGTCTCCATGCTTGATCGAGTCTTACTCCGATGTCGTCAACCATCATCTTGTCCAGACCGGATGGGCCAAAGGAGCTCTTGATGACATTGGCGATAGCCTGTGTTGCCAGAACTTCGAAAAATCAGCTACCAAGCCCCAGATCAATGCACCCTGTGAATGATCGAACATACCATTTTGCTCACGGACGTCGGCGCCGGTGATTTTCTGCCCACCCAAGACTGTGTGCGAGATTGGTCAGTGAACGGCGACAGGAGCGAATTTCGATCAGGAAAGCCTCACAGAGTGTGTCCGCATTCCGCGGGGCCTCGAAGATGCCTGCCATATTTGTAACAGACGAATGAGATTAAGCTATGCGAGTGCGATGGCAGAGCTGTTTGGATACGGGGGGGTGCTGTGGGCACTAAAAGTTCTGCCGAGGCGGTGTGCTGGTAATTTTCGATATCGCATCCCACTTCACGGAGGGGAGTCATATCCCCGATTTCGCTTTGCTCAACCTTTGACCCGGGTCTTCCCTTCTTCGTCTAGTCAGGCAATTGTGATCCAACATGGCTAGCCAGAACCCCAGCGACGTCCCTGCCACCGAGGCTGCCCCTCAGGTTCTGCCTGACCGCACCCAGACCCCCGCCGATAACCAGGAGGGTGGTATTACAAAGAGCGCCGCCAAAAAGGCCGCCAAGCTCGCCAAATTGCAGGCTGAGAAGGCCGACCGCAAGGCCGGAATTAAGCCTGAGAAGGCTGCGAAGCCTGCTGGCCAGCAGGAGCCCAAGAAGGCCCCCAAGAAGAAGGTCGAGGGCGCTCACTTGACCGGTATCGATGTTTCCAAGGAGGAGGATTTCCCCGGCTGGTACCAGCAGGTGCTCACCAAGGGTGACATGCTGGACTACTACGATGTCTCCGGCTGTTTCATCCTGAAGCCCGCTCTGTTCTTTATCTGGGAGGAGATCCAGGATTACTTCAACAAGGCCATCAAGAAGATTGGCGTCAAGAACTGCTCTTTCCCTCTCTTCGTCTCTGAGGATGTCCTGCAGCGCGAGAAAGATCACATTGAGGGCTTCGCCGCCGAAGTCGCTTGGGTCACGCATGCGTAAGCGTTCACGATACATCCTATGACCATGAAGTATACTAACACCAATTCAGTGGCTCCTCTCCTCTGGAGAAGAAGATCGCTATTCGTCCCACATCCGAGACTGTCATGTACCCCTACTACGCTAAGTGGATTCGTAGCCACAGAGATCTTCCCTTGCGTCTCAACCAATGGAACAGTGTCGGTATGGAGTGATTCGAGATTCATTATCTCAAACATCTACTAACATGATATGTGACTAGTGCGATGGGAATTCAAGAACCCCCAGCCCCTTCTCCGTTCCCGAGAGTTCCTCTGGCAGGAGGTCAGTTCTTCCCCGCAACCCCGCAAAAGCACAGATTGCTAACTATATGAAACGTACAGGGCCACACTGCTCACCTCACTGAAGACGCTGCCCGTGAGGAAGTCTTGACCATCCTTGATCACTACGCTGCCATCTATGAGGAGCTTCTTGCCGTCCCCGTTATCAAGGGTCAGAAGACCGAGAAGGAGAAGTTCGCTGGTGGTGCCTACACCACCACCGTCGAGGGCTACATCCCCACCACTGGTCGTGGTATCCAGGGTGGTACCTCCCACGGTCTTGGCCAGAACTTCAGTAAGATGTTCAACATCACTGTTGAGGATCCCTCCGCCAAGCCTGATGAGAAGAAGCCCCCTCTGCACGTCTGGCAGAACTCCTGGGGTCTGTCCACCCGTTCCCTCGGTGTCATGGTCATGATCCACGGTGACAACAAGGGTCTGGTCCTTCCTCCCCGCGTGGCCGAGATCCAGGTCATCGTTGTCCCCGTCGGTATCACCGCCAAGACCTCCGACGAGGAGCGTGTCAAGCTCGAGGCCGAGGTTGACGGCATCGTCACCGTCCTCGAGGCTGCCGGTGTCCGCGCCGACAGCGACAAGAGCGCCAACTCCCCCGGCTGGAAGTTCAACCGCTACGAGCTGCGCGGTATTCCCCTGCGCATTGAGTTCGGTCCCGGCGAGTCGGCCGGCCACTTCGTCACCACTGCCCGTCGTGACGTTCTCGGCAAGGAAGGCAAGGGCAGCCTTCCCATCCCTGACCTGGCTACTGGTGTCCCTGCTCTTCTGGAGACTATCCAGTCTGATATGTACAAGCGCGCTGCTGAGCAATTCGACTCCCACCGCATCAAGATCACCAAGTGGGATGACTTCACTCCTGCTCTGAACAACAAGAACGTCTGCCTCATCCCCCACTGCTTGACCGAGGAGTGTGAGGATCAGATCAAGGACATGAGTGCCCGCAAGGCTGAGGAGGACTCCGGTGAGGCCGAGGACGCCAAGGCCCCCAGCATGGGTGCTAAGTCTCTTTGCATTCCCTTCGAACAGCCCGAGGGCATTGAGAAGGGCGTCACCCCCTGCTGCAACCCCAAGTGCACACGCCCCGCTGAGAAGTGGTGCATGTTCGGCCGTAAGTTATACATCAACCCCCACCTAACAAACACTTTACTGACCATTATAATCCAGGTTCTTACTAAGCTTCTGACTTTTACCTTGCAAGCCGGGACTTGATATGATATTGCTCAAGCCACCTAACATACCCGAGCGAGAGAGTTGTATTTGCGGTCTTAGCCGATGCATAGTGGAGCAGAGTTGAAGCACGAGTTCGATATGACATTTTCTGTGGATCTTCGGAATTCGTTGATTTGTCAATTGTGGAGTTTAGGAAGGGGAAAAGACAGTGGCAATGATATTATGAACATGAGACATGTCATTATTTCTTTTTTTAAACGATTCGTATTCCGTATTTCTTATCCACTTCTGCCTTTCTAGCGTACGGAGAACGGAACAGGCTCGGCTCGTTTCCAAATCCCGAATTGTTGTGGATATGATGTCTAGATGCTGCCCATATCATCCGTGTACTATACGTTCTAGACCTCTGTTCCTTATACTTACTAGGTAGGTTATTAAGTAAAGCTTTGAATTATCCCGAGGCCTGCAGTGGACCCTTCAAAAGGTAGCCATGTCAAGCATCCGCCTCACATATGTAACCATCTTCCATCGTGTGGTAATAGAAAGCCAACGACTCTGATACTATAGTGTGCTCCGCTATATTTCGGATTTGCATGGATATCTAGCTTTTTGATAGATTGGCTCGATGTCGAGAAGCCCTTGCTCTAGAGTAGTATAGTACTTATTGCACAGAAACGTGGTCGGTAATAGATATTATTGTAACGAAGCACAGTCGCTTTGGCTATAGTATACACAGGTCAACAAAGACGAGAAAACAAAATTCAATAGCAAAAGCTCCGGCCAGATAATGCAAGTGAGATATTAAGACGAGAGAACCAACGATGGAAAGCTGCCATAAGAGGCACAGAGAGATAGGAAATGAGGTATGTGTACGAGAGAATGTGAGTGAGTGAGTGTATCGAGAAGGGCAAGGAATGGACCCAGAGTAAAAGCGAAAGAGCGAAAGAGCAAGATGAGCATATAAGCCCAACCAAAATCAAGAGCGAAAGGCTGAACGGCTTTTTCGAAGAGAAAAAATCATCAAAGTATCGTCATCATAGAATGTCCAAAACAAGCTAACAAGTCTTCACAGAGCGCGCACCACGCAGCTGCATGCGAGCCCGGGATAGCGGCGACAAACTATCGCCGTAGGGATGTGCTCCACGAATACGAGGCCAGCACATGAGCTTTTGGGCCTCGTCTGCTGATGCAGCATCGATCACGTAGCGGATATTATTCTCGTCTACGCCTTCGATCTGGACGCGGGGTGTCAGACCGTTCAGACTGGGTAGATGGATGATGTCGTCGTCTTCTTCGGTGCTTGGTGGGGTGGAGTGTGCTTGCATGCAGTAGATTGTTTTCGTGGGGACATCAGGGAAGGATTGCAGAGTTGCGGCCATGCTGATGGAATCGGAGCGGATTCGTTTGCGGGGGATGTTGGGCTCTGGGATTGTTGGTTGGGGTTGTTCGGTGCTTGCGCGCAGGACGTCCATGTAGGTTATTGGTTCGCCGGCTGCGAGGGAGGCGGCGGGGGATTGTTGGAGGTCGGCTAGGAAGGCTGCGGAGGGGGGTGGTGCGTCGGTGTGTCGACGGGGAGGGGAGCTGGAGACCTTTCTTTTGAGTCGGTCGTAGCCGACGCTGGATGAGATGCTGCGGCGGGATTCTGGGGATCTTTTGTGTTTCATGAATGATTTGTTCAATCGGCTGGTTGTTGAAGAGCTCCGGTTTAGTCCTGTTGCTGGGGAGGCATTGGCGAGTGCCATCTTTTCGGCTGAGGGCGTGAAGGGAGGGCCTGGGATAGGTGGAGGGACACGCTTGAATGCTTCGTGGGAGTTCACTTCCCGGACTATAGCGTCGTGGAGTGATTCGTATGTTGGATGAGTTCCGTGTGCAGACGTATAGGTCTTGGTGAACAGGTTCATTAGTTCCGCGGCTTTGACCCGCATTGAAGACCTGGGTGGGCTGGCTGGGCTGCTGATAGGGAGGGGACTGTTCATCACTTGGGCGATGCTGGGAGGTCGTTTCATGTTGCCTGTCGAAGGCGTTGGCGGCTGGATAGCGCGGTGGACAATTTTGGGGGTCCCCTTGGCAGCTAACTCCGTATTGATGGAGAGGCCTCGGGCATTTTTCTTGGATCCAGGCCCTGAGGGTGGTGGGGAGAGTGAGCGTGGAGATGGACTGCGAGACACCGATGAGAATGGCTCTGGTACTGAAGGAGCCTCGGCACTATCTCCCATGGGGAAAGGTATCGTAGGACTATCGGGAAGAGGCGTATTGCTCAATCTTTTGCCTAGTTTGTACGCAGGAGGAACCCCCAGGCGATGAACAGGGCTTGGTGGTGCTGCTTCTTGAGGGACAAAGCCCTCATCTGCACATAGATTTGGTGCCGATTTCTGCGGTCTCAGGGAAGTTCCCAAGTCGGAGTTTGAGCGTGAGGTGCTGGTTTCATCCTTGGGATTTCGCAAATTCTCTGCAGAAGCCCAGTTGGGTTTCCGTGCGAAATGTTTTCCAAATTGGCGCGTTTGGCCTTCGGGGATGCGCACTCTCCCTGGTGCAGCTGGAGAGGACTGGCTGCTCAACCCAGACATCGTGCGATCAGCACTGCTATACTTGGCGATATTCCTGTCCGCCACGTCCTCTTGGTACAATGCCGAGAGAACTCGCGAGCTAGAGAATCCTTTCTTGTATTGAATGCGCAGGAACCGGGTCATGTTTCGCTCCGCGATATCCTCATTGTAGGGACTGTTTGGGGACAATGGTTCTGGGGTAGTGGCCCGGGGACGCTCTGAAGAGTTCAAAGCATCCAATAAATCAACATGGCGGCCATTCAGGACTTTAGGGACTGCGAAACGACTGGTAGGTGAAGCGAGCGGCCCAAAGGATGTTGGCCGGTCGAGACGGTCTTGTAGATCCTCGAATTGCTTCTCAATTTGCTCGAAATGATGAGCCACATCTAGTGACTGCGCATCCTTGGGGAAGCCCTCGAACTGACTTCGTGCAGGCGAATCAACCGCCATGGCATCATTGGAGTCCGCATTGTAGCTCTCCAATCCGAGGCTTGTGGCCGGACGAAGGTTCTTGTCCAGAAAGAATTTCTTCAACCCCGCCATCGTGAAGTATACAGAGCGCACAGCCGGCGCGCGAAAAGAGAGTGGATCGGCGAATTGTGAAGGTAGGCAAATGAAGGGATCGGTTAAAGAACGGAAAGAGTATACTAGTATACTAAGAGCGACGAGACCCGCGGTCGTCAGAAAGAATCAACTTGATGTCATGGCCATGGAGCATTTACCCCATGATCAGGAGAAAGAAAAAGAGAGAGAGAGAGAGAATTAGAGTAGACGTCAAGTGCCGATCTACTCTTTTTCTGTGCCTGGATCAGGGGGGTCTGCTCGTGCTAACGCTAAAAATTAAGAGTGTGCACACCCTGTACGTCGAGTATATCCCGGTTCTTTGTTGCGGGGATGTCGAGTCCCTCGAACTATTGATTTCTCGCATACAGGGTAGTGCTCTACTCCGCAGGGCAATTTACAGCATAGTGATAGTGATTCCTGCAGATGATTTTTCACCAACGTCCAGGCTGCATCGTGCAAAACTTTCCCGAGGGATCCACTAAAGCCTCTTTTGTTGACAGGCGAAAACGCAGTCCATGCGAGGGACTTCCTCCGGGGCCATTCCGGGCGAAAACAGAAAGACTGTGGCTTTCGGGGATCATTGGCTCCTCCACTCGGATCCCAATCAGCGTGTCGACGATGGAGAAGGAGGGAACGACAAGCCCTAGGTGGGCTAGTGGCTTTTGTCTGATGGAGCCAATTTCCCAAGTGGATCGTTATTGGTGTGACGAGATGATCGTCGAGTAGACCGTGAGCCGTCTCGTGAACCGAACGCCATTTTTAGTTTTGACTTTCCGGTTCGTCGGAGTGTAGTGCTAGCACGATGTGCTAGTAAGAAGTAGTGAATGTGAGCAGTGTACTCCGTATTGCGAGTCACTTCGTGGAGGATAGTGCGACGTTCAAACAAAGAGAACTAAAAATTGGGCGCGGATCTCGGGTTCGTTTCCGTAAGTAGTTCATGAACTGGACTCTCAGGGGCGAAAAATCAAATCGGACCTTGGTTAGGTAGTGGAGATATCACCGTGCGAAACAAACTAGACCTTAGTGCATATCGGAAGCTCTTACTATCTATCTGTGAAGCCTCGGGCTGCTCAGATCCCCGTGCGATCGATCGAACTCCGTGGTCCATGGGCCCTGCGCTAGGCGGTTGACAGCAGAACGTTTAACCGGCGCGGGAATGTCAACTTTAACTTCCCCCTGGTCCAACATAGTCTATTTCACTACCTAGCTTCCAAGCTTGAGATTATTGAACCTCAGTTCCCAGAGATTTCTGGAGTAGCGATCGATGCTCAAGTGGTCCGACCCGAGTGTGATGCGGATCCCGAGGTCCACACTGCTAGTTCACCGCAATACCAGACCTTTAATGGATACTACTAGTAGTACTGCAGTATACGGAGTACTTCCAAGGTCAATCACGTCTAACAGTACTAGTACATCACCCTTCCAAGGTTCGTATTTGCCTACTGGGCTATCCTCCATGACCATCGCTAGGCGCCGGGGCTGGCCTCAGGGCCCGAACTACCTCCGAAGTATAACCGACGTCGGGACTGTGTAGGTATGCATGTCTCAGGGTGTCCACGGAGACTTCAGCTTTGGTGAAGATCTCCAAGTAGCAAAGACATCCGATAAATAAGTACATATCGATCCCAATATCACCTGAGTGATATTGTAATCAGCTTTTGCTCCCGAGGTTCTGGTTGATAGAACGGACCGGACAATCGGCAACTATAACAAATTTCCGACCACCGTAGTATCTTCCAATACGCTCTGAGTGAATCAATTGAAAAGTTTGATACTTCGGCTGGTATCTAGTTTGGTCTAGACTTGCGATGGTCAGAGCGAATACGTTATCGTTGTACATGAGAGAACACTTAGGTATCAGATCAGATCAAAGCATCTGCTTTGCTCCAGGCTCAAGTAAGGTCAAAACAGATGGCATGCAGCGCCTCATGCATATGTGGGCTTGTATATCATGTCTATCATACCTAGGTAGGCGGTCGGCTGAGCACCAGCAACGTTGGGAGATAATGCCTTTCTTGCTCACTATCCGGGGCTGAACCACCTCTGCCTGAGTCCCAGCGATGACCCCTCGTGTCATCATGCACCTGAAGATCAAACTGGCTCAGATTAGCCTTGACTACCTGAATATTCTGATTGGTCTTCTCGGCGAACAAAAGGAGTACGCCAACCTTAGGTGGCTCCTCAGCAACCTCCGGAACAGCCGTCACCGCCAGTCCACCTGGAATCCTGTTCCAGTATCAGAGATCGCAGGATTCTGGCCCCTTTGGTCGAGATCAAGGAGAAGCCTCTTTAGATTTGGCAACAAGTAGGCGAAGTTGACAAGTTTTTCCGGTTCACAGACGCAACCGATGTCGAGTGAGCGAAGTTGAGAGATATTTCCTGCGGCAGCTAATTTGGAAACCATAGCCGGTTACCGGGGATTGTGAATCTGTGGTTGATTCTAACTGGGATAATGCCTTGGACTTGACTTTATTAATCAGACTTTGCCATGTCGCTTTCAGTAGATGAGGTCCCGAGGTCCCGAGGTCTATCTCCTGGATGACATGATGGACAGGTACTCCAAGGGTTCTTTCTGTCCGCAGGATTGAATTTGGTGACTTGATTGGGAAACCGTGAAAGATCCTGCCTGGGGAGCGGCTCATCTTTAAATGATTTATCGAATGGTAAGCTTGCTGTAGAGTGGTGTTTACACACCTGTTGGCGTGGTTTGGTCCATAGGTGCGATGGGCAGAGCAAAATATGAGAGAATAAGTAGGTACGAGATCAGATTCAAAACATCTGCTTTACTCTGGGCTCATATAGGGTCAACATAGATGGCACACAGCGCCTCATGCTTGAAGCGAGATCTATACTCCTTGGGCACTAGGCCGCTCATATGTGAGTCCGTATTTCATGTCATTGCGAGTTTCTTGGATATCACTTGGATGTTACTTCAAGAAAGCCATGCTTCTGTGTTGCATTTTAGAATACAACCTCATTCACAGTATTTACGCAGGTGGTAAACACCTGGGCACCTATCACTAGATATCTCTTTACTAAGTGTTTTGGCAAGGCATGTTAATCTACCCTGTAGTCTTCAAAGCCTCGTCAATGCAGAGTAGAGAGAGACTAGAGGTGAAAGGACTTACCACCTTCTCTGAATTTCTCTTGCGTTGTTGATTCAGAACTGACAGTTCCTCTCTTCTCTTCCCTCTTTTCTATTCTCTCCTCTCCCCTCACCTCCTCCTCTCTTTCCTCCTCTCATCAAACCACATCATGGTCGGTGATTGGATCTCAGCCATCGTCAGGTTTGTCCTGACCGAGGCGGTCCTATGGATAGAATGGCTCTCTTCCCTCTCGCAGACGGACTTCAAACCTGCGGCCATGCCCATTGTGCCTGATCAAGACCTGGTAGCTCGCACCTACTACGATCCAACCTACTTTGACAGCCGAACACCCACCCCCGAACCAACTCCCGAGCCAAAAACAATCTACGATCTTCCCGCGGAGTTGATGATCGAAATAAGAGGCGAGCTGGACTTTATCACCAGAGGATGTCTAGCCCTGAGCTGCACCAAGTTCTACAAAATGTTCTCCAAGGATCTAGACAAACCCGTGTTTCGATATCCCAAGATCCATCCAGGCGAGTGGAGCTACGACAATCGCAGAACCGAATTCCTGCTCAAGCTTGAAACTCCGCAACTGCTGTTCTGCGATGCCTGCCTGATGCTGCATCCCCGAAGAGACTTTTTCGAAGATGTTATCGCACTTGGAGTCCCACGCAGCTGCAAATGGCCTGGAATGATTCAGCCCTGCCGCTGCATCAGAATGTCACCAAAGAAACTCATCGATCTTGCCGAGAGACTGCGGATCGGTCACAGGAGCGATGGCAAAGGGTCTGCTATCACAAGAATGATCCCAAACTGGCACACCTGTCAGAAGGTAGGGGGTTATCCCCTCGACCTCAACATCTCTCTGAGCTTGGATAAACAGCAAAAGGTCGTCTTCCACTATTGCTATTCGTTCTACCTCGATGACTACATACGCCGTACTGTCGTATTGTGCCACCATTTTGATCCCGAAAAGCCATTCGTGATAAGGACCGTTCCTGACTGTGAAGACTGTCAGCGCACAGACCTGACTCAGATGAGGTGTAAGCGATGTAAGCTCCTGAGCTTTGTTCGATTTTATAACTGCGACAAATGCCCCGAGCTTAAGATCAGCGTTGGCGGAACAGGTATCTTCATAAGAGGCTATGTGGAGTTCGACAAAAGGTACAATGTGCCAAGACGCAGGCCAACCGATGCGGGAGCGTTTTCTGATGTCGATTACAACTGGACTTGTCGAGACCCCGACGAATGGAGGAAATGCGACAACTACCGTGAGGAACTCGAAGGGCGTCCGGCCTACCATCCGGCGGGGAATAGCGAGATAATCTGTACCGAGGAGACCTGCGACGGTTTTGGAAAAGACGTTCCAATCCGTGACTGGGATGAATAAGTTCGTCAATTGTCTGGTGTCTGCTGGTCGTGAAGTACCGTTGCTTCACTCAACCCTGCCAGGTTTGGTTCGGTTAGCACCACAGCGTTTGTCTCGGAATTCAAGAGTTCAGATACAAGTGTGATATGCCATGTTTATGAAGGCGAGACAGTTTAGCTACCTTCATGGATGATCATCAAACTATGTTCCTTTGCCATGGCACATAGCCTAGTAACCTGTAGTAATATGTACCCTGTAGTAACGAAGTAGCATCTGAGAGCTCAATTTCCCTGGGATCCAAGACTGGAGATGTCCATTCTTGAAGCATAGATCTATCGTCTGAAAAAAGTCTCAATTTCGTCCATACACACCTATTCTCAGGAGATAATGGCTCCAGCCTCCCGAGGTCCCAAGGTCAGACCACAGCCAGTAGAGGCAGCCCATATAATACGTCTGCAGTCTCTCCCAGAGTATGGAATATCATTCAATCATTATTTGATGTGACTATTTTAAGCTTGCGCTATAGACCTCGTAATAGACTCTCTGACAGCCTCCGACAAAACCGTATTAGCACCCCTCGCCGCATCAACAGCACCATCAATCAAAGCCTCATGACTAGACCGATCATCACCCTTCTCAAGAGCCGCCCTCGAACTATCACCCTTGAGCCAAATCTCCGTAATCTCATCACGCGCCGGCATATAAGCCACCACACAAGCAGACAAGATAGACCGATGCTCCGCGGGATCAACATCCAGCATGAGACGCGGGATACTCGAAGCGGAGTTCGACTCGTCTGAGACCAGCGCGGCAACACCTCCAGATACAAGATCCAGACAATCAATGTGCGCGTCAGCAATAGCTGCCGAAGCAGCCGTGATACATCCAGCCAGAACATTCATCAAACCCCAAGATGCGTCGTGGGAATCGGGAGCATCGCCCCACCAACGATCATCTTCTGCTTCGATGATAGTGAGGGTGATTTCAAGACCACTCTTGGGCCAGCGCTCGGCGATGATGGCGCCGCGCAGGGCGGTTTCAAGATGTACGCCGAGATCGCGCTCGCTGGCATCGCGGATGTGGCCTCTGCGTTTGCGGGCCGCAAAGGGCGCGTACTTGACATGGGTGGTTAGGACGAGGTTTGGGGAGAATGCGGCGGAGCGAGGAAGTGGCTTGGGGCCGTGGACGGTGCAGGCCACTTTTAGTGCTGAGGATGGTGGGATCAGAGATTTGGGGTTGGCGCGGGCGGCGGCGAGGGAGGCGGATGGTTCAAATTCGAGATATGAAGAGCCTGAGGCTGTGGGGATCATGCCGGTTTGGAGGACTGTAGCATTGCATGTTAGTGGGAGTGTTGCGAAGCTTTGTTCGGGGTCTCATACAGATTTTCCGTAGTTCAGCGGGTTGGCGCTGGCGCTGGGCGCGCTGGGCGGCGCCTGTTGTCGATTCCTGGAGAGAGGCATAGACTGGAGGGCGGGTGCCACCAGGTGGACCATTGATACGTCTTCTATCGGCCATATTGAGGGGATTCCAAGCAATGTCTAAGCTGTCGAGAAGCCATGGAGGAAGTCCCAGAAACGGAAATCTTGATGTTTGCACTGTTTGGCTGCCCCACCGCCTAGCGCCGTTTGGCTTTTCTCGACTTTTCTCGTTTCTGCTCCGTCGTCCTTTCTCTTCCTTCTTCACAACTCTCAAAAGTCCCTCTAATGTCGAGGGACCTTGGAGTGCAATCTCTGCCTCACTAACTTAATGTGAGTATCCAATTACCCTTTTCCACACCTGTCTTGTATGACGAGAGAGTTCCAACTCCAGTTCGGCGACAAAAAATGGGCCAAGAACAAACATGCATCACCATCTGACTATGACAACAACCTTACTATTGGTTTCTTCATGCATTGTATAGCATCACTCGCTAACAATTGCTTCAGAACAGATCCAATCTCTATGCTCATTCAGCTCTTCTGAGCTGTCTAGCCGAGAAGCCTGCGAAAGCTATCACTCACAGAGGTAAGAAAAACTTTTTTTTCTCCAGCTCCCAACCCCCACCCTCTCAAGTGATGAGAAAACATTTTCAGTTCTGCTTCTGCAAAATTTTTGAAGATAACAAAATACCTTACCAAAAACTCCTGAACCTTCTTGGGTCTACCTACATTGTCTTTCAGTCTCGCCGTTTATGACACCAGTACTGACAAGTCAAAAGATCTTAGTTTTGTAGTACATCCAAACTCGACCTTCATTGCTCCAAAAGGTACATCATCGTCTCTTTCTCACTGCACCAACCCCCAGTTATTATGATGACACCTAGTCAATCCATTCCATGACCTCTTGGAGGAACCGCCCCTCAGGTACGCACCCATGCCGTACAGCATGTGAGAAATACAGGCGTCGATCCATGGTTTCCAACTCCCTCATACTGGACCCGTCGTGTCTTCGGGCATGACAGGGAGGAAGGTTGTGGAGTCCGGAGGCCTTGGGCTCGTCGGCGTCTGAGGTCGTTTCTCATTTTGTTGTCTTGTCCGCGGCGTGGTACTGCTATGCTTGGCTTGTGCTGGTATCTCGTGTGAGGCAACTTATCCGTCTTGGGTGACTGTCTCATGCGAGGGCCCAGCAGGGGATGGTATGAGTTAAACGGCTGGCTGAATACACTTCTTTGCTTCTTTGAAGCTTATGCTTGTCATGCTTTCTTTAGTCTTTTAGACTTTCGCTAACAACATTCAAGATATAGGGTCTTTGAGCATATAATTGAAATAATGAATACATTTTGTACCCTGACTGTCTTCCAAGTTTAAATATCGTAGCTGCGCATGGTCATCATGAAGTAGGCTCCCGGGGTCCATTTCCCGCTTAAGCAAACTGCTTCACATCAAGGGCTCCCGAGCCCTGAACTTTTGACCCTGTGCCTTGATTTCGATGAGAAATTACTCTACACTGGAGGATTGCAACATCAAACATCATCAATTGACTGAGCTAGTAAAGCAATTCGTAGCTATATACATGTCACGAAAGGAAGAAAAAAGTTGATGGCACAAACCTCCCCGGGTCCCCAGGACCAAACACATTAAAGCTTCCCCTTCCCCTGCTCAAAACCAAGTCCTTGCAGGAGTACCTGCAGAGTCAAAGGTGAGTCCACCTGGTCTCTAGGTGTACTTTTCTTTCTTTCTATATCTTTTCTTTTCTGTTTTATCATCAACTGGACGCCTCTCTTTAATGCAGCTCAATTACCAGGTGCCATTTCAATCGAGCATCGAAAACGTTGCAAGTTCAAAACTAAACAGTTCTCTGGTCCAAGAGATCGCTGGATCAATTGTATTGGAGATCGAATTTGGGAGATTAATCCTTGCCCTCGTCGAGGGGGGTCGTCGTTCCATTCGATCTCGACATGCTGTAAGGGGCCTGTGTGGTAACTGTTAGCCTTGGATACAGCCGATGTCAACTTGTTACTCACGAGAACTTTCTTAGCATTGCAAATTCTCCATGCAAGATTGCGAACGTTGCCATCGGCCTTGACGACCTCGGCTGCTAGCTCGATACCAAACCTGAGGACGAATTAGCGACGAAAACACCTGGGCTGCGTTTGAAAGAATACTCACATTTGATGAACCGCAAAGACAACCCGATTGGCAAACTTGCCATCCCGTTCCACCAGACTGCCGAACTGCTCATCACCAGTTTCCGGGGCAATCTCAGGGTCGCGGTCGAAACAGTTACGGACGACAGGTAGCAAGGCTTGTTCGACAGCCAACTCTGCCAGTGAATCGCCACTGGCAATATTATCATCTGCGTCGAAGCGACGAATGCGGATTTCAAAAGGTCTCGAAATAGCCATGACATTGTGCATGCCGTTGTGGTGATAACGAAGCTCGAAAACGCCTTGTGTCCAGAAGAGCTTATCGCCTGAAAGGAGGATTTCGCCAGATGCGAACTCGCGGTCTTCCTTGTCTTTGCGCTCGGAAGACGGGATGATCACATCACTGCTGAGAATGCCCTTTTCACATGTCAGGTTGTCGTAGGAGCCCTGGTTCGTGGCGACCCAGCGGCCTTGCGATGAGACCCGGGTGACCTCGCGTGAAGTGTTGTCTGTAACTCGGTAGAGACCGATCCAGTCCTTTTTGCTGTGGTTGAGGGGGGCGCTCCACTTCACCTTGATGGGGGAGCCGTATTCGAATGTCAGGTCCTTGAGGTCGCCGCGTCGGTCCAAGGGCATGCGGGCGTTTGCGCCTTCGCGGCCCTTGGTTTTCTCGCTATCCTGGAAGGATACCCCATCGGTGCCTTCCAGGGAGAGGGAGTAATCGCTGAGCTCGAATCCGGCTAGATCAGCATCGATTCGAGAGATGGTTACTCGGGCAGGGTATTTCTGGAAAAGTGCGGTGGTATCTTTCACGAAGGTGTTTACTCCGGCCGCAAGCTTGGGTCGCGCAGTCTCCAGGATTTCTTCGATGAAATCGAATGAGCCATCGAACATCTTGTCAACACTGCCGTGCAGTTGTTGGAGGGAGGGAGGCAGAGACCGCTTCAGGCTCTTGACAAGACCTGCATCCTGACGAAGGCTGCGACCGTACAGCTTTTGCATGTGAGGGCGTTCCACGAATTGGATGAAAGCCAGGCTTAGGATATGGCTCGTCAAAGCAAGGAAGGTGACAGCGGCGCTGCTTGTAATGAGGACAGCGCCCCATACACCTGCGAGACCAAGGACGCGCTCGGGGTTATTGAGGAAACGGTAGATGCCGTTGTAGGTGAGTTTGGGAGAATCATCGAAGAAGAAATCGCCGTAGAACCAGCCGAATTCGCCAAGGGACTCGTAGATGCTGACTGAGGTCCAGATTTGAAGACTGATCAGACCAGCACCCAGGATGTGACGGAACAAGACAAGCCCGTAGCCCCAGTCGGCCGGGAAGGTGTACATTTTCCACACGGCGGCAATGAAACTGGAGTAACACAGAACCATACTCATGTGATAAGTGCCCTTCCATTGGCTCCAGGCCTCGTGCGGTGTGTCGCCATACTTGACGAAATGCCGAGTCCAGGATTTGGTGTTAGATTGGTTTCGAAGCAGATACCCAATGCCTACGGAGTACCAAATTCGGGAAGCCAGGGCGAGAGTGACAAAGAGGAACTGGTAACCTGGTGTTGAGGGTGTCAGGGCCGTGATGGAGAATACAAGAAGCTGAACGAGCATAATCGAGGAATCCGTGGTTCTATGCAAGTCCAAGTTGTGGAGCCCCAGGAGGTTGTGAACGGCCTGGGGCGGTTTAGCGGAATACGAGGGTGTCGCGTTGGGGGGTTGATCTTCAGACGGGGTTGGCGCGTTTGGAGTGTCTAGATCGAGTAGGTTGGCGGTGGAATCCGCACAGGTAGAGCGCTTTCGGGGTGGTGGCGGGTTGTAGGTCTTGTCGATGTGCGGGTTCTCGACGAGGACGAGGAAGGCGAATTGAGCTGCATGGGCAATGATCGAGATGAAGAGGACTTTATAGCTGGCGGCCATCAGGGAGATTCCGTAGTAGCCTGCGTAGCCCACGGAGTACATAGGATGCGGGGCCATTTCGAAGACACCATCGAAGGTCAACTCCTGGTCGATGAGGTAGAAGAAATCTCCCCAGTACCAAGCGTAGTCCTTGACTACTCGATGGGCATCTAGTTTGACCCACAAGTTGAAAAGCACTAAAACAATACCTGCGGACCAGCGCAAGACGGTCATGAACACATTCTCATCCACGGGTTGGTGGCCACAAGCGATTGCGAAGAGGCAGTAAGAAGTGAAATCACACATGAGAATCAGATCCACGAGCCGCCTAAAGACCAGCCAGGTGTTGTATTCAATTGGAGCATCGTCGAACGAGTAATCCTGCGGGATTTTGGTCTCCAATTCCCGCTTGACCCACGCATACAATTTGGGATGCGGATTATCTCCAGTGGCCGGGTTGACAAAGAGCTTGGTCTTCTCCGCCCATCGAAGTAGTGTCTTGTGGTGCGACTGGTTATGCAGCAGCCACCCGATGCCTCCATTGTAAGCGAAACGCCAGAAAAGGTAGGTGACTGCAAAAACCGGGATCTTCGCGCCCGCGGGGAGTGCCCAGAGGAACAAGATATGACCCGCCAGTAAAACGAGCACCACTAGATCACCGAAATTCTTGGGCTCGGAGGGCGACAGCAGCTGGGAGACCATGTCGTGGGTTTGTGGGACCGTGAACACTAGATTCACACGGTTAGCAGCGGATTTCCCCCACAGCCCGATACCAACAGGCAGTGCCGAAAGCTCCTTTCGTCTTACCGGTTCCATCGGGAGTTCGTCCAAAGGTCTTCAGCTCATTGCCCTCCTTGTCTTTGGCCTCGATCTCCCCAGTGGCTGTTAAAGCCTCGCGACTGACTGTTGAATCAGCGCGTACATTTCTCTCTCGTAGCCCATCAGTTCTCTGATGGGCCCCTGTTGAAAGGCCTTGATCCATGATGTCAAGGGTGTTGAGAAGAGGAAAAGTGTTGAGGTGCAAGCATGTGACGGGAGTCTGTTTAGTCAGTATTTCCCCGCTTAATATGCCAATCCTAAGAGCTCCAGATGTCCAGGTCAATGTTAGTCTGCCTTGTTCTTGGGCAATTTTATTCAACTTTCAAAGCGCAGCTTGGTGTCAACTAGGGTATTTATAGTGTGAGGGAGTGGACCCTAATGTGCCTCTAGTACTGTCCGGAGGTCGAACGGAGCCGAAGGGAAAAGAACTGGGTCCTGGATCAACTACGCTAACTCTGCGTCTCTCACGGGACAATTTGTTGGGACCTCGTATCAGCAGTAGAAAGCAGTACTCCCTCAAGTACTCAAGGGCTCATTCAATTCATCGTGACTATGTATCGCGGGGTATTCAGACGGCAAATGCGGGAACACTTTTCCCATGCGCGCTTGGGCAGTGCCTCGCTCAAGCCCCCATCAAGTATGCATGATCATGTCGACACTTTCCACGAATGGATGTAGTGGGTCCCCCAGCCTATCCGCGTCCCTGGGGGCTGTTGATCGGGAATGTGTCCAATCCCCTCCGGAGGACAGGCGTTTACAGTCGAGATTGATAATAGATACCCATGGCCTTACGTGGATGCACTGCAGTTAGTAGGTGCATGGCTGCACGGTCCAATGGTAGGTGCAGCAAGATATCCCCGCTTCTGGTCTCACGCCATGACAGCATCGGATGCAGGATGCATTAGGCCATGTCTATCAGTTTGAGTTGACGCGAAATCAAGGTTCTGGTACCCCCCTGGTTAAGTGCTGACAGGACCAGGCCCTTGGCAGTGCACATGAGTTGCATTAGGTGGCTTGAACAGGGTTGCTGTTTAGTGGCGCTTCGCGTGCAGTGTCGCGCATCAAGAGGATTTTTGCTCGAATCCCGACCTCGAGCCCTGAAGCTGGTACCATTGACGAATCAACATCTCACTAGTGCGACACATTGAGTCGGAGAGCGACCACGAGCGGGCATCTGCTTGGTAGATTAGTTAAAAACAAGAATTGTTGCTTCACATGCAATCTCCATGTGTATGTTCTCGGGTTCCCATCCGACCTAGATTCCACGCTGATGGCTTCATTGCGCCATGGCTTCAAGTAACGACTGCACCTCTGGGCTGGACAACAGTCAATCCGAGAGGAATTGAGAGACCTGGCCTATGTCAGAACAACCTAGTCACTCGTGAAATTGCCGTCGCTGCAAGGTGGTACCATTTGCTGTCTACACTCGCGTCGAATCCCATGTCAGTCTTTTCAACGGAGGAATCTCATCCCATATTATGATCCCAAACGATCATGGAGAGAGTAAAGAGCATACACAGATCGGAGTCGACCTCCGACACCGCAGGCTACCCCACCAATCGCCAGGGCGGCTTTGGATTTAGTCATCTCCGCTTATCAAGCAGTCCGCCACTTCAATGTTCAATGTTCGACATGGTTGGATTTGATCTTTCCAACTCCCTCGACACATCAAAATGGCGCCCTTCGTAGAGGAATCCGCTGAGGAGTCTCGCGCAGTCTCATCTAAGGTGGCGCCCAACCTCGTAGCGCCCGAACCAGGTATGCGTCACAGCGTCAACTGCTGAACCCTCCCCGCTAACGAGTCCCAGAGCACTGTCCCGGTCCCGAATCCGAAAAAGCCGGTCAAGGCGATGCTTGCGCCGGCTGTCCGAATCAACAAATCTGCGCGACCGCGCCAAAGGGCCCAGACCCCGATATCCCAATCATCACCGAACGACTCTCTCAAATCCGGCACAAGATTCTAGTCCTGTCTGGCAAAGGCGGAGTCGGCAAGTCAACATTCTCAACACTACTTTCGCACGGATTCGCCGCGAACCCAGACTCAACCATTGGCATCATGGACACGGACATCTGCGGGCCATCGATCCCCAAGATGATGGGCGTGGAGTCGGAGACAATCCACGTTAGCAATGCAGGCTGGAGTCCTGTCTGGGTTACAGATAACCTCGGTGCCATGAGCGTGCAGTTCATGCTCCCCAATCGAGATGATGCGGTCATCTGGCGCGGACCCAAGAAGAATGGTCTCATTAAACAATTCCTCAAGGATGTGGACTGGGGCGAGTTGGATTACCTGATTGTCGACACTCCCCCCGGAACTTCGGACGAGCATCTGTCCGTCAACTCATTGCTGAAGGAGTCAGGTGTCGACGGTGCTGTCGTGGTGACGACTCCGCAGGAAGTGTCGTTGCTGGACGTTCGCAAGGAGATCGATTTCTGCCGCAAGGCTGGAATCAAGGTCCTTGGTCTGGTGGAGAACATGTCCGGCTTTGTTTGCCCTAGCTGCACACATGAGTCTCAGATTTTCCGCGCAACTACTGGCGGGGGCCGAAGGCTGGCCAAGAAAATGGGAATTCCATTCCTCGGTGCTGTGCCTTTGGATCCCCGCGTTGGTATGGCATGCGACTATGGTGAGAGCTTCGTCGATAATTATCCCGATAGTCCGGCGTCGAAGGCTATCAAGCGCGTCGTCCGTGCAGTCGGTGAAGCCGTCGGGGAAAATCCCGAGGATGTGCTTCCAGAGGATTTGATCGGTTGAGGCCGTTCCTTTTCTTTCTTTTTTTGTTTTCTTAACACAGCGTGATGCATATAGGGATGGCTTCTACGGAAGACTTTGGCGTTCAAAGGGACATAGCATATTACACTTGATTGAATCCGATGACGCAAAATGGCAATTAGACTACCAACTTCCTTAATGAGTAACCTGTCAGGTCTACGCGAAGCATATGATGTGTGGTTCTCCCACTACACTATCGTCTATCTCGTGTCTCTTGAACCTACCTAGGTAGGGACTCGGGTGCGGACCACGGGGTCTATCAATCCACAATGGCATTTGGGCAGGCAATTGCAGCATAAAATTACGCAAGCAACCTTGGAAGCTAGAGCAAATTGAGCGGGTATAGGGATGCTATTAGCATTGAAATCTTCTAGAATGGACGATCATCAGTGTTAGCCGGATGGATGGCTGAAAGAGACGTCCACGGGTCCACGGGTCCACGAGTCCCGAGGTTTTTCTCGAGCTTGGTCCAGTGGACTTCTGGAGATGGAGTATGAGTTATTCTCGACTCCAGCGCTTCAAAAGTCTCCGCGTTGATTGATAATTTGTTGTGCTCGCCTAATCGTTCCCAAAGAGGAAATCAAAGACGAAGCTGAGTAATTTCCTGACATCATGGGCACTTCTCAAGGGTTTCAATGCCTCGCTCAATTCTCTCCATATGTTATAAGTCCAATCCAATTCGCAGTCTGGAGGACAATAGCACCATCGGGACACTCGATACCGTTTTGCTAAGAGCCAAGAGAATCGTGAAACATATCCATTCTTCACTATGACGGAAGTACAGACAATGGCCATGGTCACTGGCCCCGGCCCAACTCTCGAGTACAAGCAAGTCAATACGCCCAGCCCCGGACCCGGTCAGATGTTGGTGAAGGTACATTACGCAGCCCAGAACCCAACTGACAGTATGACAAAAACCATCTCTACTTGATAAGATCTATGACGCTGAATTGCATTTAGTCCAGAGCTTCGATATCTCTATGTTCGGCGATGATGCTGTCCTCGGTTGCGACTTTGTCGGCGAGGTTGTCAAGCTTGGAGAAGGGGTGAGGAAGTATGCAGTGGGCGATCTTATTGCCTCAACTGTCTGGGGAGGTAAGATGTGACCAGTTTAATGTCTTGCTCGTTTTGACTGTCTCGCTAGGTGAGATCAAGGGCCTAGGTGCCTACGCCACATACACTTTGGCCGATGAAAAAATCTCATTCAAGGTCCCGGATACTGTCTCGTCCCCCAGCGCGGCTACGGTCTCCCTCGCTGCGTGTACAGCTTGGCTAGCTCTTTACTCTGACCGCTGTCTGAACATCGGACGAGCAAGCAAAGAAAGCGTCCTCATTTGGGGTGGAAGCTGTAGGTTATCTCTTGCTTCTTGGACCACGTCTCAGTCACTCTAACCTTGGAATCTTTCTACAGCCAGTGTCGCACAATTTGCCATCCAGCTTGCCTCAATCTACGGCCTGAACGTTGTGACGACTTGCAGTCCTCGCAATTTCGATCTGGTCAAAAGTCTTGGAGCTGAACACGTCTATGACTATAAATCCCCCAATGTCACCGAGCTCATTCGGAAGGATGTTCCCGATCTGAAATACGTCTTCGATACCATTGGAAACGAGGATAATTCCTCGGGTCTGGCAGCCAAATCGGGTAATCCGGATTGCACACTCTGCACAGTACGACCGGGCTTGGTCAACACTGAAGGTGTGCCAGACACCGTCAAGCGCGTTGATGTTATGATTTGGACCGCATTCCTCAAAGTTGTTCAATACAAGGGACATGAGTGGCCGGTAAGATATCTCTCCTATTCTCTCTCCCACATGTCCTCACTAAGGAAATCACAGAAAAGCCAGAGGGACCGGGAACTCGGAGCAGAGCTCTTTGAACATATCCCCAAATGGATTGCGGAGGGCAAGTTCAAACCGAACGCCGTGCACCAAATGACGGGTCTCAAGTCTGTCCCAGAAGGCTTCCAGCTACATCGCGATGGTAAGATTTCTGCGAAGAAGGTGGTGTATCAGATTTAGATAGTACCGGACTGCTTCAACATGTAAATAGACACCTCTATTAAGTTTGGAGTATGTTTCGGATTGGCTAGAGGTAGGAATCCCCTATTCCGTCAGTATCACACATCTTTCCATGCTCAAATCCCTAGACGGTATATACTCCGCGTTAGACCAGGGGTCCGGCCGTTTGACCCTCTTCTCGGGACTTCTGTCACTGGTGCTTAGCTCTGTTTGCAATTGAGAATGAGAGAGATATAGAAGCTCTGGGGTGCTTAAGTAGGTAGCATAAGTCTGCAGAGCATAATTAGTCATTGGCTCTTTTGATTGGTCAATGTCTGATTACGTCGGATCACTCCCGAGATCGCTAACCTTCCAAGGTGGAAAACGCCCTCACCATAAGCTCTGAGGTATATGCCCTGCTTGATGTCTGTGCGAATGATTTTGTGAGACATTGAGATATTTCGAAACCCCATCATTCATTGAAACTCTCCATGTCTTCAAAGACAGGAACAAGACGGAGGACTGGTTGCATCACCTGTCGACGACGTCGCATCCGGTGCGATGAGGTGAAACCCGTCTGTTGCAATTGTCAAAAACATCATTCACGATGTACTTGGCAACAGCCACTCCGTTTCGTGTACCACACTCAATCTGACTCAGCGGAAACTACGGGCGAGCCCGATGAACCTGTGCTCGAGGCAGTAAGCAAGGAATATCTACCATTTTCTCTCAGGGATCTGATAGGCCTGTAGCCATGTGAGCAGACGATTCGCAGCTCAAACCGTCGAAGACCTTCTCCGACTCAAAGGCAAAGCTCCCTGAGGAGCTCATCGGTGGGGTTACTAGAATCTGGGGGAGTGTCTGGGACTGCAGAAAATGATACAGGAAGCCCAGGGAGTTCCAAATCAGCTGATACTTTCCAAACCCCAAGAGGTTCAAGAAATGATGACCGCTCTTCGGGATCTACTGCCAGAAATGCACATCTCGATAGCCCGCTGGGCCCATCCAGATCTAGCGGTGCATTCAGTGGTCTAGTCTTGAATGAGGAACCTCGACGATTCCATTCGCCTTGCAACTCTGAACGACTTGGCCAGAGGACGCCCATGGGATGGACAGCACTACAGAGCTCCAAAGATCCGGGGATGGATACCCTGCTTGCATCATTATCAGCTGCTCAACAGATCACACTCATTCAGAACTACATCGACGAAATAGCGCCCTGGTTTGACTCGACAGATACTTTGCGCCACTTTTCCTATCGATCAGTGCATCACATGATGGATTGCCCACCTTGGAAGGCTGCTGCACTGGCCATTTCAGCTAAAAATCTAGAGCTCCGTGATCAAGGAGTTGGGTCGTCATCCCTTGAACTCTACCAGATTGCCGTACAACACACCATTGATTACCTATCGCAAGGGTATCGCGATAAAGGAGGACTTGCCGCATGCCAAATTCTCGCAGTATATGAGATGATGACCTTTGCATATAAAGATTGGACACGTCATCTCAAGGGTTGCGCAACAATATTCCTAACTAATCACTGGAATGGCTCCGTAGAGGATGAATTTATATCGCGGTCCTTTTGGTCCTTCTCGCGCACAGGTGAGTACAAATATTTTTTATCATTTTCCCATAGATGCTCATTTCTAGATATATGGGCTGCTTTTTGTTTCCAGAATTCTACAGTCATACCCACGGATTTCTGGCTCAACGACCCTACTACAATAATGCAGCAGGAGAGCATGGACGAAGAAACACACGCTCATATGGCTCAGTGGTTGTGTGCAAGGGTCGTCAATCTGCTCCCTAGAAGAGGAGAGTCAGAGTCACCTGAGATTCAGCACGAAATAGCGGAACTCCGATCCCTGTTGGGCTCTTGGGAGGCTAAAGGGTCCAGAGCCACTCAACCGATCGCTCACTACGAACCCACAGAAGCGGAAGATGAGCCTTTTCCGATGATCCTGCTTCCTAATACTAGTTCAAGTGTGTTTTGAATTTGCTGAAACCCTTCGGCACGGAAGGTCATACTGATTTTGTCTCAAGTTATAGGACGTTGTATGTTTCATACTGCAATGGTGCTCCTTGAGGAGATGGTAGTCGCAAGGAATTCAGTCCTCCAGGTTCCCTCCTCTGACGAGATCTATCACCACGCTCGTCTAGCGTGTGGTGTTATTAGGACAAATCCCAAATCGTAAGCCATCCGTACACCTTGCTCTCCCCCGGATGACTGACTGAAAAGCGCTTCAGGTGCTGCTTGGTCAATTCACTACAGCCTGCCTGGATTTGCGGCAGGCATTTGCGCACACGATCTGAAAAGTTTGCTGTACTTGAGATTTTCGGTGCAATTGGGAGGCAAACTGGATGGAAAACTGACTGGCGAGCTACCTCGCTACGACGACTTTGGGGTATACCTTGACCGGAGGAATTGCGGTCATATCTAGGTGCCTTTTTCAGTACCCTGTCATACTACTTCTACTAGATCTGAAAAAGTCGGGGAGGAGAGAGGAGAGGATGTAAGCTATAGCCACAAGCCCCAGAGACCTACATCCATCATAATCTAGTATACTCATCAATACCTCAAAGCCCGGGGAGTCTTAGAATTTATTTCTTTTGCAATCAAATATCAGGCTAGGGTTTCGTGACAAAAGTCCTGGTCTCCAACATCATGGATCGATGCGCTGATTGTCTGGCACGTGATCTCGCTCAAATGTTCCCGAAAGAGAGCAATTACGCGAGATTGCGGACCACTCATGGACACGTTCAATTGCCCACGCTAACTAGCAGACGAAACAACATGGAATGGGACAATTCCAATCCATTTACTTCCAAGAATACTAGTAGAGGCAAAGGACGCGACGCTCGGTGAGAAGGAGGTTACACTTGGGCAGGCCTCCCAGAGTAGCAAGCCACGCGACCTCTCCTTTCTCACCTCTTCGCCATTCTGTGTTGAGGAAGAGACCTGCAAAGACTCCTTATGAACAAACCAATCCTTTAATCTCATTCCTCAACAACCTCGGATGGGAAACCATCGCTACCCCCGTGTTTTCCAAGTGGTTTGCCTTGGATCCTGCTCCTGCCTCCCCAGGCGACAGAAGGGGGATGGCGTGGCCTATAACTCGTCCTTCAGGAGCCATTCTTTCATTTAATAAGGCGATGATAGGCTTCAGAACCCTGGAGATGGTTTTGTTCCATTCCTAACTCTCTGTGGCATAGCAACTTTGCCAAAAATCGAGGAATGACAGAGGAAAGAGGAATCAACGCCCCTTTCAGGAGTATCAGTATGCTGCGTACACTAAAGCCAACTGATCAATCTCGTCACCACTCTGTCCCATGAATCCAACCACCGCAAACCCATCCGGCGCAGTATAAGTCTGACAGTCGGCAGTCGAGACTCCCGTCTCCAGGGTGTTACCGGCGCTCGTCGTCGCCTGGATATAGAAGATCCGAGTATGGCTGTTGTACTTGCCGGTACAAAGCTTAGTCTGCGTCCAATACTCGCCCGAGCCAAGCGCAAGCGAGACCTCCGTGCCACCAGTGCCACCATGACTGAACGAAGTGCCATCTGCCAAATCCAAAGCCACATGATCAACCCTCTTATTACCCCGGAACTTAATCACCGAAGTAGCAGGGGAAGAAGGCAACTTGGGAACATCACTGAACCAAGTTCCGTGAGGACCACCGGCGAACTGGCTCTGGCGCAGTTTGGAATTCAACGACCAGGTGAAGTTCACGAGCACGGGGTTATGATCCGAAAGAACACTGCCAAGGTACTTGGAGTCGGTGTTTGTGAACTTATCGCCGTTGTAGTCGAAGCTGTCTGCCTTGAGTGTCACCAGGTCAGAGCCACGGTATAGGACTTTGTCAACTGTTTCACAAGTGAGGATTGAAGACGGGTTGTCGCAGAGGATAGCGTCAGCGCCGGCGGTAGGATAGACACCATCCCTTTCAAGCTCAACCCATGGATCTGCGAGGTTGTTCTGGGACGTCAAGACGCGGAGTCCGGTGTCATCTGCACGGGTATAGCGACTGTTCGTGTCGCCCATTACCACGACTGCATTTCCAATCGACTTGGTGTCTATGAAATCAGCGACCTGCTGCAGATTCGAGTTGCGAGCAGTCTCGTCGTCGTCTTCGGTGCTAGGGGACAAGTCAGTATCGAAAGAAAGGACTCTTATCCCGCCTGGCAGGATTAAATCTAGGAATCTGGACTTACCCAGCATCCGCATGGATGTTGTAAAAGTCAATGTAAACCCCCTCGACCGGGTTCCAGCGCATAAAGGTAAGGCCTTTGGGCGTTAGGCAATCAGCGCCAGAAGCATCGGAGCATTTGTTCCATTTCACACGCTCGAAATCAACCCAGTCATAGTTGGATATGGTATTCAAGCCACTTCCGATTGCTGCGCCGCCAGATGTGGCAGTTCGGTACGCGTGGTTATCTGTTTCGTAGATGTAGGCGTGGTAATTAAAGTCCTATAAGAAGTTGTCAATTGAGTGTCCTGGCGGCTTCCAACGTCGAATGCTAGGAATATGCTTTACCTCTTGCATGTTGATGATATCGTAGCCATACTTTGAGAAGTAAGTGCCGAGTTGGTTCGCATTCTCGGGTTTCGTGCCATTCACATCGTTTGATTGCAGTATAGAAGGTAGACCTGCAACGTTGAAGCTCAGGGCTGTGAATTTTCCGCTTGCTGCTGCGTTGGCTAATGCCGGGAGTAGTGCTCCCAGGATAATTGATTTCATAGTGAGAGCTTCTAATACAAAAGAATGAGTGAGTAAAAAAAAAAAAGTTCACAACAAACACGATATGATCGTATCCAGTGGTTGAAATGGAGCTCAGATTCCGCACATGGGCAAGGGCAGTCGGGGTGTTATGTACGGGCTCCGCGGGCCTGCCCTATACCATTTAGACTATTGATTTTCGTTATAAATAGAGACTCGCATGGATCAATCACCCGCATAGTATATTTTATGAAATCAGAACATCGGCAACATCAAGTTTTATCCTGCCAAGATCGAACGGTTCCTGCGCTAGGACCATAACGTAGGTGATTGACGATGATTGGCGGTATTTCTCCCTGTTCTGTCGGACGGCCGGTTCGGTTAGATGCGTGTGGAGACAGGGGTTGAACTTCGGAGGAATTGCTCTAGGCTGAAAGGTTGCCAAAGGTCGTCAAATCATCGAGAAATTAGCTCCTTCAAGGTTCATAATGCCAAGGCTCAAGGATGCGCTTAATTTCGTTTTCAACGGACACGGGGGAATAAGTTCCGATAATGCTGACTATGTACATTTTCTTCTATCAACAGGCTTCCCATCTCAAGAGGTTTTGGTCGTGTTGGATGTCTGGATCAAGATTCGGCGATAGCTCGTAAGAGGATGGTATCCATCATCAGTCACTTCCAGGATCAAATGTAGCAACCAGCATCCGGAAGAGGTTTCAGCTTTTCCATTGCAGCTTTCGCTAGCTGCAGGAAGCTGCACCTTGGCCTCCCGGCCGCCGTTAGTGGATGTAACATTGAACGCAGGTACCTGACCAGCAACGTTCCAATCCGTTGATCCAGGCTCACGGTACTGGAACCATTTGAAGCTCAAAGAATCGCCGTCGGGATCCGACGTTGCTCCAGCATTGAACGTGATGGTGGAGCCAGCCATGGCGGTGATATTCAATGGGGCCAACGAGGCACTGCCATTCACCGAGACGATGGGGTGGTGATTTGCTTTGCTGATGTTGGCCGGGAGAGACCACTGCATACGAGCGGCAAAATCATTCTGGAAAGCACTTCTCCATCGCCAGATTGTCGCCTGGTTGGAGACGAAGGTCTTGTTGTTCTTTCCGACCACGCGGTCGGCAGTATCACTGTAGTGGTTGAAATTGAGAATAGTGGACGGGTTGACCTTCGAGTAACGACCGCCCCAAGACCCATAATCAGGCCGCTCGGAGACACCCAGTCCATTCTGAATCAAATACAGGAAGGTCGGGGTATCGCCCTCCATGATAAACTTGAAGTCTGGATACGCAGCTTTTCCATAAGTTCCAATCTGGATGTTGTCGCGCAACCACTTGTGGTCGACCGTTGTGTTGTCGGAGCCTCCAATATCTCTACCGTAGTAGACTTCTCCGGAAATCCCAATCCACGCAGCAAGACCGTACTGGTTCCAGCCGTGGGTTGAGGAAATGTAAAACACGTCTGGGAATTGCTGGCGAATCCAGGCACCTGTGTCGTCCTGGTCAGAGATCGCATAGACACGGACACGAGACCGGATCGCGGCGGCTTCGGTCGCCGAGTAGGTATCTTGGATTTTGTATAGCACTTGGGCGAGGACGTTGGTTCCACCCCATGCGAGTACCCATAATGGCTGGTCGGACTTCTCTAGGAGGCGTTCAAGGAGCAACTTCCCTCCATCACTCAAAGTGACATTTTTGCCAACCGCAGTCATGCCGTAGGTCTTGGGTTTGCGTTAGCTGATGTAAATATTTGGGGAGGTGTCGAACTCACTGCAGCGCCCTTCCGCACAAGACTGCGCATGTGCTTTCCTGACGGGTATTGAGAATCCGGGGGAGCATGGCGGTTGAGGTTGGCTGTCACATTTCCATAGGCATCGATCACGGACAGCAAATCTTCAGGATAGACTTCGTCTCGCAGCCATGTTGACGTGACGGCGACAATTCCCTCTGTCTGGAACTGGTTGGCGTATAGCAAGTATCGGGTCAAGGACTCGGCATCGTCAGGCTCATTGGAGATGTCAGAAACAATGAAAACCCTTGGTTTATCGGGGATTGGCAAAAATGAACTGGTGTTGACGGCTTTGGCGAGTGTTTGGACTGTTAATGTCCACAGCACAAAAAGTGCAGTGAAGGCGGCCATGATTCACCTCGGAACTACTCCGAACTCTGCCAAAAGCTACAGCTCCAGCAAACACTTGCATGTTTATATGTCCTACAGGATTCCGACGAGACCATTCTGCGTCATTACTCTGCACCCCACACTGTGGGGCGGTAAATCCTGCCCGATCTGACCATCGACACCCCCAAAGAGGCAATCTCGCTGAAACAGGACATTCTAACCACCGGCTCCGCTCTGTTGCGTCGATCATGACCTTTTAGGGCTCGGGACTCTCGGCCCGGAGTGTAAACACACGATACTCGGCATTCACCCTCCACACTTCGGCTCTTTGTCTTCCCGGCTTTCAGCTCAATCCCGACATCGGCTAGGGCTCACAGCCTTGAACGTGAAAGGGTATTGAACAATCGGTCCAATGTTCGAGGTCGAAGTCTTTGTCCAACTTCGGTTCAATTTCTTTGTCTTTGACCTTGTCCCCTATGTCTCGATGTCTTTGCCATTGTTCTCTCTTTCTCCTTTGAGGGGACTCTCTATGCTTTCGAGTCTTTCCTTGTCTTTTTTGTCCATGGCCAAATATGTAGCCTTGAAAGAAAGTCTTTGTGCCTTGGAGGGACATACAGAGTATGTTCCTCGAAGATATCAACTATATAAATCACGATGACATCCGTGTATAGCTTCATATCAACAACATCAGAACATCAAGCATCTCAACAAGAAGCAACACTAATCCAGCAGATTACATTCAGACACGGATTTCGATCAAGATCTTATATACAAAAACGTTCTCAAAATGCCTTCTCGCCGGTTTTTCTGCTGCGGAGACGATAACCACGATCATTGGGGCCTGAAGGCCGCTAAAAAAGTGGCTGAACGTCCGATTGAGCTCAAAAGGGTAAAGGGAGGCCATGTCCAAAAGCTTCCTAAGACACACCAGAGAGCAAGCCCCAAAAGCCCTGGGCGTAGTACGAAGACACAATCTAGCCGGCATTCTCGACAAGGCTCTGCGACTGGGACTGCGAGTGGGAGTGGTTACCAGAGCTCTCACAGGAGCTCCGTGCAGAGTAGTCACAGGCAATCTGGGCAAAGCGGTCACAGGCAATCTGGGCAAAGCGGCCACAGGCAATCTTCACAGAGCGCCCAAGGGAGTGGCATCGAGAGCTATGTGTTCGACGACAATCAGTCTCAAGGGACCTATAGCGTTCAGAGCTACAGCCATGGGACCTACAGCCACATCCACGACCCGGCTCATACCCACGTCGGGACCCATACCTACACCGAGAGCCTCCAAATCACAGACAGTGCCCATGGAAGTGAGCATGGAAGTCATGGAACCATCCGGACTCGCCATAGCAGTGTCCATGGAAGTGCTCATGGAAGTGGCCATGGAAGTGACCGTGGAAGTCATGGAACTCTCCGGTCCCGCCATAGCAGTGTTCATGGGAGCCACCACGGGAGCCAGCTCCAAATCCAAGACAGTGCTCATGGAAGTGCTCATGGAAGTGTCCATGGAAGTGGCCATGGAAGTGAGCATGGAAGTCATGGAACTATCCGGACTCGCCATAGCAGTGTCCATGGAAGTGCCCATGGAAGTGCTGCAACTCTCGGAGAACAACTGGGTGCGCTTGAGATCTACGGGGGCCATGGGCGAGACAGTGCCCATGGAAGTCGTGGGACTGTCGCGATTCGGAGTGCGCAAGGATCCGGACGCTCCTCGGGAATAATCGCACCTGGTCTGGGTGACCATTTATCCATGAACCCGGCACGTTATCCTTATGGCGATTATCAATTCCATGGCGCATGGCGCCAACGGTGGCTTCAGGATCCGCATGCTCCGAACTGCCCAATCGTGCCCAAGAGACCTCTGAATTTTATGCACTTCTCCCAGACCAGAGATCTCCGTCGGCGGTGGCGCATCATCGGATCCACCTTCGGCCCTGCACCCGCAGGCTTTAACAATGAGGTTGCGGCACTGGGCTTCCCCTATGGAAACCAAGCCTACCGTAACATCAGAATTGAGGGACCGACACCAGCTAACGAGGATTTCGAGCCTAGTGAGTACGCCCATCGCACCGCACGTGGAGTCATCTTCGCCATGGACATCAACAGAACAGATGGACCTCATTGGTGTGATATCGCCATGGCGCAATATGTGATGGACCACCCAGCCGACACCTTGCGGAGCATCTATTTCCACGATGTTATCAACCCAGACACTAGGCGCCTCATCGTCAACCACCTCTACACCCAGCGAATGCCCCTGCGCTTTGAAGCTCGAGACAACGCCGAGGCGGAGGTGCCGATCACTTGGACCTTCGGTACTCCTGAGTACCAGGCGATTCTAGGAACCACTTTTGGAAAAGGTGTGTGTGCTCTTCTTGCTACCTACTTCCCTCGAGGTACCATGATTGTTTCCCGAGTCGTGACTTGGAAGTATGCTGACCTGCAAATCCGATTTGATATTGAGCCGATTGAGTACATGGCAGGAATTGACATTTAGGGCATCAGGCTCGTCACCACTTCATAGATAGACGCCTTTCACTATACGGAAAGGCATAGTCATAGAGGTAAGCTCTCTTTACATTTGGGGTTGCTAACTGGGATTATCACACTTGTTCTAGTGCCTGTTTTGCTGATTTGTATGCAATTTTGAAATTTGTAAGTCGTTCATATGTTTTGTCTTCCTCGCTTAACAATATCAATCAATACATCAATCAAAACTATCTGGTCATTTCACGTAGCCACAGTAAAGCAATTGGTGGTAAATGTAAAGATTGCAGGTCGTAGCTCCAAGTATAGATGTAGACACTAAATCCCAAATAGGAAAGGTGCCAAGCATGTTCCATGGATCCACGTGCTTCTCATGAGTCAGCAACAGCCTTGTTTGTCAGGCTCCACTCGGGGAAACGGATGATGTCATGCAGCATCACAGCAAGGCCACAGCTGTCAGAGGAAGTTAGTTAAATTCCCGGACTTCCAGTCCACTTCGCTCAATTTCAAATCCTCTTCATCCCTGTACCCATACAATTCTACTCAACATGTCGTTCATCACCGCCATCCGAGCTTCTCGTCAAGCTCTCCGCTCCAATATCATTCCCGCCTCCACTTTCCACACTTCCGCCGTCCGGAGCTTGAACGAGAATGACCGACGTCAGTACCCCCGCCAGATCCTACCAATTGGCCCAGCTAACATGAAAAAGACCGTGACAACCTCGCCGACCACTATGAATCCCACAAGCAAGAAGGCCTGAAAGAGAGCAAGGAGGGCAAGGGCAAATGGAAGTCCGAGCTGGCAAGTACCAGTGAAGCTGATGTGAGTCTGTCCCTTATTCATGCTGTATTATCGGCATCGCAAGGCCGAAATATGCCGAGTCTTTAATCGGAACTAACATAGGCATTCGTACAGGTGAAAGCCGATCGTGGCGAATTTGATGGTGATCACCCCTCCTTCAGGGACATGCAAGAGAAGACGAAACACATTCCCCACGAGCAGCAGAAGGCACAGGGAAATAAGCAATGAGTGTGACCTGTCGCTTTTTCTGCCTTTCTCGTTACGCAATAGCTTCAAGATGTGTTTTGATTCAGTTCCCATGAATGAGGATGTTCGGAGTCTGGTGGGTGATTTGTATAAGTTGATCGCATTTACCAATGGCACTTGATAAAATTTACATTATGTGGGACATTTATCTCGCAAGACTTCGATGTAGTATTCGGAGAATCACACGAGTCTAGAACTCAGCCGTGCCAGCGCCTTAAGCATGGTAAAACATCAATCCAATCAATCCATATATCAATTCAAGGAACGCCCGCTCGTCGAAAAGAAACATTCAAAACATATCCCAGAACCAGTGAGGGTGTTATTTCAAAATCACAATCAGAATGACCAGAGTAATAATCAGACCGATGATAGTCATCATGCTCCAGTTATCCCCAGCCTTGCGACGGATGCGATCAATGCGCCGCCGGGCACCGTCGAGTCGAGTCTGATGACGTTCGACGTCTCCGTCCATTCCATCCAACAGTTGGATATGGCCCTCCAGCTCATCGCCAATCTGAATGCTCAGCTGGTGCTGTCTGCCAATCGATTCACCAAGTCGATCCAACTGATCGTCTTGATCGCGCATGGTCTGCGCATGATGGTCGTAAATTTGTTGATTATCCATTCCAGACTGGTCAGGGCCGGACGGCGAGGGCTGGTCGCGATAGGGACGGAACAGATTATTGCGATCGCGATCTTCTTCTTGGTCGATCTCGTCTTGCACCGCGGCCGCTGCGGCGGAGTTGTCCATGAATCGGACGGATTTGGATGAAGGGTGTTGGGGAACCGGCTGCTTGAGGTCGGGGGTGGCGGACTTCGACGCCTGCGTCGTAGGATCCGTTGCTTCGGGGCCGGTACCGTAGAACTGGATGGATAGTTCCTGGAATTGCGCTTGGAGGGGGACAAGTTGGTCTTGGATGGCGGCGGCGCCGGCAATATCTTGAGACTCCGTTAAACGGGTGTGGTCGGCTTCCACGGCTTCGATGCCCTCGCGGAGGGAATCGAGGGAGCGCGATATCTCTCCATCTTGAGAATTGGGCTCAAGGTCTAGTGAGATGGCCCGTTGGCGCTCCAATAAAGACAGCTTGATATGATCGGCGAGTAGGAAGAGTTGGGAAGGGTTCGTCATGATGTGTCAGATTGAGGGAAGTCAGGTCGTGGCAGTTGGCGGTATCAGGTGTGTGGATGATCGGTTCAGAGAATGGCCTCCGATGGGGCCAGGTAGTGTCGGGGGACAAGTTGAGATGGAGATGGGGTAGAGACGGAGAAGCAGAAGCGGAGGCAACAACGCGCAGATCGACCGCTTTCCGCCTTTGCCTCCCTTTTGGTCCCCGCCGTCGCTCTCTCTCCCTTATTTTCCTTGCATTGGAAGGTCGAACATGTCGAATTCAAGCAAACACCTACTTCCTATCGTCCAAATCATCGTTTTCTGACTGGAGTCACCCTCATGGATCCAGAGTATCTGCTGCCCTACCTCGGTATCTAGTGCATAACCCATCTGCATGAACCCGCGTATCGGTTCCACCTCTACAAGGACAAGACAACAGTATCCCCGACGCCTCACATCAATACCCGGGCCTCGCAACAGGCTCTCAATCCGCGCAAAATGAACCTAGAAGAGTTTCTAGCAATGGAGGAAAGCCGCGAGCGGGACGAGCTGATCGACCTCCGCGGCCTTGACTTCGTCTCCGAATACGACTCACATCTTATGTGCCCGATCTGCCACTGCCCCTTCGTTGATCCCGTTCATCTACAATGTGACCACGTCTTTTGCGGGAGTTGCCTCAGTTCGGCGATCACTACATTCCGCTCGGCCGACTCGGATGATTTCCCGTGTCCCTCTTGCCGCATCCCCGCCAAAGAAATATCGACTAGTGTGCCGCGGTTATTGATCAACATGTGCGACGAAATTCGCGTACGGTGTCCGCTTTTAACTGAGGGGTGTGAAGAAATCATTCCCCGGGGGCATGTCCAATCGCATGTCGAGAAGTATTGTGGATATCGGTTGGTTCCATGCCCGGATGATTCTTGCGACAAGATGATGCGAAGCAATGACGTCGGGATCAAGACCAAGTGCATGCATGCAGTCCGCTTTTGTCCTCGCTGCGAAGAGAATGTTGTCGAGCAAGACTTCGAGGTTCGTCATCCATGTTCTTTCTTGGCGCTCTATAGATATAACTAACTCATATTCCAGGAGCACGATGTCAAGCTTTGTCCAGTTCTTGAAGTGACTTGCACAGACTGCCAGACAGTCGTAACCCGAGGGGAGCTGGATGCACACTTGGAATCATGTCCCGAGGTTGCGATTCCCTGCTCGGCATCCAAGTATGCCTGCCCAGTCAAGATCCGACGCGCTGATATTGCAACACATGAGCAAAGTTGCCCATTAGTTGCGATGGGGCCTTATTTTGAAGGCCAAAACGCCAGACTCAATTCCCTTGAGTTAGGCATGCGTCACCTGCAGCAGCGAAATGAGATCTTCGAAGACGGCCTCGCCAACATTCGATCTACCCTGATGGAATCCACGCGGGTAAACCCCAGCAGCCATAACAATAGATCTTCAACACAAAGTACCCGAGACCAGCAACCACGGGCACGTCCGGAAGTCGACCCCGGTGACTCCGAAGACATCGCCACAAGCATATTTTCCTCAACTGCCAATAGCTACCTGCTTTCGCTACATGAATCTCTTCGCGAACAAGTCGGACAGTTGTCACATGCCATCACTGACCTAGACGCTCGTGCCAGCATGACTATCATGAACGAATCTCTGCGCATCAAGGAGGATATGGCCCTCACGAATGCCGCAATGAACAGTGTTCGCATGCAGGTCCAGTGGCTTATGAATCCCAGGCTTCACCAAGGGCCCCGGGGAGCCGTCCGTGCCAATAACACAACTGAAGGTACACGCACCCAGCTTGACTCATCCGCTTCGACGGCTGGTCCGAGTACTAGCTCTGCTCAATCACTAGGGTTCCTTAGGCCTAGACGATTGAGTGATACTGGACGTGAAGGGACCAAGCTTTAATGCTTGTTCGAGGATGTCATTACGGGCGCTGCATATGAACTTAGTGGAGTGGGGGAATCGCGCTATGCTGTTTGCACTGTCAGACTCGAGCGCTCCCCCCATTTCACGAGGTATTGTATTTGAATTCTTCAAGCCTGCTCCGCGTTGCATATCTGAGGTCTTTAATTGTGGTTAAAGATGGATGAGCTTCGTGTGCCTGCATCTTCGTTTCTATCAGGACATCACCTTAGTTGGGAAGTTGGAACCCTGGTAATCTCAAACTTGTAATATAACCAGGGTCGAAGACTTGATAACTTCAATTCGCACTCGATCCTTCTAATCCATACGTAGCTCTTTAAGCTACGTGCCAATTTACTCCTCGCTTCTGCCTGTTCCACAACGCCTGGATAAATTCGACAAAAGCAGACTTCAGGAGCGATGAAACTAATAACGATCCATTCTGTATCCCTCCAACTCGCGTCGCGATTTGTGCTTAGACTGAATGCAAGCTGTGCCTGAATAAACCGAGCTATTACCCAATTCGAGAACCTCGGCTTTCCCCTTTTCGAAAATAAGCCCAGGATGCCCGATGTTTGAACATATGGCGGCGACACACATGGCACTGGCACGATGAATCAGTAACGTAGATCAAGCGTGGAATATGGGTACCTTACCCGGACTCAAGTGCGATGAATAGTGGCTCATCTCTGAACAAAGGGCTGAAATATCCGGCGTGTAACTCCACAATGCGATAGACACATCGAATCAAAATGAGAATGGTTGACAATGTTAGAAAAAAGAGGAAGACATTCATTCGTCTGGTAAAAACCATGCCGTTGTATAGTTTCCAGCAAGAATGCAGGTAGTCGAGAAAGAGAAGCGTGAATAAAGAGAGCGTAGCAACCTGGAAGATCAATCCGGCGAGCGAAACGTCCACTCCGACTTGAATCTTCAATTTGGTACTTCCAATACAGGATAGTGCCCCGCCGACGGCTTGCAAAATGAGGGACACAATATCGCAGGAAATGAATATCCAGGAGAAATATCGAGCTTTGAAGCGAGAGACCCTTTCATCAATGTGTAAGATTCTGCGATGGTATTAGACGGTTTGCCACTTGTTTGGAAAGAAGGAAGTACATACGTTTGAGTCAATAGAACATAAATGGCAGCGCAAAAGAACACAGGAGCAACTGTGATGCAAACTTTCGGGTTGTTAGAATCTGACGGCATGGAGGAAATAGTGGACGAACTGATCTGCATGATGAACCCATTGAAGTCAAATGGATTATCGTGGATGATGATGCGCCCAACGTATCCAACGATCTCCAATATGCACCCACCTATCAAGCTAGCCATGAAGCCCCACGAGCAATTATAAGTGCCATTGAACACATTCCAAAGGAGTGAGATAGCAAATATTGCTATTGGGGCATAGGTAGCTGGAAGAGATGGTTGATATCTGAGAATGCTGGCTTCGAGGGGACAGAGGTCTAGGGTACAGTTGGCACCTGGTCCAAATGAGATGAGCCCATCTGGTAGTCCCGGCATTTCTTGGGACGACATTTGGTGAACCTGTAAATTCAATGTATGGAATATAGTCACCCAGCCGAGACTCAAAGAGTAGAAGAATCAGGCGTTCTTTTATCGTTCATACGTTCTAAAGCGTACCATGGTCCCTTTGTATGTTCTGTTCATTTGTGACCGGGCTGTGCTTGCGGTGGATATAGCTAAGAGACCACCTTCCCCCCACTCAAAGACGGTTATATCCAACCAAGTTTGACAGTCTACTTCATTTACGGAAGATTGCTTCTGCCTTAAGCTCGGACTTTCTCACCATCCATCAATGGATATTGATGGATAGGTATACACCCAAATGCGTATATCATTGGTGCATCTTGTGCTGTGTACTTTCGGGGTCCTCATTATGTCTTCCCAGGTACCGTCCAATAAAGATATCCCGAGCATTCATCCTTGGCTCTTTGGTGTTCCATTGTTAAAAATAGAAATGAACACAAATTTGGTATGCGAGGATACATATTTTTCTAGTTCAAGTGCGGTCATCTCCCTGAGGGCTGTGATTTACCGTAGGAACGCCCAGTATTTATACAGATCTAACAACTACCTAGGTACATCGATCTAATCATTTCAATCATGATGAAGTCCTAAAGAATATCCCTCTGCATCGCACGGGCGTGCTCTCGTCCTTGTTGAAACTTGGAAGATCGGATAATTATAGATTGAAAAAAATAAGGGTGCCTCCCTTTGGATTGAAGTTTCTAACCCCCGGGAGCTAATGAAATATGTCATTGATAGATAGCAAAGTCTTGCCAGTTTCATGGAGCTGCCAGGTGTGTTTACCTTCGGAGCCGGAGACAGAGCTGGGGTGCATTTCTGTATTTTTTTTTTTTTTTTTTTTTAGTTTACCTGCCACATTATGTCCGCAACGAAACCGTTGTTCTTGATTATAGATACCCAGCCTCACAATTCCGATAGGAGTCATAGCTCTGTCCCATCTCATGTACATTTGTATTCTTAGAAATTTCCACTACTAGATAGTAGTAGATCGAGACCAAAAACAAATTCACCGTCGGTGCTTATTAACTTCATTCTTGCGCCGGGCCCTTCGTAGCGGACCCACCTTTATTGAGAGCTGCGGGTCGCCCTACCCGAGAGATCTTGGTAGTGCATAGTTTCAAGGCATCACGGAGTACTACGTATATCTCCGAGCTATTTGTAGGTTTCAACATTCGAAAATAGTATATTTGACGTAATTTAGACATGTCAGCCGGTAGAATCGCCCGGGCGTATTCATGGATGTTGAAATTAAATGACGCGATCAGATGAGGAGTCTTGTTACACCGAGGATTTTAGGGCTGAACTTGGAAGCGGGACCAAAAATGATTAATTGGAAAAGCGTGCCAGGGGGGGCTCTTTGGAAAGCATTCAAGGTGCAAGTGTGGACAGAAGGTGTTAGACAAGTGTATACAGTTCAATTCAAACAATACGTCTATTTGGTCTAGACCAGGCTAGTGACGATTGCAAAATTAATCAAATATATCAAGCGGGTTGATGAGGGAAAGTTGATAGTAGCTAAGCTGCAGTGCAGTCACCCATGTACTCGTGTTGGTGCTAGTAGTAATGACGCGCCGACCCCCCGGGAGGTCCTGAGAGGTCTACCCCACAACATTTCAAGATTTCCATCGTATTTCCCCCGCTTTTCCATAGAGCAGTCTGTCAGAACTTAATCCTTCCGGGTTGTAAGAAAGCGGATGGAAGCTCATTCCATTGGGGTATTCAACACAGTACCTAGTATGCGCATTCAGACGAACACAACATATCTTCACTCAGTAGCAGTAAAGGCAGAATTTGCAAGGTGGTGTCTTCTCCAGTTGTTCACTGCTTCAGTGTCCAGTCCCTTGAAATGCTTCTTCCCATAAAAGATGTAAAGAAGGCAAGAAAATATAGCGGCTAGCAGCGTGATCGCAAAGTTATAGTTCAATGTAGTTGCATCCCACTCTTTCTGGGGTGGGAAGCACTGCATGACAATCATGTATGACTGAGAAATGAAAGCGAGGACATGAATGGGGATGCTCCATCGACCTAAATCAAACGGACCGGCTACCCACCTGTCACCGGCAAAAATGCGGAAGCCGATAGGAATAATGTATGTGATTAGGCTGGCGATGACGGAAAGTGAATATATAATCGTACTGGCCTCACTTGAAAGAGAAAGCAGGAGGACGAGAAATGTCCCAATGCTTAGCATTCCAAGGGAATAAATGGGTAGATTGAGGCGAGGGTGCACATAAGCAAAGTGCGCAGCCCACGGGAAGCCTCCGTCTCGAGCAAAGGCAGCGATTTGACTTGCGTACGTGAGAAGTGTTCCACTTCCTCCAATAAAGCCAACTGGGGTGATGAACAGGAAGAAGGCGGAAGCTATGGTTCGTCCCCAGTGCTCCACAACCATATCCATCAAGGGATACCCACTCAAGAAATATGTCAGTTCATTTGACATCTTGAAAATGTAGTTGAAAGAGTATTGACTTACCTGGTGCTATTGGCCATAGCCGCGATATCGGTGATGCAGAATGCGGAAACTACGCAGACAACAAGTCCCGAGATCGCCGTCACAGTGAAGGTGTAGAGGAGAGACTTGGGAATCTCAACCGCCGCATTATGAGTTTCTTCAGACATATACACTGGAACCATCCATGCTGAGTTCACCCAAAAGACACAAAACCATGAGTAGGGGACAGCCACGGCAGGATCCCAATCGCTGAAGTTTTCGAATGAAGTAAATACCTCCCGGGCAGAAGCAAATGGTAGGCCTTGAGCTGAGCGTGTGGCCGGTAGTCCAATAATGTATATCAAGGTCTGAACTAAAATCAGGATTGCTAGGTATTTCATTAGCTGTGATGATTATAGTAAGTTTAGTTCACTCACCCATAGCGATATAAACCATCGAGATCCGTTCCAGCTTCATGCACATTAGAGCTGCCCACAGTATCACCACTGCCATAGACAAAGCCATCAACTCTGACTCTGTGCCATTGAATCCCGGAGCTGCTATAGTGAGTCCGTACGCGAACGCAGACGCAACTGCGAATGCGAAGCTGGCAGTTGCTGCGAAGATCTGCAAGATATTCAACCATCCAGAGATGTAAGACAAGGCGTGCGACCACCTGGGGGGTGCGAGTGCTCCTGTCCACCAGTAGAAAGCTCCGTTAAGAGGCATAGAAGATGACAATTCACAGATGGCGAGTACCTCAGGGAGCATAACAAAGTTGGGAATGATCCAGCCCCTATCGCAAGGTGAGAAAATGTCAAGACCAATCTGTCCCAGATTATCTTACCAAGAAAGACCCCAGTACCCGGCATACATAATCTGATAGGATGCCTGGATCATTATAGCGGTGAATGGACTGGTGTGAGTCAGTAGTTGGGCTGGGGACAATACTTCAGTTCGAAGTCAGCCTTGAATTACCCACCTTGTCAATGAAATCACGAGACACATGTTCCCCAGAGATCGAAAGATCCTGCGATAGACCGCAACGTATCCGAACTCTCCTATCAGATCATCTTCTTGGTCGTCAGGCGTCATCTCGTGGTGTGCCAAAGGTGCCGGCACCTTCAATTTCTTTGTCGAGGAGCTGTCTGATCCATCCATCTTGACTGCAACTGAAGAATATGCTGCAAGTGTGGACAATTGGAGTTCACCGAAGAACACGAGTTGCTGATCACTGGTTCGGGCTTGACGAGTAAAGGATTCATTCAATATTTATGTGAAGGTCAGGATTTCGGGATTGATAGTCAGTTGAAAAAACTCTGAAATTTGATACACTCTTGACTATTTAGAATGAGTAGCGTGTCAGGGTCACTGGATTGACGTTATCCCCTCCACAAAAACGACAATACTAGCTTGGAATGTGGCGACCTCCTGGGCGATCAATGGATAAACTCAACGATAATGCTAATTCAAGAACCTGCGCGGGGTAGAGTTGTTTGCAAGAAGCGCTAGTGGCCCTGATCTGCACTTTAATGGCGATGCCTGAATATTCCGGAAATAGTCCGACGGCGGATGTGCCGCTGTGAGTGACCTCGGGAAGATATGGTCGAAAAATCACCGGCGGCCAATTTCAGCCGGAGGTTCCACCTGACTAGATATACACCTGGCAGTGGAGCCGATGCCGAGGATCTGTTTGATCGTCGTATTGGTACGTATTCCATGCAATCGTAAGCTCGCCTTCATGGATTCCAGACCCCAAGGATATTTCTTGGAATTTGACCACGTGGGCTATGTTTTGATGGTCAAAAATTACCAATCGCACTGCCCCGGTGGATGTAGCAGGTGATTTTATACCTCTGGAACAGGAAAAGCGTGATGATGATCTGACATTGAAGAAACATTGGCGGGGGGACTATGACCCTGGAAGCCATGGACACCACTGGCGCCTAGAAATTTCTTCGTGGGCTACTGGATATTGATCAATTTCGTGTTTTCTGGGTAAGTGCAGAGAGTAGTCCTGGAGCCTCAACTCTGTGTTTTAATCGAAAGCTAAGCTAAGATACAATTGCTGCTTCCCCAAGGTCGGAATGTTGGAGATTAGGTCACATGTTTCCTGGTCTCTTCTTCTTCTTCCCCTTTGCTCAGTTCTCTTGCTCTCTCTAGCTCCATCCTAATCAACTGATTGATCTATCTTCTGCATAAACAGAGGGACTACTCAGAACGGAAGAATCATGCAAGAATGTAATGATATTGAGAGTGGTAAGAAGGAGAAAGTAAAAAGAAAGCAAGAACTACCTAGGTAAGATCTATGGAAGGAAGTAATCACATGATGCTTCAACACTTTTGCCTTCTATCACGGAGACTGTTTGAAATTTTGCATGCCTACCGCTGAGACCTTGGAGCCAGAACTACTTGCTAGGTCTAGCATTGATACATAAGTTATGTACTAAGATTGAGTGTCCCTTAATTTCCTCACTACACAGTGCATAATAGCAAGAGAACTTTCGAGCATTCATGAAAAACAAAACACAGCTCCTGAAAGACGATTTGAAAATGCCAAAGCTGACGAGGAAAGAATGCTTGTATATCCTTTTTATCTATTGCTCCCAAGGACTGAACTCAACCACGAATGCCGCGATAGAATCAAGAAGACGATCGATTGACGCATGTGTGTGACACAGATTGAGAGCCACGAATCCCCGCCTCCCAATAGAAAGACCACGATTGAGGAGGCTGAAATAGAAAATTTCCCGAAGTTCGTTCGCATGCTCCCCATTGAAATGGATTCCAATCATACTGCCATGTCCAGAGAACAACATTGGATCAAATTTAGAGACCAATTTGTTGCCTTCCTCCCGCGAGCGATCACCTAATCGGTTCAGCCGTTCAATCTCAGTTGGATTGATTAACTTTGACGCAGCCACAGCTGCGGACATCGTAAAGATATTGTTGTTGAAGGTTCCGGAGTGGTGAAGGGAGATTGTTCTGTCGGGTGAATCAAATCGATCCATGATTCTGGCCGAGCCACCAAAGGCTCCAAATGGAAATCCTCCCCCTATGTACTTCCCGACGGTCGTCATGTCCGGTTTTATACCCCAGGCTCCTTGAAGGCCATGGTAATGCAGTCTGGAAGTCACGACTTCGTCGAAGATTAGAAGAGCTCCAACTTCGGTCGCTTTCTGGCGGAGAAAGTGTAGGAAATCCGCCGAGGCAGGCCTCAGCCCACCAGCAGATTGCATCGGCTCGATGAGAATAGCGGCGACTTCCTCAGTGATGAGTGACTCAGTTTCTTCGATACTGTTGAACTTTCCAACCACAAATTCATGAGGAAGATTCATCGGGCTGCCCATGGCTCCGTGAAAGGCGATTGTGCCACCGTGATAACCATAGTCGAAGACTAAGATCTGGATTCAAATGACTTAGTGCGCACAATAAACTGCGGTGGAGACTCAAGTACCTTCTTTCGCCCAGTATAAGCGACCGCCGTGGCCAAAGCAAAGGTATTCGCTTCTGTGCCGGAGTTGCAAAATCGAACTTTTTCAACAGATGGGAATCTCCGGACCAGGACGTCTGCTAGTTCAGCTTCCTTTTCAATCACACCCCCGAGACTGAAGCCGACCGCCAAAGCCTCCTGTACAGCTTCATGAATTGCTGGGTGGGAGTGTCCATAGATACCTGCGGAGTAGTCGGAGATGAAATCCTCAAGTATCTTGTCATCGAGCGTGGTGATATTGGCGCCCTCTGCGGATCGGACGACCAAGGGAAATGGATCAGATACTAGAACGGATCGTGTTGACCCAGCGGGTAGTACACGCTGAGCATTCTCAAATGCCTTCTTTGACAGTGGATGCGCCGCCTCATACTGCTGCCTCAGAGACTGCAGCTTCATTCGAATGCTGCTTTGGGATTCAAGGCTCATTTCGAATGTACCGGACGATTTGCTCTTGGGAAGAAAGGACCGTTGGCAGAATTGATTTTGCGGCAGCGAAGTGAGGGGAGGAAGCAATTCATATGTACAAAGATGAGGGACTTCATGAGGGGCCAGAGAAATATTCTCCAATTGTCCATGAGTCGTCTCCACATATCCTGCCCCATTGTATTCAATTTGTACAATACGGAGAATTCGATCTTACTCACTCAAAACGGAGAAAGCATCAAAAGATGAGCCGGACTGGGAAAGACGCAGCCGAGGCGCAGAAGTAGAAACGATGCCCCGACGAGGAGGCAGGCGTGGAGGTCCGTGACGAAGCCTTGGGGGTGATCCCCGACAGGTATCCACCCTTGTGCCCCCACAAGCAGAAATCGCCGACGGCATATTGTTCGCATTAGCCGCCGTGTTCACTTTCATTTCACTTGGGTATCTATATTATTTGTCTCAGTTTCAATGTGCAAACCGCATTGACCTAGGCATCTTTCACTCGAATTGTCTCCTTATCCCCACCTCTCTCTCCTTAAGTTTTCATCATTTGTCCACCAAAGATCATGGCCGAGTCAATACAGAGCGAAAGGACAGAGACACCGTGTCTCCAATCATGGGAGGAGATTGCATATCGAAAGCGTACGGCGAGAGATCGAGGCGTGTCCCGATGGCTGCCCGGGACCCTGCCATCCCTGGGACCTGACGAAACCTATGTTCGGGATGTCCCTCGATACCCCGGACTTCTCACCGAAGAGCAGCTCAGCATGACCGACTCACCACCGAGCCTGCTGCTACAAAACATGTCCAACGGATATTGGAGCGCTGAGAGCGTCATCCGTGCTTTCATAGCTCGCACCGCCATTGCCCATGAGCTCACGAATCCATTGACCGAGACGTTCTTCGATAATGCCGTGAAACGCGCGCGCGAGCTAGACAATGTTCTACATGAAACTGGAAACGTTGTTGGGCCCCTTCACGGCCTCCCGATGAGCCTCAAAGATGTCATGCACATTCATGGACAAGAGGCGACCCTTGGAGTTATTGCGTGGGTGGGTCGCAGCTCGCAGACAGAAGACCGTCTAATTACCAAGCTCTCCGACGCCGGTGTGGTCTTCTACTGCAAGACAAACGTTCCTCAAACCTTGATGTCAGGAGAATGTAACAATTTTGTTTTTGGCCGCACATCCACCCCGTTCAATACACTACTCTCGGCCGGTGGGTCCAGTGGTGGTGAGGGCTCTCTCATCTCCCTCGGCGGCAGCCCTCTGGGTCTAGGCAGTGATATTGCCGGGTCGATCCGCACACCCGCAAACTTCAATGGAATATATGGGCTCTGTCCATCTCCTGATCGCCTCCCGTCACACTCCGCTGAGAACACAGATGGAGCAACAGTTATTAGGGCGGTTGTTGGGCCTCTGTCTCGTGGGGTTGATGGTCTCGAGGTGTACACTCGGGCTATATTATCCATGAACCCATGGGACTGGGATTTCAGTAGTGCAAAGATCCCATGGAGGGAAGAAGAATATCAGGAGGGCTTAGGGAAAAATCATCGGCTTGCTTTTGGCTTCATGCCTCATGATTCAGTTGTGCTGCCAAACCCGCCAATTCTCCGCGGGTTGCAAGAGACAAAGAATGCCCTCAGACGAATGGGACATCAAGTTATCGATATTGAGCCTTTCGATGGGAGGGAACTAATGGACGCTGCCTTCAAAGTGTATTTTGCGGACGGTGGGGAGCAGATTCGCGAACTACTGAGCATTCTTGATGAGCCCCTGATCAAGGAAGTTCAGGAGCCAGACCCATCGACAAAGCTTTCCATTCCTCAATACGAAGCAGCTGCCATCAAAATCAAACAGCTCCGGCAGAAATATTTGGACATTTGGCAAAAGACATCTTGCCAAACACAGACCGGCCTTCCGATAGACGCGATCATTCTTCCGTCCGGTGGCACCGTTGCTCCCCCACACAGTTCAATGGAGTATTTCACCTACGAGGCAATTTCAAATGTTCTTGAATGGACATGTGCAACGATCCCGGTGACAAAGGTAAATTCCAGATTAGATCAGAAGCCGAAACGACCGTTTGAACCGATGTCTGATTTTGATCGGCGAAATTGGGAAAAATGTGTGTATTACCCAGATTTCTAGATCGATCCCAAAGAAGACAAAAGCTAAAAATTTCAGACGGGCCTGAGATCTACCAAGATGCGCCAGTCTGCTTGCAGGTCATGGGGCGCCGGTATGAAGAGGAAAAGGTTCTTGGGCTATTGAGAACCATTGATGAGGCTTTAGGAAGAGGAGAATATTACATGTGTTGAGGAGTCATGGGATGGAAGAAGTCGCCGAGAGTCCACCTGGGCAGGTAGGATCACGAATCGCTCTAAGCTCGTGGCCAATTCTCTCTTTTTCTTTTTCTTTTTCTTTTCCTTTCGGTAGAGGCGGTCTGGAATATCTTCCACGCGGGTTTGGAGAGAAATAGAGAAAGTTTCAAACAAAAATTGACCAAGTCTACATTTTTTACTCCGTTGCCATATCTGTATTTTACTTCATTCTGCACGCATGGATCAACAAACCCTGGAAATGTTCATGTGCTGTTCAAGGGTTAGAGAAAATGCTAGAGAAAGAGTCGCAATCTGGTATACAATAGCACGTAGAGAACTATGGGGAGCACAATGGCAGTCTCATGAAGCAGACAGGATGATTGGAGGACTATGATCCTGAGGGCAGTGATGAACAGTAGCTTCCAAGCTAAATCTGAGGAAACAGTCAGATTTAATTCACCAGAAAGTGAAAATATAGGGAGTAGAGAGTGTGGTACTGAGTCTTCTGTGTCTAAGTGCACAATTCTGGTTAGACCTGATATCAGCCGTGTTCTGCTCAGCGTTCTTGATCTAAAACTTTGCTGGCCGATAGCTTTGCTCAACATAAATCGTGCGAGCATTTTTGGACCGGACTATAGACATTTTGGCCCCGGCTGGAATCCACAACAAGCTTCCGGCGGATAATTCGTGTACTTCACCACTAAATTCATTTTTGAGAACCAACTCGCCTTGATTTTGTCACAGATAAGAATCAGTTTTCCTTTCTTTTGGGTATCCAAGAACAAACCCACCTGCAATGACATATTTAACTTCATCCCATTCAGCTTCCCAAGCTGGCGTAGGCTCATCAAAATCCATAACTTCCCAGATACCAGCGACGATAGGACTCTGGCAGCGATGTCTTTTTCAACCGGTGTTATTCACCCGGCATTGATATTTTTGACCAAATCGTGGGGGGTACGTACGTGGAACCGACCAGATCGGTGAAGCTACCTGCACCCTCCTGTGTCTCAGGTATCAATTTGTCGACATTGTTTACAGCAACTAGGTTTGCAGACATTTTGAGAGTGTTGGTGTCGAAGGCTGCCAGACACTAGGTCGATAGAAAGAGGCGATATTTGAATTGGAATGAGAAAGAAGAATCTATGGGTCAAGATTTGAAGATTCGGTTGATTTTGATGATTGAAACCTTGAAGGCCTTCTGTACTAGGTAGTTATACCCCTGGCCCTGGCTATATAGGCAATAGTGATATAGATAGAATTTGCCGTCGGTGATTTTCTGCATTCGTCGGCACAAATGAGCATCCCAAGCTCAACTTGGAAAGGATCTGCTCTTTAGACCGAGGAATGCGTACACATCAGGTCAGCACAGGGGATTCCCGAGGTCCCAATGTCATTTCCACCAGAAAGTTAGAGGCTTCTATTTTTACTAATTCGAGGTCCCAAGTACTGCCCACGGGCCCCAGGTGGATTCTATTGTCATTCTTTTTCAATATGCCAAGAACATAAGGCGTCGCTGACGGTGTGACATTTTGACAACTCCAGCCTGCTTGCAAGGTTGACATTGGTCTGACAATGAGCTTACAAGGGCGTAAAAAACGCTCACCATGTGGTTCTCCGTTTTTCTGTTGATCGAAAGAAAAAATGAAATGTGAGACAGTAGTGCTTTGGTAGCCGGCCGAAATGACTGCGTCCAGCTTTTCTTGCACGAACAAAGAGCGGAACTGCTGCTTGGGCTTGGTGTGCTGCTCCTTCAAGTCTTATAGTGCTCCCAGTGTCAAAGGCACGTAGTTGAACGGCATATAATCTTGGGGAAGGGATGTGGTGGGTGGGTTCTCAAATGCAATTTCAGACAGGAATCACGATGCTGAGATCAAAGAATCCGTCTTGGCACACACGTTGGTCTGGGTCACAAAGTGTACAAATGACCCCGGTGAGATCATTTTCCGTGGCAGAACACTCAAGCCGAATATCTTCATTTGGACTTCCAGGATAATTCCATTGCCATCTGGCATCTTGATCACTCATTTTAATCATCCCAGAGCCACCAAGACACCATCGATAGCGGTGCAAGACTTCGCAAGATATGCTCAGGTTGTGTGATCCACCTTGTGTAAGTTTGGTTAGACATGTGGAGAGCAAAGTGCGAATCTCCCGAATAATTTCCAAGTCACATCGTTTGCACGATAACTCCAGCGCTTCTAAAACACTGATGTGGATACCAGAAGACACAATGACCTTCTGAGGGCAGGGCCTTGCATTGGGGTGGGAAAGAAATTGCCGAAGCACCAAGGTGTGGACGGCCGAGGAGAGAGATATGAAATAAATTGTGGCCGGAGAACAGTACTCCATGGTAGGGTCAATGGCTAATAGAAAGTGCAGTATCTAGAGAATGTAAGTTAGTCTTTGAAAGATCACGTTTGATACTGATGTTGGATGAAACGTTTCGGTAAGTTGGAAGATGACTTACCTCTCCAAGTAAGAATGAGTGCTCAACAATATGGGGGAAGCGGGAGATGTCACAATATACCTCCATCTGGATGAGGTCTAGAATGTCCCTTGTAGAGTCTTCAATGGAGTGTTATTCGTTAGAAACATAGTTAATAATATCAAGGGTGCACATGGGAAGGGTTTTCTCACATAAGATTACGAAAAGACCATGCATCCATATCATTGCCTCAAGCTGGTAGACCCTCTGGACTTCCTTCATGTCCAGCAGCTCATCTGGAAACTGGAAAAAATAGTCCTCGAGCTGAGTTCTCGATTCAATCCACGCGGGCGAGCCCATGACAGGGGCTTTGGTAATTGCGCTGATGATTCTGAGCTGAAAGATTAGCAAAAGTATCTAGTGATGTATACCTCATCGATTGAAAAGGAAGGTGGATGGGGTCAATCACATGATGAAATGTTGATAAAGACAGAAGAATGAATGCGGTTCCTCTAGATTTTGCCCTCCAGCCTCATATAAATGTTGGACGTCGTCCAGCGCGTGTATTGGTGCTGTCAAGTGTGCTTCGCCAATCCCAGCGTGCGGAGTTTGGTTATTAAGAATCAAGCTCAGAATTCTAAACGGCATTAGACGGTGGTCAGAGATTGGCTGGGCCGGTTTCTTACTGCTCGTGGAGAGTCAACCCAACGTTCATTCTACCCGAAAGATGAGGGTAAGCTTTGGAAAAGATGATCACTGAACGTGGAGTCAACCCACCGATACCTCAACTCTCGAGCCGAAGGAGTCAAATCTGAAGCGTTAAGATGAGAGTCATTCAGCAAGATTCTCGCCAGAGAGCACCAGCGGATAGAGTCTCGTGAGAAAATATCCGAGATACACCACGTGTAACTTAGTAGCAAGAGACAAAATGCACTCCAAGAGTGCAGCCGATTACCCTGCCAAGTTAAGTCAGGCATCAAAGCGAGTGCCGTTTTGATCAGAGTGTCTCTGCTGGATTCAAAGTTTCTTTGCATGTGACTAGGAAGCCGGTGTGCGTAGACTCCTAACGAAATGGCGAGCAGAGTAGAGCAGACTTCTGTCCGACGAATATGCTCAAGAAACTCGTCCGTCGGGGTATCGCCTGTCATTATTGAGAGTGCACGGGTGGGTATGATACTGTAGAACCCTTGATCGGGGACACATGATAAGAATGTCCTTAGATATTCCGCGGCAAGGTCATGCTGGACGGATAATTCTGGTAAATCTTCAAACACCGATAGATCTAGAAGGCCAGGCGAGCTAGTTGATGATCGTGCGGCGGAGTGTGTCGTTTGCAACAGAGGCTGGGGGTCCGTCGTTTGGAGCTGATGCCGTTGAAAATTGATCAGAAACTGCCCGTGGATTTCATCCACGCTCCTTGCAAAAAGTGTGGAGCCTTACTTGTGACGATTGGGTTGGTGCCTTCGGAGGGCGCCCGCGAGTACGCTGTGGCCGCACATTTGTACAATCTAGCCCTAGTCTCTGGCATCTTCCACAGGGGTTTCCATATTGGCATTGCGTTTTCTACAAGATATCAATCGGTGGTGTACGATTAGAGTAGAGATTCCAGCCGGACTGACCAAGGCATGGCAGCGATCGCAGGCTCGAGGAGCCACGCTGGTCTGGTCGTAGATTTCATCCTCCATGATCGTCTTGCAAGAGAAAAGTCGCACCACGGGCTGACAAAAAGGTCCAGGAGGTTCTAAGGTTGTAGCCCTGGAGTATTTCCAAGGTTGTGATGTACGGTGCTCCACGTGACCCGTGGTGATCTATCATCACGTGAGCCAATATGTCTGCCTCAGGCACCAATCCCCCAAAACGCTGATACCTACGCAGCGCGCAACCTTGAAACCTCGGGACCTTGCAAATGCTGCAAATTTGGGATCTGCTTTCTGGAGGACTTTCGGTATCTTCTCCTTAGTCACCGCATTTTCTTCGAAGGTTCGATCGTTTTGACCTTTCACACAACCCGAGACTCCGAGATTTTTCTTCCAATCCATGTCTAGCATCGGCCCCTCTCAATAGTACTTTTCAGTTGCTGATGAGAAGGTCGCGGAACATCGATATCCGCCGTCGGCAAATTCTCCTTCATGGTTGAGAGCCCGCTTCTTGTCGATCGATTCTCGCGCATGTCGGTCCTGCATTCGGAGCAGACGGAACGGATCGTTGCTTTCCTGCTTATCTGGTGAAAGCTTAGGCCTGGATGCCTCTGGATATCACTCGCGATGAGCTATCTCGATGTCCGCACTTGGGGGTTGAAACTTAGCGGTGCAGATAACCAAAGCCTGAGATTCTGTAAGTCACGAGTTTCGATGGCTCCAGTGTATAGTGGGGAAGTGTAGATTGACCAATCTTGTCGCCGCTTTTCCAGTTATACGACGTGCCCAGCGATCACTCGTGACAATTCCGGGATATGGCGTACCGCTTCTGGAATACTTGATGCCGCTTGCTGCGCGCTACCAAGGCTGCTTAGAGGCCATTCTAGCATTGGCTACTAGGCTCCGTTTCTCGGCCGCCCGCATGAAAATTATGCACCAATCCGGGATGGAAGTCCGTGAGGACTCCCTCAGCCACGTTCCAAATGAAGTATTTGACCGATACCAAAGAGCTCTTTATGGCCTCCGCTCTACCCTAGCACTCCTTCGGCCTGAAAATGGTGACTGCGAGGAGGCGGTGGCGGTGTCGTTGATTCTTTTGCTGTTCGGCTTTCCCAGTCACGAAATTTGGTCAGTCCATCTGAATGGGCTGATTGCTCTGTTGGAAGCCGTGCAGCCATTTAGCATGCAACCACTGTCTATCTACGCAACAGCCTCCAAAGTGGCCGCACATGCTGATATTCATGCATTCTCGCTTGGGAGGACCGAACCCAGTCGAAGATTATGGTTATCTTGGAATATCTGCCCGGTTGAGCGTATAATTCACCCAATCTCAACTCATCACTTCTCTCCACTGGAAATATCGTGTGGATATCCAGAAAGCTTGCTCACCATCATCGCATTACTGTCTGCTATAATTGAAGACGAGTTTGCAGGTCGCGCCCTTGACTCAGCCAGTCATAGCTACTTGCAGAGTCTCACGAGAAAATGGAGGGCTGGCCAATCCGCACAAATAAACATCGCGTCAACATTCACTTTCAACGCGGCAGGTGAAACCTCAGCGTTAGCCTCAAAATCAGATATCGAGTTTGTAATCGCGAGATGGCAACCACCATCGATTCCTGCCGCGCTACCAGTGGACACGAGTCTTACCCTCAGCACAGCGTGGGATATCATGCGCAAGGCCGCCATGATTTATCTTTGGCGGGGCGGCTTTGAATCCGATGTTTTGGCACCACTGCACAGTGACCATTATGCACTTATTGACCGTTTCATTCGGGAAATGTGCCTGGGAATTGACCATATCATACAGGCCGCAGAGCAACATCACATAACCATTGCCAACTCACTTATTTGGCCGTTAGTTGTCGTTGCGAATGAATGTTCCAGATATCCAGAACTACAGCCGAGGGTTTTATCATACCTTCAGAGGCTCTACACATATTTCACAATACCTCACCATCAGCTGTTGGAGTTTCTACTTCGCAAATTGTGGGAAAGGGCAACATCCCGTACTCGAAACTCGGATGTCCTCGGTGATGAGGTCTTGAGCTTGAGATCCATATGCTTTGAATGCCAAGCTGTCATTCCGCTACTTTGAATTTTGAATCCACTGCCGAAAATCGGTCTTTTCGGAAGTTCCCCCGTTGGCATGTCCGAATTCCCACTCACTTGAATGGATTCTGTGAGATTCTTCGGAATACCTAGCGGACTTTTGTAAGAAGAAAACGTAGTGCTTCAGATTCTTGATCGTTTATCACTTATCTATCTCTCACGCTAATCCATGGATTTGCAGCTTCTTTGTTTGAGAGAATAGCAACAAGATAAAGAGGAACTAAGCTGATCGGAGGACAGAAAGTAGAGACAATTTCCCCCAAAAAAAACATGTTGAGAACCTTGAATCATTCTACATATTTCGACGGTACGAATGAGGGAACCACGCTGGTGGTTCCCAATCTGTCTTTCCATCGAGCTGTGCAAGAATTGCATCAGTCACAACAGTCGAACAAGCAAAGCAACGACCCATTCCTTCTCCGTTGTGGCCGACCGACACAAACTCTCCCCTGTGAGTAGCTACGGGTCGACCAACAATACTGCATCCAGTCATCGTAAAGCCTTGAATTCCAGTCCAGTCATAAGTCACATCCTTTTCACAGGTCTGGTCAGAGAAACTGTGTGGGAAAGCTTTCCGCAGGAATGACAGCATCTCCTTTCGTGCTGGGTGTGTTGTTTCAAGTGTGATTGTGTCGTTGAAATCGCCTACCATTTCAGCTGTAGCAAAACCATGCAGATAGGGCCCTTTATTCGGTCGTTGGAGAATCCAATGCCAGAAGCTTGCGTACCCAAATCCACCTTCAAGTTGAATGGCAGTGTCTTGAAGATTTGGTTGCACACCCAGCATGTGAGCTTTGCAGCCGAACACCCCGTCGTTTTCGGACATTGATGGCAAAATGTGAGATGCGTAGGCATTTGTTGCATGGAGGACAGTCTTGGCTCTCGTTTTGCCCTTCGTCGAAACTACCGTGTATTGATAATCAGCGACATCTGGGTCACACAATACCCCCGATACAGGAGTATATGGGTGCAGCGTGAATTTCTTCATCCGTTCAAGCGCTTTTTCCAGAAGCAATGCCACGAACTTCCTAGGGTATATCGTGCCAGATCTTTCAAGATATGCACCACCGTGTTGAGCCGTGGAAGGGTCAATCGCAACTTTCTAACAATTTGTTAGAACTTAGCGATTGCTTGTGTTGTATTACCGATCTCTCGTACCTTTAGTATCCAGTCCGTCTCGACCAGATATCCCTCAGTGTCTAGACCATGCTCTTTGGCACATTTCAGGTCATTGACAAACTCTTGTCTTTCCTCCTCGTTTTCAAAGACGACAAGAGTACCCTTAACACTCAACTCAACCTCCTCGGTCGCTTCCAATCTTTCGATTGTGTCGATCATCATTTCTCGATTCATTTTTCCTGTATGCCGGAGCCGGAGAGCTTCCTCGACCCCAAAGGTTTCGGAGAGCCGAATCATATCATGCGCCTCTGGGCGGCCAATATGCCCACCATTGCGCCCGGTTGCCCCGGTGCAAAGACCACGAGCCTCAAATAAAGCAACTGTCAAGTCAGGGCGTGACTCAGACAGGCGAAAGGCAGCTGCGGCGCCCGTGATGCCAGACCCAATAATGACCACATCGGCATTTTCAGGAGCAGGGACTTTCACCCATTTTTCCTCATACTGGATTGGAAATTCCCGAATCCAGTAACTGTCAGACAAATGTGGAGGCTCTGGGAACTCGGCCGGGTTGGGAGCTCGTCTATGAAGAGCCATTTCGTCCGTGAGCTCTTCGCCCCAATGTGTGTCGGCGTAGGCACTTGCCACTGAAGGATCCATGATAATTCACGAGATGTAGTACTTGATCGAGGGTTGGTAAAACAGTGGTTATGAAGGACAAATTCGATAATAGTCGGGCACAAAAGCAGTTATTGCTGTTCGCGGCCCAGATTTATGTACAATTTTGATGGTTCAACCTTGGAAGTTCCTCCACGGAACGTGTGAATCAACCAATTTCTCGATATAGGATTCGATTCGGCATTTTTCAGAAGAGGAGAAGCGGAGTGACCCACAGGTGAAATCGACCGACGGCCCATTTCCATGCACAGTGGATGCTAGTATTACAAGCCAAGACCCACGGCAGATCTCGATTTTTCCCATACACCGCAACGTGAGCGATTGTAGCCTACGCTCAGGTTTACCGTGACGTTGAGTAGTAGGGGGCTGTACATTGAGGTATTTGAACAATAATCCACTTGCAGGCCCATCAGAAACGGCCCTTGGAACGTGAGACTGGGTTTCAAGGCTTTTCAGGAGTCGGGTGAACTAACACGATGACCCTCCATTGACATCCTTTACAACTATCAGATGCTATGCTACCTCATGGGGACATATCTGATCTTTAGAAAATATTATGACTCGGCGTACTTTTCGACCTCGGGAATGCTGGATGTGGTATTCAAATTGTGCGTTTGGGCTTTTTACTAGTAAATCGAAGATAACCTTAAGAAATCCTAGAAACGGGCTACCGATGGCGCCGCTCAGCCCTATTTCTTCCAATGGTTTAGACAATGTGCCACTCCAGCTATCACGGAGCTGAAGAGCAAGAATACAGTGATTTGGCCGAAGCTCTTGCGGACCGCTTGGTCTTCCATGGTTTCCCCCTTGCGGAACTTTGGGCGTGGTGGATCAACCTCGCCCCGATTTTTGAGATCGAAGGGAGGGTATCGCCATCCGGTGAAATATTCAATCCAGCTTCCAGGCATGTGCACCACTGTCCGATTGTGGCTGAAGGTATCAAATCCCCATTTTCCGTGATATGAGCCATAGCCGGATTCACCTACACCACCAAAAGGGGCGGAGGGAACGTCTGCATGGACAGCGACATCATTGACAGTCACTCCACCGGAGTTGGTAGAATTCAATATGTGGTTGATCTCCGCTGACTTCTCGGAGAATATGTAAAGCCCGAGAGGTGTTGGCATGGAGCTAATGATCCCTATGGCCTCGTCTAGTCCGCACTTGATCACGGGCAAGATAGGAGCAAATAGTTCCTCGGAGAGGAGACTATCGGCTGTAGTAACATCTCCCACGATGGTCGGATGCAGTGCTTTTGTCGAACGAGCATGGTCGCCGCTGTATATGATAGTTCCCTTGGTTGATTCTAGGAGAGAATGAACGCGATCGTAATGTCGGTGGGTGATCATGCGACCGAGGGTTTGGTATCCTTCGTTGTAGAACTTTGTCATCCAATACTTGAGACGGTCCATGAGCTCGTCGTAAATTTCTGGATCGGCAAATATATGATTGACATTCACACACACTTGGCCCAAGTTCATGAGTTTCGCGTTTGCCAGGCGCTTTGCGGTCAAATCCATGTTGGCATTCTTCGTCACGATTCCAGGCGCTTGTCCACCCAGCTCCAGCGCAGTAGGGGTGACATGCTGTGCAGCAGCGGCCGCAATGATTCGTCCCACACGGCTACTTCCAGTATAGAAGATGAAGTCGAATTTACTTCGAAGCACATGGTCCATGTCTGCTGGCTCGGCCGATATAATCCCGACGGCGGTGGTGTCCATGTACTGGGCGACCAATTTGACAAGGAGCTGCTCTGTGCTAGAGGCCAATTCGGATGGTTTCAGTAGTACGGCGTTACCAGCACCTATGGCGCCGACGGCTACCGCGAGAAGTGTCGCGACAGGATAATTCCACGCTCCAATGATCAAAGCGACACCGAAAGGCTCCTTGCGTATCCAGCTGCGGCCTAGCCTTCCAAAGAAGAACCCAGCATGGGGAGGTGCGAAACCTTTGGCCCACTCGTCCACATTATCAATCATCTCCATGATTTCATTCTTCGTTTCTGCAATGTCGGTCGAGAGCGACTCGAAAGGGTGGCGATGGAGGTCCTCAGACATAGCAGACAGCAGAGCATCTTCGTTTTCGTCAAGAAGCCAATAAAGTTGTTTGAGCTGCCACTTTCGCCATCTCAGGTCTTTGGTCTTGCCTGAGGCGAATGATTGTTGAAGTTGGTCGTAGATGGATTGGAATCCATCTACCGAGAATTGAGAGGTCATGTCTGTATAGATGGAATGCACACGAATCGACTGTTGGGTCGGAGAATCCGATACTCTTGAGTATTTATCAATGGTCAAGGACTTTTGAAAGAAACGAACATACTGAAACGAACTTGTACGCGCATGGTACATGTACGGTCGGTGTAGATCGTAACAACGGGGATGGTGTGTCACGGAGCCCGCGGACCCCGAGGAACCCTAAGGCCATCTCCTTGCGCGTCATCTCGATTTCATACCGACGGCGAATTTTCACGGCCAAAAAATGTGTAGAAGGTGGGGTAAAAGCCGAAAGCTTGGCTTCAAATTAATTAGATGCACTGAGAGACCTCGGCATGTCGGAATGTTGAGTGGGATCCTACTGAGGTATGCACATCAGCTACGGCGTAGCTCTCTCTTCTACTAATCTCTCCTCTTTCCTCCCTCCACACAACAACCAAGTGAGATAATCTCTTTCTATTTCCACCTTTCTTGTCTTTGCACAGATCTGTATTGACTCTCGTGGGAGATGTCGGGCGAGGTATCTGAAAGTATGTTGACTGCACCTATCCGGCAACCCAAGCGGTGCTCGCTCTGATCTGACATGGCAGTAGATCAAATTTTAGAAGCGTTGATCACGAAAGACCCGGGTCTCCCTCGTCCTGATCCTACTCGGGCATATTGGCAACATGAAACTCATGCGCTCAGCACGACTCAAAGCCCAGTCTTGCAAACAACAGACGTTGCGGTCATCGGATCCGGGATTACGGGTGTCAGTGTAGCAAAAACACTGCTTGAGCATCACCCAACCCAACATATCACCGTTTTCGAGGCTCGCACCCTTTGCTCTGGTGCAACGGGTCGCAATGGCGGTCAATTAGCGATCAACGCCGCTGAAACATACCAACAGTTGAAGCTTGAAGTGGGGGCTGAGATGGCAGGCAAAATAATCCAATTCAATATCAAGACTCTCGATCGATTACGCGACATCGCTCGGGAATACGCAACGAACGACCCAGAATGTACCGATGTTACCAAGCTGCGATCTTTCAAAGACCCACAGTCATTTGAGAAAGTCAAGAACGGTATTAAAGCCCTCGAGACGGACCATCCCTCCCTTAAGGGTATTTACTCGATACTCACGGCTGCGGAGTGTGAGAAGGTGCAAAGTTCCCAAACTTGACGGAAAGATGGTCGACTGACAAGGCTCGCACGCAGGACCATGGAGTATTTGGCGTTGCAGGTGGAGTCTGCCATCCAGCTGGCTCAGTATGGCCCTGGCGCATGGTAATGAACGTCTTTGAGAGGCTTCTGGGGACCTATAATGCTCGACTTGCGATAGAAGCGAACACCCCGGTCACTTCGGTGCGTTATAGCCCAGCGGAGGATGCCAATCGTCCGTATGTGCTCTCCACGCCAAGGGGAGAAGTGCGATGCGCACATGTTGCATATTGCACGAATGGGTTTACGGGACATATACTGCCTAGCCTCCGAGGAGGTTTGTTCCCAATGAAAGGAACGATGTCTGTTCAGGATCTCGGTGATCTTCTGAAAAACAAAGGGTCATCGGAATCCTGGGCGATACACTACACGCCCTTCACGAATGCCACAGACGAAACCATTGCAGATGGTCTTATTTACGGTATACAAAATGCTAAGACTGGAGCTTTCTTCTTTGGTGGTGAGAAGTCGCGCATCCAAGATCTTCTGTCGTCCGACGACACTGATGTATCCGCTTCATCTATCAAATTCCTCCAGCAATCGCTCTTGTCTCTATTTGGCCGAGACCCTGAAATGATTCAGGACTCCAAACTTATCAGTTCTTGGTCAGGAATCATGTGCTTCTCTTCCGATGGAATGCCATTGGTTGGAAACCTCCCAGAAACCGTTACTGGGCGTTCGGGCGGTGGTGAATGGCTCTGTGCCGCTTATAGTGGCTATGGAATGCCTACTGCTTGGCTTGCGGGTGAAAATCTTGCCAGGTTGATTTTGGACTTGCCAGTACAGAAGTGTTTCCCTGAAGCATATCTCATCACTCACACACGGCTTCGGGACTCCATCAATGTCGACAAAAGCATCGAGCGTCTCTATCTGTAGGAGGTACACGACCACTATGCTCACAGGATGTCTTCGGTATTCCCTTGATGGAATCTACGCTGTTTTGTTTGGTTTTGTCTTTTGTTTTTGTTTTTTGGCCACCCCGGTGTGGAATATTTCGCGACTTCTTTCTGTCCCACTCCGAATACATCCAACGCTTCCTCAAACATACAATCCATTTGTGGTAAATTTCCAAACTTTCCTAGATATTACAACGGCGGCCAAATAGGGCACTGCGAAGCAATATTCCATCTGCAAAGCATCTTGACATAGGCTGATTTTACGTCCGCATGCCTGTTCTTGGCAGAAACATGGTTACTGATACTGAGACGCTCCAGTTTTGATGGTTTTGAAAATTGTTACACGAAGAATTCATTTTCGTAACGGGGTAACTCGCTCGATCAAAGCCCAATACTGATACTCAGTTCAACGAGAGCCAATCCAGAGACACGTCAACGGCGGTCACAACGCCCAGCATAAACAAAAAAAAAGAAAAAGAAAAAGAAAAAAAAAAGGGAATGTAGAGACATCGAGCCATGTTCCGGCGCTCTTCCAATTCATGGATTGGTTCAGCATCACCGTCCTTGATGTCCGTTATTGCTCCCAGCTATAGGGCGGTGCGCACCGACAGCAGAAGGTGTGTTATTATTGTATTCTGGCTTCAAAGGCGGAGGTTTTTCATGGATGCATGGGACGATATCAGCTGTGGTACTTACGGTCCGACCGCCACGGTGGATGTATGAGACCCATGATACCCAATCTCGACGTGAGTCCGCAATGCGGTCGGTCCCGGCGTGGGAAAGGATGAGATTTCCGTCAAAACTTTTCCTTAGCATCAGAATCATCAGGAAGTCCGTTACTGGCTGTCCGTGTAGATCGACCAGCTTTATCCTCAATTCAAATTCGTATCCAAGTAAACCGTCGGGTCCAGACGATACAGACCGACTGTTCAGCTCGTATGCTAGGGTCGTGGTTTCTTGGCCGGTGCATCCATATTCGACAGCCTTGAGCTGCATTGGAAGTGATGCCGGAAAGATTGGGGTGCTATCGACCATCAAGGTACCATTTTCCGTCGCAAATTCGACAGCCTGTTTGGGTCAGCAGGGAGACGACCACATCCCGCGTAGTGAACGCACCAGATAAGCGCTTGAGTCACAATTCTCAAAGTTTTGTGCTCTGAAGGAGGAAAACGAAATCTTCGCGGCCTTTTCTGAACATTGCAGGGAAGTCGGCTTCGAGCCTTTGGGTAGTATTGCCGTGTCGTGGGTAAGAGGCTGGTATGCGGTGACTGCAGCACAGCAGATCAGGCGGATTGTGCTTGTAAACCACAATAGACTCAATAATATGCTAGGAGAGATCATTGAGAACAGATGAGAGTGATGCGAAAGAACTTCCCTCTGAGTCGAAGGGTTCTGTCCTCAAGAGGAGGTGATGAGAAAAAAAGTCCTGCGGGGGATGAACAAGCTGAAAGGAAACAACCGTTGCCCGAGCGAAAAGCACTCTCTCTCTCTTTCTCTCTTTCTTTTTTTTTTTTTTTTTTTTTTGATAAAAAAGAAAAAACTCTCTTATGTCTCGTCAGCAGGCGCAGGCGCCCGGGCGGTTCTCCGAGACAAACGCAGTGACCCCATCCACCGAGAGCCCGCCTCGGGGGCCAGCCGGCTTGGGATATCGCTTACCAAACCACCTCCACCGGGGCTAGTAGATCCCATTATCCTGTCAATGTGTCTGCCTTGCGCATTTCACGTCACCGCGACAGTTTGGATTCCGCGGGTCTGATACCTTGTCTGGACTATGGCCTCGGGGCATTAAAGTAGGTGCCTAAGTGGATATTCGAACTCTCCCCCAGGGTCCTTGATTACTCAATGATGTTTGAAGATCTTTTGAAACAATTTTCTCTGTTCAACGCTCGTGGTAATCTGGTAGTACCTTCGAGTCAAAACTTCGTTATTCACCAAATATGCTGAAAATGAAAGAATCATGAGAGGATCATGTGGAGTACCACTCTTCCACCCGTATCGAAGTTCTATTCAATGTGAGCCTCTTTTTCAATAACTTTCTACGCTGTCCCTGATGTACAGCAGAAATGGAACGCTTGGCATGGCGTGCATGTAGATCATGCAATCGAGTGGCCTGGCAAGAAACATCCGGGGCTTCCCCGGGGCCACAAGGGCCAGGTCACCTGACCCTGGGTGCCGCCCCTTTCACGCCATATTCGCCGACGGCCATTTTCCCAGGCCCTCAAATTCATGTCACTCACCTGGGCAGTTGTTTGATCTACAATGTCCCGAGGTCCCTTCCAAGGCCTCTGAGATGAAGTCTCACCGAATGGTTCTTACAATATCGCAAGCACCTTCCGGGATGGCCAAAGCTCGTCCGGCGATTATAATATGTCGCCGTTTCCCCCCAGACACGCATTACCTGCATTGTTCAGAGCCTCCTTGAGTGACCTTGAGGCACTTTGAATTACCAGTCCAGGTCACCGCCGTATTCCCAAATGAATAACAAAGATGAAACCTGCCCGATAGGTGGGCCTCGGGGTGAGTCCAGCCGCCACCTGGCACCGATTGATATAATTGCCCCAGAGCTGATCGAATGGTTGTCCAGGCCTCCCGATTCTAGGGAATATTCTTGACATTGATCTTGAGAATGGAAATATGTCTGTTGTTGAACTTGGAAAGGATTACTGTCAGTTCGCAACGTGGTGATTCACTCTAGCGCAAATTTAACGGCAAGCACATGCAGATCCAATCTACAAATTAACATTCGCTGGCGAAACATCTATCATCATCACCAGTGCTGCTTTGACAACAGAGCTTTGCGATGAGTCCCGGTTCCATAAGCACATCTTCTCAGCACTGGATGTCATTCGCGCTGGTACTCATGACGGCCTGTTCACGGCCCGAGATGAGGAGAAAAACTGGCACCTCGCCCATCGATTGCTGGTGCCAGCATTTGGGCCTCTGAAAATACGCGCCATGTTTCCACAGATGCACGAGATTGCACAGCAACTGTGTTTAAAGTGGTATGACCTATCGTGTGATTCTCCCTTGGGATTTCCATTGACTAGATCAGGTCTCGGTATGGCCCAACAACACCTCTAAATTTGGCGGATGATTTCACTCGCGCTACTCTCGATACCATCGCGTTGTGTTCAATGGGGTTTCGCTTCAACAGTTTCTATTTTGACGGAAATTTCCACCCATTCGTCAATAGTATGGTCGGTTTCTTGAACGAAGCAGAGGCGCAATCAACGTTTCCGTCCATCGTGAATCAACTTCGGTGGTCGGCGAAGAGAAAGTTCAAACACGATATTGACAAAATGCGCAAAATTTGTCAAGGTCTCATTAACCAGAGAAAAGGCACACCGCCCAATTCTCATGGAGATCTCCTGGATGTGATGCTCAATACGAGAGATACTGCTTCTGGCGAAGCCATGACCCATGAGTCAATCATTGACAACATGGTCACATTCCTGATTGCTGGGCATGAGACAACTTCTGGTCTTCTCGCATTCACCATGCATTACCTGATCACATCCCCTGAAGAGATGAAAAAGGCTGTTCAGGAAGTAGATAATGTCGTGGGCCAAGAAGAGCTTACCGTCGACCATATCTCGCAACTCAAATATCTTACTGCAATTCTTCGCGAGAGCTTACGGTTGATGCCAACTGCTCCAGCATGGACGGTGACCCCATACGTGAAGGAAGTCATTGGGGGGAAATGGGAGGTCAATCCTGGAGACGCTCTCGTTGTGTTTTTACCTTCGGTTCATCGTGATTTTCAAGTTTACGGTCCTGAACCCAACGAGTTTCGGCCGGAGCGCATGAAAGATGAAAACTTCAAGAAGCTCCCACCCAATTCATGGAAACCTTTTGGAAATGGCAAACGTGGTTGCATTGGAAGGGCCTTTGCCTGGCAGGAAGCCTTATTGGTTTGTTGTCCCTTGAGCCCACGTCTATCGGCTGGCTGCCAAAGTCGGGGAGATGGTTGGGACCAGTTGCTAATGATATTTTGGCTTCTAGATCCTTGCTATGATATTGCAGCGCTTTGATTTTGACTTGGTCGACAAGAGCTATACGCTGAAGATCAAAGAGACTCTCACCATGAAGCCCGAAAATTTGAATGTTTACGCTACTCCTCGAAATGGCCATGAAAAGTGGATGTCATCATTTTCAGAAAAGGCCCATCCCCCGGTCTCCATCGGCACAGTCCAAAATGGAATTCAAACGCAGCTTGGCTCGTTTAAACCGGCAACGATTTTATATGGTTCGAATAGTGGGACCTGTGAGGCCCTCGCTCACCGTTTGGCTACACACCTTGCTTCTAGGAACGCGTTGCGCTCTCAGGTGAAGCCACTGGATGACTTTGTTGGTCGCTTGCCCAGGAATGAGCCTGTCATCATTGTGGCATGTTCGTACGACGGAAGTCCTCCGATGAATGCAGTCAAATTCTTGGAATGGCTTGAGAATGGGAAAGAGAACAGTCTGGATGACATCCGATTTGCTGTTTTTGGTACCGGTATGTAATCCCAATCGATTTTCGCGTCTCAAAAAACAAAGATAACGTTGGACTAAATATCACATAGGTCATCGAGATTGGGCCAGAACCTTCCACAAAATTCCGAATCTCATCAACACTTTGATGGAGACATGTGGCGCTAAGCGGTTTGCCAAGCTAGGAACCGCAGACACATCGGAAGATGACCCTTTCGCGGAATTGGAGATGTGGGAAGAACAGTACCTTTGGCCGGGCCTAGAATCCGAATTTGATCTTGCCAAGATCGATGATCCGGAAGCGAAACATGAAGTTCATATTCAAATTGGATTGCCGCATCGTCCACGCTCTGACTATGGAGCTGGCATCGTTCGCAGTAATCGGATCTTGACGGCTGAAAAAGAGCCGAAGAAGATTCACGTGGAAATCGAACTACCTTCTGGCTTTGAATATCAGCCCGGTGATCATCTTCAAATACTGCCGCTCAATTCGCGCGAGAGCGTCCAGCGCGTCCTTTCTCGCTTCCAGCTGGGATGGGATGCCCTGCTCAACATAGTCTCAGCCGGCGCGACAAATCTTCCCACAGAGGGTGTGATATCCGCGGCAGATCTTCTAAGTGGCTATGTGGAGCTTGGACAGTTAGCAACACCAATGGTGAATTACTCTTGTCAATTTCATTTGACGATCTGCTTGGAATACATTAACTGACTATTCTGGTTGGAAACACGCAGAGTCTGAATACACTCGCAGCAAAAGCCAGCGATAACGAGTCTGCCGATTTTCTCAGGCGTCTCGCCACAGATGACTACCTTCTCGAGGTTCGAGAAAAGCGCCTATCAATGATCGACATTCTAGTATCATTTCCACTCATTCCTCTGAAGTTCGAGGAGTATCTTCAAATGATACCACCGCTGAGACCTCGCTTTTATACCATCTCATCCTCCCCACAGACCAAAGCGGGATATGCTACATTGACCATCTCAGTTGTGGATGGTTCTCCGTCAATTGAGTCACGCCAACATCGCGGAATTGCTTCAAACTATCTTCTGGAAACGACACCTGGCTCAATTGTCCGACTATCTTTAAAAAAATCAAACCCACTGTTCCATGTTCCGGCAGATCCATCCACAAGACCTATCATTATGGTCACAGCTGGGTCTGGCCTGGCGCCTTTCCGTGCATTCGTCCAGCAGCGATCTATTCAGAAACATGCAGGTTTGAAGCTTGCACCGGCAATCCTATTCTTTGGTTGTAGAGAATCTACAGCGGATGACCTATACCGAGAGGAGCTTGATGGATTTGAGGAAGAAGGTGTTGTGTCAATTTACCGATCATACAGTAGGCAAAAGGAGCAGACAGAAGGCTGCCGCTATGTCCAGGAGCGCCTTTGGCTTGAGAGAGCCAACGTCATAAATCTCTGGGATCAAGGTGCGACTGTTTTCGTCTGTGGTGGCATCCATATGACTGAGGATGTTAAGTCAACCTTCTGTCAAATTGTTTCCGAGTCTGAGCTACCTTCCTCGCGATATATCGCTGAGGCATTCACTTGAATTTACCTAGGTACCTAGGTACAAGTCGGCGATCGAGGATTGAAATTTTGTTGCCATGCCCATACCTACCTAGTAGTACTGGCTTTTACGAATTCAGATGCGAGAAAACTTTCCAAACTTGGAAGCTGTTTTTGATCCCTAACTAGGTAGACATGTTTAGACTGTTGTCGGTCTGTTTTTAGCTTTGGAAAAGCCAAGGTGAAACCTGGGCAGCTATATATATTCACGACTTCGTGCTCAGTGGTGGACGTGTCCAGACCCGACACGACAGCGATCAAGAGATATAAATATTCAACATTTCTTAAATTATCCTTCAATGGCCCGCGGGCACACTTGACATAATTTAAAGAATAGCATACCAGCCACGGACATGCTACTGATCGCAGAAAGCAATGGATATATAATAGCACAATTCAAAAACAATAGCAAAAACATACAACAGTGAGGATTCGCTGGTGGTCACCCACCCAACTACTAACTCACCGGCGTGTGGCTTAAGTACGGCTGAGCGGACGGGAAGCCCTGTTTTCCACACCCTGTGGTCGTATGTGCTCATCAATTATGGTTAGTAAAATATAAAGAACGCTACCAATAAATCGCAGACAACCAGTTGACAGTATACACCACCGCATCTCAGTTTCTATAGTATTTTTCTATCATAACATAATCTCATGATGTTAGATTGAAAGCTTTCTCAAGTACTCCTACTAAGCATGGTCTATAAGTAAAGATTTCTCATCTAGATGTCTATCTTGAACGAATCCAAATCAAAGCCAGTATGGGAGCTCGGCATTATTCAGGAATGTATTCAATTTCTCCAAAATGTAGAATTAGTCGGGTGTGAGTATTTTTAGAGTGAAGATTTGGAACAACCTCCTTTTTTCTGACCGAAAGAAAAAGAAATACAGCTCGTTGGCACCATGGTGTCAGCGCAAAAAGATAATCTTAAAGACCATGTTGGTATTTTAGGAAGAGCCGAACGCGGGGGTCGAACCCGCAGCCTTAAGATTAAGAGTCTTACGCTCTACCGATTGAGCTAGCCCGGCAAGAGGCTGTTGGAGAGAGGGGCAAAATAGTGCTATATAAAGGGAAACATCAAGTCTTAGAAAAACTGCAGGCAGTTTCGCCAAACGCGACCGTGGGATTTCCTGGACAAATACTTCCTCTTTGTTGAGATTCTCACCAGCCACAGTTATTAAAGGAATACACTCCACAACACAGTGTGTACTCTATAAAGAAAAGAAAAGAAAAAGGCTCTCATTGAAAAAGTCGGCCACAAAACTTATGAACAATGCGTTGATTCCAGCAAATGCAGTCAAAAGTTGTACTTCTCAATATATCGAACAAGAGAGCTGCCTAGGCAAATCTATCAGAAAAGAATCGATGAAGGAATCCAAAACGAAATCATGCATTTGCAATCCTAGGCTGCGAGTGCCTCGCCAGCGAGATCAGCCGTTCAATAAAAGCCTGCGACACATAAAAAGGCGGGAAAGACTGTCCATCCTCCGTAGGTTTATTGAGTTGAGCAAGTAACTCAGCAATATCCTCCAGCGTCCTTAGATCCCTGATGAAAGTGGCCGAACTCGGAACCGTGATAAGGTACCAAAAGACCGAGAAGACGGCTGCAAGAAGGAATTGCGCGTGAATCCTAGATCAATGTCAGTAAAAGCTAATGCGGTATGAAGATCGCGTGAACTTACCAAAATGTGTGATGGTTCACGAATTGGCGCGTACGCGAGATATAGATCAGTGAGGAGCGAGCAGCTTCGAAACATAGCTCTGCGCTCGATGGTAGAGGAGACCAGCTTTGCGGCGATGTGATCCTACAGGAACTGCTTGCTCCGTGGATCTTGCCGAGACAGTAATAATATTCCAGGTGGATGTTGACGCCTCGGATGCTGAGATCGTGGAATAGGTAATCGGGTGCACTCTCGGTCGCGAATACATCTGGTCTGCAACTGACGGGGTATCCCTCTTTCAAGTCGCTTAACTCTTGGTCCAATTCGCGGATATGCTGGAGGCGTCGTGCTTCCGGCAGGGCTTGTCCATGCACTGAATAGAGTAGACGGAAGATCCTGGATTTGAGAAGAGAGAATCGGAGATCGGATGGGAAGAGGAGCTCTTTTGAAGACAGTGGTTTCATGTAGAAGTGGCGCTCGGAAGTGTTTCGGGCGTATGTCGTCGGTAGATCGAGGTCGCAATCGTCATCATTGATCAAGGGCGGTTGGGATTTCCGGATCGAGAATTCTTTATCGATGGCATAGCAATGCCAGAACATGGCTCGGAGATGCTGGCTTCGTTGGTCGGTTCGGTGTATCTCGTGGGGTGTTTGGATTTTGTTTGCTCCAAGGTTATAGACGAGTTGCACTGCAATGCCTAATAACATTTCTCCTGCTTGGGGCCTGCCCAGAGGTGTGATATATAGCATCTGTGGAAGGCATGTCAGTTCACGGTCACATGGGGTGTCTGAGTCAAATCAAATACCAATATTGTGACTGCTTCTAGAGTTCTCAGATCAGGGGTCTCAAGAAGCATTTCAGGGAGTAGCGTTAGGGCAGCCTGTGCGTACGCGTCTGGGTCAGTGCCAGCAAAAGCAGCCTCGTGGCGGTGGATCTGAGTGATCATTGCGGCGAAGGCCACCAAGCAAGCACGATTGGCGACTCGTGTCAGGTAAGCTGGTTGATCCAAGATATTTGCGTTGAGGAGAATCTGCATGGCCTCCACATCCACGATGGGAAAGATGGAGTATAGCCCATTTCTTTCAAAATACCCCAGGCACTTCTGAACAAGTGCTGAGTTCGGCCATTTGATACCAATCACCTTTTTCGTTGACTTGAGCTGGGCCGCCTTGAACGATTGGGTGACTTCATGAGCGAAAACGTCTACATTGAAGGTGCGACCCGTTTGCTGTTCAATCAGCGAGTAAAACGCTGCCCTCTGAGAGGAAAGCGCACTCCCAAGTCCACAGAAGGATATATGCCATTGGAAAGCAGCCAAAGCGGTATCAAAATCGCGTGTGTCGGGCAGATAACTCGCTGTGGCGAGAACCGACGCGGATGAAGACGCCACAGAAAGTGGGCTGAGGGGCCCTGGAGAAGCAGCTCTACTCGGGGAAGGGATCCCCAACCCCTTGTGGCTTTGCTTAAGTCCGAACAGAATGGTCTCTAATTCCCGAACCCGAGCTTTGGTGTCAGCCAGCTCCCTGTCTCCCCGTTAGCGCTAAGAAGGGGGCCAAGGACCTCATTTCTTACTGCCGGGTACTCTTGCGCTGCTGCGATGCCGGCTTGGAGAAAGTACATGGCAAAGCCGCAATATGGCAATTCTCACAGGCAGGCTGGTTTCTATCACAGCGGATCTGGGCCGGTTAGCCTGAGACATTTCGGAGTGGGTTCTCACTCACCTTGCGGTGCCGGCATAGATCACACGCACTCCGCCCTTTCCCGCCCCGCGGACCAGTAGCGTCGTCCATAAAGCGATTTTTAATGTGATGGGGTGTTAGGTGGTCAATGGTGAAAATGTTCGTCGCCGCTGAATCATCACGCTGGTCGATCGGGCGTGAGCCTATTGAGGCAGTGAGAAGGGGACTCCACTTCCTGCTGGCCATTCACATCGTCGCATTCGCCAGCGAAGCTCGTTTGAAGTGGATTTTAGCCTTGCTGATTAAGCGGCGCTGGAAGTCCGGACCCACTTTTCCTATACATCGTCGTGAGCCATTGCGGTCTGTTGTCCTCTCTCCTTGAGAAGCATCAGGGTGCTGGAAATAACAGTCCGCGTCACCTTTGGTGTTGAGTCTTGGCGCTGGCTAATGGGTCTCGACAGCATACACTCTGATCACTGATTCCGTCCACGGGTGTCACTGATATGCGCGCAATTTACCGAGTATGAAGAGAAACGACAGTCTCTGGAGAGATGCCACTCACACCAACAGCTAGAAAAGAAGAACTCAAGGCTTTGCGATCCTATTATTACGACCTCTTTCGCCGCGGATATGCAAGCACCGTCTACTCCCCACAGATCCCATACTTACCCCCAAGGGAAGCCTTGGCCGTCGATCACCGTATCAAGACCCCAAGGAACAGACAAAAGAGAAGCCTATTAGATTCCACCTTCGGGCCGTACAGGTCTCTGATGTCCAATCGCCGGAGCTTCTTTCGTCAGCCCAACGTTTACCGTGACTGCAAACGTTTTAGCGTGGCCACTCTCCTTGTCCTGACGAAGCTAGTCCCCAGGAAATATGCTGCCAAGGATGCTTGCTCCATCTACTTCTCACATAAGGCTCAGTTGAGCTGACGACAACACTGACGAGTTATAGATTGTGAGCATAGAGACAAGGAGGTCACTGCACCGGAGCACTCGAGGAGTCAGGTATAAAAGATCCAGCAAGTTCTCGACATCAAGCCTCATCAACAATCAGCTCAAACATTCTTCTTCTCATCGCTCCAATCAAAACAATGCACTACACCAAGTTTGCCCTCCTTGCCTTTGCCGGCCTTGCTCTGGCCCATCCCGGTGCCCATGAGCCCAATTCCTACACCCACGCCGCGAAGAGGAACTTCCTCCACAACGCTCGCAGCAGCCTGGACAAGTGTGCAGACAAGTTGGAGCGACGTGGAGTCAACTCCCGTGCCGAAGCCCGCCGTGCTGCCCTCCTCCACGCAAACAAGAAGCGTGCCATCTTCTCCCGTGACACCGACAAGGTGGTGAACACTTCTCACCACTCCAACCTCCACGTCACCCCGAACACGCCCGAGACAGAACTCTTCTCCAAGAACCCCGTCTGCATTCTGGCACCGGAGGGAGAAGTCGGTCCCTTCTGGGTAAAGGGCGAGCTGATTCGCTCGGACATTCGCGATGGCCAAGCAGGTATCCCCATCATCATGGATGGACAATTCATCGACATCAACACCTGCGAGCCCATCCAGGACCTCTACTGGGACGTGTGGAACTGTAACGCCACGGGCGTCTACTCCGGCGTCCAGAGCTCCATGAACGGCAACGGTGACGATGCCTCGAACCTGGACAAGACTTTCCTGCGCGGCATCCAGAAGACCGATTCCGAGGGCGTGGCCCAGTTCAAGACTCTCTTCCCGGGCCATTACTCTGGTCGCGCTACTCATGTTCATGTCATTGCGCACACAAATGCTCATGTGCTGCCCAACAACACTCTCACTGGTGGTCATATCTCGCATGTTGGTCAGCTGTTCTTCGATAAGGAGCTCATCAGCACGGTCGAAGCCACTTATCCTTACAATACCAGCACTGTTGCTATTACGGAGAATGTCGATGATCACGTCGTCCAGGATGAGACTGAGGATTCTAACTCTGATCCCTTCTTTGAGTACGCCTACCTTGGTGACAGTATCGAGGATGGAATTCTTGCCTGGGTCACGCTCGGTGTCAATGTGTCCGCCAGCCATGATTCTGATGCTTCTTACGCCGCTCGACTTACTTCGTCTGGTGGTGTCAGCTATTAGACGGGCTCATTCCGAAGTTCGATTTCTTTGACGTCGAACAAGGGGGATGACTGAGCAGTCTTTTGTACAGTATATGCATGTCTCATTGCAGGATGTCTCGCCCGTCGAGATACGAAACATGTACATTCTATACTATTGATCACTAAATACAGTATTTACTCCAGGAAAAGCAGAACCTTCAAAGTTCGATATTCATGCGAATCATTCAGTGATAGAAAATATTTGGAATAAGCTAGTCCGAAGCAACCTTGGAAATATACAAGATTGAACAGCCCGAACCAATTAATTAGCGAATACAGCGAACGCGAGTCCAAAGCAAAGCCAGTACTCCCTCCACACTGTCATAGCGCCTGAATCAAGACGAGCCAGTCACATCAATCTTGAAAACCCCATCCCACTTGCACTGCGCCAAGGGCGACTCCTGCTTGTCGCATTTCCACGAGTCACCCGTCACAGTCGACTGTCCACTAATCGAGCCATCGGCGCGAGAGACTCCAAGATCGAACTTCTCGATATTATACACTCCGTTCAGGAGATGGAGCTGGTATGCTTTGTCCGAGCAGTCGTATGACTTATTACCGGCCATGCCGGCGGACCTGGATGAGTGTTAGTATGACCCAGGTATTTGAAATTTGAATTCCAGGATAACGCCGAAGAACATACCAGTAGCCAGAGCAGGTGGTGTTAGTGTCTGTGTTTGGATCTTTCAGAGAGAATGAGAATAGGGTTGTTATGGGCATAGATGTATAGTAGATGCCGGCATTGAGGTTCGTGAGCTCCAGTGGCTTCAAGGGGGTATCAGCTGCGAGCGTGGATGTGGCAGCTGCAAGAGCAAGGGCGATTGACGCGGTCTTCATTTTGTTTGATAAGGTTATTTTGATACTTGGTAGATGGAAGTACTGAGATAGAGGATAGAGGTACTGTTGTGTTCTTTTAAACATGTATGTTTAAGGCCGCCAGTAGATCCGAGACATGCATACGAGATGAAGCATCCGATCTAGTGACGTGGAGTTACATCAAGTCTATTCGCTAAGGTTCAACTGTTGGAACCTTGGCTACGCGAATGTCTGTACAAACCTTGGAAATCTGATAGAGTTGGACGCCGTACTGCAGGCCTGACGAGCTAAATCTGCCACTGAGACGCTGGTTGATCTTTGGAAGCATGGGAGTTACGCCCCATCTGTCTTCAGGCGACCAATCTACACAGCCCAGATATTTTTGGTGAAAGCAATACGAGTTAAGTCCAAGGTTCGGGAGATGGTACTTCTGCTATTTTAGGCGTCGGAGCAGAATTCTGGAAACTCTGCTGCGTTCCACCCATGCCCATTTATAGCTTTTAACACTATATTGAGTTGTAATTGTGCATCGTTCGTATAGTTTAACGATAAATCAGGGGTCAAGGATTGAGGTGGAAGCTATTATATCCTTTTTACTTCCACTCTACATACCCTGCCGATGATCGAAAAGTTACCACTATCACTTCGTGTTGCCCACCCGGTTCAACGACCACCGCCAGATGCTCCGTACAAGATTGGTGGGTGCTTCAATATCTGGACTTGTTGACACAATCTCTCAAAGGGATTACTTGACCTAGTAATGAGCGGAGACGGTTACAAGGTATGTAAATCGAGACCAGAATGAAGGTGTGCGCAGCGTGAGCTGAAATGTGTTCATGTCTCTTGAGTTAAGATTGAGTAAACCAGGCATTTTACGCGCGTGGCCAGTATATTTTCAACAGAAAGAAAATGATCGAAAAGGCGATACCTCAATCGAGATTTGGGACAGAAAAATGGAAAAGAAAAAAAAAAAAAACATCAAAGGAAGGGTACCCGTGCGCCGAGCGCCAAACACGATTAAGCCCGCTCTAAGATCCTTGAGAACGCCGGAACAAAGCAGAAAAAGGGAGAGGAAAATGAGAAGAAAAGAAAAGAAAACGTTGAGTTTCACGACCTTCGGCGGCCGGGGTCATAGCTGGTAGGGAAGAGTGGGACTGAGGGATCGACCACGTCATTGTAGGGTCGTCGGGCGGCCATTGAGACATCTTCGTCGCTGGGTGGAGCAGAGGCGACACGCGCAGGCTGGTGGGGGTGGGCCTCTGTATCTTCTTCGCCTCTGGCGATCTTCTCGAGAGAAGAGAGCTCAGTGTTGGTGTTGTTGCGGGACCAGCGGAAGGAGTCGCGGTCGTCGGCGAGAGTGCGGTACTTTGTGTCGGGTTTCTTGAAGAAGATGGCGTACACAAGGCCGATGAGGAGGTAGATTAGGAGGACGAGAGTGAAGATAGCGTTGAAGATGAAGAAGAGAACGCCGAGGATTCCAGTCATCAGATCCGGTTGGTCGAAGACGTCGGAGAAGACGAGGAGGAAGATGGTGTTGAGGGAGTTGAGGACACCCATGGAGATGGCGACGACATTGGCGCCCTTGCTCATGAATGGCTTGATGATTCCGACTGCGAGCATCATGCAAAGCTCCAAGATGAGAAGGACGATCGTCTGCGCGACGGGGTTCGTCTGCGCAAATGCAATCACCATTCCTTTCACAATGACGTAGACCAGAGATGGGACGAGGAAGTAGTACACCGGAGCACGGTAGTAGATGTACAGACATCCCCACTGGTTTAATGTCGCCGGGTCGGAGTACAGCGTGTATGCAGCCGTGTTGTGCTGCTGCTTGGATCGCAGTCCGCGCTGGAAGACCTTGAACGCGGCAAATGCGAGCACGCCCGTCGTCACCAGCCACATGGTGATGGCCAGGACGACCTCAGCGGCCGAGTCACGACGGACCAGCTCCCAGAGACACAGGACACACATTTGCGGATACCCGATGCAAGCGAGTCGGAAGAAGGTGTTGCGGAGAATGGTCTTCCAGTCTGTGGTGACGCCGATGGCGCGATCGAGCTTCTCGAGCGAAGAGGGTTTCTTGGCCAGAATGGCGCGGACTCCGAGAAGGATTCCGACGCAGGCGACGACGAGCGCAACGACGAAGTAGTAGAATAGATATCCGGTCATGAAGATATTGGTCAATTCGATCTTGTCGCGGATTCCCACCCTTTCGATCCCACGGAGAATGATCTGGCTTCCGTGCGTCGCGGCGCGCGCTGCGATCGATCCTCGCTTCTGCAGGACCAAGGAGACATTTTCCGAGTTGGTGAGGACTTGGGACGGGGTTCCTCCGGTAGCGCGTTGGAACCAGGTCGCGATGGTCTGTAGAGCGTCCGCCCGTACGATTCCCATGCTCCACTGCATATTCTGGGTCCACGATTGCACGAATGGCGGCATGTTGACTGCCGTCATACCGGCCATCGCCTGCGTCTGGATAAAACCAAGGAAAGCCAACGATCGGAACGCCAAGTGGGTCGCGGTGTTCGAGTGGCCGAGAAGCGAGATCACGGTGGACGCGATCAGGCCAAGGCCGGTAATGACGGCGAGGGTCCAGGAGACACCGGCCTGGTAGACGGTCTTTCCATTGTGGACGCGGGTCTCCAAGCAGGTAATTTGTTTTCCATCGTCAGAGCCGCTCTTGTATTTCAGCTTGATGCGAATAACGGCGTCGAGATCGGGGACGGTGTAAGCGATGCCTATGACGCAACGGGTTAGTAACCGGATCTGCAGGATCCACGGGACGTTGAATGTGAAACACGAAAATATCAACTGTCACTCACTGGGAATTTGAGAAAGGACACTTTTGCCCAGGGTCTGGGTGATGGTGGGGAGCTGCAGTTCGATCGCCTTCATGGGACAGAAGACAGACAGGTCGAGGTCGCACGGGTCGAGAGTCTTGGTCATGGCCTTGTAGCCATAGACCAGTAATTCCACATCGATCAGGACATCACCGGCGACCGAGGAGTAACCGTCGAAATTCAAGCTGATTGAGGCATTGCCCGGGGTGAAAACGGCGTTGAAATTGTTAATTTGGACTTCGGAACTGTCGGAACACTTGGTCAAGCCCTCGGCAGAGATGAGTCGCTCGGCCTGCACGACTGGCAGAGCAATCAGCATGCAAGCCCCAAGGAGGGGGGACTTCAATTGCATGGTCAAACGAGTGTGAAGAGGAAGAGATGTGAAAGGGTTCGTGGTGCCCTGATATCATGCAGTTGTGCAACTCCACAGTACAACGTAAGCGCCCAGTGGAGTCCGATCGAAAGTCTTTGAAACATCCACTCAAGGCAGCATGGTTTACTGGTTCCTTGGGCTTTGTCCCTTGTGATCAACGCTGACGAGGCTGGAAATCTCGCCACTGGGCTTTTTATTATATCATATAACGGCACAACACTGCCCCAGCCTCCCAGACGATCGATATATTGACCCTGTCTATCCATCTCCCAGAGTCCGTAGCCCACGCATTCAGGAGTTACAGTACTACCACCTTACATCTTCACCGTAGATTCTCACATTCTTGAGCGCCCATGTGGTAATTTGACACATTCCGATGGCACAATGGGAGGCCAATCCATGCCGGTTTCGGAAGTGCACGATTTTCGTCTAAAATTAGCCAGATCCGGTTCTTTGATTGGCGCGAAGAGGCGGAATTGTATTTACGGAGTCGCCCTCATTCTTAATGACTCTGTTCTGCTCTGGGCATTGTCTAGATCGCAGGGTCCTGTCTCTCCACTCGTCTCAAAAATGGGCAATTGGACGCGGGGAACGGCTATTTAGTGTCGTCTTTAATCCCAGCCCCATCTACTCCAGTAGACTAATATCCTGCCAGTATAGTCCTCCGCACTGATTACCCTCGGCATTGGACATTCCAAGTTTCCAACCTTGCAAGTTGGACAAATGACTTGGCGCAGTCTACAGAGTACAGTTGGCAAATTGGCGCCGAATGCGGCCAGGTACGCCTCCGGGGGCCAGGGGAAATGAGGTCGTACTGTACTAGTACTCTGTACAGTGCTAGTCAGTAGTCCCTACGGAGTACAACGGGAGATGTGGACAGATCAATATAGTATTACACATGCCAGGTGTTAGATATATAAGACATGAACCGTTCAAGGGAGTATAGGCTCTCTCACCTAGAATGCTGATCTATACCCAGCAAGGCCCCATGACGTACGGCTGTCAAAACCGGGCAAGAATGAAGCGGCAGAGATACTCGTCACCACAGACGATCCCTTTCTGTATAATGATATCACATATAAAACAAACATGCCCCGTCCACGGGCGCTGCATCTCCATATCTGTCAAAAGTGATCCACAATGGGTGCCTCATACGGCTACCACAAGTCACTGGCATCATTTCTCCGACTCCTCGTGAAGCCCAGACTACATTTGAACCCCAAACCCGACGAAGTAGCCTTGATTCCATCGCGAGACGATGGCCGCACCATCAAAACTCATATCTACAAACCTGACACCCCGGGACCTACCCCTGTCGTAATCAACTTCTGCGGAAGCGGGTTCGTACTCGGCACCTTTGGCAACGACGACGAGTACTGCCGCTACGTCGCCGACAAAGCAGCCTACACCGCCATCGACGTCCAGTACCGTCTGGCCCCAGAACACCCCTTCCCAGCCGCCTTTCACGATGCCGAAGATGTAGTGACCTGGGTGCGCTCGCAGCCCGAACGCTTCGATCTATCCCTGGTCTCACTCTCAGGATTCAGCGCAGGCGCCAACATCGCCCTAGCAGTCTCCTGCGCATCAGAGATCTTCCCGGCCGGCGAAAACACCGTCTTCAACTCCGTCATCTCCTTCTACGGTCCAATGGACATGGCTCTCCCAACACCTGAAAAACCCCAGGCCGACCGCTCGAATTGGATCATGCGCGATATCTTCCCGCCCTTCTCGCACCTGTGTCATAAGTGTCTGAATCTGGGTCGCGTCGACCCTGCAGATCCGCGCATGTCCCCGATTAAAGCGGATCCGAAGAACTTCCCTGACAATGTCTTGATGATCACTGCGGCGCAGGACCCGTTTGCGATCGAGGCGGAGAAGTTATCCGATGTGCTGAATAATACTGAGGGGAAATATTCTGTCTGTCGGAGGATGGATAATTGCGCGCATGGCTGGGACAAGGAGGCTGTTCGGGGGTCGTCGCAGTGTGAGGCGAAGATGGAGGCTTATGATCTTGCGGTGGATCTGTTGAAGAAGAGGAGCTCGATCCAGAGCGCTGGAATTAATGTTTAGTCATCTCTTGATACCCTTTGAATAACGAATAGCACTTTTTGACATTTCATATGGATTATGCTGCGTAGAGCGAATAATCTTGGAACCAAGTCTGTACTCGGTGCGGGTAAGGGGAAGTCCAGGGAACTGCGGAGGAATGTTATCCCTGAAGCCAAGATAGTATCTTGGCAACATTCCTACTCTGTACACTGAACAATAAAGAGAAAGGCATGAAAATTGAATAGAAAAGGCTCAAAGCTGAAATTCATATGTATAAATGCACGTCAATCTATGCAACGTCTATCGTAGTCATCTGTACAAGACTCGTAAATAATTCTAAACCGCAATGTCTATAATGATACGCCTAAGCGTACTTGTGCGCCTCCTCATCCTGAGGTGCGGTAGTCGCAGGGGCCGGCTCGCCAGCGCCGGTGTTCTCCTCATGGTAAGCATGTTCCTTAACATCGAAGCGGAACTGCTCCTCCTCCTCGCGCAGTTGCTCCTTGAGGATCTTGTTCGCTCGCCAGATGGGCTTGCACTCGAAGAGACGATCGACCTTCTCGAGAGGAATACCACCAGTCTCGGGGATGAGGAAGAAGGCGAAGAAGAAGGCCAGGAAGGACAGGGCAGCGAAGAACATGTACACTCCGTAGCCCATGGCTTCGAACATCTGCTCGGTGAAGCGGGAGATGAGGAAGTTGAAGAGCCAGTTGCTGGCGGTGGTGGCGGCCTGGGCGAGGGAACGGAAGTTGGGGTCGAAGAACTCTGAGTTGATGACCCAGGGTGTTCCGTTCCAGGTGGGGGTGTAGACCGCGGTCCACAGGTAGAAGAAGAAGATGGCGGCGATACCGCCGCCGTTCAGGTGGTCGCTGGGGTGGTCTTCGGGCTTGACGACGCAGATGTAGGCGCCAATGATCCACATACAGATGGAACCGGTGATGGCACCGACGAGGAGAAGGTTACGTCGGCCGAATTGGTCGACTAGGAAGAGAAGCCACACGAAGGTCATCACGGCCTTGACCACACCGAAGATACCGGTCATCAGGTTGGTGGTGTCACTGTCAACACCGAGCTGGAAAGAGGTTAGCATCATATCATACATAGTATGGAAATGATTGTCGGTAAGGTCAAAACTTACCGATTTGAAGATAGTGGGCGAGTAGTAGTTAATGGCGTTGATACCGGAGCCATTCTGCCAGAAGAAGAGCATACATCCGAGCATCAGACGGTACATCACATTAGGACGAGTAGCGAGGGCCTGGAATGGCTTCCAGAATCCAATACCAATGGTGGACCGCTGGTGCTCCAAAGCCTGGTCAATAGCGGCAACCTCCTCGCTGATGTAAATGTCGTCTGCGTCCAATTGGCGGATCCAGCAAAGGTTCTCCATCGCCTTACGGCGACGGTCCTTGAGGAAAAGCCAGCGGGGCGATTCCTTGATCCACAGGGCTCCAGCAAACAGGAGACCCGAGGGCACTAGCTGAATCGCAAAGGGGATGATCCACTGCTCGTGGTCGGAAGGCATATGTTGCTCAACACCGTACTGCCGATTCTAGATTAGCTTATCTGCGAAGACGGCCCGATCGATGAAAAAATTCAAGGATCGGCAAAGGGAGACCCACGTTGATCCAAAAACCGAGCATACCGCCGATTTGCCAGCCCAGCTCATACAGACCGACCAGCCGACCTCGGATGGCTGGTGGCGCCAGCTCGGAAAGATAGATGGGAATAATGTTCGATGCAACACCAGTTCCTAGACCAGATAGCACACGGCCAGCGTAGAGAATACCCAGTCCTCGGGCACTGTTGGCACCGAGTTGCAATCCAGATCCGAGAGCGAAGACAGCAGCCGCAACTGCTAAACTCCATTTGCGACCCACGAAGTGGCCTAGGGCGTATGTTCCAAGAGCACCGAAGAAGGCACCGGCGATGAAAAGCGAGACAATGTTCTCACTGATCAGACTCCGTTCCGCTGAGCTCAGCTTGTCCAAGCCGAATTCCGCCTTGAACGAGCTTAATGTGATGGTGGTACCGATGAAGGCACTGGTGTAACCGATCATGTTGGAACCGCATGATGCGATACCGGCGAGGGCATACACTCGCCAATTGTAGACAGACTTGGGCGTCGGCCGGTCCTCGTGGAGTGTGAGAACGCCCATGGTTGTGAAGGGTACAACCCAAGGTGTGTGAGGGAGGAGAGGTGAGATATAGGTGAGGTGTGAGGAGAGAAGAAGTAGGGGAAGAAATTTTTTATGAGGAATGGAAGAAAGGAAAATGGGTCGAGAAGGGCTGGGATGGGGCCCCTAAGTAATAGGAGCTATCCCAATGGATTGTGGGTGTGGGAATTCCCCAACTGAGCGCTCTCCACAATACTCGTCGCGTATAACCCCATAGACTGGGGCAGTATGGGGTTCGAAGGTGAGGCTATGATACAGCCATGATTACAGATGCATGGGAGAGTGGGAACGTCGACCGGGGTAGCGTTCTCCCCCGCAAGAGAACAATAAACATTCAGCCGGCAAATAAGCTTCAGTATATATCTAACCCGGAACCCGACTTCCATGAAAACATCGGTCCTTTTTTTCTCTTCTTTTCTCATGAGGTTGAAACACTGAACGCATGGGCATTTTACGGTTCGCCCCGTGGGCTATGTGGGTAATGGGCACGTTTGTGATATGCGAGGAACACATCTGTTTTTTTTTGTCAGGTGTCTGCGTTTAGCCGTCTGGTATGCATAGAGGCACCGGTGAAGATTTGCCACCGTAGATTTTTTTTTCTCCCCGGATCAAGCGGAATGCAGGATGTCCAGTGTGGAGAGAGAGCTGGCATAGCAAAGTCCCGCTTGTTAAGCGAATACCCCGAGATCTCATTTCCCCAGTTCCATCTGCATGTAAAAGACTAGAAGATGGGGGGAGAGTCCTTAACCCTGTGGAGTCGGGATTTTGCCGAGCTCCCACTCGGGAAGGTCGAGGGTCGGGAGAAGGGATAAAAGTCTCTTTTGCCCAGGGTTGCTTGTTCCGCGCTAAGCCTTGTTTGGTGGAACCTAAAGGTCACGTGCTGTATATCGAATTGGCCTCGCGCCGTCATGGACGTCAATTGGCAGATTTGCCTGACTCCTTGCATAATTCGTGGACGGTCCCATTGCTCTCCGCGGAATCCCGTGCTCCAGTGTTCCCCGGAATCACCGGCGCGCGCCCCTCACTATGCACCAATGATAATCGGTCCATATGCACTGCACTAAACGAAACTCCGGGGTTTCGGGACTGGGGGCGGTTTCAACTCGGATCAGCAACAGGAACATGGAGAAGCGATTACGTAGATGCAGTGACGTTACATTGCATGCGACTGATTCAAGCCGCTGGATAATGTCAGTCGTGAACCACAAAGGCGACGTGTACGTGCAATTGCACTCTGTGAATGCGAACTACTTTCGGCCCGGAGCCGATTTCGAAAGCCGGGCTCGGCTTTATGCTTAAAAGTACAGTGACACCGGAATCAACAAGAGGACTAGTGGGTTTCACCCAGAAGGCTGCGCAGTTCGCAGTACAGATGCTCAGTCTCTGGAACATGTGAACATTTTTTTGTTGACATCCCAACCCATCATGACCCACCTCTCGAACTAAAAGCTGATGGCTCAGGGGTGGCGTAGAAGACATGCTGTTAGTTACATGCAGATCAACAAATAAGAGTAATCAGATGATCAATATTCCCTGCCTAGACCGCAAGGTGCGGTCCATAATAAGGAGCGGGCAACACCTCTCAGTCAGAAAAGCGAAGCTTGGCGCATCTTCTCCAAATTTAGGCCTGCATCCGAGGTCCTTATGGATATTCTCGCAGTCCTGCTGGACTAGTATGTCGCTGTCTGACACATGTCAACATTTGGATTGCCAAGGCCCAGCTGCCCTCCTATCCACCAGCAATATACTAGTAGGCCAAGTCGGCACGGTGTCCAAACTCAAGCTTCGACACCGCCTCTCTCCAAGCCGGGATTGTCGGATACGAGGTTCGACCCAAGGATGATCTGTGCCTGAATGAAGATCCCCTGTTAACCAAGACCTACCCGGGACAGCGTTTGGCCACGCAAGACAAGCAGCGGGAATACCGCAGATGCTCCAAGCGGGAGAAAGAATCGTAGAGCGCTTGGCACGGCCTGTTTCCAAGTCCGTGATATGATTTCGGCCGAGCTGGTGGACAAGCAAGGTATATCCCAAGCCGGGGGCGTTTACCAGTGGTCTCCCCGCCCCTCTTTCGGCGAGCTCGGGGCATAAAACGGCATATTGACCATCTTCAGACGGGATTCCGATAGGGACATGCTTGTGCATCTATGGTACAGGTATTAGCTAAATATCTGGGCGAAACTTGGCGGCGGACAAGATCCGCGTCAAGTCTCTTCCCTTAGAGAGCATACGCTATGTATGCGTTGGGGAGCACAATATTTTTGCCAAGATGCGCTGGCAAACGCCGTATATCGAGGCCATCGGACTCGGCAATTCTGCTCGTCCGGAATACTTGCCCAGTAGGGTAGATGGAACCGCATTAGGTGATGTTCTGCGAAGCAGGCTCGGTGATATTGCCTCGCGTTGATGCAATTCACGTCGGGGTTTGAGTGCCACGATACGTCTTTGACATTTGACACTTGACACTACAAGGCACAGCGCAAGCCTGGGCGATTTCCTATATGATATTTTTGAAAGAAAATGAAGACTCGATGCTTCACCAGCAGGTCAGGGAAGATCGTGAATGTCCAGTACGCCTGGTGATGCATCACAAAAAACGACGCGTGCTAGCAGACCACGCTTTGAGGCCAAGTGGTGTGTCTCAATAGATCGATCAAGACTGATGCTCACGCGACGTCCGATATAGACGTGTAAAACAGGCACCCGGCTTATGAGTTCCTCAGGCAAGTGGGAGAAGTTGATGCCTCAGGCATGAATACTTTATGCCTGAGGCGAAAGCACGTGTCACCACGAAGTCACGTTGAATCAACAAACCATCAGTCTCACCTGGGCAGTTCTCTTTACTCTCAAAACTTGAACAGGACTCAAACTGTTAGCAGTGGATATCCTGCGGGGGCTCTCCAGAATTTCCAATTTCCCCGAGCATGAGCGCCAAAGCGGGGCATTCATCTGCGAATCTTATCGCCCAAGGTGAGTCTCTAACACCAAGATTGGACCAAGGGTGAAATGTGCGCGACAACTAAGGTCGCATCAGCCATATATCAGCTTTGGCCATAGACGCTTAGCTTGACAAATATCAAAGCCCCAACTGGTCAGATCCCAAGATGGACAACCGGGGCTCACTTGGCTCCATCCAGAAAACTGTCTGGGACGGGCGCATACCCTTGGAAATCATATTAGCACCATCTGAAAGTCGAACATTTGACAAGACGGATCCATATCTCGTTTGTCTTTCATCTCTTGAATTGCCGACATGGATGATGCTAATCGTCGATGGCTAGATTGCGTATCCGCGCATTTCATATTTCCCCTCGTTACTACCGAGGCTGCGGGCTTTTTTTGCCAGCTCACTAATTGCACCTGAATCCCAATCCCACGAGGGCTGGTTCGAATTCGAGGGTGTGCCTCTCAAGTGGCACTATCCTGTTGGCCTGCTGTTTGACCTCTATGCCGGAGCAACCCCTGCTTCCAAGACGGCGCCCATAGGCGACGAGTCTCCCGAAGATGCCTCAAAGATTCCATGGCGACTGGTTGTTCACTTCAGTAACTGGCCAGATGAGAGCCTCGTCCGCCTGGATGCTGATGGGATGGTCATGGGCGATGCGTTCATAAACAGTGTGAAGGAAGCTGATTTCCTGCGCAATGGCACTGCGAAGGGGATCATGAGTCTCTCAAAAGAAGACTCATCGGGTCTTTGGAAGGCCGTTGAAGATGGTGAGTGGATTCCTGGGCTGAAAATTTCCCTCTGTTTATCTTTGAGAATTGGTTTAATATCGCATTAGTCAATCTTCCTTCATTTCAGCGCATCTCGAATATTCTGCTACCTCAACTTTCACAGCCTTTCCGCAATGTACCCATCAGAATATTCTTGCCACTTCCGCCAGATGATGAGTCTCCGTCCCTCAAGGTGGTTCAATCACCACTCCCCCCGTCTATACAGACACAGAGTATGCAGTCCAGCCAGATTTTGAGCTCGCGATCGAGTCCAACCACCCAACCTCAAACGATCGGCACAGTTCTGCATACACTGCTTCCGAATTTGTTCCCCAGCCGAAGAACCCCTGTCCTTGCAAAGCCTGTACTACATGGTGCTGTTATACCAATGTCTGCTCCTATAGAAGAGGTGGTACGGAGTTCTGCTTACGGAGATGGGTGGGCATACTTGGTTGTCAGAATGATGGGGTGAGCAAATATGAAAGCTCTGGAGAAACGAAGTATCTTGTGATGCGACAAGACAGATTCGAATTGACACATAGCGTGTTTCTAGCACAACAAACCTGTGTTCTTGTCTCAGGTCTAGAAACAGTACTTATATTGGAAATAATTCGCAATTGAGTCGATTCTTGTGAGACAAACGCACGAAACAAGTTCAATCAGCAAGAAACTCCATTCTATTTCACACTTGCACTTAACAGACTATCAAACCGGTCGCGGTATCAAAAAGGGGACAATGGTATGACTGAGACTAAACGCTGAAAGACGCTAATAATTAGATAAAAAGAAAGCAAGGCCGTTTATATCATGTGAAGCATTGCAAGAGTGCCCAGGTGGTATCTCAACAGGAAGAGGAAATAATAGAAGGCAGCTCCACAGAGGTGATTGAGACTCTTGATCCCCAGATCGAACTATCCTCATCAACCAGAGTGGACCCTCCTATCTCGTCAAATTCGGACTCCATGTCAATAGAGTCTATTGTGGTTGCTTGGCTCTTTCGATGCGTCATTGGTGGTGGCGGAGGGGGAGGCTGCATTTTGTCTGCGTCTTCAATCCACAATACGCTTATAGGATTCTTGCGCGCCCGGTCTATTGCAGTCAGACCATCACCTCTTAGGTTGTCACTTGTGGGCGTTTCTTCGAAGTCTTTGATTGAAGGGTCTGCGCCCGCATCAAGTAGAAGTTGGAAAAGATTATGCCGGCCTCGCTCGGCGGCTAGGTGTAATGGCGTCTTGCCTTCGGATGTTTTCGCATCGACCGAGGCACCGTTTTCGATGAGAAGTGATACCAGTAATTCACGTGGAACCATGGACGTAACCGCGAGATGTAAAGCGGTTTCGGATGCGGAAGATGTCACTTGGGCATCGATGTTTGCCCCATGAGAGACAAATGCTGAGATGAATTTGGCCGTATAATCAAACAAGGAATCTGGTGATCCAATGCAATTCATTACAAGATGATGTAAGGGTGTGAGACCAGCACAGGTCATTGCACTGGCACTGAAGTTGAATGCCAGAAGTGTTTCCAGAATGTCAAGGCAGTCTTGATTGAGTGGAGGAATGATGTGAAGCAGAGTTTCACCCTTCGCAGTCTGAACATCGAGTCTTGCCCCCTGATCAACCAAGGCAAGAAACATTGCCCTGTTTCCAGCTGCCGCAGCGCATTGGAGTGGAGTATATCCTTGGGAGTTCCGTGTCTCTATGTGCGCACCCTGCTGGATTAAGTGCACCGCGACAGAAGCGGATGTAGCCCTTTGAGCTTGCTGGTGAAGCAGCGAATTACCACTGCTATCCCATGCATTGACGTCAGCACCGCCGATGACCAGAAGATCGAATGCAATCCAGTGATCCATCGAGGCGGCGAGCTGCAAGGCAGTAATCCCATGAGAAGAGCGAGTTTCCAACTGAGCGCCACGTTCAAGAAGAAGAGATATTGCCTCGCAGTTGTCTGTTTTGCAAGCAAGCTGCAGGGCCGTCAAGCCATCTCTGTTTAGAACGTTGAAGGTCGCGCCTTTTTCCAAAAGAAACGCAAGTATGCGAGGTCGCCTCAGCTCCACAGCTAGATGAAGTGCGGTATTTCCAGTCATAGTGTTCTGAACATCCATGTCGAATCGACTCTTAATCAAGAGCGGAACAATTGTTTCATCATAAGCTGTTCCCACAGCTAATTGAAGGGCTGTAGCCCCTTGCTTATTGGCTGTCCTTGTATTCACTCGTCGCTGAAGTAAAAATCTGATCAGCTTGCGATGACCCTGTTCCGCCGCAATATGGAGAACTGTCTTGCCAGACTTGCAAGCGGCATTGGCATTAGCCCGAGAATTGATCAACAACTCCGTCATATCTTCGTTTCCTTGGTATACCGCACAATGCAAAGGTGTGATTCCGTTGTGATTATCACAATCGTTGACATCAGCGCCTTGCTCGAGAAGACGTTTCGCCTTTTCAATGATTCCGAAGTAAGCAAGGAAATGTAGAGATGTCCAGTCGGAAAAATATCTCCCCAGGCCTAGTTGCTTCGGGATTTCGAAACCAAGAGAAACAAATTCGGCAACTGGGGGCCGTCGCCAAGATAACTTGTTGAGAAATGCTCGGATGAGAACCTGGGTCGCTTGCTCATCTTCGCCAACTTCACGGGCATGGTGGCCCCAGTAAGCTGTGGCGTAGTCCAATAGCTTGCCACGAGGCTTGCAGGGTGCTGCCCCTTGTTTGACGTAACAGTCATCAATCACATCATCTGGCGTGATAACTGTGAGACAAACATCTGCAATATTGGCTTTTGCAGTCGGAAAGAAGACTCGAGCTGCTGGACCACTCAGGTACTCTTTGGCTGTTTTATGGACTAGATGGACTGTACCATCCATGGCATCTATTGTCAAGAGGCCAGCAGCCTCATAAAGCATGGAATGGGCGGAAGGTGAAGATGCATCGGCGGCAGCTTTCCCCTGTAGCTCAAAGCTTGCCGCAAAATTTAATTCAGAGACGGTTAAAGGTCGCTGAGCGTATAAAGTCCAGTACAGACAACGACTAGCAAAAGGATTATGACTGACGATCCGAGTCATAGACTCGCCGTAAGCATCACTTAGACTCTCTGGTAGGTGAAAGAGCGACCTTTGTAACAGGCTTCCGTCACCACATCGGCATAGCAGATCCATGTGAAGCCTGGCTAGTAAGAATCTAATCCACGTTAGTCATTGAGAAATCTTTTGGATATTTAGGGTTGTAACTTCACCACGCAGAGTTGAAGCCTGAAGAACTCACAGCCCGTGCGACCTTTGAGCAACTTGTTGAATTATAGCAGCTTTTAGCTCAGGGTCATATTGTTTCAGCAAACTCGGCAGAACCGCATCGTGCTCAATGCGGGAAGACACATATGCCTCAAGATCTCTGCGAGGCGCTAATACAGAAATATGTTCGTCTTTGGGTGTTTGTTTTGCTTCCCTTGAAGTAACCAGAATTTGTGCATGGTCTGGGAGCTTTTGGAGACGATTCAAGATACGCTCCTTTTCCACGTACATGTCGATTCCATCTATCACGAATAGGACCCTCGAAAACCTGTTGACTTCAGCACGGATCGCGTCCTGGTATGCTTTCGCCGAAACGTTGCCATCTTGGAAGGATTTGGATTTATAAAGTGCAGCAGTAGGACGGGACGCGCTTCGCTTTCGATAAACGAGCTGCGCAAGAATCTTGTCCAAAAAGCCCGCGGGACCTGTTTCGTCTGTCTCATCGTGACCGAAAATAAAGACAATAGCCACATCTGAAGAAGTGAACGTATTCTGCAGACTGTCGACAATCGTAGATCTGAACTACTTGTTAGGGTGGAAAGCGCTAATCCGTTTAGGGATTTTCACTCACGCAAGGAAAGTCTTTCCAGCGCCCGCTGATGAAAATGTTAGTTGGCTGTATCTGAAATTGGAATTGAGATGGATCACATACCAGGAGCAATGCAATAAAGAGTTCGACAGCAGCCAAACAGCCATTTTGTGTACGTATCGTGGTCAAATATCCAGTCGCAGGTCCCCTTTTGTCGCGTGTTGCATAGATCAGCCAGCCTCATGAAGCCCTTCGTAGTCATTTGACTGGTGATGTTGTGGAAGCTTTCAGGGTTGGATTTTTCTGAAATGATATCTGGAGATTGGACGATTAGCCAGATACTCAAACAGAGGGCCATTTGGTTTCGGTCTGACCAGAATCCATCTCGTGGAATTGACGAATTGTGGTTTGAAGCTTTGCCTCAGCTCGAAGCTTTTCCCTGTAAGTCATGAGAATCATAGCTCAGGGGTTTCTGTCCCAAATAAATTGGGAAAATATGCCCGAGAGACTTTCACATACCGAGAATCCGGCTGCATTGACAAAATCATCATGACCTTGAACTGCTCCAGCCGAGGAATGAAGGTGGTTTCCAATAATCGTTTTCTAATCGACCGGGAACTTATACCACCAGGCTGGAAGTAGAAATCCAGTGTGCCAATTGTTGACTCGAAGGAGAGAACCATCTCATGCAACACGCGTAGACGTGAATGGTCCATCACCCATTTCTCCTCTGACCAGCTCAATTGATCCTGAAGCCGAGAGATCATATCAAGTAGCTCGCACAACAGCAGTAAAGCTTTGTTTGCGCCATCTTGTGACTCTCGGTTTCCCCCAAGACAGCGCAATACTGCACGTATGGATCGAGCGGCTCGGGCGAGGCGACCCCGAATCGTTGTGCCGTCAACCATGATTGGGGGCTTCATGTAGAACGTGAGATTGTTCTATAATTGATCAGGATAAGGGCATTAGACGATGATCATGGTAGCCGGGGGGAAAGGCAGAGGAGGAACAATAACTGGAAAGAGGTTGAGTTTCAGAGGGTGTTATTGAGGTCGAAAGCCGCTCATAAGACCAGGGCATATATTTTGGCCTGAAATCCCAGGCCGGTTCGGCTCCTGCAAAATCAGGATTGGCTTAGCCCTTACCTGGCGCTTTGGTTTAACGGGCTCATATTGTGTGAACGGACGTGTAATTAGCGCTGTTATTCTTCAGGCGCTATGTGAAACAGACTGAAGCCCCCTAACTCGTATTAGTGAGAGAGACAACCTATCAGGACACATTTCAGCCCCAAAGAAAAAGAACCGGTGTAGAAAGCAAAGCAGATCGAATCAAAGCCACATGAGAAGATTGGCGAAAAATGACCAGGCACGGACGATCTGACTACCAAATAAAGACATCGTGCCATGAGCGGGGGTGGGGTGTTCCATTCACATTGATTGTCTAGCCGCTCGGCCCCAAAAAGATTGTGATAACTGCTCACCCATGCATGTAGGCGCACGGAGAGTTATGTACTGGCACTACATTGCCAACTGGCTCTTCAAATAGAATAAAACCCGGAACCCTTGAGCTCATGGTTTCCATAAAGACGATAGTAGAGTAACCTGAAACCAATTTTAACATTCATCTGCGTCTGATTGTGTGAAACTTAGCCCCATGCAGAAGGAAACAGCGTGATAGGTTGGATTCAATCTATTTTAGCATGGCTTCTCATGTTATTTTCGATGAGCTGTAGTTGACTGATAATGGAAAGTAGCTTTTGTATTAAATCAGACACATGAAAAGAAATTCAATTGGTATGCAATCTGGAATCGGCGGTAACCTGCTAAGTCCATTCGGATTCTCCCGGAATGAGACAAAGCGAGCATGGTATCTATCTTTTTGGTTGTTTGGTAGTGCCTTTTCCCCGAGCTAAACAATGTATCAAAGAAGGACAATAAAATGGAATCATATTCAGACAGGAGCAAGGAGATTCGTAGTAAAATATCGTGAAATTATCCAACAGTCTTCGGGAGAGAAGAGAATGGAGTTTTGTCTACTCCCCAGTTGCTCAACTACGGGTATCGCAGGGAGAAAAGAAAGGGGTAGGAGCATCGTGGGGAGAAACAAGAAAACAAACATGTCGTAAACGCATCAAAAAAAGCAACTCAAATCATATTCGCACCATTGAAAGTGACTTCGGCACCAGCATCTCGACCATGCTTGAGAGCTTTGGCCAGCATGAGCTCTCGCATCCAGTCGATACGCTCGTCACGAGTCTTGACTGCAAAATGATGTGACTTGCCACTGTTAAGGAAAGCAGTCTTTCTGTCAAGAACGCCATTGCCATTAGGCGCAGGAATGAGAGAGAAGGCAAAGGCAGAAACATCCTTGGGATCTTCGCTTCGTTTGAGTACAGTCTTCTTGAAAGCTGCAGTCAACTTGGACTTTGAAGCGAACGAAGAGCATGCAACGGCATAGTCATCGACATCGATATGCTCAAGCGCTTTCGAGTTTCGACGAGCAGATGATTCGCTGTCGTGCATCGAGAGCTGAGTGCCCTTGAGGGTAACATGACGGGGCTCCCATTCATGGCAAATCAGTCTCGCTGTCTTGCGCTTCTTCAACCATCCACTGTGAGTCACGTCGTCTTGTCCACGTCGAGTGGCTGGGAACAAAGTGTTGTTGCGGAACTGAGGTGCACGAGGCACTCTTTGGAGGTCCTCGGGAGTTTCAATGGGGCTCATGGGACGGTCCTCTTTCAGTGAATTCAAAGTGACGACGTTCTGGATAGAAGGATATCTGCGATGGTGCCCTGTGGATGGTCGAACAATTGGGTCCTCAACCACGAATCCGTTGTTCCCAAAGCGCATGTCCGGTGGCACAGATTGAGATTCCTCTCGAGCCACCGGCCCGACGGGAACCGCAGTAACGGGGGCATCAACATCTGAGAATGGGGTTTCCGACCGGTAGCAAGGATCCCCCCTGTAAAAGTCTCCCGGAGAGGCAATTGCATCACGCGGCATGGAGTGCTGGCCTTGAATGGCAGTTCGGTCGTTGAAGTTACTACGCCTTGACAGGACAGATGGAGTAACGGTCCTCAGGGCAGAGGTATTGTCGGTGAAAACAGACCCCTCAACAGAATCATGCATGCTAGGAATTCGCAGCTTGGGCAGATGTCGAAGATGATCGGCAAGTGTAGGTGTGATCTTGGCGGAATCCGGAGTGTCCGAGGAAGGTGACGAAAGATGCTCCAACGGGGGTGTTGCAGGATGATTGGCAGTCTGCAATCTATCGAGGCTTTGGAAGTTCAAGAAGTTGCGTACATTCTCCTGCGGGTCCCTGGGCTTGACCTCTTTGAGCATCTCTCGAGAAAGTTGGAATGACGAAGGCTTGCCAGGTCCCATCAGATCCGATGATGCGACAAGTGATGAAGACATATCAGACCTAGTTGGAGATTTAACCAGGTTTGGTGCTGTGTGCGGGTTGCCAGGGTCCCCGGCCACGATGCGGCCAGAGCCATAATGCTCAAATGGCAAGTCCTGCGCAAGGCGAGCAAGCTTGTCCTGCTGCTTCTGCCACTTGCGACAACCCTCGCCCTTGGAGCACTGATGTAACTTGGGTAGAACTTGTTCAATTGCCACGATAGAGACGGAATCACCAGGAGTCAGATCGCTTATCTTGCGTGATCTTCCGTCAAAGGCTTCGTGGGGCGCCATCATGTTCGCGTTGAATGCGTCATCGTCAGTGGTCAGACAAGAGCTGTTGTTTCCAGCACCCGATGCGACCGAGGTGTTCTGGGTTGATGCAACGTCACTAGTCACACTGGAGTTCCGCGAGCGCGACGAAGCAGTCTCTGTAGCGGTAAACACGGTGCTGTTTCGCAAGCTCTGGATTGAGCTCATGACTCTGTGCCGCTTGCCAAAAGACTTGATATCAAGTTCTTTCAGGTCCTCTGGTTGGAGTTCCAGTAGGATTGATCCAGAGATGTCGTTTTCGAAGAACTTCTCCACAACATCCTCTTCAAACCCAAGGTTTCGCATCCACGCCACGACCTCTGACGGGGTCCAATCAGTGGGTCCCGCCTGTGAAGACACCGAGGCCTGCCTGGAAATTGGCGTGGGCTCTTGAGAATGCTGGGGGTGTTGTGAATGTTGTGAATGTTGCGGCTGTCGCGGGTGCTGCGGTTGCCGCGAATGCTGTGATTGTCGCGAATACTGTGATTGCTGAGCATACTGGGAGTATCTGGAATAGTGGGCCGTTTGAGGCTCAGGACTTGGCCCAACTGATCTGTTTGGGACGGGTGTGTCTCTTCTGTAGGGATCGAATTTGGAAGCTTCATGATGATAAGGACCTGTGGCGCTGATAGGAGTCTCTCTCGTCAGCAGGTCTGAGTCTGCAACCGAATTGTGACCCGAGTTGAGAGGAGATCTGAACATATGAGGGCCGTTTGGCCCTCTAACATGCTTGTCATCGATGTGGAAATCGAATGCGGTTAGCCCAGTTGAGTCTGGGGTCGTAGCGTAGTCCGGCGTAGACGCTGTTGATATGCTTCCTGATCCTAACTGAGGAAAATATTAGTATTCAATCGTCGGATAGCTCCACAGTGGACAGGCATCGCGTACAGAAGCAACACTCCTCATCGGTGAGCTGGTTTCAAAATCATGGTATCCGTATTCGTTCTCGAATATCTCGGTAGACTGTGACATTGGCCGAAAGATGGCAGTTCTTGGAGGGAAGAGCGGCAAAGGCTCCTCTTTTGGATTCTGGAGGTAATTAATGTGATACCCGTATTGAGACTCCTATCTTTGAGGTTAGAGGATCAAACGGGAGTTGATCAAGTGAGGATAAACCAACCATCATGCCAACTCCACGGTATAACCCGCAGAAGTAAAAATAGTCCCAACTGTTATAGAACCAACCCAAGATCTTGCAAGAGTTGGGAGGGGGTTGTTGGAACACCGTGAGTCCGATTATCCAAACAAGCTATAATATTGTGATAACGGGGAATGTCAGAAATAAGTAATTTGGGTGTTGGATGAGTTTATGTACGGAGTTATTACCTGGGAACTGTTACCCGTTCGCCTGTGGGGCGGCCAGTAAGAACGTTGATTTCCGGGGGTCTCGAGCGATTTCGAGAATTCAACGAATTGTATAAATGGGGGACACAGGGCTCGGCGGTAAGCACGCGGCGATGCGCCCACAGGAATGCATCTGGGTGGCCGGGAAGCCAGGCTGGAACATTAGTGTAGGAGACAGGTGCCAGAGACTAAAATTGATCTCGGAGGACCGACTAAATTGGGTGCTGATTGGACAAGCTGCAATGCAGTCCGTGTCGAACCTGCATGAGGGGGTGAGGAAAGCGGGTGATGGCGGCTTGTGAGAGGCTGTTTATCACGGCGCTACTGCCGTGACGACGTTCTTGGCACACTGGTTACTAAATTGATGGGCTCGCAAGGTCTCCTGATGTTTATGGCGCGTAGAAGGGGTTTCAAGTGCAAGATTTATAAATTCATGGCCATTCCTCAATCTCAGGAGGATTGGGGCCAAAAGAACTCCCGCATGATGTACTCTGATTGGTACATTCTGTCAAGTTCGAAACCCTCTGGCGTGGGCTTTCTTTAGCAACTGGCAAATTGCTGTTAACTTTGGCACACCTCCTCAAATGGGTTATTTTAAGAATCATTAGCGAATATTCCTGCCTACTATGACCGGTTCCATGACTCGGGAAAACCCTGGATCCAAAAAAGTACCAATTCAACCATCACACAATCACCCGCAAGTACGAGCATGTACCTACCCATCACATCACATTGCAGATCATGGTAGCCGAAACCCCGCCCATTTTGACTGGCTGAAGCGGCCCGAAAAGAACAAAAAAACCCCCAACTCCTACAGAATAAAATTCTTGCAGTTAAACGGTGGGTTTAAATTACACAAGGAGTAACACAAAGGCTAGATGAGGAAATACATCAGGATGTTGAAATTGGCCAACTCAATTTGAAGTGCTCAGTAAAGATCATTTCCACAACTGATAAGATCCAAACTCTTCTGCTTTTCATCAAAACCACAACCCATTTGCAGCTGGCTTTGAACTGGATGAAACACGGAGTATTCCAGTTCAAAGCTCAAATCTGCCAGAGGCATCGTGACTGTCCCACTATGTACAGAGTACATACATCAGCATGAATCACACCGCATTTCTATTTATTGTGCAGCCGATAACCTGTCCTTCCCCTCTGCGGAGTAAATATCTCTAGCTCTTACCTAGGTACCACTGAAGCACCGTTATTCAAGAGGCCAGTCTATGGTTTATATATTTATGCAGTCACATATGATAATAGAAAAGCTCACATTAAAATCATAGATTATGATAGCCATAGATCGAGCCAGGGGGATGTGCCCAGGTGCTTCCAAGGTTGAATATGTGCCCACAGATGCCAGGTGGTGGCCCAATAACTTTGACGTATTTCCAACCTTCAAGGTTGGAAAGTATTAGTATGAGACCGACCAAAGTCCTCACACTCCCAAAGCATACTACCTACCACCTGGGCAGTATATCGGTATCATTGAACAGGAAATTTGAAAATAGATTGCGCGAATCATCATCATCCCGAGTCACTTTTGGATACAAAAATGTCCGCGGGACTGAAGTGGCTCTCGTTCCAAGGTTCCAAGGTTAGAGTTGAGATGACGAATCCAAAATATTGTTCATTACTACGTGAGACAGAGTGCGAGTTTATGTTCCTTGTCCAACTCCCTTCAATCCTCGGGTAGCGGAATAGTTGATATCAAAATTAATGCATGGTTCCGAGAAAGAACTATGCTCAGCCATAGCCTTGGAAGCCTTGTTAGGCATTCAACGTACTCCGTCTTTCGTTCATAGTATATGAGACAGTCTCAAATTGTGACAAGCCAATGAAATCTGCAGGTAGATTTCATTTCCCGGCCCGGAGGGTGTTCGGGATTTCAGCGATGCCCAGGTGGCATACTAGTATATTCCCCTTTGGTATCCAAAGTTCGACCACTCAATTGACCAACTGAATACTAGTAGAGAGCCCCAGTAAATATCTAATTTTTGGTAACCTCGGAACAAGATCCTAAGCGTGGCCAAAGCTGGAGCTGCATCACTGATTTTTGCTAGACGGAATTGCGTGAGCTTGATCTGGGAAGCTGCTTGATACCAAACCTCGGAATACATCACATCCTCGTGCGTTCGTCACACGTGGGTGGGCGAATGCAGGTAAGTACCTTGAGACTGGGCCATGTGACAACTTCAGTCTGTGTCATATTTGAAAAGCCGATTGATTGGATTGTACCTGAAGCAGTCAGCCCTGAAATGTGGCTTGGCAACGGCTATCAGTAAAATACGTCCTCCGTATCATGATGGATGATTGAAATGGTGATAGCTTAGATTAACTCCGCCCACATAGACTCTGATGTTGTGAAACTTTCTGGAATAGGAATTTGGAAAGGCAAGTTCCTGTTGCTCAGCAAAAGAATATCGAGACAATGTGAACAGTCTCTCTATCAATAGGATAACATGTATTTTCCTTGTGCTTCACCATCACTGTCAACTCAAAGTACCCGAATCTCATGTTGGTATGCAATATACTCCGTATCTTGTTGCAATCCCGAAAATTCCATTGCCCAAGGGAATGGAACCCGGCCCGCTTTACAATTCTTGTCCGAATGTTCATTGAAATGAACTTTGTAGATTGCCTGACTTCCAAAAGCAAATACTCCTTACTAGTCTTGCAGATCCGATATATTCTAATAGCTATTGACCCCTAAATGTCCAGGTGCATTCTCTTGCTTAAGTCGTACATGGCCGTAACCAAGACCTTCAACCAAATTTCAGCTGTGGTCAAAAATTCCTACTCATTTCCTCATGAAAATCATAATGCTAACGAGTGCAAGAATCGAATGGGGTTTGTACGACAGAGCTTCAACATCAAGCAGAACAATCCGACGTTAAGCGAGTGCACGCCTGAGATTGATGAACAGCTCTTTATTCTTTACCATTCAGTTAATTTCAAGCGAAATTATCAAAATATCGCTAATCTCTAGTTTTCCAAATATAGATAATGTTAATAACCTTGGAAGCTTAAGCCCGAATGCTACCCTCGAAATGGAAGAACCCCAGCTATGTCCTTCCCGATTGGAAGGTTGCATACAGAGTACATACTTCTCAACGATGTCTCACCGAGATATTAGGATCAAGGATGGGAAATAGACCGCATTGCAGCCTGCATACCCCGCAAGCTTCTTTGCTAATTATGGATAATATAGATCACGTAGTCCCTTAATGATACCCCAAAAACATATTAATAGACATTTTGCGGGATTTTGGCTATCGCGGGAGTCCCAAAAATCAAGTCGATTTGGTCAATCATCTCCAGTCACAGCATAATTGGTGTTAATTAAGGCGCTTAAATGTTGCTAATTAAGGACTTTTCGCTTTAGGTGACTTTATCACAGTCCAAGCGTCGTCCTTGGCACGTCTAGTGCCATAGAATACGCACGGCCCAGCCCCACGGTTGGCTCATAATCCAACGTTCTGCACGAATCCGATGACACTAAAATATAGTCTGCATTAGGGTTGCTATCAACCAACCAATGAAACTCTTCGGATGGAAGCTTGGCATGCAACAGCTGCTTGTCAATCACAGTCTAAATCTGCACGCTTTTCACCAAAACAATTACTTTTGGGCCTATTCCAGCCGATCGTGTCCGAATAGTTCCACTTATCAGGGTTTAGTGTAAGCGTTGCCTGACTCGCAAAGAGAGCGTATTCACCTATCGCTTGATGGCTTCGGACATATCCACAATATCTAACAAACCAACCAACATAATATCCAACTGTTTTGCAGCTCTATAGCAGTAGTAATTATTAAACATCAAGCCACCTCCAAGCATCGGGAGCGGGGGACTCGATTCAAGTTTTGGAGGAGCTCATAAATTGGTGTCTAGATCGGGGATATTTTGGGACAATTTGAAATCCATACCCAGTCCATCGTCTAAACATAAGTGGCTAACTCTCCAAAAGCCCAAATTAGTGGAATTTAAATTAGTCCCTGATGGGTAGCCTATCAGCGTCAAAACACACCATTTCTACAGCTGTACTACATGCGCTCGAGTGTTAGTGATTACCCCGAAAGGGTGGAGACTAGCAGGGATTATTCGCAGGTCCACTGCAACTCTCATGCACCATGGGGCCCCCGGCTATCCTACCAAAGATCACCATCCGCTAGCTCGAGAAGATCGGCCCTGTATTCTTGTTGCCCGTCACCCCTCGTACTTGCACCCCTGTCACATCCCAAATTTAGTTTGATGACCCGGCCAACAAGTCGTATCCGGACATTGATTTGTTGCCGGGCCATTATGCCCCACTCAATGTTCGCATATTCTTCCGGCTTGAACTAGGCTCACCTACCGCGTCCAACAAAATTAGAAGCATGCACGCCATGGCTGCTGATCGTACCGCAGACTTATAACTTGCCGCATCCGAGATCTCAAGATAAAAGATCTCTCTCGAAGCCATCTCGAAGCAGTGCAATTCCACTTTCCTTTCTCTTTCTTTCATACCCTAATAGAGTGTATAAGCTGCCGGTTCAGCTTTGCCATTTCGCCATTTATTAAATTGCAAATAAGGTGGCTGGACCCCCTCACCATTTATACATCGCTTGTTTTCTCGGCTGAGCCGCCTGCCCCTCAATCTTTTCAATCGCCCAGGTCATTGATTGACCTTTTTTTTTTAAAAAAAACTACCAATACTGGATATGGTGAATTCGGACTTCAAGATGCCTATCGCGAAAAACACCGGGGTGGCCTCGACCAAAAAGATGGACTCTTCTATCGAAAGAACGCAAGTGGATAAATCCGGACGAATGCACAAGCGATCTCGCTCTGGTACGAATTTTTGCAGCCAGCTCACTGTTTCATTGCTTTTGTTATTGACAATCTCACTCATAGGCTGCTATACTTGTCGGCTACGACGAAAGAAGTGCGACGAAGGGCACCCGGCCTGCAAAGCCTGCGCAAACCTCAACATTGCCTGTGAATATAAAAGACCAGACTGGTGGACCAACGCTGAGCACCGGAGACAACACAAGGAGAAGATAAAGAATAGAATCAAGCAGACCAAGTCATTGGAGCGAAGTGGTTCCATTCATGGTGAGTCTAACATACCCGGCGTGGTGTAAATACTCTGATCAAGCTTCTAACAAATTTCTCAGGACGCATGAACCGTGCCCTATCCTCGCCACATTCCAGTGACCGTGATCTCCATCACCCAATATACATTGAGAACTGTGATCCTAACTTCGGGGCGCACTTCTCAACCCCCGGATTTGTGCCGATATCCTACTCTCAACATTACCCATATGAGGTCGACGTCAAAACAGAACGCCAAACATTTGTCAACGATGTACCACTACGACGCGACTCTTCAGTCTCAACTTTCAACGCTCTGGGACCCCCCCAATTGCATGCAACGCTTCCAGCTTTCCAATCAGATGGATGGTTTCAAGAAGAATACTTCGATCCTGCTGGCCAGGTAACAGGTCAAGGCATGCTTGGTAACCCGGAATTTGCACAGTACCCGACTTCTTTGAGTTCCAACATTTTGGTTGACGACTATGACCGTCCACTCTTGGACCACTTCGTGGACAATGTCTTGCGCATGATTTTCCCAATCCTGCAGGTCCACCAGCGTGGCGCATTACATACAACATCCGTTCTTCAATCACTCGAAGCAAACAAGTCCTACTTCCACTGCTGTCTAAGTGTATCTGCGATTCACCTCAAGACCACAAGTGGACTGACCGGTGAGCAAATCGACAACGATATCATGCGCCATCGCTATGAGGCAATCTCCGAGCTCTGCCAAGCACTCAACAAGGACTCCGACCACGAAAGCATACTGGATGCCACACTCGCAATGATCTTCTTCCATTGCTCAGTTGGTGCCCCCGATGATCACTTGCCCGATATCCCCTGGAATGACCATTTCCAAGCTGTCTCAAACTTGGCAAGCAAGCTGGATTTGACCAGCCAAGTAAGCTCGGGTGGTTATATTCACTCGCCTCCACCTTTTGCCATGTCCTTGACTTCTTGGATCGACATTCTGGGTGCAACTATGCTTGGAAAGACGCCACAATTTGCCCACTCATATCGCTCTAAGCACCTGAGCGGAACTTCATCCGGTCTTCGCGAGCTGATGGGCTGTGATGACCGTGTGATGTACCTGATCTCAGAGATATCTTGTCTCGAATCACTCAAAGCCGACGGTCGCGTTGATTTCAACCTCATTTGCTCTCATGTTTCCGCCCTGGGCAACCAGTTGAAATCCACAGAGGATGAGGATCCCACATTGAGGAGTTGCTACTGCCCAACAACTGGATCAATCAACCATGAAGCATTGACAAAGACCGTGACAGCTGTTTTCCGCATTGCCGCCCGCATCTATCTCTGCAGCCTGGTTCCCGGATCCGACCGAAACCAATCCAGCACTATCAACCTCGTCAACGCTCTGACAGATGCTTTATCGTATATTCCAACAGGACCTTTTGGATTCGATCGCTCCCTCGTGTGGCCACTCCTGATTGCGGGTGCCTTTTCGACCCCATCAAGCTCGTTCCGCCAGGTTCTCGATGATAGAATCACAACCTTGGGCGAAATTGCAGACCTCGGCAGCATTGGTCGCATGTACCGACTGTTAAATGAGTACTGGCGCTTGACCGATGACCCAGTCAGCCCATCCTTCCCTTCGCAGGACAGTCAGTTGGAGTCGGGAAAGCACATCAATGAGACAGCCCCAGGGCCCGATTTGTCGGTCCCAATTCTGTCACCTGGCATGCGAGAGATCAAGAGACAAAAGGTTCACTGGCGAGATGTCATGAACCGAAACGGCTGGCGTTATCTTCTGATCTAATCGGCCTGGAAGTGGCACTTATGAGCTTTGCCGACATTGGTCGCAAGGCGGAGGAATGTTTTGCTTCATTTCAAGATACCTCGGACTCTTTCTGTACATGTGTTACATTTCACGGAAGGAACCTGGTGCTTTTTTCTGAATTTTTAGCCTTTATTTGCTTTTATATATCCCCGGCTGTTGATTTTTGTTCATTGCTATGGGCGCTTACCTTTCCACATGAAGATGAATTTGGACGAGCTGGAGCAATTGGATTCGTTCCCTTTCTGGTGTTTTGATGTTAGTCTTCTATGCATCTTGTCCATCATTGTTCATGTCTAGGTATTCCTCATTGAAATTTCTGCTCGCCCTATGGGTTTCCCGCTCCACCGCTAGATTTTTCAACTTTGAACTTGGAAGCGACGCAACAATCCGCCAAGCCCGCAGTGGTTGAGTTCCAAAATCTTTTTATCGTAAAAGGTTCCCATGGATTTCAACTCGTCAAGGTTGGAGTGCAGTCGTCTCCCTGCATAATCCCTCGACTTAGATGTCAATGTTTAAACTGAGTGTCACTGTCTGGCCTGGTTATTTTATCGGTCATCATCTTACAAAATATCATTTTGAGTTTTTGGGAACTCAAGCAGATGAGATTTTTATGTGAATCGACCGAAAAGCCAAGAACTGGACGTACATATTCTAATATTGCTGAGGACATAGGAGACAAAAGCACAGGAAAACAATTCCAAGAACCGAATTACATCGTTAAAGATGAATTTTGTTTTGTATTTTAATCATCCCGAGGTCCTGATAGAGTGTGTACATGTGTAAGAAGCCTATCTTTGTGGTGAGTGGTTATTTCATTGCGCCTGGTGGTGTGCTTTTCGGAATTCAATATCTCTCCTTAGATATTACATTCTGGGTTTAATGGAACAAAGGACAGTGATAAGCACAATACACGGCACATAGAAGTCCAAAAGAATCACTGGGTTATAACAACTAAGAATAACGGGAGCTTCGGTTGTTCCGGATGCTAAAATATCACTATATTGTACCTCGACTTTCTCCTCAAACTGCTGGTTTTGGGGCCTGAAGTCATCAGCACCCCTGATGATGATTCCACGCTCTTCATATCAGCGGGCAGACATCGTGAGGTCTTCGCGTGGTGTGCGACTTTGGTGTTGATATCTCAAGTCGTCAAATTTTTGCTGGTTTCATGCCTATTGTCGTCAAAGGCAGTTTACCTCCCGTGTCCTTTTGCATTCCTTTTGATCTACACGGAACTGGAAGCTCTTGCAACCTTAAAAGAATTAGGATCCAACGTTCCTAAGCCCGAATGGCTTTCCCAGCCTCTGATTGTGGGGGATACTCCCTGTTGAGGTGGGCATATTCATTTCCACGTTTTCCGGTGAACGGCAGACTGTCAAACACTTGACCTGTATCTTCGGAAAGCGCTTTTGCTGGTGACCGGAGTAGCCATGAAGTCGGTTCAGGTGACATTGATCTGGTCCTGACTACTACTGGGAGAACCAGAACCAGAAAGACGGGGAAGATTGTTTCTAGGGAGAAGGAGAGAGGGGTGAGAAACTAGTCCACAGGTGCCCCGGGGCCAGGTGGGGACCTCACTTGGCCGATCGTAAATCCTCTGTACTGCATTCGTTACGTCCCCGGTTTTTGCGCAATTTGTGCCGTGTACATAGCGCCGGCCTGTCCACCGAGCAGCAAGTATCCTTTGTAAAGCGGAACCCCTAGCAATCCGGACGCGCAGACACAGACACCCGGACCAAGTGGCAAACTATTTGGACGGAGGTCACCGTCGGAATTGAAGTCATAGGACCAGCGCTGGGCCCATTGGCGCTGTCGGACGGGGTGCGTTATCATTTTTACCTTCCAGACTAGCTGGTCAGACAGCCGCACTCCGGACTTGATGTCCGCGACAGGGATCGAGGTATCCGTGCAAACAGGAACTATCCATTCGGAAGCGTGTTTTGCGCCATCTTCGTGCTCGTCGTAGGTAGTTTGGTTATTCATAGAACTAAGCAAAAAGGTTGGCACAAGAAAGCAAGGGTTTCATTGCACGAAGAGAGAGAGAAAGAGAAAAGAAAGCAAGACAAAGATCTATGTACAAAAGTAGGAATGCATCACATGATTCCTAACAGTTATACCTAGGTACCTCGCGAACTGGTCCGGGCGACGCCGGGTGGCTGTCGCGAAGGCGTTGAGTTCTGTCAATATCTTTGGCGCGTCCGCTGGCATGCAAATGCCGCCGGGCATTCATCCATGGGAGCTGCCAGTCACCTGACTGGCACCTCACAACAGACATCCATGAATGTGTGCCTCCTCCGAGCGACGACATATTTTCCGCATCACCGTGGACCCAGGTGTTGTCGTAGTCGGTCATTTTGAATGATCTTTGCTCTTTGAGGGTCGAATTTGACCCCAGGGTTAGCTGGTCCGACCTCTGGTCCGCCCAGGGTCCTCATGGGCACAACTGCACCTGATTTTGTCGTTTTTTCGGGATGATGCGGATTTTATCTGCATCTGCTCGGCTCGCCGCCTTCAGCACGGAGGATACGACGCTCTGTAGGTTGATAATGATGCAGAGGCTGGCTCTGCAACATATCTTCTCTTCGAAAAGGTCGGGATCTCCGGCCTAATAATCGATCATCAATCCCACCCCTGAAAAGCCAGAGGCATGGAGTAAGCTGAAGTGAGGCTAGGCGAAGTGAGAAGCACTCTTTCACGGTGAGGCCTTAGAGAGGAGCGAGGTTTTGCTTCAGTACCTCGATCTCGCAGCGAAATAGCAAATATGGATGTTTGCTCGCTCTGAGTGTAGGCTTGATGTTGAGAGAAGAAATCTAGAGTCAGATAGCGCGTGTGCTCTGCAAGACTCTGATGGAGGCCGATAGGAACCTCGAGTTGCATCGAAGAAAAAAAGAAAAGAGCAGAGTCAGGGAGGGAGATGACTATCTACTATGCATCAACATGGGAGATCAAAAATCTCCCAACACACCACTTCACTTCCACCTGGCAGTCTAGCTGAAATCAGTATGCAACCATTGCATATCACAATCTATATTTACTTCATACTCCAGAAAGCGCCCATTGGCACCTTAGTTCTCAAAAGGCAAAGAGATCATGGAGCGGCGGTAAGCAAGCAGCAAAGCTTTCCAAGGTTTCTTCCTCGACCTATATCCAAATAAAGCTTGAGTTTGATGGCATTGTGAAATTAACCTGCCGTTAGAGAAAGGCCAGGTTCATGAAACAAGGGGCAGATTCTGCAGCAATCCATTGTGGGGTAGCTGATGCGACTGAAGACTTCCTTTTCGAGGAAATATGAGCACCATTACTCGCAAGGTTTTCAAGGATTGACGCTGTCGAGCTGCTCGGTGTTACAAGAGCCTGCAAGGCATATTTCTGCAGACTAACCGCCGGTTCTTGAAGCCTTTGATTGGACATTTTCCGAAGACACCGACATCAGCGATTGATGAAACAATTGCTTGGCTTTATCTTATGAAACCGACGAAGAGAGGGGTTTGGAAATGATCAAAACCCACTTCAGGGTTATCAGACGAGCAAATAAAACAGAATCCACGAAGGATAGACAGTAGGAAAGTGAGAGAGAAGTGAGAGAACTCCCTGCACCTGGGCTCCAGGAGGGGACCGGGGTCACCTGATCTGACCTCCACCACCTGGGCACCTGGGCCTAAGGTTAAATTAATTTCGCCAGGAACAATCCCTCTGGACAAAGTATCTCAGAACTTGGTAGCTCGCATTCAACAAATAATGCATTAATTAAGCTGTGTGTTGTACAATCTCGAGTCGCTGGCATCCCGCATGCCGCGCGCTCTCCAAAGAGCGAACCAGGAAAGACAATGTGCGGTAAAAGCACGGTTTCCAAAGAGACCAAGCCGCCGGTCGACGCCTCAGTCGCCCAGGAGATATTTTAAGGAGTTGGAGAAGCCAAATGTACCTGATTCAGAAGGCGCGCGACAATGCGGCCATCGGGGGGTAGCGGTTACTGAAGTATCTGGGCTTCACAATGATTTATATAAAATGTGCCCATCTCGTGTGATCTCTTTGTAGTCATCTTTCTTCTTTTCTTGCATTGTGTTCATAACTCAGCTTCCTCGGTTATTTTCTTCCATTCTTTCGGATTTTCAAGTGCTGGCCACTTATCCACGGATTTTCTCATCTATACCCGATCATTTATCAGTATTGGGCCTTGCCACTGAAAATTGGGGCCAAGATCCAACCGCTCACTCTTTCTTCGGTTTATTCTATTTTCTGATTCACGACAAGCTGGTGAGCTAGACATTCCTTTAGGCCCCCGGGGCCAAAAACATGCGATTGGTGGCGAGTGTACGGAGTACACGCTAACACGTTTTTGATTAGTGCGAATAAAACGTATTGAATAATACCGTCTGGTACGGTATATCTGTTACGGGTCTTTACGATACCACATTTCCGTGTTGTACGCCCATATAGAAAAGATCTGCTCAGCCCTCCTGAGTGTTCACATCCTAGTAAGACTTACTTATTCCCCTCCTTGGTCTATTTTCTCGACAAGAATTCTGATATTTATCCTCAACTTCCCCAGACATCATCTTGACCTTGCATCTAAAAAGACGCGCGCGATCTGCTCTCTCCATCCGCATTACAGTAATTCTCTCTTAATCGGGGCTGCCTACGAACTTCTTCGTCATTTATTTTCGATTGCAAGACATCAAAATGTCGACCTCAAAGCCCGACTTAGCTTCCTTGAAGACGGATGAAGCTACCACCTATCCATCACAAATACACCTCGCAGACCATGACATCAAACGCGAAGATGAAAGCGGGACGCCTATTGAAGTCCCGCCATCGTACACCGAATTCATCAAGGCCTACACACCTATCTACACAAGCCCAGTCAGCGCTGGGGGCTTCCCCAAGATATCCGGAGGACAATGTGAACGCTCACCAGTTTCACAACCGTCCACCGCAACAAGTCCCACATTTTCCTTTGGGAATTCATTGAAGTCGCCCGCCACGCCTGCCATTTCTCTTCCACCTCCATCACCTTGCACAGTGAAATCAGCCAAGGCGCCGCCTGCGCTACGCCGCCTGCGCATTCCTCAATCCCTCCATCCTGTCTCTTACAAGGACTCTCCAAACACTGCTACCCCTCGCAGCGCAACTCCCTACAGCGCGAGTCCTTATAGCGCGAGTCCCTATAGCGCAGCCCCATGGAGTGCCTACCCGCGCAGCGCGACCAGTATACGATCGTCTTTTTCCCCAACAGATTGGAAGATGCGCTATCTCGAAGCGCCGAGGAGTGCGACCGGAAAGCCCGTCAGCGTCAGACAAGTAGTGACCCGCACAATCACGTACAAGCGCACCCCGCTTGACCCTCCGCCAAAGGGAAAGAGACGCAAGACCCAAGAATGTCGAGATGCTTGAGCTGGTATCTTGCTCGCCATCTGATGGCGCTCTATCATTCTTGCCAACATTACTCCATGCCGCAATGGAATAATAACAGAGACTACGGGTGGAGCCTTGATGGCTCAACCAAGAAATTGGCTGTTGCAAGCGCTGGGAAGTGGGATGAGAATGGGGCTACGGAGTCTGCTGCGTTTGGAGTTGCAATGACGGCGTTTTTTTGTTTCTGTTTGTGTTCAAAGTTCAAAGTCGTTCCAAAATCCCTGACCGAGGAGAAGCGACTATTGTGTCTTCATTTTGGGTTGGAAGAGAACGTGATTGGCAATTGAGCTTCTGTCTTGGTTCTTTGTTAGGAGTCAAATCGGTCAGCAGGCTAATCCGGTGGCATTTACGGCGAATAAACTTTGGTTGTCCTTTTTCTAGTCCTTTTGAACGTAGCCATCAAGTGAAGATTGTCTCTATTATTAGAGCCTGTCACCTACCTAGCAATACCTACGGGTACTTTTGTAAACCAGAGAGGTCCGTGAAGCTTAGTGGGAGCCTCATCAACCCGAGTCGGTTCGAGGCCCTTGTGGGCTATCCACAAGGCAGATTATACCCTTGTTTGGATCCTTCCAATGATCGAAGATGCATGGTATTAGCCCATAATGGAGAGGTCCATCGACCTCCATGTGTAGAGTGCATTCTACGGTAGCTAATGATAAGGCAGAAAAAAACCAACACAACTTCCAACGATCATGGGGAACAGGGAAGGACGCCACTAGCGCTATGCCAGTGATTCCCCGACTTGGACAAGGGTGTCTAGCGCAGTCTATGCAATTCGGAGATATAATTGCAATTTAATAGATGCAAGTATCCCAGTAGACACTTTGAGCATATCAATGTTTACTGATGATTGTACCTATACCTTATATGTACAGCCGCCCCGTGTATATGGGCGGTTTGTGAGGGGAAGAGTCAGACATTATCACGTCAACCAATGAGCAGCAGATTCTTCGAAATACGGATCGAGCTTGCCCGACGAGACGGGCTCCGTTGATGGCGCACGTTATATTCTGTATTTCCGTACCAGATCCAATGGCGGCACCTCCTTGTTCCGCCCCCAGATCCTGGCGCGACAGAAGAGATCTGAGAGATGCCTAAGATTACATCAACCAGCCCGCCAAGTACTTTGGGTACTATCCAACAGCTATCGGCTTCCTGAATGGCCTACGCGCCACATTTCCATCTGTATCCGGGATTGAGGCTGAATGTGCCAAGCGGAAGGCTTCCTCTGAACAAGTCCCAGACCGCCACTGTCTGACGCTAAATTGTCTTTGATCAATACTACAAATGGACCCCAACACGTCAAAAGGCCCAAGACTGACTCGTAGGATTCCGAGGAGGATTTCGAATGCAGTGAGGCTCGGCTGGGAGTCTTTGCCTCGTTTTCAATGGAATCTGGCTGTTCTCGACATGCAAGCTCGGACGTTTTAGGTATCTGTAGATTGATTTGAGATTTTTTACAACGGCTGTTCAATGATCGTAAGGTTTGTACCAGGCAGTATTTCGCACGGAGTAATAATCTGGGTATTACGGTCGAACAAGAATACTCAAGTAAAATTGGAAGCAATTTCATGGGCACCAATGGAACAATTTATTTCTCAATCAAGCAAGTCTCAAGTCGAGCACAAGGACGCCATTATTTTGATTTGAGAAATCTGAGGGAGATTAACATGAACATACTTCCAAGATTGGGAAGGATGAGTGCCCCGGTTTTCGTGAAAAATACCAATGTGACGTATTAATACATCAGTGGTTGAAATACGTAATTTCGAATCAGATCAATGTTGAAATCGTCCTCCGTAATCTATATCATACAATAGCAATGATTTAATTTTGAACCATTTTATAACACACCATCAAGATTATCGCCCCAGTCTAGTTCGTCCTTTACTCCATCCAGTTAGCAGCAATACCATTGCATAGCCTTACGCAGCGCGTATGATACGGGTGAACTGTGATAGTATTCAATCAGAAACTTTCGAATCTGTCCGCTCTTCACATCAACTACATAGAGTTGAGTGATGAGCTCAGTTGTGACTGACCATTAAGCATGCATAGTAGGTCATTTGAGCTGTCGGACCAAGAGACATCAGCACTGTTCCATGTCATGCCCGGTGATATCCCTGCAATCTTTAAGCGCCCACGCTACACTCAATCCGTACTATGGGTCCGTGGTTGCGGACCAAGCGTCCGCTGAGCCCCGTTGCCGATCCATGGTTGGCTCCACGGCATCGAATTGACCCACCCAAGGAGTGTTGACCCTCCAATGTTCAAACCTCGACTGCTTTGTCTAGTGTGACGTGGCAGATCTCGCACATTGTCCTCCAAGATAAATAATTTGACAGCAGGCCAAATAAACTTCTCTTGAATCGTTTGCAGTATTTGAGCGAGAGAGTACTGCCGGAATTATCAGGCTTCCGTCACTTCTCCAAGTACTATGTCTTTCAAATATCATCCATTTGCTTGAACCCCAGCACTCAAGGAGTTTGATGTTGATCTAGGCTCGATTTCTGATGCACTACCACGAGGCATCCTTGCACTCACAGTAGTGTGAAGACTCTTTTAATATACATTTCCAAGGTTGCTAGGCCGCATCTTGCAGACGGACGTAATATTTTAACCAATGATGGCGGGAGAATAGCCGCTGGAGGGGATCCGCAAATCAGTCAACTAAATTCTGATTGGGAGAGGGATTCCCCAGGCCCCGGGAACCAAAAGCCACAATTTACTTGGGATTCGATTCTTATTGCAGGCTCTTTAATAGTGTTCTAAATTTACGCTATGCACATTCGAAGTGATGCTATTTTTGTCACCTAGCTATCCAAACGTCATGTTCTGCTTCTATATACAATCCAAGATATAAAGACAATTTCCAGTATACAGACCAGAGGGCAACGATGATAGTAACAATTCCCAAGATGACTTTTGGAAGTGATGCAAGATTTGATGGTTTTCGTCCACCTCGAATAACCAAGAAACAGCAATATCCTAATATCTGCTACTGAGGTCTCAAGGCAAAATACTTAGGTAGCTGAAGGAAATGACCTAATTCGAGTTCATATTTAGCACCAGATGATCGATTCCACAACATCTCATCCTGTGCCAATCAAATGGTGACTTTGCGCTGTCTACTGCTAATTTCACAAAATGAAGCGCATCGCCCGCTGAGCTCCCTATCCTATTTCTGTGGATGTCTTCACAGATTTACGCCGTTCGCTCTGTCCGAGTGGTCAATGATGACCTCCACTGTTCCAATAATAGTACTATCTGAAGCTATTGAGCATGTCTTTGTCCCGCGGTTGCATCCTTGAGCATCTGGGCAGCTGATCTTTGTTTTCACAGACCTGGATACCGAATCAAGTCCATCGAAAGATCCTTGCCCTTGCTCTAGCGAAGTTTGATGTTCTAAACTTAGCAATTATGGGGCACATCGTCTGCCCTACGGCTTGATTTCTGCAGCTTGGATCAAGGTACACTCCACACATGAAATTGACGCAGCTATAGTCGCTTTGAGCTATGAATAGCTCGCATCTTCAGGGTATCTCATGCGCTAGCCTTCGACCTTCGCCGGACTATGCAGTATAGTGGCGCTATGTGACTGTCACTTCCAGTCGATTCATCTTTTCATAGGTTCGTGATGTTCGACCGATGGATCAAGGCTGCACCTTTGGGTCAATCCCATCCGAACTCACCTCTGATCGGTGGATATCTCTTCTAAATATAACTGGTATGTATTTCTCCTCGTCAAGAATCGTCTGTGATGACCTTCGTATGATACAGTATGATACCCAAACGTCCGTTGAATCGGAAGATGTCTTGATATGGAAGACATCTTCTAAATTAAGAGCATCACTGGGACTATTCGATATGCAAGCCTGGCTCGGCAATTGCACTTGCGACGACGGATGCACCAGGCTGTCCACTTCCAATATTAGTTTCCATTGGACTTCCAAGGTTGCAGCCTATGATGAGCAAGAGCAGAGGCTCTTTTTCTGCGAGAGCCCTGCTATTCCACGAAGCCATATACTGATATCTCAACCGTGGACCTTTGAATAGCCATTTTCCTGTATTCGAGGGTTACTGGGAGGCAATCCACGATGCTCGATATAGCCCGACATACATACTACTTCGACCCTCTCGACTGGCAAATATCTGATTGGGGATATCGATATCTGTTGTGCTTGATACTAGGTATTCCAATGCACAGATTTACCTCAGCCTCTAACACGAGTGGTCGATATAAATAGACTGCGTCTCCTATGCAGGAGTGCGGGGTCTATCACATCAAAGCGAGTCGGAAGTATGATCTATTTTTATTATCAGAAAGATCTTTGCGAGAGTGTCCCGTGTGTCGATGCTAATTGACCAGCGAGTACGAAGTACATAAAGGATGACACCCCCCCGAAGGACATCACTCAAGAATTCATTGGAAATTGGACTTCGGTGGCACATATTCTAAATATAGAGGCGGGGGACGAGGTGATGGGATCAATTTTCTGTAACATGCCCCTGTTGTGCTCGGACGAATGACAATAGTCAAAGCAGTCCCTCTTTGTCGAGTTTGGTTAGACCATCTTTCTCTGTAGGTGAATGGGAAAGAAGCACATAGTAGAGGATGTCCAAAATCCCGTGATCGACCCGCTCAAAGCCCTTCTCACCCTGGCGTTGACTCCTCTTCCACTGAGAACGTTATCCTCCCCTACCCCATCACTTGAGCCGTGCGCCCGAACACGCTTCAAGTCGAGTGTACCGCAATCTGCCCCTCTACCGAAAGTACGGCGTTTCTCGTCGGCTTCAATCATAACCATGGCGGCCGAAGGACCCCGCACCTTCACCCCAGACACCGAATTCGCCGAACTTGAGACTCCTCGCGGTCCCCCAGGCAGTTTATCGATCACTGCTTTGGCCCGGTTCGAGTTCGAGGCGGGTAAGGCAAACGATGGCACTAAAATCTTGATGATTGAGTGGGAGGACGACGATCTCACTCGATCTTCGACCGATGGCTCGTGGCATGTCTCATGGGCCGGGAAGACCTCGGTACTGCCAGCCGATGAAAGGCCCAGTGATAGCCTACGCCGCTTTTACTTTCTGCTGCCGCCAAATACCACAATCCCGCCGGTCGTGACGCTATCGTATGAACCACGCTCCTCCCCGACTGAATTGAATGATTCCGCCTCCCCACCCAAGCCGCGGCACGCCATACAGCTCAACCCTCTCCCCGCTATTTTCCCTCCGGAACTGGGCGCCACGGGACGCGCGGCGGGGAAGAAGGGGGTGCTGCACACCATCTGGGCGAAGAAACGGCTTCGTGTTTTGGAAAAGGAGATCGACGCGGAATCAAACCATAATGTGGAGGGAATTGCGCTGCACATGGCCATCAGCGAGAAGGAGTGGATTGAAACCAATTTTGGCATTGGTTCACGCGCCGCCGACTCTGTTGCGAGCAGCCACGATTCCGCAAACTCGTCAACTTTATATCCAGCAACACCAGTGTCGCCCATTAGCGGAAGGAAGTTGACCGACAAACTGAAGGGACTTAAGCTGCAAACCAGCGAAAAGGACCTGTCGGCGAACGGAGGTATGTTATTCTTCTTATCTTTCATTTCTCGGAATAAGAGACGGGAAAAAAAACACTTCCCCAAACCGCTGCGCATTGCTAACAAGTATGATACAGGTTCATCATCCAATACCAATCACCTCCTTTCGCCCCAGTCCCCCGATGTTGCAGTCTCCTCCTTCAGCTCATTCCGCAATGTTGCCCAGAAGTATATTCACTCAATGCCCACACCAGATACTAATCCCACCCCAACTCCAAATTCACAAGCCAATCCCTCGGGCCCCGAATCCCTCAAGCCAGTTGCTCTCTTCCCTCCCACAGCCTTGCAAGAGGCTCAGCAGAACAGTGGAAACACAGGCTTCACTTCCATGGGTGCGATTTCGCATACCCCGAGCACTGACCCCGGAGATGAACTGTTTGCGAAAGCATTGAGTCCCCGCTCACCAGATCTGCCTCGGAGCCCGTTCTCATTTTCTTAATCCCCTTTGCATGACCTTACATCCCACCTTTTATGACTTTGCACAATGATTCCCCCTCTGCGGCGCCATATCACATGTTTGTTCTCAAACACATATGATCATCTGTCCATCTGTCTGTTACATACGCCGAGGGCACATACCTCGTTCAATCATCAAACATTTGATTTTCCTTCATTATTGTTACATGGACATGCTTTACCATAGCTACGGGTCAATATGTACATAGATGATAGTCGAAATCAATGACCTCTCACGGAGAACAAAGAAATTTCATAAATGTGTTGATTTGCTATCGCAAATCCGAGCCTCTGTAAGTTGCAAAATCCAACGACAAGGAAGGCTTTTGAGAGCAAAGTAATCAATCTCATATTTCAAGCCCAATATCCAATTAAGGACGAATGAGAACGAAAAAATAAAAGAAAAAAAAGCCGCGATCGTGAATCCGATCAATTGCTCTTCTTGCGCTGACTCCCCTGCCGACCAGTCTTACCAGGCGTAGCAGTCGAAACACCCGACGACGCACCATCATCAGCAGCGGCCTTCCCATCCTTATCCGTAGCCAGGGACTCGAATTCCTGCGCATCCTTGCGCTCCGCATACCACTGTCCAGCCTGGAGGACGAGGATGCCAACCAGGACCAGGGCCAGAATGGTATTGCTAGCGGAAAGGACCTTGAGGGAGTCCTCGCGGCCGAGGATCTGCTCGTTTTCATCCGGGGTCGTGGCGAGGTCCGCGCCGTATTGGCCTGCGGAAGCGAGGCGGAGGCCCTTGACGATGTTTGCGATGTAGACTGTCACGCCGCACATGTAGAGGACTAGGGAGGCGCCGTCGAAGAGCATGTTTGATTCGGAGGGCTTGTAGAGCTTTGTGAGGAGGCCGGCGAGACCGAGGAAGATTACGATGTGGAGGATGCGTGGGATGAGCGGGGGCGAGGCGTGCAGGAAGCGCAGGTGCGCTTCGAGGTAGTCATAGTGCGCGGCTGGGGTGGTGACGGTTGACCAGAGGATTGGGTAGTCGTAGGGGAAGAGAGAGAAGATGATGCCGAGGAAGAAGCAGGTTGCTGGGGTTGTTAGTGAGGGTTTGGAGATTGGGGTGATCTGCGGACTCACGGCAGACGATCAGGAAGGTCGCGAACGACCCGCTTTTGAAAGCCATTGTGGTGAATGGGAGAGTGATTTGGAAATGTAGGAAGTGAGGAGAAAGACAAGGGGGCCAAGCAACCTGGAGAGGCCTGTGGTCGCTAAGCGGATGCCAAGCCCGGACAGAGATAAGTATCCAAGGAGTGTTAATTGATCACTAATGTAAATATGATACAGGGGGTTCAACGCCTTCGTTCAAAAAAAGAAAATGCTAACAAAAATGTGGTATCTTCCAAAATATTCCCCGTAAATGCAAATGTACATAACAACATCAACGCTGGTACCGAGGCAATGACTCGTCCGCATGCGCCGTCCCGCCAACCAGTTGATCGTCCTCATCGAAGACTGGCGCACTGGGCCCGGCCTCCTCGACATCAGGTTCATCTTGAGGTGCACTTGCCTGGTCTTGGAGTCGGTGGCGCTCAAGTTCTTGTTTATCATCGGAGGGACCTGGTTCACTGGGTCTAGCAGTGCCATTGACCACGACCGTCTGCATGGAATCAGCAGATCGAGCGAGAAGCGGCCTCCCCGTTGTGTCCGGGGACGGCACATGCTCATAGTCTTGGAGATGGTGGTCGTCTGGTAGGACAGGCGCGGTCGGAACGTCCGTCGGCGCGGTAGATGGGCCTGCTTCGTCTTCGCCTGGCGGTTGACTGGGTAAGAGAGCCTCTTCGTGTCGGCGCACCCGTGTCTTCTCATCCACGGGTTCCTCGAGCTCAGGAGGCGCAGGCATGGGGTCTGTGGACTGGAAGTTCTCAGAGTATTCCTCTGGATATTCGGCCCAATGCTCCTCTTCCTCGTGGAAGTAGTCCTCTTGGATCCCTTGGTCAGAATGAGGATTAGGCATTGGACTTGCCTCGGGCCACTCTTCCCCGTCAACGGGATTGACCACCATGGTAGTTGCAGCAGGTGCCGGTTGAGACATGGTGGATTCACCAGCGGTAGACGAGGTGCGTTTTGTCTTCCCTCGTTGGGAATCGCGAGTGCCGATAACGACCTCGAAGGCTACTGATATGACGCCTTTCTCGCGACGGATCGAGTCAGTGTCCAAAATATTACCGGCCCAGTTGGCCGTAACGCCGTTTGAGTCGGTTGGATTGAGAACTTGCCCGCTGGGCGAGAAATTCGTTCCCCCTGAAACCATGTTGAAACGTGGGATGAAGCGGTCGGGGGAGGTAATCTTGCCCCGCAGGTCCGTCACAACCTCGACATAGTAGCGAAAGTTGATCATGGCCCCCGGAACACGCGTAATGGTGGGAAACGCGTCCTCTGGGATCCTGATGGACGTCTTGACAACCGCAGTCATGTTACTGGGATCGACGATCAGTGGGGCAAATGTCTGTGACAGGTCTTTGCGAAAGGTGCTGCTGGTCCGACTGGTTCCCAACGTGAGACCTCCAAGCCCAGTCCTTGACCGAGGATAACAATCCTCGTAGACCGGCTTCTTTCCAGCTGCTGTTGTGCCAATGGGTATTGCGGGGTGTAGATCGATGCGGCCTTGACGGTATAGAGTTACCATGATGCCATGCGCACTGCGCACTTGTTTGAAATGATTGATAGTGACGGTGATGGGTAATGTATCGCCGGGAAGCACCCCGGCGCGCAAAAGCTCAGCCTTTGCGGTGATAGTTTTATCGGAGACAGAAGGTGTCGCGCTGCGGCCTTCGCTGTTTCGTCCACTCGTGCTCGCCGAGGAACTCGGATCGCTCGCGATCTGGAAGCTCAAGCTGCTTTCGCTGGGTCGGCTGGATGAGCTGACATTGCTTGGCGAAGGGCTGAGCGGGGGCCTGGCGTCCACCGAGGGTGCTGCGCCACTTATAGGGGTATCGATTGAAGTTCTGTCCGGTGCTGCTGTTGCGTCCGAACTGGTGGATTTTGTTTTGCTCCTCGTTTTCGAGCGTTTTGAGATGGGTTCTAATGTGACTATACGAGCTTTGGGGGCGGGAAATGGTGCGATGTCGATGTTTTCAAGGAGGTTGACTCGCCTTCGGCAGGTGAGTGTCGGGTTCATGGTAGTCGGTCGGGTGAGGGTAGAGGTAAGCGAGTAGCCGATGGTGCCGCGTTCGAACTGCAGGTGGCCGATTAGCTTGGTTCGTAGGTCTGGTCGCGAATACGCACGTTGATACTGCTGGGAAGCGCATAAGGTGGAAGGCCCATTTCAAAACGGAACTTGTAGATCCCCTCCTTCAGCCGACCGTCACCACAGAGCACGACCTCGTCCTCAAATAACGTAGCCAATCCATTTCCCAGGTATTCCGCGCCTCGTCGGCCCCGCCCAGGTCCCAGGAAACCCAAGTCGGGAGTGGCTTCACCCGCCGGAACCGCGTTCTTAAACACCTTGACATATCCATGTAGACACACCACAATATGCGTGATGCGGACAGGTCGAACAACAGTCACAACGACCGTCCCCTTGATGACATCACCTGGGAAGTAGGAGCGCCAAGGGTCATCGGGGTCGATGTAGAAGTCGGCGATGCCTCGATTGCGTTGGCCAAGCGGGGAGCGAAACTTGGAGAGGAGCGAGTTGCGATTCCGACTGGGCGGCAACGAAGGTTGGGGAGGGTTGGCGGACATGACACACAGATACGCGACCTACTGCATCTATCCAAGAATGATATGACGGGGACGGACTGGAATCACGATGGCACCGAGGAGGCACGGACGCGACGACAGGTTCCCAGGCACGGAATGGCGGGGATGCGTCAGGCCGGTGACGGGTGTCAAGAACGATCGGACGCGAGATGTCGATCGTCTCGAAGGGTCCGGTCGAATGTACGGCCCACTAGGTCGGAATGTTCCCACGCGCCAGGTATCTCAAGGATCGGAATGGAGGACTATGATCGGTCTCTGCACCACATTGTTTTCTGTGACATCGAAGCGAGACCCCACCAGGGACAGAGTCGGAATGTGAGGGAATGTGAGCAAAGAGAGAAGAGGGAAGATCGGAGGAGAGCGGGAGTTTGCGATAAGGGCGGAGAAGGAGAGGACATTCGATTCGCGTGTCGCACGGTCAAGCTTCTCTTGGTGGCTCAACTAGTGACCCCCCTTTTTCTGGGCAATTTTGTTTCATCTTTTGTCTTCATGATATTGGGACTACTGAGTACGGAGTACAGTACACTACTGGTCAGATTCTGCCATCTCCGCCAATCCTCCGTCCACATACTCTTCTCCGTAGGACTCTTGCAAGATCAGATCCACCAGTGCCCGGTCTCCAGTCAGCTTGCGCATGTATTCCTCCAGGATGTAGATATTATCCGTCCATTGCAACGCTTCCTGGCGAAACCCCGCTAGCTGCGCCTGCAGTGTACTGCGTGAATTTCCTCGTTGGGCCTCTGTAGTCCGTACCCAATCCACTGCGGCCTGGAGTTCGGCTTTTCTGGCCGTCAGGGAATCCCTCTCCTCGGCTTCTCCTCGGAGGCCCGCCTCCGTAATCAAGGCTTGGGCGTCGGCGCAGGCCTGTCGGGTCTTCTCCACCTCCGTGCGCACCCGGGCCAACTGACTCTCACGGGCTCGCTTTTCATCGCTGGGGAAGCTCCAGTACCAATTTCCACTGCCGATCTTTTCCACACGCACTTGACCCTCATCGGTGAGTGCTTGGATGTACTCCTTGACCTGGATGGCGGGGATGGAGGCTACGGCGGGGAGTGTTTTCTCCAGATCCTTGAGCGTGTGACAGGTTCCAGTGGCGCGCAGGTGAGTCAGAATCAAGTCTTGTTTAGCGCTTTTGGACAATTTGGGGGCCTGAACTGCGTCAGAGGGGGATCCCTCAGGGCTCGGGCTTCTTACCATAGTGAAAGACCCTTGAAACAAGCTTTGCCTGATTGGGATGTGGGACAGCTAAGCATTGGGGGGTGCCCGGGTGGACGTGCGAAGGGTTTCATGCCCCGTGATCCATGGATCTTTGTCTTGGTCATCCTTCGATTTGTCCATGCTCTGCTTAGATTCTGTCTATTCTCAGTCTGTACTACTTATTGTGCAAGAATCAATCTAACCATCCGAGCACACATGTGCAGTCAGTTCCTGGAAGCCCTGCCCAGGTGGAGACCCCGGGCAGGTCAAGTGACCGAGTACATATCTCCGCAACATGACTCGCATCCAACGTCGTGGTATTTCCCCCTTGCGGTTCGGGATTAGGTTGATCGACGCAAAAAGCATGGCTGCACGCGAGCGTTCTGCAGATAAGAATATTGACCGAAGCAGCCCAAACTGGCTCGTCGGCCGAGACCTCACAGGTGTACAAATCTGACCTTCGGGGATGCGGCACAGGGAGGCGGAGCATCGTGATGGCCTGACACAGCGAGGATCGACTGGTCTGTTGCTGGATCGCGGTGAATTAGCAGATATATGCCGATAGTATGCGCAGCGTGGCTGTGCCACTGCAGAGCATGGAGCGACCCGATTCGCCATCACGGGCGTGGGGGTGAGCTGCGGAGAGACCATGCGCAAAGCTTGATCCCGGGTAGATATGAAAAGCCTCCGATATGCGGAACAATGGAGGATAACGGTCCTGTCTGGGCTTGAATCTCATCGGCCCTCGTCAACCTCTGTCTCAGCATCGGTGGTGAGAGAGACCGAACGAGCCAGTTTGCGTCGCTTGGACGTCTTTCGTCCCTTGCTGCTGGCTCGCTTTCTCCGCGGGGCTCGTGCAGCAGAGTGCGTGGTGGTGTCGCTCTCGATATCAATCTCTTGTTCTTCCTCTGATAGACGATGTCCTTCGACAAGGACCAAATCTCCTGTATCACCCAGCTCCTCCGAGGCCATCTCTTCGATCAGAATGCCCATCGCAAGTAGAGCCGTCTCATCCATGGTTCGGTGGTCGTCTTGGCCGTTATCGGCCGTAGCGTACTCGAAGTAATCGGCCGCATAGGCATGGATGGTCTCTAGAAGCTCAGAATCCGGCAAGGGCCGGTCTGCTGGAAGCTTCTCATTCGCAAAGTATTTTTCTTCGTCCAGAGATCGTGTAGCTGGGTCTTTTCCGCGGAAGAGAAGTTCCTCTGGGCGGAACGCTCGAGCGCCCGACGAGGCTGTGTCGCGGTATTGTGAGGCAAATGATTGAATGGGGTTGACGCCACGGGGATTGACCCGACCTGATGTGGGTGAGCCGACCTGGTCAAGCAATGCAGTCAAGATAGGACCATACCAGCTACCGCATCGTAGAGATTGGCGCGGCGTTTGGAAGGTTTCAAGGCCTGGCCATCCCGCAGTTCATCCCCTTCGACATCGATCAGACTATCTTCATCCGAGTTAAGGCCGCTCTCAGAAGACATGAAGACGTAAATGAGGCCAATCGACCATTGAAATGTAGAAAATTGCAACTGGATGACCAGTCGCGCATCGCCAAAATGCGCCGACGCGAAATTATGTAATCTCGAAAAGCGTCATCGACCCCATCGGCCCCGAGGCTCTCCCCGCGCTCACTCAACTCTGCAATGTCAGAGCACCAGCGCTGATGAATGAATTCCTATCTGCTGAACAGAGCCCTCGGGTCTGTGATCCCAAATGATTTCCATGTCGCCCAAACCAACCGACTCGTGCACAGCATCGAACCAGCACCAGGGATACGCTTCTCCAGTCGCAAAACAACGGCAACAGACCAGCCCGAAGATGAGATCGCACCTCTGGACCAAGAACTAGGCGCAAATGCAGAGGTCTATGCCCACAAGTCCGGTGTCAATTGCCTTGCTGTGGATCAGTTTGAAGGCCGATAGTGTGTATCGAGTTCGACTCAACCTCCAACAATGGTACTGACACGAGCACAGTATGATATCGGGAGGTGCCGACCCATCAATACACCTCTGGGACCTTGAGACACGAGGCTCGGAGCTCGACCACGTTCACCAGGCCTGCGCATCCGTCAGCAAGTCGTCCCATCCCGACGCGCATACCCATGCAATTACATCACTCTCAATCTACCCTTTTGATCCGGTGCCCTCGACCATCTTTTCGACGGCACACGATGGTGCATTGAAGCTTTCGGCGCTTCAGGCCCCAGCAATCACACCCGTACATACATTCAATCTCGACTGTACGCCCTACTCGCATTCGTTCTCGTCACACCCAGGGTCCACGCTACTCGTCGCAGTCGGCACATCGGAACGATCAGTCCGACTAGTAGACCTACGGTCCGGCCTCTCTACACAAGGCCTACCCGGGCACAATGACGCAGTTCTATCAGTAGCATGGGCGCCCCACCGACCACATCTGTTGGCATCCAGCTCCGTCGACAACAGAGTAATCATATTCGACGTCAGACGCGGAGGACACAACTCCGCCATCGCAACCCTAGACATGGACGACTCAGTCGGTCTGGTAGCACCAGGGACAGGGACAGCACCAGCATCCCAGAGTCGACTAGCCTTCTCCCGAGACGCGCGCGCCCACAACGGGCCCGTCACAGGTGTGCGCTGGACCTCGAACGGCAGCCACATCGTAACGTCGGGACAAGACGCACGGATCAGAGTCTGGGATGCTGGGACGGGCGCTAATACGCTTGTTCATTTTGGCCCTCGCGTTCGCAATAGCTCTACGTCCCATCTGGCGGAACGGGCGCCATTGCTCGTTCCAAAGGGGATCATGAGTCCGGGGCATGAAGCGCTGCTTTGGTCGAATTTCAATGAACAGGACGATCGTGGTGAGATCTTCATGTTTGAGCTTCGAGAGGGTGCTTTCATTAAGCGTCTTCGTGTGCCCGGAATCATGGCCGGGTCGCAGAATATGCGTGGACGATCGAGTGCCCTGAGCGCTGCGCGGATAAACGATCTTGTCTGGCGTGGAAATGGTGGGTCAGGCGAGGGTATTGAATTATTCTCTGCGCATGGCGATGGGACGATCCGCAGCTGGGCTTCTCGTGACTCGGACGGCGAACCTGACGAGGCCGAAACAGAGGCCCAGGCTGATCGCAAAAGAAAGAGAGATGTACTGGACGAAATCTCCAGAGGATTTCTGGGAACCGAACAACCCAGTCTACGATTTTGAACTACAAGTCTTCTTACGACATGGAGCAACCCCGAATTTGATTCATTGTTCAATTGCTTTGCATAACATCATACCCCAGCCTGGCCATCATTTTCATGTACAAACAAAAACAGTTCCCATCCCAGTCTATCATGACTGGTAACGCTCATATTCGCTCTGGCCATACTTCGCATGCTTGAGGTCGCGAGTATCACCATGGCCGGCATGGTGGTTGGCGCCCATATAGTTGTGCTTGGCCTCGACACCGGCCGGCATGGAGTTACCAGTGCCGGAGATGACCTCGCCAGTCTGGCCAACATCCCGAGTCGAACGCGGGAGGTCAGTGGCGTTATCGGCAGCCATGGCCGTCGAGGGCTCGGCGACGCCGGCGTTATCGAAGCCGAAGTGCTCGGCTCGCTGGTCGGGACGAGGTACTGAGGGGATGGTGTTCATCTTGCCCGCATCGTTGGGGATGGTGGTGCCGGTTGCGGCCATGTCTGAGAGGCTTCCGCCCTGGTGAGGATCTTGGCGGACCATTGTGGTGGTTTGAGTAGAGTATAGAGGATTTGGTTGCGAGTTGCGGGAGCAAGTAGAGAGAATTGATCAAGAGATGTGAGAATGAAAGGAGATGCTGCAATTGACCGACTCTTATATGCAGTTTCGAAGTCTGGAGTCTTGATTTGATGCCCTGATGTCATGTGGAGATGATGAAGGGATGATCTCACCTGAGGCGATAACTTGATCGGACCGAAGCATAACCAGGTGCAGTTGTAATGTGATGGTTCTCGAACCTGGAAGTTGCTGGACAGTGTAGTGGCGAAAGAACTACCTGTTCCCATAGAACCTCCAGGGCTCGTTGTGTTTGCCTCAGGTGTCGACTCTGCATCTGCATAGATCCATACATCTGGCTACTCTGAGCGACTTGCACATTCTTTGCGGCTCTGTATATTTCCCTCACATCGATTCCTCAAATTCTACAGTATCCAATCCTCCCCCTAAAATTACAGTCCTGCCGTCGTCCTGTGCACACTACCGGACCACTGTGGCGCTCTTCCTATTCGATATAGCACCCCCGGGGAAGCGCATGAAACCAAAGTATCTCAATGAAGATGATACGAAGATACGATCTTATTAATTCACCTGGTTAGGGGTCCGGATAAATCGAAACTGAAGTCTGTGACCTCGGGACAGGCCAAGCCTTAAATCCGTGGGCGTGCTGCAGCCAAGCTTTCGGGGATCGTCAACCTGGTGTGGCACGGCATGCCCCCGGGGCGCTACCCATAGCCCTGGAGGTAGGCTTCAAGACCAAATATGCTCTCGCATGTCTTCCATTCTTATTCAATCTAAGTTACGCACTAATTGCTCCGTGAAGTGATCTTCACAGACATACCAACAGTCATGCCGAGGGTTACGGGTTGGCCATATGAAACACTGAACAATTCTGACCACAATCTATTGGTCGTGGATTTCAAGGCTCGCAGACTATAAGCTTCTCTTTCGTCATTCGAGGGGGGCGGGCCCTTTTAGGATTAGAATCTGCAGAACATTTAAAGCAAATAACCATAGAGACAGTGATAGGCTCATTCCCTCCGCTCAGGTCTATATTTTTGGAAAATACAACCATGCTATCTGACCTGAGCTTGCCTGTATCGACAGTTTTGCTATGAAAGTCTTCTCAGGCATTAATATGGAATTGATGATGTGGGCAAGAAGGGATATCAGAACCACTATTGATTCGCTCGCCCGCCAAACTTGACATAATCGAGCGGTTGGTCATGACCCGTTTTGTGTGTGCAGAATAGCACGACCTTCGCCAAAAGTGGTGCTGGATTTTTCATCTGCGAGGCATGGATTGAGATCATCGATTCGGCCAGATGCGGAACTAACCAGAACTTTTCATTTTGATAGTACCAACGCAGTCTGGATTACGGTCGATGTGGGCCAGATCAAGCCTGATCTCTCCATATCTTTTAGAACAGATGCACTGGCTGTTGGTGACAACAATGGTTGATCTTTCTTTTGTTAATGATCTACTTTCAGATAACAAGGGGGGAAATTTCACCATGGATTAGCCCATAGTGAGTGCTGATAGCGCTCAGCAAAGTACCCAGATGAAGGAGCAGGAATTTAAAGGACAGATAATTGCCGGAGAAACAAAATCTCATCACTGAGGGAGTTTTGGCCCTGCCCCTTTCGTATGATTCCGGTCGGTTCTTGTCCCTTGTTGAAGCATAGAAACCAGATACCCGTCTCTTCAGTCGCCCCCGCGCCCCCTTCACCATACTGAGGACAAGCTGTTGAGACTTGTTCAGTTTCCGTGGTCTTTCCTGGACTGTGCTGTGTTCGGCTTCTTTGATGTCCCTTTTTAGGCGGTGGATCAACTCATTCCGTTCTGAGATGATGCGGACACTGTCGGGGGTTTGCAGGATATCCCGCCCCTCGTTGGGATGGAGATGAATCCTTTTCTCTACCTCGTCCTCTTGGAGGGTGAACGTGTTCCCTCAACCTGTATTCCAGTTCCACGTACTCCTTAAACCCACTGCGACTCAAGAGACGGGTACCAATGGCAGAGATTTTCCCACCTGACCTGATGGGTGGTACACTCGTCGATTCGTCGTAGGATTTCGAGAACCGCAAAGCAATGAGAAACATGATTCTCAATGAATGCTGCAAGGTCTGCAGACGCGGTATCGTAGATCAAAATGAGCTAGCAGTAATTCAAGTAGTTCCAGCGACCGCGTTCGTCGTTGACGGGTTTCTGGAATCAAGTTCTGGGCTTCTTGTAACCGAATCACGGCAGTCATGGCCCCGAGACCCCCGGGGCAATTGTAGCTTGAATACGCGGCCCCCAGTTGCTGGCGGAAAGCAAAGAACTAGATGCGCCAGAGAGATCAGTAGATATCACAATCCAGCACAGGCATAATCATGTGAAATATTGCTGCACTTCTCAGGCAAGTTCGAGTTGGAGAAAATAAGACATACACCAGGGTCGCTTGTTTGGCCATCTCTTTTAGCTCAGAATTGACGGTTGAATGGTAAGGTGATATTGGGATGAACATCACTTCCTCCGATGCCAGTAGACGTGAATGGCGGGATAGATTTATGATGAGCAGTAGTAATGACGATGGATACGTGTCGCAAGCCGCGCGCATGAGCATGCTGCTCAGGTCACTAGAAGAGTCGCAGCGCAAAGAAATAAACCGCCAGCACCGCAGCCTGGTGTATGGCGATATCCCGAAAGCGAATGACCAAAGCCACCGCTATAAACAAGAGTAAGTGTAATAGCCATCTCGATAGCAGGTCTCTTGCTTTCAGGGGCAGGGGCATTCGTTTGTTGGGGTTTTTTGGGGTTTTTTGGGGTTTTTCTTTTTTTTTTCAAGGGTGGAAAGAAGAGAAGAAGAGGAAGCCCAAGGTAGGCTTACTTTTATAGCCTCTCGCCTATCACAGCACCCTCTTTTTCTTCTCAGGTTATCCCTACTGTTTTTGAAAATCTTGAATCTCAACGAAACCTGAAATGAATTATAACATCGCAGATTGTGATATAAATATCAGCTTTGGCATCACATTCTTGCTTCTCATTGTGATTAGCTAGCTCAGAATATCAAAAGGCATCACTTCCCTCATTCACTCTCGGTTAAATCTCAATAGCATATTCATATTGATTCAATGGGACTGAAAGTACAAACGATTCACACGCAAACCAATGGATAAGGTTTCCGCCGGTTTCATCCTTATATACCTGGCGTGCGACCTGATGAGCACTTCCAATGTTTGGTTCTAGCAATCTCTCCCCCCTCCGCAACTCGCGATGCTTCACCTTTGTGGTAGGCACCTCGCTTCGCAGGCCACAGCCTCGTTACGTCACTGGGGCAGTGTCTGCCGGAGATTTGTTTGTTATGCCTTGCTCTACCTCCGCTTTGCTTTCTTTTTTTACTCGCCATTTGACTTGAACCTTTACACAACCCCCCACCCCGAAGATGAGTGCTCTCTGTGGCAAGGTCATGGTTCCGTCGACTAGGGAGCCGCTATGATGATCAGAAACCTGGGAAATTCGATATCGCCCATCCATCGGGTTAGCCGCTCGCACTACAACAGTCCACTCCCTATTGACGAGAAGGCAATCAAATGTAAGTGATGCTCCAGAGGTTGTTAGGCAACCTGACCGCCTCTTGAATATCTTCCTGACCCCTTCTCCAGTCTTCTAAGTCTCAAACGTGAACATGAACACTCCCAATCTGTTCAATACTCCCCAGGTAAGCTATACCCAGCACTTACTGTTCATCTGTTCTGACTCTTTTCAAAGTTAGAAGAGGGCTCAGACTTTAGCCAAACAAGAGAGAGGGAGAATATACAGAACCCTCTGCTACCAGAAGGGGCGGAGTTCAAAAAGCATCACCAGGTCTGGGGTGAATCCTAGCACTTTGCAACCGCTATGATAGCGCCGCCATCTTAGCAAAAGATTTTGCTCGACTGTCTTCACACCAAATGCAGCATGACATCAATAAACGAAGCCTGGCTGCGCCCACTCCGACCTCAGCCTTACCTAGCCTTGGCCCCTTTCGATACCCGACTGCTCTTGCTTCAAACCTAACCGAGCCTCCTAATGAAGCGTTTATTCCGCTCGAGGCACATACAGTGAGCAGCTGGAAGGCCAAGCTGCAAATATGGTTACTCGCTGCCGCAGCCATCGGCTTCCCCGTCGAACAGAACATTCTGTTGGGCATCCCCTCTACCGACCACCGAATGGACCGAGCAGGGTTTGGCTGCCTGGTTCTGTTCCCGCAATCCAGCCCTGGCTCTGGCAATCTCGAAACTGGCAACCCCAGCCCCGGATTATTTGTGACGGTTCAGAGATGCCCAAAAATACACGTTCCACTAGGTGTGCACCTTGTTGGTTTAATGGTTAGAAACGGTGTTTTTTGAGGCGACATTATTAGCTATCTACCTAGGTATGTATTATTGATGCAGATTCGCTGATCAGATAATGACTAGGACACCCCTGATGTCTCTATGACACGCCGTTGACGCCTCCATGAGTCCATGACACGCTGTTGATGCCCTCGTGACGCGCTGTTGATACCGTGTCGGACTCCTGATTCTACACAGCCACGGAATGGATCTATAAATGATTCAATCTTCTGGCCTTAAAAGGTTAGGGCTAGGACTTGGGATGTGGTTCTGGGACTACACTGCTGGGGCTTGGAGCCTGGGGGTTGGAACCTACTGTGTATCACGATCGCCAGGTCTTGATGGATAAAGAGTGCATTTGATGTCAAAAACTAAGGATAAGAAAGAAACCTTCAAATGTTAGAACCTTGGAATATTCTAGTAGGTCCAATTTTTGGGCAGAGTTTGTCACGGCTGCCGGAAACAAGATAGTGGGCATGAAGCACATCTCTTCAGCGCCGAGAATAACACACTACCTGACGAGATGCCCATCGGGCTGCCGGAGCTCACTCAGGTCGAGGAGATTCTAATCTCCTGTGTGTAAGTGTTTATTGAGGTGCGATTGGTCCGTGAGCAACAATATCGATACCAGGGTCATATGGTTTGCTTTTTGTATGATATTGGTCGAGTATACGATCAGTTGTCACTCCTCTCTGCAGAATTAAATATGATATTGCTCCACCCTGTATAATAGTGTATACAGAAGTTCCAGGTAAGCTAATAATGCATACCGGGATTATTATCAGTATTGACAGGGTAGAGCAATATCAGATCTAATTCTGCAGGGAGGAGCAACAACTAATCGTACACTCAACCGATACCGCGCAAAAAGTAGACCACATAACCCTGGTATTGATAGTATTACCCACGGACTAATCGCCCGCAGGCACCTCAATAAACACATGCACACAGGAGATGAGAATCTCCTCGACCTGAGTAAGCTCCGGCAGCCCGATGGGCATCTCGTCAGGTAGTGTGTTAATCTCGGCGCTAAAGAGATGTACTTCATGGTCACTACCGTGTTTCCGGCAGCCGTGACAGACTCCCTCAACCAGTTTCATATCAAACCATCGCTGACGAAAACTGGAGCAGGTCTCAAGCCGGTGTGACCGTAAGCGGGTATGGAACGACTGGATCAAGGCCCATGCCTCATCCGAGACAGCGGGGATGGACGGTGGGGATTGGGCATCCAAAATTGGTGGTATGGAAAGTTCAACGAGGGCAGCAGGGACTAGCTGAGGTGATAATATTGGAATATCAGACGCGGCAAGTTGTGCTGGGACAGGTGCTCGTGCTCTATCTCTAGCATGAGTGGTATATCGGCTAGCACGATCACGGCATCTCTGGCACTCTTTGGTTTCTCCGGCCCGTATTCTAGACTGGAACTGGTCAAGAGGGAGAGTCGGGCGGTATGTAGTATAGGTCTTAGTGGGGGGGGGGATGGCGACGCTGGTTCGACGGCGACAACGGCATCAGTGGCCGGATTGGACAGTGCCAGCGGATCCGGGGATGACTCGACAGGTACCGAGCTCTCGAGGCTAATGGGACCCGAATCTTCGACGGGATGCTGAGGCTGTCTAGAACGTGACTTAGCTTTCGAATCCAGGCAGTTTCGATAGGTCTTTATTTCGCGACTTGTGTCTTCTTGGAGGAATAGCTGCAGTGGAAACATATGCATACACTACGAATATAGCTTGGACGCCCATGAGGGCGATGATGGAATAGTAGAAAAGCGTGCTACGCAGGAGAGATATCTAACTGCGCAGGCGCTGTACAGCCACCTGAGCTGTATATATAGATCGAGAAGGAATGTGATTGGTGGAGATAGAAGCGTGTAGCTTGATTAGGCCTAGTGCCACATGGTCATTGGACCGACCGGGCGGCGTTGGTGGAGCAAACATCGGCAGTATCCATGGATGTTTGCACGATTCTGCCTATCTACACCGGAGACATGACACCGCTCTAAAAGGGCAGAATTGGATAGATTTCGAGCCCACCACCTGGGCAGGCAAAGGCTGCCGCGTGAGGCGGGCAGGGAAAGAGGATTCTATGATCTATGATACTATATTGCTCAGCCGCGCATCTCATGCCAGCTATTCGGAGGAAATGTTAGAAGATAGGAGCAATTCGGATGAACTTGGAACTTTTCTAGAGGAAGCGATATTGACGAAGGGAGAGGCAGCGTTCAGTTCAGTTTGGAGCATACTTTCGAGTATGTTAAATGAGACGGGACATTATAATGCAGTCAAACACGTAAGGTACATAAAAGGGTGCGCAGAGAAGTCATATAGAAAAAGGTTGAGGGTGTAACCCAAATGAGCGACAGGAAAGTATACTAGTGATGAACCAACAGGTAGTGCATCTAGAGGATGAAAGCAAGGACACCAATCACAGCGGTAGCGGCGGATGCAAGGCCTCCGGAAAGACGGGGAGCAGCACCCATGAACATGGTGTTGGCACCGTGGGAGCTGGGAGAAGCAGAGGCAGCGGCAGAAGAAGAGGCAGCCTTCTGCTCAGCGGAGACACCGGTGGGCATGTTCAAGCCGTGGGTACCGGAGGGAGTGGCCATAGCAGCACCGGAGGAGCCGGGGGTGGCCATGGGGACGTGGACGGGGATCATGGAGTAAGACGCGGCGTGGCTGTTAGGGCGCTGAGAGTAGTTGTAGCTCTCAAAGGCGCCGGAGGATGCAGGGGCCGGTGCGGAGACGGCGTAGGACATCATCTTGGGGTCAACTTCAGCGGACTGCTGGGGAGTGAAGGACATGGGGATGGCGCTGGTCTGCATGGAGGGAGCGGACTGGCGGGCATCGTTGTACATGGGGACGGCGCTGGTCTCCATTGAAGGGGCGGACTGGTAAACGACGCGGGTGGCCTGAGCAGTCTTGTACTGGGTCTTGGTCACGGTGCGGACAACCTCGTGAACCTGGGCCGAGCACTCGCCGCTCTCCTCACGGGGAGGGGTAGACTCTTCCTTTGAAGAGAAGGAAGGAGGAGCGTCGGAGCCCTGCTCGGAGGGAGGTGAAGGAGCGTCGGCGTGGGAAGCATCGGCTCCCCATGGGCCATCGGGGTGGTGGACGTGGGTAACGTCCTCCGAGACAGAGTGGTCATCGTTGTGGTTCTCGTCGACATCCTCGTTCTCCTGAACGTTGGTAGGGTCAGAGTATCCGGTACCCTCATCCTCGCTGGAGGGACCGCCAAGGACAGTACCCTCTCCACCGCTGGACTCACGGCTGGGAGCGAAAGCACGGCGACCGAAAGGTCCAATGGCGCCAGCGGAGGGACCGTTGTTGACCTGCTTGATGGAGTTGAGATCGAAGTCCTCCTCATGGCCCCAGTAACCGGGGTGAGGGTGGGGGTGAGGTTGAGGGTGAGGCCAGTTCTCGGCGTCACGACGGGTGAAGGGACCAATGCCACCAGCGGCGGGACCGTTGTTCACCTGGCTGATGGTGTTGATGTCGTGGTCCTCGTGTCCCCAGAAGCCAGGGTGAGGGTGAGGGTGAGGTTGAGGGTGAGGCCAGTTCTCAGCATCACGACGGGCGAAGCCACCGATAGCACCTGCAGATGGGCCGTTGTTGACCTGGTTGATGGTGTTGACATCATAGTCCTCCTCAGGTCCCCAGTAGCCGGGGTGAGGGTGAGGCCAGTTCTCGGTAGAGCGGCGGTTGAAAGGACCAATAGCGCCAGCGGAAGGTCCATTGTTGACCTGCTTGATGGCGTTCAGATCGAAGTCCTCGTCATGGCCCCAGTAGCCAGGTTCGGGGTGAGGCCAGTGCTCAGTGTCGCGGCGGTTGAAGGGGCCGATGGCACCTGCAGCAGGACCGTTGTTCTGCTGCTTGATGGCGTTCACATCAACACCGCCGTGAGGTCCCCAGCCTCCGTGGCCGCCCCAGTGGGGGCCGTTGACGTCGGTGTGCTTGAGGTCAATGGCGTGGCTGTCCTTGTTGACATCGTTCACAGAGGTGTCGACATCGACGGTGGTGGGCAGGCTGACGCTCTGGCCCTCATCGTCGCCGGAGGGGCCGCCCATGGCGGTGCCACCGTTCTGGGGTCCGAAACCGCGCTTCCAAGGGTGACCGTAGTAAGCGTCCTTGTGCTTGAGATCAATGGAGTGATCGTCCTTGTTGACGTCGTTGACGGCACTGTTCACGTTAACAGTCGTGGGAAGGCTGAAGCCGTCGCTCTCGTCGTCTCCGGAAGGACCGCCCATAGCAGTGCCACCGTTACCACCGTGCTGGCCCTTCTCTCCACCGGAAGGACCGCCCATAGCGGTGCCACCTCCGTGCTCGAAGCCGAAGCCACGCTTCCAGTGAGGTCCGTAGTAAGAGTCCTTGTGGTCGAGATCAATGGAGTGGTCATCGGTGTTCGTGTCGCTAACATCAGTCTTGATGTTGGCAGTGTATGAGAGATCGAAGCTCTGGCCGCCATCGTCGCCGGATGGACCACCCATGGCGGTGCCACCGTTGTGGGGTCCGAAACCACGCTTCCAGGGATGACCGTAGTAAGCGTCCTTGTGCTTGAGATCAATGGAGTGATCATCCTTGTTGAAATCCTTTACGGAAGTGTCAACGTCAACGGTAGTGGGCAAGCTGACGCTCTGACCCTCATCGTCTCCAGAAGGACCGCCCATAGCGGTGCCACCTTCGTAGCCATTACCGAATGAGCGCTTCCAGGGAGGAAGACCGTAGGCATCAGTGTGGTCAAGGTCAATGGAGTGGTCATCAGTGTTCGTGTCGCTAACATCAGTCTTGATGTTGGCAGTGTATGAGAGATCGAAGCTCTGGCCGCCATCGTTGCCAGATGGGCCACCCATGGCGGTACCGCCATGGGCCTGACGCTTGGCAAAGGGACCCATTCCGGGGACCTGAGGACCCTCGACAACGGAGGGGCCATGGCTGTGGGGGTGGAACTCCTTGGTGTGCTTCACGTTGACGGAGTGGTCCTCCTTGGTGTACTCGTGCTTCTGGTGGTTCTCATTGATGTTGGCAGCATACGGGTTTGTGAAGGTAGAGTCAAAGTCCTTGCCAGAGGGGCCGCTGATGGGTCCGTTGATGACGGTGTTACCCTCCTGGCCGATGCCGTTTTGCTGTTGCTTTGATTAGCCATGAACTGTTATTCAGGTGATTGAGAACTTACACGCTCGGCGACCTGGGCCTGAGCAGCAACTGCCAGCAGTGCAATGGGGATTCCTCCAATGAAGCCCTTCATCACGGCGGTATGCGTGGGTATTACTGTAAAAGGGTAGGATGTATCCCGTAGTTTTGAAAGAGTGACTGGAAGCTGATGCTACGGGAGCAAGAGAAATGAATGGCTCAGGAATTGAAGATAATGCTCAATGGACTGGAAGTACCGAGCGATTGGTGCCCGGAGATCCTGGGCGCTTTAGTACTCCCGATCCATTCATGGTGGCCAACAGGATTCGAAGGCGGGAATGTCACTGTGTCGACTCAACGTGAGATCAGGGCATGGGAAACACCATCAGAATGCCACGGAGAATGAAACAGTGCCTTAGCAGTCCCGCCAAAGCCCCTCGATCAGGCTTAGCAGGTAAACAAGTGAGGTGTCGTTGGGGGGGTGTCAGGCCTGCGGCATTCCGTAGGAGCTTGGAGAGGGATAGATCACCCTAGGTTGTGGCATGCGGGAACAGAGCAGACCAGGTCGAATCCCTTGGCTCCAGATCATTTCCTATATTGAACTTCGATCGCAGTGCTGTCGTTTCACCCATGTGCATGGGCTCCTAAAATAAAGGAAGAATGGATAATCATGGGTTGTTGTTGCCCGTCGTTCTCCGCGGGTGGACTCCAGGTCGCAACGTCAGATCACAAGGGATTCCAAGTGATGTCAATCTCTTCATTGTGTCGAATGAATGCTTCCATCGCATGCGTTGCCCGCGAGTCATATCGCACGGTCGCGCTCTCAACTGGGAACTACTTCTGTGATACAAGTTTAACAGGTCGGGATGAAGTTTCCATGGATTTTCTCATATTTCTTTCTTAACTAGTCTTGAGAATGGCCGTCAACTTGCATAGCAAGGATTGAGGCGTGGGGATGTATCCCGTCTTCGACATCCAAATCCCACACCCTCACTGAAGAGGGGCAGGGAAATGAACTTCCTATCGAGGAATTACTCTCCTGAGCCGATCAGTCCCGTAGGACTGAAGGCAACACATCGTCGTGAAAGATGTCGTAAAGACAGGACGATGGTCGTGGCGGGCTCAGTTGCTTTTTTTCGATAAAGAAGAAAGAAAAAGGAAAGGAAGGGCGGCAGATTCTGCGGCCTTTTATAGCTGCGGCGGTGGGGCCCTCGGCTCTACGTTCTTCCTGCCGAGTCGGTTCGGCCCGATTGTTTTTGCCTGTTTTCTCAGGCTTCCTACTGCGAGATTTTGCTCGCACTACTCTGTACACAACCTTGGAAGGGACAACCCCAACATCTGGACATCGGTCACATCTCGGCCAGCTTCATGTGGCTATTCGCTATGTGATCAACCTCTGCAGGTCATAATGATAGAACGCCCCCAACCCCAAACGCCAAAACCCATCGTAACTTAGGGTGACCTCGATCAAGCTTCCAGTGCTTCATCGATGCCTTCCTCGTCTTCATCGTCATGTGTGCTAGGCTCCGGGATATCAGCAAACTGCCCAGCTGCCAGGTGACACCATCTGACGACTCACTCATTGGCCCTGCGTAGTTTTGCTCGTGCTGGACTTCCAGCCGGCTCCCCCGACGGCGGCAGTGATTCCCAGCGCGATCGCGATCATCGTACCAATAGTGACCACGGCCACGACGGCCTTGAGGGCCAATCGTTGCTTATGAGTCAATGACTGCAGCCATGTCTGCGGTTTATTCTCTTCCGTCCACAATTTGGATCTCCGAGGACTTTCGTTGCGATAAATGGAGTATGGGCCAGCATTCTCCAAATCTCGCAGCTGGCTGTGATTGCGATTGTTCTTGGTCTCGTGTGTCAGTTGCTCATATGAGATCGTAGGGCTTCCATGACGGTAGAACGGTGAGCATGGCTTGGCACCGACAGAGGGATCAAAATCCGGGCTATGGGCACCGGGTGAGGAGGTGATGGAGAATCGAGAAGAGTTGGTCTTAGGTGTGGCGGGCTTGTCGTCGTTGCCTTTGATGGATGCGGCCACCTGGGCCCCAATCACGCCGAGTCCATGCAAGCTCATCGCGTTTCAAGGGGGGAGAGCTGTCGTTGTCAGGTCAAAAGATCTTGGATAAGGATCTTTTGAGACTTTGCCGCTTTGACTTGGATCGCTGGAGGTGATGTGGCTCTTTGACCTTCGGAGATGTTGTGATTGCCTCGATGGGAATGACAACAGTTGAGACACCGCCGTACATAAACAATCCCGTATCAACTTGGAATGCACTCCAGGACCAGCAGGACTTAGGAAGTTTCATCACCCTGATGGAGGGGAATAATGATAATAATTGCGGATGTGCGGACGCGACGGGTGGTCGATTCTTCTTATCTCGCTCTTTCCTGGTGATCGCACTGTTCTACTGACTGCTTGACCACCGGGGCCTTGGATCTCTTTAGCAAAGGGATTGGGGGTGCCTACATTCGAGGACTCCTTCAGCAAGAACATTCGTTGCTAGGGGTGCACGACCGGTTCGCCTCGGTGTCCCTCCCTTGCTAGACGCTCCGTGCCACCCCCGTTCAGCATTCCACGTCACCCGAAGTGAGCGTCACCCTCTTCAGTGGACGAAGCTCAATTCTTGCGCTTGCCGGTTAGCTTACATTCTTATGGGTTCCCAATGCTAGCATCTGCCTGATGCTTGTTTACATCCATGGACATGGCACAGTATTGGGAGACCTGCGGCATGGTTTATCTCGCCGCGCTATAATGACAAAGTAATGTATGCTTTCGACCCGTGGACGGGAATAGTATCCTTCTCGAATGGTGGTTGCGCCATTAATTCCCTTGACTCTTGTAGCACTTTGCTTGTACCAACAACACTGCCCAGGTGAATCGTTGGACGACATAGGTGACACTCGCAACCATTGCCGTAATGAACATTATTCCTCAAACATATCAATCAATTATTATGCTTGTTGTAGTAATCACAAGTTTACCTATCGAATCCTACTATTACTCATGTGTTAATTTTCACTTGACTTCCAACCTTGGAAGGTTCCGCTTGGCTGTCCGCGGCCACGAGTACCCTGCTCGCTTGTACATGGATATCCAACTCTTTCCAAGGTTTTGATAGCATCCAGTTACCTGGGCAGTTATCAAGTAATAACTAAATCTGAAGGTAAACCCCTCAGGGTTGGAAAACGCTGGCGTTGGGAATATGGATAGGTACTCAACTGCTCACGAGGTCGTGGTGTGACTATATATTTCCATGACTCGGCCGGTACACACCCGGAAAAGAGCATGGAAGTTCATGGAACGAAGCAAATCAAACAAACTCGGAATCCTGGAATTAAACACACTAAATACTACTAGGTACCTAGTAGGTAGGCGAATTAAGAATCAAATTCTATCATGAGGCTTCACCTCAACTTGGGACTACCTAGTACTACTGCGCCACGGGATGATCGGCGCTTCTAAGCGACGAGACGTAACAGCGAGGTAAGGCAATGACATACGAGGTGCTTCATTCCAAGGTTTCGTGGTCTGGTGCTAAAGGGACGGATTGCTTTAAATGATTTCCATGATATTTTCCCGTAGGCCTGACAGGTCGTACAGGAGAACCGATCGACGTTTGTTTAGCACCCGGGCGACCGTAAATGGCCCGCTCCACCGGGTTTCGAGTATCCGTATCCCCTCCATTTCGGTTCGTCGCAACAACACTAGGTCCTTCGGAGTGAACGTTCGGCATGTCTCGTGCTCCAAGCTGCCAGCCAGCTTTCGCCACATGCTGTCCCGGATCTTCTGCCGGAGGTGCAGAACGGGTCCATATTGGACATCTGCTCACAATGACAAGTTCGCTGGATTGACATCCTGCACTCGAATCGCTTCGGTCAACAATCGGTTTTTGACGTGACGTTTTCCGAAAGAATGGGGCAGGAAGCCCATGAACACCCGTCCTTCGGTTGGCTAACGCAGAGAGAGGCCTCTGTTTCTAGGCGCTTGGGCCACATAATGATAGGCGGTAGAAACGGGCAAAATAACAATGTCCTCCCTGTCAACTCCCGTCGCCGCTTTCGAAATCCTGACATCTGGATGAAAATGTCCAGCGGTGATCGCTTTCGACGTGTACCCGTAGCCTATACCTTCCCCAATCCAGGAGCCCTGGGGCCCTGGAGCATCTTCCGACTCTGTCAGCTCCGGGTATAATCGCCAGACCGACTCAGCCAGTAAGGGCACATTCTCCGGTCACTATTGATTTCAGCTGATCTTTGCCCATGTTCATTTCGATCCGGAAAACACTTTTACCTTGGGATGCACTGGCGCCCGAAACCTCAGAAGTAATGTGTGCTGTAGAAACGTGATTCTTTCCAAGGGCGTCCGATTTTGTGTAACCATGTCGGTGGTCGATTCGCCATCTTTGATATATTAGTATAGATTTACTAGGCATCAAAAGCAGACTCTTGACTTACAGGTCATACTCTTTTCGAATAACGTAAAATCCTAACCGAATAAATCCGATCGCCAGGAAGAAACAAGCTACCTCTATCAATGATAGGCATATGGGGTCCGTACCCCCTTGTTTGATGAGCTCGACGGCCCATGTCATGTCCCATTTTCTGACAGGGAGGGCCCCTGTGGATGAAATTAGCTCAACAACGTAGACTGTCGCATGAATAATTATATGAGGATATAAGGCGTACCAAACTCACCTGTTTTCGGGAGAGGAACCGGTATGGGCTGCATTGGCGCAGCATTAAGAGACCATTGCTCGCCTTCGGAGATTGGCGGGCTCTCACGCCTGCGACTCCAGAAGGGGGGCGCAGAGAAGGTAAATCTTACCTCCGTCATGTTGCTATCAGCGACTTCATGCATTTGAGGGAGAGTGCGGAAAATCCCTCTAACGTCCAAAAACACTGTCCTTGACCCCGGGGGCTCATTTGACGTGTCCATTCATCAAGGGCCCACGAAGCTGAAGACACTCGGACTCCACTGAAAGGGATATTACAAAATACTTCGCGTATTTGAGGAGGTGGGGTGGCGGGTTCGAAGAAGGCTTCTCTCTCGGCCCGCTTTTGTGGACTGTGAAGGAGCGTACCGGCTACTGGCTATCCTGTCGCTCGTTTCGTGTTTCACTTTCGGCTCACTTTCGATTGACTGGATTCCATCGATGAGTCTTCTCATTCCGTAAAATGAAGCCACTCATAGCGTGCTCGTGAGCCGAGCACTGTATGTGTCGGGCGATGGTTGTGTTTCTGTGAGCGTTCTGATAGCTGACAGGATTGCTTTCAGCAGATATACGTTCTCGTAAGGTAGGATGGGGGGGATGAGAAAGCTCTGGTTTTGGATTGGCGGGAGCTACTACTGATCCCAGTCAGCAGTCTAATCAGACGCGTAGATGAAGAGAAGAGAAAAGAGCCTAGAGGAAGTTAAAGAGACGAAGTGACATCTGGGAAATAGAAGAGAGATGTCTAGGTGGTGAAGGAAAGCACGCGTGATGGGTTTATATAGAAACAACGATGGAAGTGAATTGAGAAACAGCAAAAGCAAAATTAAGCTAAAACATAGAACCACAACAGCAAGGGCTCATGAATTGTCAAATAGCCAGGGCTCGACCTAAGGCAAATTGAGATTCCTGAACCGTTTCATCAAAACTGGGCGTGAGAAGCCTTTGCGTTCGCATCTGATAGGGCAGAAGAACCATGTCGAAAGGCTGTGAAGATGTGGTGAGCCTTGGTCCTCCAGCCTCGCCCGGAGATCTTCTCTCCTTCTCTCCTTCTCCTGCTCCAATAGACCGAACCCCCTAAAGCTAAGACAGCACCAGCACTCCGAGGTACAATGTCCCATGCCCCTCTTTTCCACAGAATGCTGTCTCTTTCCACAGCATCCACACTGGCGGCTACAGCAACCGCCTTGATCAGAACAATCGCGAACCATCCCTTTGCGCATAAACCATCCAGGGTCATCCCTCATTAGATTATGGAAAAATTTGAGCTTATATGAAAGCATGGACTCCGCCCGGTAGAGGCTATAGTCGAGTTCCTCACGTCGGACCTTTGCCTCTTCAACTTCCTGATCAGCTTCGTCATATTTGCCCGCCAGGTCCTTTCGAAGGGCTCTAGCCCTGTTCTGTAGCGTTTCTATACGTTGTGTATGCTGACGTAGAGCTTGCTCGGCAAGAAATACATCAGCGAGCGAAGAGGGGCTGCAAAGACTGTATGGCTTCTTTTCGCCCTTAGTGCTGCGAGCCATGAACTGCACTTTCTCGCCATTAAAACCGACATATATGTCGTCGATGACAAAACGTTTGGGTTTGGGAGTTTTAGAACGTCCCATTTTGTCAAGATGAGTTGAGATTCCGCGAAGAAAAAAAAAGAAAGGTGTTGTAGTAGAAAAGTTGAAATTCCAAATTCGTCGGCGGGCATGAGACTTGACGAGGAAATGATCCATGGTTGTGGGTTGAACTTTGAATCTATTAAGGTTTTCTCCAAAGTCAAAAGAGACACTGGTATATGCACTATTTCGATATAACCTGTGTCACCGGCCCTCCAAAGACACGATTCATGAACGCCTCCGATTGCGCAGCATAGTGGCATCGCTCACGGATCTTCGCACCATACAACCAAAACAAAAGCGGCATTGGAGCGCACGCGACCGCCAGAAAAGCAGGTATCGAGGCAGCCCAGCTCGTCCCCAGATCACGATACATGTAAGTTGTGAAGAGGGGGAAGACCGCACCGAAGAAGGATCGGAGCATTGAATTGCCAGCAAGAACGGAGGCGGCGTAGATGGTGTATGCATCAACCAGATAGTTGAGAATAGGGAGGAAGACCATTACCATTCCGAACCCGAAGGGAACACCAGCGGCTACTGGAGACATCCAGTGGATGGATGGTTGGCTTGTCCAAGCGAACCAGAATAGTCCAACAGGTAGAGCTATGCATGCTGGGAAGCTGGGTGGGAGACGGGCTTCAGGGGGAAGGCGACCGGGGGAAACTTTGAGTGCGCGCTTTCTGTAGTCTAGGAATACAAGAACAATGTAGGCCACTGCGATGAGGATGCCGACTAGGATCCCGAGAAATGCGAGGCCGCCCTGGCTTTCGCTCCAGCCTCGGACGTTTTGGAAGACGATGGGGTATGCCGCGAAGAGCATGTACAGAATACCGTAGACAATGGACATGTACAGCGAGAGTAAGAGCACAATGGGTTCGCGGAAGAGAAGCACCCAAGGCCGTGAAAGTGCAGAGGTCAGCGCTTTGCTTGGTTTCATTCTCTTTTCGTCCAATTTGCTTCGGTAAACTTGGCCAGTGATCTTTCCAAGTGCCTGGGCTCGCTTTTGCAAAAGTACTGAGGCATATGTCTCTGGCAAGAACATTAAAATGGCCAGACACAGAGCCCCGGAGAATGCTGCAAGGAAGCCTTGAACCCATTGCCAACCACCACTTGCTTTGGCGATGTAGCCCCCAAATATGGGGCCCAGCACAGGTCCCAGGAAAGGTGCAGCAGCAAAAAGACCACTCGCCAAGCCACGGATGATAGGATTAAATAGGTCTGCAATGACAGCGCCAGAGACGGCCATCGGTGCTGATCCAAAGGTGCCAGCAAAGAAGCGGAGCACGAGCAGAGTCTGAATGTTTCTGGCACCAGCGGCACCGGCGGTAAAAGCCGTCAAGAAAAAGGAGCTCGAGAAGATAATTAGACGCCGACCATAGATCTCACTGAGCGGTGCCCATATGAGAGGGCCCACAGCAAACCCGATCACATAGAGTGAAATGCCGACGAGGGCGAGCTCCTCGCTGATTCGGAAATATTCCACAATTTCCAACATAGCTCCCGAGTACGCAGAAGAGACAAGCGCGACCACAAAAGTAGCAATTGAGACAAGAGAGGTAATCGCCCACTTTGATGTGTTCTTGAAAAGCATGGGATTGCGCGGATCGTCCTCAATCCAGGACACAACGTACGGGTCTTGTTCAGTGCCACTGCCGGGATATGCGTGCTCAGCAATTTGTTGCGTGATCACACCCTGTTCGAAAATCATGCGCCAAAATGGAATTTTGGATGGCAAAACCATCTGCTGTGTGGTTGGAGGTGCCATCTCGCAAGATCAATCGCCATGAAGAATGGCCCCGATATGAGATGAGGCACACGCCAAACTTCTTGAATCAATTGCAGGGAAATTGGGTGTTATGTACTCCCTACACCGTAGGGACCATCCACAGTGAGCTAAAGCCGGATGTCGAATGGTCCGTGGCAAGGATGGGGCCAGCAATGATCGTCCGACGCGATTGTGTGCCCAACCTGATTGGGGCCATGCCACTTTGCGATCGACCGTGATTGAAGATCTCAGCATTAACTTTGCCAAAGCTTCTTTTTCTCCATTTTGTCTTTCAAGCAGCCAAAAGTCTGTTGACACATGTTCTTATCAGTGCTCTACAGTAAATAAACTGTGTGCATGTAAGGGGGCTAGCCCACTCCCTGTTTGTCCGACGTCAATTGTTTGCTCCAAACGCCGAACGATGGATCTCATGGGTCCCGGGGGCCGATCGTCGATCTCACATAAGCCTAAGTTACTTCCTTTCTAGGAAAAGGATCATCATCGATGTTTGTACTGTTTGAAAGACGATGAAAGAGCACCCTGCATGGCCTTGGATGGCAGAAAGTGCCCAGGTGTCGTAGGCTGATGACCAACTGGCGTAGTGAGCACTGGAGGCTGTCCCAAGGGTCCAGTAACGTGTGAAGATAAGCTCAGAATTGATCCATGTTCATGTCGCAGTCTTCATCGTTGTCATATTCGCCCCAGAATTCTTTGAGATCTTCAACGCGCCAGGCGGTAGCCCAGCCGGTCTCGCGTTCAATTCTAACCAATGTTTCGACAATGGCCGTATGCTCGGAGTGATGCGACATAGCTTTACCAGCTATCCACAGGGGTTGGAGTGCATTCGTCCAGCAGCCGCTAGTCACGCAAACACAGAGTTAGCACCTTGATCAAGACTCAAGTGTTTAGGAAAGAAAGATAATGCATGGAAAGCTCACTGGTGGAGGTTCGATGCAGATATTGCGCAAATTTGGCGAGCATGCCAAAGGACCGATTTCTGATTCGATTAATTCCATCCTCACATCGGGCACGACAGATAACATACTGGCCTCTTGCTCAAAGTTAAGGTCTTCGGCTTCCTCTGAAGTAGCAGCAAAGCTGCTACATGGTACATCTGGTTCCCGGAAACTAACGTTCATTAGGACCGCAGGGTAAGTAAACAGCAAAGGAACTTACTAGCCGCTGCGTTTCCGTACAAGGTGATCGGGAATGCACGGTCCATTTCTCGCTCAGATGCAGCAACACTGAAGACAGACTTCATTTGCGCAGGACGGTTCTCATACCATGCCTCGACCCGATCAAATGATTCCGCCCATCGATCCATATATGGATCGCCATCGTCAGAGGGCACAGATTGACATGAAGTACAAGGATGGGTCATTTTTGAAGCGCAGCCGAAAAGAACGTTCAAGGTTCGCGCGACAAGGTACACTGTGTAGTTGGCATAGGTGTCGAGATTGGTTTTGGCCGAGGATATGAATGTCTGTGCAGCTTCGTTGTAGCTCATCTCAAGGGGACGCCAGTTGTGAATAGGTATGATGGTTTCTTCTTCGGAGATGAGACCTCCGCAAACGTCTGATTGGAGTTAGAATCTGCGGTAAATATAGCAGAGGTCAGGAGGTTTTCATACCCATTCGAGCAAAGCACCAGAAAAGTGCTTGCTCCTCCTTCCCTGAGAAGCCGTTGATGCCAGCCGCTTGAATGAGATATGCGCAGCCATCTAGATGGCGACGCCACTCTTTCGGATTACCTTCGACTGGTCAGATATCCAGAACAAGACGTAAGAAAACCTCAATACTTACAGCTTAGCATTTCCAAAACACAGAGAATAACACATGAAGCTATGACAGGAGTACTCTTGCTCCCTAGCTCGGGCAAAAGGAGATGAATGGCTTCCTGGTATAATGAGAGGCTCTCCGACTGAGATTTTTGGTTCTTCTGTCGCTCTAGCTGTCGGGCAGACAACGCCAATATCGAGTAACGGAGATGTGCCGAGGACTTGGCCATCTGGGGGAAAGTGGAAGCGAAATGACGGTGGTTATCAAACATATCAAGCTTCTGGGTGTTAGCTGAATTCCGAATTTCAAGGGGCTCGGACAGAAAGCTCACCCATGCGCAAATTTCGTTGAGATAGTTTTCCCACAGAATATGTTCTCTTTCAGGTGACAGTTCAAAGAAGCGTCTTCCTGATTCGAAACGCCGAGTTTGTCTCTCGGCTCTCGTAAAGGAACCAGTGTCGCTGAATGCTGTGGGGGTGTTCGCCAGAGATACGGAGTCATGAGAACTGCGTCGAGTAGGGATATCCGGCCGAGCTGTCCATAGCTGACGATTTCTTAGCGTCGTATGGAGTGCTTCATAAGCAGAGCCTGGTAGGAAGACATCGTTGATGAGATCTGCTGGGTCGGAGAAGACGCTATGATCGAACAGTGGTGATTGTACTGTTTGATAGGAGCCATTCACAGAGGAGCGGAACTGAGCACTGTGTTGGAAGCCGCTGAGACCACTCAAATCATCGATCATATACTCCGGGCTGGAATTATAGCAATGTGACGAGTCGTCCCTGGATTGCGGAAGAGTGTTGAAGTCGCATCGTATGGTTGGTGGAAAGTGAGACTGCGGGGAGACTGGCTGGGTATCCAGTCGATTGCCATTCATCTCATGTCCAACATGATTCGAAGATTCAGGGTCTATGCTTCGAGATGGGTGTGACGTATCACTAGAGTAGGGTGGTGATAGCCCTTGATTGACCGCCGAACTGGGGCTGGGAGCCCCCTGGGCGATCAAAGGCTGAGTGGGGCTCGAGACACCTCCAGAAGTAGCTGCAGATACGGAAGTGGCCCCGACATCTGTAGCAGGGGTCAGGGACGGTTCAGGAACTGGTCTTTGCTCTGAAGCTTCGACATCCTGGGGCTTGGCGCTCCTGGTCCTCGGAGCTTTCGCGGCATTATTCAAAATCTTGAATCTGCCCTGACGCTTGTTCTTGCTCACCGCCACACCCTGGCTCATCGAAGGGTGGTCTGATTCTAGAACCTTGATATTGGAATCACGGAAGGCTCCGACCATGCGCCACTGACATTCTTCACCTCGACGCTTACAGCCCGTGCAAGTAGGCTTCGCTTCGTCACATTTTCGGCGCCGGCGGCTGCAGTTCAGACAGCCAGTGCGCGTACGTTTCTTGCGCTCTGCTGCCATATTCAGAGAGGCTGGTTCCTGTGACTCTAGTGGAGTAGGACCCTGAATCCCTGAGTCATTATCATTGCCTTCTGGGCTATTGAGGGGCATAGCGGTCATTGTCGTGAAAATTTACCATAATGGTAAGCTGGGGATCGCATTGTGTATGTTGGGCAGAAGATGCATGTGGAGATCTGGGGGATTCGAGAGTTACCCGATCTGGCAACATTAGGCACCGTTCTGCAGATGCGGAGGTTTGCCGACTTCGGGGAATAGTGGATCCGAGAGCTGTCACGTGCATCGGCAAGTGCACTGTGACGTAAGGGGTGTCACCGTAAAGGGTAGGCGGTCAGACTGGCCTTGGCCTTATTTCGCGAGACTAATCCTATCTGGTCAATCACTTGGGAAATTTCCAAGTCTGATGAGCTTCAAAGACATGAATGGTTTTTTGGCTCTGAATATACTTCGAGGACTGTTGCGCTTTGCGCTCATTGCTATGTCCAGATGTCCCGAGGTCTAGTGTTTTGGTGACGTGTCCATCCCATTTGCACTTTCCAAAGAGCATTCCGTGGTTTCCCAGATCAACTGTCAAATGGCTTCTCAAAACGCGTAGCTATACTCTTCTTACCTTTAGATACACACGCGGACACATCAAAACTCCAGGGCTCCAGGACTCCAGGGCTCCAGGGCTACGAGTACAGCTTACAAAACACTTGTATCATCCATGGATGTTTTTTTACCTCCAGGGCTTTTCCTCATGCTCCTGCTGCCAGCCGGTACGTTTGACACGTCCTTTATCCTCTTTCAAGTCCCTTCGCGGCATCCCGTCTTCTTTCCTTGACTTTCCCGTTTACCTCTAGAGCTTGGCATCATCAGAGTACTCTTGAGCCCACATCGAAATATTGTATTCAACACTATATGCTTATCGTGCTAATTGTATACATAGATGCGCTCCTAATACGGCCAAGAGATCTTACCTGGGCTGCAGAGCTTATCAAACAAGGGGGGGGGGGAGCACCCCGAACACCTCGTCGAGATTTTGAAGAATCTCCTGTGGTTTTTCACGGCAGTTGGGGTCATCAAACTTTTACTCCACGTTATGAAACGGGAGTACAATATGTAATCTGATACTTCACCTCTAATGCCTGCAAATCCATGCTAACAGCTCAAAGTCAGCGGCCAGACCCCCCGGGACCACCCCTCCCCGCAACCCTCCCCAGTAGGCCTAAGCGGCCCTGGTTATTTCATAGAGGTACGTAAAGTGACATGAGATTGACGGATGCGGTAAAATCTAGATGCAATATATGGCTACCATTTATACCCTACTTGTACAAGCTCAACATTTCCCGAGGTCCCGAGATTTGGAGCCCCACTGTGTCGAGTCGTGAGCTGTACGGAGTGCAGTACGTTCACGGGCCATTCGAATGCTAACCAAATACCTTCCAGGCCCCGGCCGCTTTTTTCTTTTTCTTTTTCTTTTCCATGAGGTGATCGTCCGGCCTGTTTTATATTCTTATAGGGGCGTCGGAGCTTTTCCTTTTCAAAAAGTATTATTATTTCATTCTTGAAAATTGAATGGGCGGGGCAAATTGCCCTTTTTGAGCATCCTCCACGATTGAAATCCATATAGTTGAACATTTCGTAAACAACTAAAAAAGCACATATAGTCGTGCCGTAGGAGTTTGCAAGTCAGCAAAAATCGGGCTAGTCTCGCAGATTGAAAATTAATGAGCAACGGATGCCTCGAGAACATTTCCATCAACCCCGAGAACCTATTTCAGGCTGTCTTTGGTACGAAATTTCCCCATGAAACCACTGGTGCGTCTCTTGTATGGCGGTGGGGATACAGCCTGCTTTCCAGAAGAACTATCCACTGAAACGGCCTCCACGGAGCTAACCTTTGTGTTGGTTGAAGAGAAGTAGGCGTGAGCGATGCGTGCAAGGAAATATGGGTTGTCACTCTCGAGCGCCTTCTTATACTCTGCATCCATCGAAGCCACTCTTTCACTATCAATCACAGCATATCCTTGGGATCTCCCACAGCATGCACAAGCCAGAGAGCAATGTCCGCTCATACCCCTCCGGGGTAAATCGGGTAGTCGCTTTGCACAACAACCGCAATCTCGACCACAACAGCCACCCATCATCACACACTCCTCGACTAGGAGTTCATCAAGATACCATCCGGGGTTGTTTCTTCGAGTAGACCAGTAGCATTTTGCAAGATTGTGAGGCGGTAATGCGCCCTCTTTGAGATAAAGATTTCTTTGCCGGTCAGCATAGATCTGGCTCATTTCTCGAAATTCTGCAAGTTGAGTTTCGTCAAGATCGACTTCATCACTGGGGCCGTTTTCGTTTGAGGGAGAGACTCGGTCTATCCAATGCTCGATAAGCTGAGCTTGGTATCGGAATTGGTATTCAGCGAGCACGAGATCTGCCAGGATACGAGAAGGGCAGTCGTAATGTGTCCCTTCAAATTTGTATTGGAATTTTCTATTGAAGAGTCCTCCGTGTTCTTTCGGCGCGATATATTCCCGAAAGAGATATGGTGAGACACTCGTATCAGTATTTGTGAGATTCATTTTGGGAGAATGACCTTTGGAAATTGATCACAGGCAAAGAATTATATGAACTATATGAGTGGGCGCAAGTGGTTTCGGAATAGAGGGATTCCAGAGACGGGTACCGGGAAGCATTCCGAGTGCAAATCGAGGGTGCCGATGCCCAAAGCAGACTGCTACGTAGGTCTCTAGGCTTTACCCGTGGGCTGATTAGCTTTTGGCCATGACACCGATCAATTTTCGTTTGTCCATTTGACCTATTCATGGACACGTGAACCAGTTTGAAAGGAATGTGGTACCCATTCGATGGTGCAGCCCAAACTCTTCAAGGGTTGAACATTTGAATTCAACCTTGGAATTTTGGTAATATTGCATTTGACAGCGAAGCCATCAAAGTCTTATTCAGACTCCAGGAAACTCAACACAAATGCTTCAACCCGCTCCTCCAAGTCTAGCTCATGTCCCCAAGAAAGTACAACACAAGAAGTAGCCTCATATCGAGAGGTTTTTAGAGACCAACAATATTGGAAATACCTACATATGGTCTTATTTTGAATGTATTGTACCTTGGAATCCTGTGGAGTTTACGCCAACAAAATTAACAGCCATTGTGCAACAGAGGCCTTAGCCATAAAAACTTCCGAATCCATGACAAAACATTACACCACCCCGGGAAACTTTCGCTTTCCAAGGTTCCATACGATAGTATTGCAGTATGAGTTCCAAGGTTGGCTACCAGGTCTGATCCGTAGTAACGATGCCGCTCCCTAGTCGGCCCCGCGGTCAATTTCGCTCTGACACTTCCCCTCTGTTTCCCAAAAGGTGAATTTCATACAGCCTTCTACCTTCTACAGCCCGCCAAAACCCTCTTCAAGATTGTGGTTTTATACATATTCAATTTTAACTCCGTCAAAATGGATGATGCCTGGCAAACTATGGTGTCAGTGGCCTTTATTATACAATCGATTGCTGTCATTTGCAATCAGATTGAGGTATGTGTATCTGGGTGCCCGAAAGCTCTCCAGGGCCAATGCCACTACCTAATGTCTGCTAATAGCTCACACTAACTTATAACAGATTTACCTTATATCAAAGCGGGTCAAAGAGCTGGAAAAATACCTTGAAAGGTAGAGTCCTCTGGGAGGGTTTTATGAGAGCTGAAAGAATCGTTTTCGAAGGCTGTTTGTGTTGGTCGAATTTTGCTAGCCGTGAGAAGATAATTTGTTGCTTGTGAGCATTGACCTAGAAAACCACCTGGTGGCTTGGATGTCTTGAGGGTTGATAGACTTCAGGGCAGTACATAGTACATTTTTCCGGCTTGAAGGTCAGGGGCTTTGCAATGTGGGTACCCCGGGGATGGGGATGGGAGGCCCCGATATGAATCTGTACTTTCTATCTTGGAGGTCACTGATGATCGTTGTTTCTTTTTGAATCTAGCTCTTGAACCAGCGGTCTCTTCTTTCCATGCGGTGAAAGTCATTAAATAACTAAGATATTGTGCTCTTGAATAATAGCTCCTTTTGCCGTTTGATGAGGGGCCATCGGGCTCTTCCTACTACGGTGGCGCTGGGCTTGTTTTAGTATGGTAAATGAATTCAATGAAACAAACAAAATTTCAGAGGCGGGAAGTTCAGTTATATACAGGGACTTGCAATAAAGTGACTGATAATCACCAAGCTTGGAAGTCCATCGAAAAGAATCAAACACAGTGTTCCTGACCTTGTCCGAAAGATCACTCAACATGTTGAGCATTTACGCTCTCGAGATCTTTGGCGGTGGCGTTTCCAACGCGTGTATTCACGTCACCTGCGATGCCCAGAGATGAATCCCAGTGGAGAAGAACCTTCTCATTGGTGAACAACAAGTCAACTTGTTCAAGGGTGAGATTCTGGGTTTCGGGGTAAAACAGGTAGATAAGGGGGAAGAAGCAAAAGTTGAAGACTGTATTTACATTAGCAAATGCTCCATCAAAAAAAAGCCTTGAAGCTTGTAGTACTTACCGGCAAAATAGATGTAGGTCTTGTATCCAATGTTTGAGATGCTGACTGGTACAATTTCCACGACAAGGAATGTGCAAATCCCTAACAAGTGCTATTAGTATCATCTTGATTGGCAAGAGAAAAGTACATACAGTTTGTCGCGGTGGCCATAGCGGCGGATCGCGTGCGAATCGCAAGTGGAGAGTACTCTGCAGGAACTGTGTTACAGATATTGAGTTAGCTTTGAACTAACTGAAGCATGTAGGGGCGCGTAGAAATACTCACGCAACCAAGGAATGGCAAGTAGGCCAACTGCAAAGAAGAAGTTGAACACAAATAGCATGACCGTGGCAACCAGACCAGCTGATTTCCCACCATCCCAAATTGTGCCTGCTAGGATAGCCATGCAGCAGCCCTGCCCAAGAACTGCAAACATCATGAGCTTGCGACGACCGAGACTGAAGCACGTTAGTATAATCCTCTCAGCATCGAGGCTTTATTCGTACCGTTCGATTGTCCAAATGGGGACCAAAGATGAGAAGAAGTACGCGATACCGTTAAAACCTGCCAATAGTAGTGCGGTATGATGAGACATTCCAACAGATTGCTCAAAGATGACAGTCGCATACTAGTCTTGTTAGCAAAGTATTCCTATGATTCCAAAGCTGCCGGAGAGACTCACATAAGTGATCAGGTTAATTCCAGATAATTGTTGCATAGCTTGACCACCCATTCCAAGAAGGGTTCGGTACATGAATCGCTGCTTGTTATTTTGGAAGAGAAGTTTGAACGATCCACCAGATGAAGCTTCTTGTTCCTCATGAACTGCACGTGTGATCTCATTCACGTCCGTGACAACAACGGGATCATCGTGATCAATCTCGCGGGCATTGTCCTGCAGCGCCCAGATGATATGACGGGCTTTGCTTTCTTCGCCGTGTTGGATGAGCTATGTTGTTAGCGTGGGTTCAAATTTAGGACTCGGGGGACTCACCCATCGAGGAGATTCGGGAAGACAAAGCACTCCGATGAAAGTGAAGATCGCGAAAAGAATTTGCAGCGCAATAGGGAAGCGGAATTGGGCTTCGTTCTTGACATAGCTCATGCCGTAATCTTGCAAAGAAAAGAATTAGCATTGAAATTTGGCGATCTGGGAAGAATATCATAGACTTACCAACCCAGTATGATAACATGACACCAAAGATATTGATAGCGAGCTCAATGGCCAACTGTAAAATTATTAGTGTCGTCCAATGAGAGAGGTCTAGCCAGACTCACCCCCTTGCCTCGACTGGCTGCCTTGCTCATCTCGGAGTGCCAGACCGCTGTAATGGTGTGAGTATATCGAACAATTTTTGCATCAAGACAAGAGTGAGACTCACGAATGGTACTTGTATTCAGACCGTTTCCAACACCGGCGACAATTCGACCGACGATGAGATGAGGGATACTGTAAGCGCTGCACTGAAGAGCAGCACCGATACTGAGGACAATGCATCCCGCCATGATGCACTTGCGTCGACCGAGGCGCTCACCAACCAGTAAGGAAACAATTGCACCCAAGAAGCATCCCTGTGATTGTTAGGACTAAAGTTCCAGAGTCATTGAGAGTGTGACCAACAATTTCGTAGATGGCAACACTATTTCGCAAATTTTTACCATTAGTCGGTGCTCTGGTTGAAGGGATTCGAGTCAGTTTCACTTACACTGTACCCTGCAGCGAAGAGCTACCATGTCCCCCCTTCGTGGTATCAATCTCTGGGAACGTGGCAATGAAGGCGTCTCCAGTCAACAGACTGGACATCACCCCTTGATCATAACCAAATCTTGCTGGTTGTTAGCCGTATACCTCACGTCGCAAGCACAAGGATAGATTGACTCACAGTAAGAAGCCACTGCCAGCTGTGGCTGTGATAGCGTAGGTCAAAGCCCTCCCCACGAGAAAAGTCATGATGTGCAAGGAGACAATTTGGGGTTCGGGGGTTCAGGGATGATGCAGCCAGGTATGTCGACTGTAGACCAAAGCAGTGGGGCTTGGGACTATATAAAGGACAATAGGATATCGCGTACCCCGAAATGTGGCGTCATGGGGTGTTCCGTCAAACCGTCCCCCGTAGTCGATCTAGTCTTCCCCGGGGTGTGAACTCGAGACGGGACCGCAATTTGCGGGGTGTCGGGAGAAATGCCGCATGGCCTGTTGTTTTTGGACCAACTACAGTACACTACGGTGTACATGGTTTGTTAGTTACTCCCCATTTCGCTCCAGGATATGCATATCATACATATTGAATATCCTCCCACTGCCATATCCCGAGTCAGCACGAAGTCAACAGCCCTGGAGCCCGAGACTGGGCCGAACCGACGTGACACCCCGGACCGGTAACCGGCTAAACCCTTAAACGGCAAAGTGTGTAACATTGCCTGATTGGGAATCGTTAAGCGCCGCCCGCAATCCCCAGATTCTTGTTCCTTTCCCCACTCCCCTGCCCCGTCTTGCCTGATGCAGTAGCATTTGGCACACGGTGAAACGCAGACAACTCAGGGCCCCTTTCTGACTTGCGCAGATTCGGAACTGCAGCGAGAAAAATGGGACCGCGAGCAGGCTGCATCATCTCGCGTTCCACTTCGGTTCGGGGATCTGAACACTTCCCTAGTTAGGTTGTGTATAACCGCTGCAAGCGATGATCTGGTTGAGAATGAGGCGGGGTGGGTTGGAGTATGTACGTCCTTAAAGGATGGAAGGACGCTTCAACTCACTTCCAATTCCGCGTTCAATCTCCCGTTGTTCACCCTCTGACACCGACTCACAATGACCCCCTCAATCTCCCTCGATCACACCACCCCGGCCGTCGTGCCGGAATCGAACGAGACCCCTGCGGCCTTCGCCCCGGTCAATGACCTGTTCTCTTTGTCCGGTCGCACGGTCATGATCACCGGAGGTGGTCGTGGACTGGGAATGTGCTTGACCACGGCCGTGTTGGAGGCGGGTGGTGATGTCGCTTGTCTGGATCTCCTCCCGGGCCCCAGTGAGGAAGAGTGGAATGCTGTGCAGAAGCTGGCTAAGCAGCGCGGCCTGCAGGCAACATACACTCAGTGCGATATTACCAACGAGGAAAACACCAAGAAGGTGTTGGAGGATGTTGCGGCGGAAGGTCTGCGCCGCAACAAGCCTCTGCGCGGTGCGATCACGTGTGCCGGTATTCAGCAGATGGTTCCTGCCCTGGAGTACCCGATCGATGGATACCGCAAGATGTTGGATGTCAAGTGAGTGAGAGAAACTTCTTGGGATGGAGCACCGTCACTGACGTTTGAACTAGTGTTCTTGGAACATTCATTCCCGCGAAGCACTGCGCTCGCATCTTCGTTGAGCAAAAGACCCCAGGAAGCATTGTCATGATCGCCTCTATGTCTGGACAGATTGCCAACCGGGTAAGTATAGCATCGCCCGATAGTGCAAGTGAAATATAGCTAAACACCGATTCTTCCAGGGCCTCACATGTACCGCATACAACTCCTCCAAAGCCGCCGTGCACCAAATGTGCCGATCCGTGGCCCAAGAATGGGGCCAGCACAACATCCGCGTCAACACACTATCTGCAGGAGTAAGATCCCTGTCCTGGTCGCTTGCACCGTCGTGACCAGCGTAGCTAACGGTTATCTAGTACATCCGCACTGCTATGACCGATGCTTTGCTCGAGGAGAAGCCCGACTTGGAGGAGACCTGGATGCGCGGTGCCCTTCTTGGTCGCCTGGGTGCCCCCGAAGACTTCAAGGGTCCTACCCTCTTCATGCTCACTGATGCCAGTGCTTGGATGACCGGCGCCGATCTACGGGTTGATGGTGGTCACTGCGCGTCTGCGTGAGGGGATCACCTCGTGGGTGATGGGCTCAGATGAGAGACGAGATAGACGTAACATGCTTTTTGGCGTTGGAAGTAGACTGGGTTTTTAACAACATTTTGAAAATAGATCCAAGAGCGAATTTTAAGATTTTTACACTGCCTCAATGTTAACTGCGACTCGGTAGAAGCGTGTACTGACACTGAGTTATAAGCCCAGTGCGTTGGTGTATTAAGCTGTGCTACATAGTAACATACGGTCATCTATATAGTTTCCCCGGGTCGAACTTGGGATATCCAAGTTTATTACTCTTGCCAAGCAATGCTTTAGCTTTAAGCGGGCATCAAGTTGCTTCTCTCAAGTGCAGTGAAGCTCGCCTCCTTCGTGGGTATGGCAATTCTGTTCGAATTAGTAACATTTCATGGAATCCTTTGAAACCAATTTACTCACAGCGGGAACATCTTGTGTAGAAGACGGCTTGTCAGCAGTGGTAGCCGTCGGAGTGGACTCCGTAGTAGTCGTGGCTTCGTCGTGGCTTTCATGCTCATGCTGAACACCAGGGCATCCGATACCAGGAGCAGAGATATCATAAGCATAGGCTTCCAGCGCAAAGTATTGAAGAGTCTCCGAGTCATGAGTAGCCAAGGTGGCATTCTTCTTGGCCTGATCAATGACTTCCTCATATCCATCCGCGAAATGGTCGATCCAGTTTTGGCCAATCGCAGGGACATGGTATAGACGGTGCAGGAGATCAGCTGCCCAGAAAGTGTTGGTCTCGGACTCGGAAACTGTATATCCGAGGCCACACATGGTAGAAAGGGAACGACGGGTCTCGTAGCTTAGATCGCAGATAACGGTCTCGTCTGTCGCGTTGGTGCCGCGCCAGTGACCGGCCCAGCCTGTATCGTCTGTTAGAAAGTTGGATTGGAAGAAGATGTGTGGTGCTTGCCTTCGTTGTCACAGTTGCCATCGGGGTTGTCACATCGGAACAAGATATCCTTCTTGTCACCGTTGACCACGATATCATAGGCACCGATTGCTTCCATGGTAGGACTATCTCCGAAGTATTTCTTGTAAATTGCGCTCTCGTTGCTCCATCTCAAGATATGGCTTTTGGCATGCTCAGCGAGGGTGATGGTCTCGTTCAATCCCAACTCAATCTGGCGACGCTGGGTTGAATTGCAGCTTGAATGGATAGGGAATCGGTTGACGGCACCGGCATTCCAAGGCGCAAGACCATTCTGAGAGAAGGGCTGGGATTGATTTCCCTCCGAGCTTTCAGGAGTGGGGAGAGCAGCAGCAGCTACTGCAGAAAGAACAAGATTCAGCAAAAGCATGATGTTGCAGATCAGTGATATCTAGATGCACGTGAAGATACATTCCAGGCGCGAGGAAAAGGATGCATTTATACTCTTTTTTTCCCGTTTACCAAGGTTTCCAAGACCGTCGGTTTGATTTTCTGATCTCTGGTTGTTACTGCCGCTCAACTCGGCTGTGTTATGCTCTTCATCTCACTGTGATGGCTATCACCATCTGGGTGTCCCAAGTCGGGTTAGTGAGCGGGATTTACTACCCATATGTCTGGGCACAGACATGAATCAATCAGCCAATGGAGGACCTTGAGGGCGGGTAATATCCGCTTAACCTTTCTCTCCAGCAATCACAAACCTGAAGTGCCGATGAGCGCCAAGAGAAAAGCCTCGGCGGAGGGTCGCCAAGAAGTCTGGGCGGGAGTACCTTGAGGGAACAAACGGTTGTTTCCGACTCAAAGCAAGCTCAGAGCAACTCTTGGCAAAGGTGTGGAAAGATCTTTCGCTTGGCGTTGAGAACCTTGGAGGTGAGACACTAGAGTGAAGGTCCCGACGCAGGATGTGAGGTGCGTTTTAAAGGGTTTGGCTTGCAGGTGGTTTTTTGGCTTCATCTCAATCATCAATTTAGATTTCTCAGCAACCACCTATTGCAAGATGTGGATTGTTAAACCGCTTGTCATATCTCTGGGTGTGGCCGGAGCATACGCTGCTACCGCCACCGAATCTGCGCAGACTTCATCCGTTACCGGGTGCCACAATCACGGCTCAGACATATATTGTATCAAGGGAGATGGCTCAGAAGTCTTGGTATCAGCGACTTCTACCCCGACGACTGGGATTCCAGCACAATATACTGGCTGTCATTCCCATGGCACTAGTTCGTAAGTCGTCGTTATGCATGCACGTGAATCAGCACTGACAATTTTCAGATACTGCATGGATGCAGATGGAAATGATGTTCTCATAGAAGAGGAGGCCACCACCGAAAGTGCCGATGAAAGCAGTGATCACGACCATGAAGAAGAATCTAGCACCGGTGGACTAAATTGCCACTTCCACGCTGGTGTTGAGTAAGTCATCGTTGTATCTGGGTGTCTTAGCGTGTACTGACTACAATTCAAAGACACTGTGTCGGGGCAGGCGAGTCTGAAAGCAGCCATGCATCATGCACCGTCCGAACAAGAGACTATGACATTCCCCTGCGCATCGGAACACTGTTCGTCATTCTTGTTACGAGCGCGATCGGTGTATTTGCGCCCATCCTGCTGATGAAGCTTCCATTTGCCTCCATCAACGGCGTCGTCTCGACGGTGATCAAGCAATTCGGAACAGGAATTATTCTTTCCACGGCCTTTGTTCATGTAAGTCAACTCATCACCTTACTCCAACATGAAACCAAGACAACCCGTGCTAACAACGTCGTCCAGTTATACACACACGCAAATTTGATGTTCACCAACGACTGCCTAGGCGAGCTGGACTACGAGGCTACAACATCTGCGGTCGTGATGGGCGGTATCTTCCTCGCATTCCTCCTCGAGTACATTGGCCACAGGATCATCGTTGCCCGTGGTAGCAAAACCGCCGTTGAACACACCGACCCTGAGCCTCAACCCGTACATTCGAAGGGCCAATACAACGAAAACCCCGAGCAGCCCCAACAGTCTACTCTGGCTTGTCTCGGACACAGCCACGGAAACGACGACCCTACCAAGCCCGCCACCAAATTCTCCGTGATGGTCATGGAAGCGGGTGTGCTATTCCACAGTATCCTGATTGGACTTACTCTTGTCGTTGCCGGAGACTCCTTCTACAAGACACTCCTGGTAGTCATTGTGTTCCATCAATTCTTCGAAGGATTGGCGCTCGGTGCTCGTATTGCAACTCTTCCCGGCGCCATTTTCCCTTCCAAGGCTGTGATGGCGGCGGCATTTGCCTTAATCACACCTATCGGTATGGCGATTGGACTTGGTGTACTAAACACTTTCAACGGAAACAACAGGAGCACCTTGCTTGCGTTGGGTACACTCGATGCACTTTCTGCTGGTATTCTGGTGTGGGTTGGTGTCGTTGATATGTGGGCTCGAGACTGGGTGATCGAAGGTGGTGAGATGCTGAATGCAACGATCGGAAAGGTCGCGACTGGTGGTCTTTCTTTGATCACTGGAATGATTCTGATGGGAGTTTTGGGCAAATGGGCCTGAGCAAAAGACTAAATGGTAACAGCATTAACATCCGGATTATGTACCGACAACAGGTTTTGCAAGAGATAGTATATTGCACCGCTCTGTGGATATCGCATAATGCCAAATTCTTATAAAATCATATTTCGGAACTTATATCAAACCTTACAAGACCCACACCTGAAGGCATATGTACCTTCCATTACTCACGAGATATTTTCTCCAAGGCCTTCACTTGCACTGAATCTAGCTCAAAAGTGAGTTACTATTTCTTTGAGAATATGAAGAAATTGTATTTTCCCGTCAAACCTTCGAACACAGTGCCTCTTGAAGTATCTGATATGCTACTTATACACACGATGGAAATGAATCGCTTCACTAAAAATACATTTTCACCAGTGAAACACGCCAGTCTCACCTCACTGGGCAAGGGGCTGCGGCACAGCCGCAAGCATAGGCTCAAGCCCAGGCTCACCCTTCTGCATAGCCCGCTTGTAGGCCTCACGCTGTCCGACCCTCTGCAACCAGGCGACGATGTTCGGATACTCCGTGAGATCGGAGGGAATGAAAAGACGGAACGTGGTCAAGCCAAAAACAGACATGCAATCAGCGGCCGTGAGCTCATCACCAGCGAGATAAGCGGATGTTCCAAGTTGCTTTTCCATGGCTTGGAGATTCGCATTGGCCCTGTTTTGCATGACCTTCTGTGTCGGACTTTCGTCATCATCACCCTTCATGCGTCCAAGCATGACGGAGGTGACCGCGGGCATATACGTCCCGTTGGCTTGGTGGAGCCAGAGGAGATAATCTGCGTACTTCGGGTGGGTGGGTCCGAGGACCAGCTTGCCATTGCCGTACTTGGCAAGGATGTATTCGAAGATGGCGCCGGATTCGGCAAGTGTGATGTCGCCGTCTTGGATGACGGGCGCTGTACCGGACCAGTGCAGTCGACGGATACTTTCGGGGGCCAGCATGGCCGGGGGAACACGATCATGGCATTCGAGATTGTATGGGATGCCGAGCTCTTCACAAAGCCAAACGACGCGTTCGGATTGGGATTTCCGTAGGTGGTGAATTGTGAGTGTGCTCGACATTGTGTGGAACAGCTAGTGTAGATGGCTCAGAGATCAGAATTGTCACATGCATGTTGTATGCACCGGATTGCACCGTATTTATAACGGTGACCTGATTGATGGTCTGAGGTTTTATTCAGCAAAGCCATCTAGACCACCTGGACAATATGGATGAAGATCATGTAAAGAAACGGGAAATGCTTAATTGGGGGGACAAGACTGTCATTGGCCCGTCTTGGACTCGGAATACTCGGCTTTCTCGGATGGTTGATGGCCCGGTTTCCGGGTGTATTTTACGTCGACAACCTATGACTTCACGTATTGAAGCATCCAAGCCGAGCTCCATAGGGGTCGTTGGTGGTGTTTTCTCGGCCAATTGTATTAGACTGAGACACTGGGCTTCGCGATTGAGAATTTATGACTCGATGATTGGCTGATCTCTAAATCAGAGTCCAACTTCATGCCCTTTTCATCTGGACGGAGTAGCATCTACAGTACATACTTCGATGGTTGACTTTGTCCTTGTATATTGAGCAGACAGTCAAATAGTTAAATGTTTAAGCTTCCTGTTTTGGCTCAACGGGCTGAAATTGTTCATGCAGACGCGTTTCAACGCGACGTTATGCCAATGATGTCTCTGCAGCTTTAACCAATGGGAGAAATCGTTGTTGGGATAATGTGGGGCCACGTGGGGCTTAAACGAATACGAGCACACACATTAACAGGGGCCATCTGCAGGTGTCGCGACGGGGAACACAGTGATACTCTGCTGTTGCACGATTTTAAGGTTCTCAAGAAACGGAGCTCAAGAACTGTAGATACTTATATATACCTAGGTATCCCAGATCCCCTTTATCGGGAAGCTCTTTTTCAGAATCCTGCAGTGCTGTCCAGGCAACTCTCTATTTTCGTTGAAGTATGGATGGATCTATATTTTGGTATAGCATCATCTGCAAGACATCATGGATTCTCTATATCAGTTTCCCGAGATATACAATTTGGTATTCAACTACTTGATTTAGCTCCGGTTTTTCATACAAGCTCAAATCAATGAAACCAAAGATCGCACAATCTTCAATATTGGCGGTCGAATCGACGACGTAGATTTGTAAAATGGAGCCTGCTAATTGCAATATTACTCTGCAGCCGCACGGGTAGGGTCTAAATAGGGTTATTTTGATCTCAATAGGAACGCAAAACGAAAGCCAATATACGCAACCGAAGTTACCGAAGTTACCGAAATGGCCGAGGTGACCTACTATAACCTTGGAATTGATGTACTCACGAAGAACTCTTCAACGTTCTCCTCAGCTCTGCTCCTCAGAAATAAGTAAAGCCCCCCAATCCCCTCGTAAATGCACCAAAACATCCCAGTACACACATTTTTACCAACTTGTGAAATAACGTCGATATGGCACCAAGAAGTGCGTCCTACCCCATTGTGGATGTATGGGCGAATCCTCCTGGTGTAAGTCCACCTATGTCTCGTCTACTCTGAGCGCGGATTTAGAATGCTAATGCAAGACATAGTTGGGAGCTGCTATTCCAGAAGTTGCCCGTCTGTTCTCTTACAGTCATTCCGACCCCGAGGTCGCTGATAAAAAGCGATCGCCCGAGGAGGTTATTGCCCTGATGGACGAAGCAGGGGTTACTCATATCTGCATGTCCGCGTGGAGCCGCCCAGGAAAGATGATCTTTTCGAATGAAGAGGTTGCCGTGTACACTCGCGCCTATCCAAACCGAATTTTTGGTCTAGCGGCAGTCGATCTCCACAATCCAGTGGAGGCTGTCAAGGAGCTAGATCATTATGTCCGGAAGGAAGGCTTCGTCGGTCTGAGAGTCGTGCCATGGCTGTGGAACATGCCACCGAGTGATCCACACTATTGGCCGCTGTTTGTTAAATGCATCGAACTCGACGTGCCCTTCTTCACTCAAGTTGGACATACCGGGCCTGCTTGTCCAAGTGAGGTCGGCCGTCCAATCCCATATATCGATACCATCGCCCTCAAATTTCCGGACTTGAAGATTATCATGGGACATATCGGGTATCCGTGGGCCGCGGAGACTACTGCGGTGGCCTGGAAGCACAAAAATGCCTACATCGACACCAGCGCGTGGTCTCCCAAATACTATGCCCCGGAATTCATCACATTTGCCAATACAACTGGCAAGGATAAAGTGATGTTTGGGACCAACTTCCCGCAGCTAGGTTGGAAGGATTGCGTTGACAAGGTCAACAGTCACTTGGTTGGAACCAAGGGGGGTTTACGAGATAATGTGTTGGAGGGCTTCATGGGTGGAAATGCTCTCCGAGTATTGAATTTGCCTGCGGTGGATCTAGCAGCTCCCAAGTCAAATCTATAATATCAGCGTTGTGAATGTCTAGGCATGTTTTCCGGTAGTAGAATTGTTCTCCCTCTCTTTCCCCCCCCCCCCCCCTCTCTCTCTCTCTCTCTCTCTCTCTCTTTCTTTCTTTCTTTTCTCTCTTCCTCTCTTCTTCGGACATTAAACTTCTCGTTATTCCCTCTTGTTTATGACGTCATCTGCGTGCTCAGTAGGTGACATTTCAGGTAGGTCCAAGAGAAATCGAACCATAATGCTCAATATGGCAATGGACCATTCCTCTAGAAATCGCAAAAAGAATCACTGTCTGAATCCTATATCTCGTTCTTGAGCCGTCGCTAACCGAGGCAAAACAGGCGGTGGTCATAGCTTTCCCCGCGCTCGCTTTCACTTCATTCCCTTTTCCTCTACGTCTGAAGCGCCAGTTGCTACTGCTGCAGAGATACCTCCAGATATCCAGCACTTGATCCTGACTTATGTGACCCTTTGCCATGGATTGTGGTGACACCCCGAGTCAGGCACCTCCCAATACCAAGGTCATATCTCCACGCAGACTTCGCAGGAGAGCACGCAAGGCATGCGTGTACTGCCACAACCGCAAGGTGCGCTGTAATGTCTCAATCAGGGGCAGCCCTTGTGTGAACTGTCGTCTCGACGGCGAGACCTGCATAATTCCTGGGCGCTCAAAGAATATGTATGTGAGGACAAGGCGTAACGATGCCACCAACCCGCGCTGATTTCACAGCAAACGAGTTCGGCAGCAATCCATCGACCATGCTGGACCTTCTCAACTGTCCAAGTCACCGATTCCGGGTCCCATTCCTAGCCAATATCACGGCGCAGACGAACCGGATTGGACATCAAGGGATCGGCCGAGCTCGGCCCAAGAAACATTGGCTCCATGTCCGGCTGATCCTCATCCTTCTACTAATAATGAGAGCTTTGACTGGATTAAGAATGTTCTAAGGCCCCATCATCCCGGTTGGTTTTGCGCCCATCTGAAAGGAAACGGGCCTCTCTGGTGGGCGGAATATGGCCAGAATTTGCCCTCAAGGAAAACTAGCTAACCCATTGATGTTACAGATTCAGGAAGATCTGTTCATTCTACACGCTCTCAATCCGTCGGGAACACCTCACATAGTGATGAGAAAGACCGGGCTCGCCTTCTAGATTCTGGGCCTTCCGCCGACGTCAGCTACAGTTACTATCCCTTCCTTTCCATCAAGGAAGTACGAAATCTGTCCCCTCAAGATTTTAACTGTCTTGAATCGCAAGGCTGTTTAAAGGTCCCAGTACCGGATTATTTGGATGATTTCGTACACCAATATTTCCTTCACGTGCATCCAATGTTGCCATTGATAAACGAAGGCAACTTTTGGGACCTCTATTCCAATCGAGAGGATAATCCACACGGGACCATCTCTTTGTTAGTCCTCCAGGCTATGCTATTTGCTTCCTGCAACTTCATTTCACTGTCCACCGTTCATGCGCTCGGATATCCTAGCATACGGGTCATGAGAGCTTCATATTATCGCCATGCTAAGCTTCTGTATGATTTCGGATCTGAGTCTTCGCATGTTCTGGTTGCTCAGGCAGCCTTACTTCTCAGCTTTACATCTCTATCCGAGCGCAATACACCCTATGTTTCGTGGCTTAGCATCGCCATTGAAAATGCAAAGATGGCCGAAGCACACCTGTACGGCACCCTTCCTACATCTTCTATTACACCACAAGAGCGCAATATCTTGAAGAGACTATGGTGGTGCTGTATCATCCGGGACCGCTCGACTGGACTTCTCATGAGGCGCCCGATTCAAATTACAAGTCATCACTTCGATTTTGCTGTCCAACCTTTGTGTTTTGAAGACCTTGCAGATGAGATTGAAAGATCAATGGTGTATGATTCTTCAACAAAGGAGAAACTGGCCGTCATTCTGACCCAGTGGTCCGAACTCAATGCTTCACTGACAGACATTCTCATGCTTGTTTTCCCGTTGGATGAAAGACAAGTTGTCAGCCCCCAACAGAAACTGGCCAACTCTACGCAAATTTCCGATCATCAAGCTGTGTTAGCTCAATGGTTTGACTCAGTGATTTCACAACTTTCGTTCCCCTTCCCCGGAGTGAAAACACCAATGTCCTGTCGCCGCCAACTTAAAAGAGGCATCCATCCTTCGTCCGTCATCCTGTACACTAACTTGATGATGATGTACTACCACACTTCGCGCATTGCAATTACTCACTTCAAACTCTCTCAACTGAATAAATCACAAACATCCCCAAAATCCGACAGGAGCCTTCACCAAAGCCCTCTATGCATTTTTGAGACTCGCCAAGAACTGAGAGACGCAACACGTTGCATTGCTGAGTGCCACACGCAGTTGGTAAATCGGGGGCTTGATCGTTGGCTCCCTCTTTCGGCTATTGGCTGCACAGCTCTTCCACTCGTTCTTCACCTTCTCGACACCAAATTGTACTCTCGGCTTGAACATGAGGCCGCCGAGATCGAATCAACAACAGGCTCCAATCAGAGACAGCTAGATGATCTAGTCAGTGTCATGAAATCATACCAGTTGCAGTACGACAACTCGGACTGGATGACTAAAATAGTCCGCCATATTATCAACATTGTGCAGATTGATATTGGCATACCGAACATGCAAACATCAGCAATTGACTGGACTGACATACTCGTCTTTCAACCAACCTCTTACCTTCGTATGACATTGGCCCTTGATATCAGTCTAAGGAAGGGAAGATTAGCCGAGGAAGGGGACTTCCCTTCCCGTCTCAGGAATCTCTCTTTCATCGAGCTCCAACCTTCAATGGACGCAGCAGACACGAATAATTCCAAAGGAATGCATTTTGAATCCCCAGGCCCATCGCCACTTGATTCCGCGTACTCTGTGGCGAATAGGCGAGAATCCAGGGATCAAGAACTGTCCTCCTTGTCTAGTCCTTCTGAACATGGGCTTGAAACTCTAGAGGATCAAATATATTTGCATCTGGCTGGTGGAATGACACAATAATGTGTCTTCAAGCACTTTCGACCCCTGACATCACACCACTTGACAGACTGGCAAATTCAACATCTCTTTGCTGTTACCCAAAAACTTTCAGCATTGGTTAAAACCTTATCACTGCTGTCGACAATCTCAGCCTTTGTGTACCATTTTCTCCCTTCCCGTCTAGTCAACTGTGATCGAACAAGGTACACACCAGGCGTTGTCACAGGGACAACATAGGATATTGTCATGCTGGCAGTGAAGTGGGTGTCCCTCGGCACAGGGTCACATGTTGCATCATGGTGCATCAAAATCATATTCCTCGCAACTTCATCTAGAATCACACCTTGAAATCCTCCATGGACGATGGATGGATGTGAATCCAGACCTTGGCGAAGTGAGATCAAGAAAATGAGAGGGTATGATGATGTTTCCTCCGGACCCCTCTGCTCTATTGTTTTCAATGCCAACAGATGAGGTATAGTCTCATGGCTATTGACCGATTTGGCAAAGAAACGATTCTCGCCCGTCGTCTCGTTCAAATAACGGGAAAATAAAGGGACGGTCCTGTAATTTTCGTTTTGCAGTATCTCACGAGTCCACGGTATCGAGGAAAAGAACTTGATCGTGTTTTCAGAGCATCTGTGGGTCTTGAAAAATTCACCGAGGAAATTCGACTGCTGCATTGCTGTGTTGTCGAGTGTGTGGGTGGTGGAAAGATGTCGCTGGTCAGTTGAGTGACCAGGTGCGTGCGGTAACCCTCTATATGAGCGCCGGGGGGTTAGATTCACACAGAGAGATATATCGCATCTGCGTAGCTTTATTATTGGAGACATGTATTCCAATAACTGGGTTGGGTGGGTGAATCAGGCAGATGAAGGGACTTTTTGGTGATAGAGAAGCAGGATGTACGCAAGCTCGAACGAATCCTTGGCATAAATGCCTGCACAACTGATGGAAAGCTTCTCTCAATTGAATGATTGGCGAGATAATCAGGTATTTGGAGGATTGAAATAGATCCCGGTGACGAGAGGTGCGATGCTATTTATTATTCTCGTATGTACACCACGGAATGGGGCGAACTGTGTAGCCTTGGGAAGTCGGCAATCTCACCACTATGTGCGGGGCTCTCTCTCACCGAGTCCTCGGAGTTCACTGGCAAGTTGATTCGATATTGCGATCCCGGTGTGGTACGGGGGTTGGCTTTTGGTCTGCTCGCCTCGGCCCGAGGGGTCATTCGGGTGGGACGGCTATACCTCCAGGTGCCCAGAGGCTTGGGCGTATCATCAGCATGGAACTGTCCATGGTGGGTCCAATTTTGGCATTGCAACTAAACAAGTCCTACCTAGATACCATGTCGCAAAGTATTTGCACTCAATCTTTGGGTATTCCCTAATCCATAGAAATTGAAACCAGTTTCAGCATCCCAATAATCTCTCCTTGTATACATTCAAGATCCACGAAGGGTGTCATAAAGATCTGCCTCGGCGCCAATATTAGATCTCGCTTCCTGTTTGATCGCTGCCAGCCAAACAGGATCATCGGCATATGTTTGATCCCAGGGGTCATTGCTGCCGTATGCTATCTGGCGAGCCTTGTCCTGGATCTGCTGATCAGAGGGATAAACCCCAACAGCAAACTCAGCGTGGAGAAACGCGATCAGATTCCGACGCAGGTCCATGTAGCGATGCAACCCATTGGGCACAATCATATGTAAAGCCGGATGTTCGTCTTCCTGGGTTCCGGTTGCCTCTGACATTTTCCAAGGATCCATAGTATGTCGCTCTTGACCAAGGAGAAAAGGTGGCATGGCGTTCTTCACTAAACAGAGCACCTCAGGTTCGAATCCCCAATCGCCTTGCCATTGTATCATGTCTGCTCCCTTTTTGAAATGGTCTGATATGTGATCAACCCTCTCCTTCCAACTCTCAAGAGCGGTCTCACAGAAGCCACACCGAGACAATAGTCTGAATTCGGAATCGCGCCATCGATCCATTGATGGAAGAAAGCTAGTGTGGTGGACTGACTTGAGATGCTGTTGAAGATGGTCTTTTCTTGCGAATGTACGGTCTTCAGGGGGTCTTTCTCTGCAACCCAGGTAGTTGTGGATCTCCAGATGGTCCAAATCGACGCCCGATGCCCCACAAAATTCACATATTCTGATCCCGTCTTTGTCGTGGAAGCCACCATCAGGGGCACAGCTCCATCTATCTATAGGCAGATGGAGTGCTTTTTCATGTCTCTGCCAATCGTATTTCGTCAAGAAGGTATCAGAGCAAAAGGTGCACTGGTACATGCGCTTTTCCTCCGTTTTTCTGTCGCTCCGTCTTTTGATCTGTCGTGTAGGCTTTCGACGGCGGCGACGAGCAGATTTGCCGGGCAGAGGTGTGGGTGGTCGGTACGTCTGCTCGGGACGCCCAGATAGGACATCAGATCCAGAGTGGCTGTGTGCAAAGCTACCACTCGATGATGCCTTTGAGGCAAATGAAGCACTTGAGCTGTAACTTGACCATCCTTCATCAGAGGCGTGCTGAGAGGTGATGGCATCAGGATATGGAGCTTCCGCCAAAGCTCGCATGATGTCGGATGTATTCGCTCCTTCGTATTCCGGTGGAGAATTCTGCCATCGTTCCAAAGGCGACATCAAGGCATCAACGGGACCAACATGACTGTTTCTCTTTCCAGATCCGACGGATTTGCGCCTTCGGGTATTGGAGAACCAATTCGAAACTTGGGTTTTATTCAACCCACTTTGCTGTGCAAGTGCTTCCTTCTCCTGTGTGGTGGGATAAGGATAGTCTTGGTTTTCAGAAACCCAGGACTGCAGTACAGCGACTGCATGAGATGAAAGTCGTGGGTTTTTTTCCTTGCGGGAGGATTTGCCTGCAACTGGCGAAGATGCCGAACATTCAGCATTAGTAGGGCTGTCCTTTAGGAGGGTGGGTTGAATGTCCGATTCAAACAGCCTGCTTGAGCTACTACCGCCCAGTTGATTGAAGTTATCGATATTGAAACTCAAAGGACAGTTATCAGTGCTATCCCTGCTTGTAAGGCCTGTGTGCCGGCTTAAATGTGGCGTGGTTTGGATGTTCACGGTGACGTCTGAAATATCCCCTTGAAGCAATTCATGGTCCGCAAAGCTGTCGGGCTGTTCCAATTGATAATCAAAGCTCAAGCCAAATAGTTCATCTGTCTCTAATAGAGGTGCTGTCACGTTCCAGGACATCGTTGCAGGTGCAAGAAGCAAGTCTCACGTCGGTTCTGGTCGCGACCCCCGCAAGGCGGTCGGGTCGGGTTTGCCCCCAATCCCCTTTTGAGTCGAATATATCGAGTTGAGCCTCGAATATTTGCGAAATGCCCAATTGCAAGACCGGATGAAGACATGCTGTCAATATATCTTCCTGTGCATCTTGAGTGGCTTCTACGATCACGACCGCTGGCGTCTCCAACCCCAGATCCATACCAGGACAACGCTGGCAAGAGGTTTCCTTTCGTTTTTTTAGCTTTCTTCCTGCAGTATTGACTGATATTGACAGCTCTTTGCCCATGATATCCTCATCAATTCGATGCCTCAGAGGTGATGTCTGGTAAAATTCTTCACGCCCTTTGTCACTCGACGCCCCACCCAGCAACATGTCGAACTATTCAACGGGGAATTCCTTCCCTGAACCTCGCAGTGATGAGATCTGTCTGAAGGCGACATCAAAACATTCAATCGTTAGAGGACATCTGTTCCAGAAATGGCTGTTCAAGCATCATCCACTGCTGTCGACTTGCATGGCCATGCTGTCCAGGAAGGAGAGCCCCAATCCCGAGGCGAGAAGCCTGCGGTCCCCGAACCAGGCTCTGATGATGATTTCATGCACGCATCTCGTCTAGCTGATGCCGAAGTCCCCGACGGAGGCTACGGCTGGGTTGTCATCTCGGCCTGTGCAGTTTTGACTTGGTGGTTTATCGGAACAGCCTACTGCTGGGGAATTTTCCAAGCCGCTTTGGTCAAAGAAGGACTCTCGTCGTCGTCTACTCTTGCTTTTGTGGGCTCCCTAGCTGCGGCTTGCATCTCTATTTTCGGGATCATGAATGCCAGGGTTATTCGAAGACTGGGGACCCAGACCTCAGCCCTTTTGGGTATTTTCTTGGTTGGCTTGGGGGAGGTACTGAGCGGCTTCACTACCAAGAACATCGGTGGCCTTTTTGTCACGGCAGGTCTTAATCTAGGAGTCGGAACTAGGTGAGTCACGACTGACTCTGGCTATACTTTTCCACGCTTGTTAACATAAACAGCCTCTGTTTCATGGTCGTCTCCATTATTCCTGCGCAATACTTCAAGAACAAACGAGGGATAGCCGGTGGAATTGTCTATGCAGCTGGCGGGCTTGGAGGTGCTGCTATCAGCTTTATTCTGGATGCTCTTATTGGAAGTGTCGGAATTGAATGGACGTTCAGAATTCTCGGATTTATGACATGGGGCACAGGTCTGCCAGCAGCATTTTTGATCAAGCAAAGGATAGCAATTCCTCCCACTGCATTCATTGACTTGTAAGGCAATCACTCAATTTCTCATTTCAAGTCCAACAACTCTAATACTTCGCTCACAGGAACTTACTTCGCAATGCTCGCTTCCTCCTCCTCTTCGCTACCGGAGCTATCGCCACATTTCCTCTCCTAGTCCCGCCGTTTTTCTTACCTCTGTACGCCGACTCGATCGGACTATCCACAAATGCTGGGGCGGGAATGGTCGCCGCATTCAACTTTGCTTCGGCAGTTGGGAGATTACTCTGTGGAGCTTGTTGTGATCTCCTAGGGCCGGTCAATACGCTCTTCGTATCCATCTTGCTCAGTGGCGTGAGCATGATCGTCATTTGGCCATTCTCTACATCGATCGGTCCCTTGGTTGTTTTCGTGATCATCAATGGGATGGCAAATGGTGGTTTCTTCTCAACAATGCCCACTGTGGTCGGAACAGTGTTTGGCTCCGCTAGAGTGTCTGTTGCGATGGGAATGACTGTAACCGGGTGGGTTGGGGGGTATCTGCTTGTAAGTTTTTTTTTGTTCCTGGTTATTTGCGGTCTCGGGATTTCGGATTGACTGGGTGCTGATTTTGATCTTTTTTGCAGGGCGCTCCTATCGCTGGCTACATATTGGATGCATGTGGCGGGGAGGATGGAGGAAATACTGCATACCGTCCGGCCATTTTCTATGCCGGTGGTATGGCTTTAGCTGCGGCTCTCCTAGCTTTGCTGCTCCGCGTGAAGATGGATCTTCGGCCTCTGAAGAAATTATGAGCTGGAAGACGATGCTGGCTGTTCTGGGCTTCCAATGTTTTTGCAGACCTTGTATTTATGCCATGTTTTTGATGCACAACCTCCTCGTATAGAGGAAAAGTTCTGAGCTCGAATTGTTGAGTGCATCCGGTTTTTAGCTATGCCACATTAAATGGACTTTTGGAAGATCCAGGAGGTTGAGCGCAGGAGTTTCACTGCTCGTAGCTTTGGTATCTGCTCACACAGCGGTGTTCGATACTGTCAATGTCAGGAAAGTTGATTCATTCATGAGCGAGAAGCATTATGCACTAGAAGTACTTCAAGGTCCATGGGCGAATTGAGGTAAACAGTTTGGATGGTTTGTCCTCTTCCCGACCCCTGCACGGAGTATTGTGAGTAGTACGGAGTACAACAGCTCTTCTCCTTCCTTTCACTCCCTCTCACCCTCTCCATCCAATCATCAATGGTCTCAATTAGTGCACGGCTTGCACTTTACTCTCTTCGATTTATCCTCGCATCTTGATGAAACAGAGCAATGCACCTGGGCCCCCCGGGCCCTCTCGACGGGATCACGGGAACACACTCACGTGACCTCGCGTTTGAACCCGTGGACGCGTGACTTCAGCAACGCGCAGCACTTGCTCTCTAGACAACTTTTCCACAGGCGCCCGTCTCCCCATTTGGCCTGTGCCCCGAGCAAATTCGATATCCTCATACGCGCAACTCCGGCCGACTGATCTCCGCTCCGAATATGACCCGATTCCATCCTATCGCCAGAACGATCCTTGAAGATCTAAAGCAGCTTGATATGGAGAACTCGGGGAGTTCTGATACTAAAACAACCACGGCGCAAGCATGGAGAGGACGATAAACCTCAACAATTCGGAGCACAGGTTTGATCTGCATTGATGCAAAGAACTTCCCACGGGCGGGCTAATGCTCCCATGCCTCAGCTCGTCGTAAAGGACGGGACAAGCGTACGAGCAAAGCGTCCCGTCAGCTCCACCTGCAAAATTTTTGAGTTCGTCCGTCCTCTCTGTGGAGCGCTAGGATGCGATGCGGGGTCCACACGGGCCACAAATTTGAGATTCGAGTGCGACGAACGCGTGTTGATGCAACTAATATGCAGGGGTAAACTAAGCTTCTTTGTTTACTCCGTAGTATGGATTCCTTCCCATCAGCAATAAAGGCAAGGGAAACTTGTCCAATCCCAGGAGAATACGGAGTACTCCGTACAGGGTTGTACACCGTGCTGGTTATACTTTGGCCTAGCCTCGGGGAAGACCGGCAGTGGAGACGTTTCTCGCTTCGGGCCATGGCCAATTGTGGGTTAGTGGATCTTCGATGTTCATGACATTTCTCGAGTCTGAGCCGGAGTACGAATTCGGACATTTCATTAATTATATTCCTGGTACTCCGTACACCGGGGTGTCTAAACAAGATCGACTCATCCTCCTCATTAGGCGTCGCAAGCTTATATATCCATCATCATTAATACCTGTGGGCACAGGAAATACACACCCTGTTCACCAGGAGCCCAGCTCCCACGGCTTGGTTCGACAAGAGCACGATGAACCATGCTCAAGACGAGTTCGAATTATCGATACAGCTAAATGCCGAGCCTATTCGGATATTTAGCATGAAATGAGACACGGAACGACAACTCAACTTACCAATTGCCCCCGTCGCATACGCATCGATGATTTGAATCACGACTCCGTATGTAGCTCCAACTAGGAAGAAAACTCCAAGCAGCACCATGCCCCAGTGCAAGAGGTAAATGACCTTCTGGGCCAGTGTCCCTTTGCGGTAGTGCCCATTGCTGTGCAACCACAAAAAGCCAGGGAGACACATGGCAAGAGGCGCAAAGCAGACAGAACCAACCAGGGCAATGAGATAGTTGAAGATGGGAATGGCTTCAGCGAGGATGAAAGATATAGCGCCAAGCATGATCGTGCAGCCCATCCAAGTAGCCCAGTGAACGACTGTGTTGGCTTGAAGATGGCGGGTTTTGCCCAGAATCCGAACGAAAACGTATTTGGCCGCAATCTGAGTAGTACCACCAGTTAGTGTCGATTTTTATCAGAAGTCCTGAGTCGAAGATACTGACATGCAAATAGATGGTGGCGCTCACGACCAGTCCCAGGAGGGCAACGCCGTAAGAGACCATCTTTATTGTCTGGCCAGCGCTCTAGAAAGTTTCAAGGTTAGCCGAAAGACCTTCGCCCCCATTTCAGGGTTGACGGGATTGATTCATACGCCCAAGGATGGACTGGCCACCCACTGGCCACACCAGCGGTAAACAACCAGACTGAAAGCAAGATACGAGGCAGTAACCAAAGCCATGCACAGGTAGAGCGACTTCTTGTAGTCCTTCGGGTTTCGCATCTCAGACATAACCGGTATGAAGGCACTGGTACCAGCCGATGACACGAATATAGTGCTGGAAGCGACCATACCCGCCGCAAATCCAGGGTTATTGATGGCCACGAACCCAAGATCGTACGGACCCTCCTGAGGCGCAGCGGCAGGTCGGTCGCGCGTCGTGACTCCAATGACCACAATCAAAACGGCCGCATAGATCGAGACGAATCCTGCGTAGGTGAGCCAGCCCACATGCTGAAGCTTGCGTACGGATGCCGTTGCGATGATCACCACGGCAGCGATGAAAGACCACCAGACGGTGCATGCGGCGTGGTGGGAGAGGGCATTCAAGGCCGTTGAGACGCCAATGATACCACTACCCGTGACCAGAACATAGCCGATCAGAAATAGTAGCCCTGTGAGTTCTTTCGCGAAGAAGCCGCCGGCGACCTCCGCCATGTCGGCGATGGAGTGGCAGTGGGGGTGCTTCTTGCGGAAATTACCTAGAATTACAAAAGAGTAGGTGTTGAATGCACCCCAAGCGATGATACTGATCGAGCCACCCACTGCGCCGAGAGAGTATAGAGACGAGGGTAGGGATAACACTCCCGTCGCGAAGAGAACTTTCACAAAGATGATGCAGGCTTTGAACCAGCCGACATTGCGGAAACTGACTCCATCTTCGGTCTTCTTGAAGACTTCGTGCTCCTCGGTCGAGTCTCGAGAGCTTCCCAGCTCTGTATCCTCCGCGGTCACTTTCTCGCTGATGGCCATGGTGTTGTTTTCTGAGAGACACGGGGTGCTGGGGCGGACGAACCTTTTCAAAGTCAATTCTGCAGAAAATATACAGTCATTCCCTGAATGGTATAGTCCATAGAGGCCCGGGGCCGTACTGTGGACCCCCTTCGAAGCGACGGCACACTAGTGTCAAGCTAGGGCGGCCACGCTTATTTGAAGCTTGCAGTCGATCGGACTTTGCAAAATGCCGTCTACTAGTGTAGCGGGATTGTCTTGTTCTTTTGCAAAATGTTTCGCTTTCCAAACGTGAGTCACACCAACGCCTGTGGATTTCCAAATACTTGGACACCCCAAGACCTCACCCCTTGTTTTATACTAATGCACGCACGAAAGTTATAACTCCCCTACCTCACTTGTGCAACTGTAGATCATTCCAAGGTTAGCAAGCATAACCCGGAGGAGCCAGTGTGGGGCAAAATCAGAATTTTGAGTCGTGAGTATTATAAGCACTTCGTAGATCTAAACCACATATATAGATAAAGTAGACGCTTAATTTTAAAGTATTTAGAGAGAGAGAGAAAAGAGATAGAAAGAAAGGAGAGAGATAAAACGAGAGAGGAGAGATAAAAAAGAGAGAAAGAAAGAGGGGAGAGGGGGGGGGAAGAGAGAAGGGAGAGATAGTGGAGAGATAGAGAGAGATAGGAAGAGAGTAGAGAGATGGAAAGAGAAGAAGAGAGAGGAAGAGAGGGGGGAGAGATGGAGGCAGAGAGATAGAAAGGGAGTAAGAGGGTATATCCTCTGGTTTCTGACTTCTCTACATTTCTCTTCCTGAGCTCTCTGTTATTTCAACATTATCTTTCTCTCTTTCACCGTTTCGTTTCCTACCCGCATTAGTTTACACAATCTATATTAATACTTCCAAGTTTATATAGAAACTGATAAGCGTGGGGCCATTCTAATATGGTGAGCTAATGAAGACCCTTTACAAGCGACTATAGAAGATTTCAAACTGAATTGGATCTGTGTCAAAGAATTACGAGTAGTCAAGGGAGCTGAGACTTGGGTAAAACGATTGAAGTTGACATTCAACCTTGCTCCGCGACCCGTGGGCATCATACTTGTGGGATTCAAGCATCCAGAGGCTCTTCGTTTCATGCCTTCGACTGCGGACTGCGTATCATGCAATAAAGCTGCCACAGGGTAGTCAGTCACATCGTCCACGGATACTTTGGAATGATTCGGCTCTTTTCCTTTGCACGTACCTTGCATACGTCTCCTCCGTCAACGCATTCAATCTCTTTGATGAGCTCGAAGCCCATCTTCTCATATATCCTCACATTGGGGTATCCCTTCGAGCTCTCCAGATAACAAGGCATATTCTCCCGGTCCGCACGGTCGATCACATCTCCCATGAGCTTCTTCCCTACACCCATGCCGCGTGCCTGCGCGCTGACACCAACAACGTTGCAGAAGTAATAGCCACGAGGATCTTGCCAAATTAAATCATGCGCGCTTTGCTGCACATTCTTCCAGATCTTGTATCGATGAAGGTTCAATCCACCGCGGCCGAGGAACATGATATTGTTCATGAGTTGACGGAAAGAGAGGATCCAGTCCTGGGCCCATACCGTCCAGCTTGGAGGCTTTGATGGCGCTTGTGGTGAGTACCACCAAGCAACGCCGACTACGCTACCGGGCGGCAGGCGTATTTCCGCATCGCTTTTATCGTCGCTCGCAGCGCGGGTCAGTTTGGCAACAGATATTGGGCAACCGCAGTTGATACCGTATTGAAAGTGGGCTGCGAGAGAAGCTGCGTTTCGCTCGACGTTGAACTGTGATGGCCTTTGTTATTACTTGGCTCACGGCCTGAGGGCTTTTTTCTTGCAGGCCAAATGATGTCTGAAAGAAAGGGAAAGGCCGGAAGTATGTGGTCTCAAGTGAGGAGGATCCATACCTTGGATGGATCATCAAAAGCCCATCGGAAATATGGATCATCTGCAAAGGCTTGTTGCACGCATTCTACCGCGCCGGGGATATCGGCCTGAGCTAGCGGGAGGATTTCGATTGACATTGTCGTGTCACTACAGTTTCGTGAACGGCGATGTCGAGTTCAGCAAGCTGGTTTAGAATTCCGGGAACTTTTTCTACTAGCTCCGCGAATGGCTTGAGATAGAGATATAGTATAAGAGTGCCAAGGTAGCCGTTGGGGACAGTGAGAGACAACCGCCATCTAAGTATAACTGAAACGGGGGATTCCGTGAGTCGATCTGAGCAAGGGAGAGTCAGAGGTTTGGGTGTGTTGTTGTGCCAGACTATTTGCAAGGTTGGTTGTGCAAGTGTACGAAATGGTAGTTGAATGTCTCCAGGGGGAAGATAGGGATCATATAAGTCGAGTTGAGGGATCCACTTCAGGGCCTGAGGGCAGTGATTCCTTATCGTGATCTCTGCCACTAGCCATTCCAGGCAGCTCCAGCCGGACAGTTACAGCCGAGCTGTGGAGTCCTCTGGCTGTCTCTCCATACAACCTTCGGCTCTGAGAGTTCCCCCGGCAGTAGCCGTGGGCCAGCGAGGCCGGTGAGAGAGCACATGGCTCCTTACATATATAAGTGCTCTACAAGTCTTGGTGACCTCTTCTCATTTGGCCGAGTTGACGATCTCTTATGCCGGCCACTTATGCGGGGGATCGAGGGGGTCATGTGGGCTAATCCCTAATAGGAAGGTTGTTGCGGTTGCGTATCTCGACGATAAGAGCTTGCAGATCACTCCCGAGCTACGGGACATCGTGAGAGCGCAGGGAGTAGATCGAGAGTTTGGAAAACATAGTCTATCGGCTTTAGGGTCTGGGAGAAACCTGAAAGTTGGAAATCATCAAAGCTTGAGCGGCATCATCTGCGGAAGTGGGGCTATTTGTATAAGAATTTCTAGCACAGCTAATATCTTGATCATTTATGTCATGAACCAGAACAAAAGAAGTTCAATGTGTGTTGACAGGATCTTCTTTTGCCTCGTCGAAATTAGAATGGGAGAGAGGGGGCAAGAGAAATAGCAGCACCGGACAGACTGTCTACAAGCTTGAAGCCAGATCTGTAGCCCTAGACACCTCGAGAGAGCTCGTACCTAGACCCACATTTCCTCACGCTATTCGTTTGTTTCCAATGGTTTCAATCATGAATGGTGGGGAAGCACCGGCCAGATTTTCGACTAGGAGATGATCAAAGATTCAATAGACTTCAGCCCTCATCTCAATACTTAGGTAGGGACAACTCAACAGAATCACAGCGGCACGTCAAAAAATCAATTTGTATGCTTTGGCTAAGAGCTATTTCCGATGTGCACTTTGATCTTCAGGCTTTGATTGGTTGCCAAGAGCCGTGAAGGTATTGCGTCACAAAGGATCTTAGATACACTCCTAGGCCTTTCAAGGTTAGAAGCCAGTGATCAAAGATACAGATACTTAAAGAGCTTTGCAGTCCCCAAAGAGCTAATTTGAGAGAGTCGTCGAGGTCGTCGAGGTCGTTCATCTCTTTTCACATGGCAGCTCAATGAAGCCTTGCAGTGCACGAAAATCTTTGTTGGTGAACGCTCTTTCACAATGACCACCTTGGAATCAGTTGAATCGACTCAAGAGTCGAAGAGCATCTATATAAGCCTCTCCTCTTCTTGGGATTCTATAGCCATCACTCAAGTATTCCCATAAACTAAATAACACGTCAAGCACAAAGCACCAAGAAAAGACCCTGAAAACCACCAATATCAACCATCCAAAATGCCTTCCCGCCCACCTCTCAACCACGATGCCTACAACAAATCCCGCATCGTCCTCCTATCCGGAACCCACGACGTGATCAACTGGCTCCGAAACGCCCCACACCTTCGAGACGACATCGTCAGGACGCTGAACGATATCTCCGAAAGGCTTCTAGGCGCAATCGCGTATGCCGAAAAGGAACAAGATATCTGGCTTGAGCGCTGTGCCCGCAACCTGTACATCATGATCCCCGTCTCCTTGAGGATTCTCCGCAACTCCCCCCGCGGAACGTGCGAGAAGGACATCAGTGAAGACCTGATCTCCTGCCTTCCACTGAACTTGCGGGACCCCACTCAATGGGAACCACAGTATGAGGATCCTTCTGATGGTAAGTCTAAGCGACCGGAAAGTCAGAGGGATGCTCCTCGGGGCACTCATCACCATGGCCATTGCCATGGTTCTGGTTCTGGTATCCCTCACCATGGGGGTCCGGGTCATCGCCGCAGATAGTGGCATCTCGAAGTTGTGAGTATGCTTGAACTGGACGGCTATTTATAGACCGGAGGTTACGAAGCATGGTAGGTGCACTTACTACAAAGATCTTTTGCTTTTATGTTTTTAACAGTCATTGCCCTTCTGAAAGGGTCATCTCGTCCAGTCATTCATTTCATATAGGATGAAGAGAAACAAATGAATTAGTATTGGCTTTTATAATACTATTTTGCTCTATTTAACATCTCAGTAGAGTATCGTAAATTCAGTGGACATCATGATTCATGATTCAACCTCTCATGCTACCGGCGGAGTAAAGACCCGGCTATGATCTCGTACCTTGGGGTGACCCGTGGTTGCAATGCCACGGAGAGCCACTAAGCAGCTGAAATTCGATGCTAATGCCATTCCGACATGACCATCGTCACTGTGAGATATTATCTACCGGGAATCCGATCTGACCCTTCGCTTTCTGCGGATATTCTGCTTCCACCGTTTTCACGCGGCTCTTCAAAACCAGATCTCAACATCGATCCCTCACTACTCAATCTCAGCAATGCCCGCAGAAAATGGAAAGCATTTTGACTTCATCGTTGTCGGCGGAGGCACAGCAGGCAACATGCTCGCCAGCCGTCTAGCAGAAAACCCCCGCGTCAGCATTCTGATCATCGAAGCCGGAGTCGGCAACGCAATCAATCTCCCGGAAATCAGAACCCCATCCGGAGCAATGGAGTTACGAAATAGTAAATACGACTGGGCCTATAAAACGACGCTGATCAAACGCGACGATTACGAGCGCGTAGAAAAACCCAATACCCGCGGAAAGATCATCGGCGGAAGCTCCTCGATCAATTATTTTACCTGGGCGCCTGGCAGCAAAGGCACATTCGATATGTGGGAAGAATACGGCGGTAAAGAATGGACGTGGGATAATCTCCTCCCTTACCTCCGGAAGAGTGCGACCTATCACGACGATAACGGTCTGCATGCGCCGGAGTTGAAGAAGATCGGGAGTGGGGGTCCGATCAAGGTTTCGCACTCTGAGCTGATTCCTGAGATGGCGCCGTTTCGGGATCTGTTGACGAGAGGGTGGTTGTCGACGGGGAAGCCTGTTACGGAGAATATCTTTGATGGCGAAATGCTTGGCTTGACGCACAGTGTGAACACGATTTATAAAGGGCAGCGGTCTGGGAGTTTCCTGTGTCTTGAAAACAAGCCGAATATCACTGTCTCAACTCTGTGTCACTCCAAGTGCCTAATCATTGACAAGGCTGACCGCTCCTGTAAGGGGGTGACTGTGATAAGTTCATCTGGGGAAGAGCTCAGTTACTATGCGAATCGGGAAGTCATTGTTTCCGAGGGTGTTTTCGAAAGTCCCAAGCTGCTCATGCTCAGCGGGATTGGGCCGAAGCATGAATTGGAGCGCCATGGCATCGATGTGGTGGTTGACTCACCGCACGTCGGCCAACATCTGCTAGATCACCCCGGCGTGCCCTTTGTTCTTCGAGTCAAAGACGGGTACGGGATGGATGAGCACATTCTGCGACCTGGAACCAAGCGCAACGATGCCATAATCACGTACAAGGAAAGCTTTGGTGGACCCATGGCATCTGGGTTCCTGGAGATGGTCGGGTTCCCACGCATCGACGAGTATCTTGAAAAAGATGCGCAGTACAGAAAGGCGAAAGCCGAGAATGGCGGGATCGATCCCTTCTGCCCGTACAACCAGCCTCATTTCGAGCTGGACTTTGTGTATATGTTCGGTAGTGCGTTCCAGTGGCATTTTCCGACTCCAAAAGAGGGCAATTATATCACTGTCATGGTTGATCTTGTTCGTCCCGTGTCGGAAGGTGGTGAAGTGACGCTCAACAGCACTGATCCTCTTCAACAAGCTAATATCAATCTCGATTATTTCAACAATGAGCTCGATGTCATCGCTATTCGGGAGGGGATCCGGTTCAGTTATGATGTTTTGAAGAACGGAGAAGGGTTCAAGGATATCATTGTGGATGAGTATCCGTGGGAAATGCCCCTGGATGATGATGAATTGATGAGGCGGACTGTGTTGGACCGGTCTCAGACTTCATTCCACCCCTGTGGGACTACCCGGTTGTCAAAGAATATCGGCCAGGGCGTCCTTGATCCCGCTCTGAAAGTGCATGGAATCAAGAATCTGCGGGTTGTTGATGCATCTGTGATGCCTGTTATCCCGGATTGTCGAATTCAAAACTCGGTGTACATGGTGGCTGAGAAGGGGGCTGATTTGATCAAAAGCGACCACGTTGATTTGTTTCCCTGATGTCATATGCAAAAGTACCTCTGCAGTTTCAGTTCTCTCTGTTATGATTCAGTCGCATCCTAGCTGGTGGATATTGTCGTTCAATCGACTCTCCTGTTCCTTATGTCTCCGTTGTCATCGCGCTTTAGCTGTCCTGGTAGAAACCTAGAAATTGACACTGGGTTAATTGGCATTTGAATGCACGTAGCTCTGTTTTATGACCAGTCAGTAACCTGATGCGCAGCCACGTAGGAAAGCCCCCGCATGAGTCTCACCTCAATGTCATCTCTGGGTTGTTTTGCACATTCACTCGCACCGAAATACAATTTCGAGGGTTCAGAATGAGATCGACATCTCTTGTGTATTTCGATTGACCCTTGCCTGTGACTGGCAGGTACATAACTCCCATATCTCCAGCTCACCCACCTATACTTGCCGATCGCAACATCGAACGTTAAACAGGTTACACATACACATACACTTTGCGAAGACCTAAAACTGGATGCGACTATGTTATGGGTTGGGTAAATTTTGGGGAAATGACATCGAAACATTCTACTTTTGAAGCACAAGGCGAACAGTTACTATCGTGGATGGAGAGCACCACATCCCAGTGTCCGATCAGAAAGTCCACACTCAACATGATGCAACTACAAAAGTCCCCGCTATGGATTATTCAATCCGACACGGTATATCTTGGAGAGCATTGGCACCACTGGGCAGACCGAGTAGGCTTTCCGATCGTGAGTATCGACAAGAGATGTCTCTATTCCAAGACGATTCGCCAAGTCAAAGAACCGCCCGCCATGACCAAGTGGATTGGACGAGTCGGACCGGGAGTGATCTTTGCAGACAATTTCCGACGGGAGCACGGCTCTCAAGATCCCTATATGTCGGAGTTTATGAAGAGTGTGTACGAATCACATTTCGCGATCTCCAGTCTCCAGCATGTGGTGTTTACCAGTGTCGTCGAGAAGCAGACCTACCGGTTTGTAACTGCGCTGTACCACACTCGAGGCCTTTCTACTCCATTGGAAGATCCCCAGGCTTGGCCTTTCTCGGAGTTCTGTGGGATTCTAGGAACGCCGCTTGGCAAGATCGCGGGCGCTTTGGTTCTGGGGATGTATGGGCAGGGCGTCAAACGAATTGGGCGCATTGTCACCTTCTATACGGATTACGCGTTGCATCTCCAATTTGATCTGGAGGATGTGGAATAGATGTTGTATATAGTAATAGATTCTGCAGCTGTGAGTAGAGCCAATGGGAATCAGCCCAAAGCGCCTTCCCTGTTGTTTCACTGTGTCACTCCACTTCTCTTTCTCTCTTCTCTTGTCCTCTTCTTCTCTTCTTCTCACCTCTCGGAACCCTGCATCTCTGACCATGGCCGGACTCACCAACGCCGCCATCATCGTCATTGTCCTCGTCGCTTGTCTCGCCGTCACCGCACTCGGCGCATCGCTCTTCAAACACTACAAACCCGCCGACGGCGAAACCCCATTCAGCCCCGGCTACGAACAAAAGCTCTACATGGCCGAAGTGCGCGCCCGAGGATTCGAAGCCCTCCAGCAGGCCTGCTATGGTCGAGATCTGGAGTCTCGCTGTAAGTGCCTCTGGCTCTAGATGATCGCCTCGCTAATCGCCGATCAGATGTAGGCCCGAGCCACTATCGCCCCCACATCCCCGAGACCAACACCGCGAGCTCTTACTAGACGCTCTTTGCAAGGCAGTGAGATACCATGAAAGGGCGTTCAAAGGAGTTTTCGGTCGGAGTTTGATGTGCGAGGGGATTGCTGGGTTTCTGGGAAAAAGCATTGCGAAATGGGCAAATTGACCCGGTCGGCGCTGGTGATTTGTTTTGTGGTGGATCTGGTAAGCTCGGACTCGCCGAACTGTGTTTGTTAGTTATTTTCACAATCCACTCTCTTTCAACTCTCTGTTTCCTAGGCTGACACTGGGAATTCTATTTCTCCTCTGCCTAGACACTGTTCATAGCGGCCAGTTCATTGCACGATTGGTTTCCCAGCGAGCTCCACCCGAAGGCGATCCTACTACCACCATAAGCTCTGCATTCAGATTGCACTGGGATCATTGCCATGAAACGAGAAAGTGTCACAATGAGTCTGGGCTAATGGGTCGGTCGCGTCTTTGTGCCTTGCGCCTGTTCGCACACAACATCTCGTCTTGACCACGGCCATTTCTTCGCTTCGGGAAATCCCCTTTCACCGCGATTGCTTGCAAAGCAGTAAGCTTGGACGATATTCTTTGTGTCTCCTGTGACGATCATAGTATGCGAGTCATGGCCCACTTGAGATCCCTTTGTGATCCTTCATATGCAGACGGGCATGACGCGCTATCGCTCTGTCGCTATTTGGCCTCGTGCTGGGATCTTCTCGAGTCGATTCTCGTTTCAGGGCAGGGACACTCTCCTTTGTCATTCGGAATGATACCCTCTGCTATATTTGCATTCTCTTCCGCCGATGGTCCCCGTCATTCGTGCGCGATTTTATCATGAATTCTCGGTGGGCCGCTGAGGAAAGAGGCAGTGTTCCGCGGTCCAAGGCCCTAGCCCTGGACTTCCGGGGAATGATGTCAGGAACGGAGCTCATGAAAGAAAATATGGTCAACACTCGCAACACGAAAGGAGTAAGGGTTGCGGGGTCGGGGGAATTCTCTGCGCTTGGCACGCTCTTTTTTTAGCTGCACCGTGTCCGTCTCCGTTCTACCGGACTCAATGCTTGGCGGGGCACGTCTTGTTTCAATTTCAAACGATCTGCACAATTCAGGGTTCCAGATCTCCTCCCTACTGGCGGCTGCTGTTCAGCTTATCCAACTCGGCCCCGGCCCCTGGCCCCTTAGGCCCCAGTAAAGCCGCAACTCCCCTATTCATGAACAGACCAATCGCAGATCGTGCGAGCCTTGGCCCCATGTACACATCACGAACCCCTCAAAGGAGCTTCGCAACCCCTGCTCGAACTGGGGAGTTTGTCGGTGCCTACCAAGATGCTATGATACGGATACGGAGGCATCGAGATGTAAAACGTCAGGCAACAGAAATTTCGGATCAAGCAATATGGACCGTATTCGTAATTTTCTTCAAGGTGGTCGGTCCCCACTTGGTTCGTGCGCTCTAGATACGAGTACGGCTGTAGGGCGAACCCATTTTATTTTTCTTAAAGACTGCTTCTTTGACATTGCAGTATGGAATTCAAAAACATTTTGCAATCTATCCCTATCCCTGAGCAAGATGGGCTCTCCGGAGACTTTGAGCTACGCGAGTGACACGGGCAGCGAGGAACAGTACGTCGCGAACTACCCATGCAACTATTCCCAAGCATCTGAACATACTAACCACCGCGCAGATCCCCCTCTCAGCTGAAGATCAAGATTCAAGCCAAATTCAACATCGCCCGACCACCTCCTAAATCAACTCAACGACTACGACTCAGTCCAAAACTACTCCTTCAAATCCAACAACTGCCCCGAGGTCGCCGACCAGTCCCCGTCTTGGAGATATGGCAACCACCACTTTGCAAATCCAGACTCACGAGAAGGTTCACTCAGCGTCCCAAACTCGGCATGAACGATCTCTATGCCACCGTCAACGAACCATACATCACGAGAAACGAACAACCAGAATCCCAATTATCTCTCGACGAGACAGAAAAAGACGTCGTGGCAGCTATGTATCAGCCAACGCCCGACGCAACATCAAGTTCCGCGATCCATTTCCGTGACGCACAATGCATCTGGCAAGCGATGGCCAGCCCAGCTGGATCTGGGACGTGTTACAAATTCGCTATCAAGAATGAGGAGAATGTTATGGGCGCCGGACAGTCTAAGATGTTCATGCAATGGGAGAAGCGGGTCCTCTCTGCTGATGAGGGGAGCTCTGAGGTGGAGAATGAGTATTTTGTACTTCTTGCCATTGATCGTCAGGCACGACGGAAGAGTAGGATTGCGACTATGAATCGGAGTGGTTTTGAGATTACAGTGAGGAAGAGCTCGATTTTGGAACATCTCAGAGCTTGTATGGCTTTGACGAGTCCTGTATCTGGGGACACGGATGTGAACTCGGATGCGGACCTGGAGGTTTGGCTATATACTCATGTTCTTACGCTTGGTGTTTGGGTGGCGTCTCAGGAGGGTTGGCTGAATTGAATTCTTTTGAATAAAGGTGACATGAATCAAATCGCTTGATTGCTCAATGTTTTACGATTTAAGGGGAAAGGTCTGGCAATCTAAGAGACTGAAAGCTTCGAAGAGAGGCAAGGTAAAGTGCGCCCAGGGGCAAAGACACTATTCAAGGACTAACATACGTACTCCGTACTATTCCAGATCTAGATATCATACTAGCTCTCAGTAGCTCAACACTAGTACGTAGTAAGACCCTCCTCAATTGCCTTAATCTGCAAAGCCAAGAGGCGAGAATAGTATCTGCACAAGGCGAGATTGCCCCCCATGAACCAGAATCCGGGATGACCACTCCGACGCCAAATTGTGCGGAACTCTCCCTCCTCATCCAGTCCCCAAATATCGCCAACGCGATCAGCAACCTTGTCGCCGAAGATGATCCGAGCCTGGGTCCTCATGTTCTGATACCCAGTCGCGAAGACGATTTCATCTGCTTCCAATTCGGAACCATCGGCGAATCGCAGGCCGTTGGGGAGTATCTCGCTGATTTCTTGGCCTTGCTTGACTTTGACCTTTCCGTCGATTATGAGTTGGCTGGCGCCGACATCAATGTAGTATCCACCTCCGCGTTGGAAGTACTTGAAGAATAGGCCCGCGTCCATGGGACCCTTGTCTACCTTGAATCCTGCCTTGTCGAGTCCTTCCAGAATCTTCGCATCGTTCTGATTCATCACTTTAGTGACTTTGAGTTGCTGGGACTTGAAAAGAGGTGGCGGAATGCTCCACAGGTATGTATCAGCGTCTTCGGTCAAAGGTCCAGACTCTTCATACAACCCCTTCAGTCCGATATTCGTGATCGATTCCGAGGTGACCACGCAAGTAGAGCTTCGCTGCACCATTGTCACATCATAGCCTTTCTCAAAGTAATCCTGAGCAATGTCGTGTCCTGAATTGCATGATCCAACGACGACAGCCTTCTTACCCTTCGACTCGGACTTCGCGCCCGCAAACTCAGAGCTGTGACACATGCGGTCACCTTTGAAGTTCTCCATTCCTTTGAATTCGGGCATCTTCTTCTTGCCCGAATGGCCGGTGGCTTGGATGACGTGGCGCGGGTGCAAGGTGCGTGTCTCGGTGGTTCCATCGAGGTTTTTGCGCTCGAGGACAATAGTCCACTGCTTCTTCTTCTCGTCCCACGAAGAAGAAGTCACCTCGGTCTGGGTCCAGACATTAAGCTCTAGGAGCTTCACGTACGATTCAAAGAAATCAGCCAGCTTATCCTTTGGTGTGAAGATCGGCCAGCTGGATGGGAACGGTAGGTACGGCATATGGTCGTACCAAACAGGGTCGTGAAGCACAAGCTGGTGGTATCGGTGTCGCCAACTGTCGCCGATTCTCTCTTCTCTGTCAACGACCAGAGTGTCGACGTTGAGCATCTTGAGACGCGCAGCAGCCGTCAAGCCACCTTGTCCCGCGCCTTTTGTCTCATTAGTCTGAATTCATTTCAGAATTTATCGCATGCACATACCAACAATCAATACCGCAGGATCTTTATTCTCGAACTTGGCCTCGTCGGCCCGACGGTCTTTCCAGTTCTTTCGACCTTGTTGCTCCCCATGCTGAGCACCAATAGGTCGGTTTGGACCAACAGCCTCGTCGATACCAGTAGCCTCAGTCAAGGAGGTAAAGATAGTGAAAATCTTCCACTTGCCGGACTCCTCCGCCAAGCGTACAACACCATTACCCTGTCCATTATGTGTGGTGACCTTAATAAAGAACTCGATTCCATGCACATCACCAAAGGCATCGATTGGGCCAGCATGCGGAGCCCTGAAAGCAGAAGAGCGATCAATTTCGATCTTGCTCGATGTCTCTGGCCCAGTCACAAAGGCAGCGATAGCACCGCTCCCCTTGATGGTGTGATAATCCCAAACATAACACAAGTGATCGCGCCAGTAGCTATTTTCAAGAAAGAGGGCAGAGACCGCCGCGCTATCCTTGGCTGATAAGCACTGGTTGAGCTGGTCGATTAGCTCACCGGCGATGCGATCCGGGTCCGCAGGCGTTGTGGAGCTGGTTGCGGGGAACTGGCCGAAGGCGATGTTGTGAGAGCCTGGCTCCGGGCGCTCGCTTGATGGCAGTTCAGTAATTGCTGTCATGGTGAGTTGGATGGTTTACTCTGTATGGGGGGAACTTGGAAGAACCGGGGGAGAATGTACTGGAAAAAAGGACATCCTTTAAACCCCTCAGCTCGTCACACCCCCGCAACTACACAGCTGCAGGACTATCGTCTTCAATGGGAATGTGGATCGGCCCCGTCCACTCTGCATCGGCACCTGGGCACCTGGGGACACCTCGTCTCTCGGCTATTGGCCTCTCGGCCGTAGCTGATCGCTTCCGTCCCGTTGTAGATCAATTCGGTCTCTCTCTTGCCGTCCAAAGTACAGTGCATTGCTTTTGCTTGCTGTGTTGTTGATGTGCCCCGGTGGGTCTTTTCTGACATGTCGAAAATGAATCTGCTCTGTTGAAGAGTATATCCACCTATCCACCGTGGCCAACAAATGGGTTCGAAATACGGAGTAGCTAGAACCCCGCATGTTCCAGGCCAACGTGGGAGCTTTCTGCTTTTTTCACCCTGCAGCCGTTGAACGGAAATCCATTTCCTATCTCGGCTCCTAGGACTCAAACCCTTGGAACTTTGGAATAATAACCTTGAGCTTTAGGAAAAAAGGAGGCATGGTGGAAATGATCCTCTTCGTTGGTGTTCCCAACATTACCAGCTGTCTTTATATATAACCGCCCGGCGAACAGCATGGCTGTTATGTCTGCACAATATCCCAAACAGATTATTAGAATCCAAAGTTAGGACTTTAAGAAAAGTGTACGGCAGAAGTAGAGATTTGATTGAGAATTTGTAAGAATTGCGATCGGGCGCTTGCTGGATGATTTTTCCTCCACAAAATGGCCATTGTTTGTTTACTTTCATATAACCAAATGTGGCCCAACAATACATCAACTGGCATCATTGGTCTAGTGGTAGAATTCGTCGTTGCCATCGACGAGGCCCGTGTTCGATTCACGGATGATGCACTATCTTTTTGTTTTTTTTGTATTTCCACTCGAAAGTGGGTCGTGACATAGGGGTGCTCCGTAGCCGAAGTTGAGTGCTTCACACCCAGCCATTGTAACCTTGGAAGCACTGAAAACCTCTTTTTATACTATCATCCATGGAATAAAAAGCACAGAGATTCCAATGCTGGTTACAATTGTGCTCTAGTAGTCTACGGGGCTGTGCTGTTGTTTCCTCCATGCCTTCTCATGAGGAATTCAATGGGAGGCCTGACTATGTTTTGCTCTAGTAAAGGCAGAGTACAGCTATTTAAGGTACTGGATGTAAGAAAACCAAACGAATAACACCGGAAACACCTATGCTTGGTAGTTCTAGAAGGCATTTCCTACGTGGTATATTGCGGACGAAAAAGCGTCGTAAGCCGCGCCACGATGCTTCAAGGTTGGCAACTAGTGCACAACAGAAGCAACTGCTGCAGAGCTAGCTGTTTCAAAGCACAACTGATTGGGTCCTCCTTTCCACTATTGGAGAAGCTGACGAAGATAAAAAGAAACACTATCTCCGCACTCACTTCTACGTTTGAGATAGATCCTGGCTTTTTTTACCACCCTCTCACTTTTTCATACTCCCAAAATTGGTTGAAAATGCAAAATTCCCATCTCCAGTCGTCATGAGTCGGGCTCGGCGTCAGATTCTCGGCGCCTTCTTTGGAGCTATCGTATTGTTTTTGTTCTACCTGCACTACCACGCAAACGATGACCAATTCCTTTTGTCCCGGCCCGCTTCATCGCCGCAATCCGAGGCACAGCAAGATGAAAACCAAGTCCCAAATGGGTTTCCCCCGAAACAATCCGTGTGGAGGGGTCTTCCGTTGCGATACCCAGTCACCGACATGCAAAAAGTGCCCGCGAAATCTCGAACCTTTCCCAGGATCCAAACAGCAGACCAGGAATACTCTTATCTGAGAACCGAAAGCCAAAGAAAACGGCACTCAGCCGTGAAAGAGACATTCCAGCGCTGCTGGAGGTCTTATCGATCTCTTGCTTGGGGAGCAGATGGACTCACGCCCATCAGCGGCCTTCCCACAAATGACCGTGGAGGCTGGGGCGCGCGGCTACTGGATAGTCTCGACACGCTGTGGATCATGGAGATGTACGAAGAGTTTGAGGAGGCTGTCACTGCAATTATGGAAATCAATTTCGACGTCACATCCTCGCCGGAAGTCAACACTCATGATCTCAACATTCGCCTGCTGGGGGGTCTTCTGGCGGCATATGATCTCAGCGATGATCCAAGATTGATGGTCAAATGCGTCGAGCTGGGTGATATGCTTTATGCGGCGTTTGATACCCCTAATAGAATGCCTATTATTCATTGGAACTCGCACAAGGCCTCTCAGCGGGAAGAGCAGTTGGCTGAAGAGAATGTCCTTGTCGCTGAACTGGGATCCTTTGCCCTGGAATTTACGAGACTGTCCCAGATCACTGGAGACTCGAAATATTTCCATGCTGCCCAGAGAGTTATGGATGCATTCGATCTCCGACAGAGATCTACCAAGCTGCCTGGTCTTTGGCCTGCATATATGAACGCCAGAGAGCAGCTCTTCGAGGGTGATGAATACACACTCGGGGCTGCAGAAAATTCTTTTTACAAAACTCTCCCACAAGCATACGCATTAACAGGCGGCCAGATGCCAATTAATCGCAGGATGTATGAGAGCTTGACCCTTGCAACTGCAGGCCACAACCTCTTCCGACCAATGAACCCCAACGAAGAAGACATGCTCCTCCTAGGCACTGTTCGTGTCTTCATGACACAAAACGGCAAGTCTCGAACACATTTACAATCCCAAGTACACTACCAATCATGCTTTGCGGGTGGACTGTTTGCGTTAGGCGGAGCTCTGTTCAACATTCCCGCCCACAAGAGGATCGCCCACAAGCTGGTTGACGGGTGCATCTGGGCGCATAAGACCATGTCCCATGGAATCATGCCCAAGGTCTTCGATGCAGTTCCATGTGCATCACAGGGGCACTGCCCGTGGAACGAATGGCATTGGAAGCAGGAGGCTTGGAAGAAAGCCAACAGCCTCAAGCCTGAGCTTGCTTCGGATTTCAATATCGATACCTTCATCAAGGATCACCATTTGCCCAAGGGGTTCATTGATATCCCCGACACTGTATCCGAACTGCGACCGGAGCTTATTGAAAGTATTTTTGTACTTTATCGAATCACTGGGCGTGAAGATCTTCTCGATGAAGCTTGGAGAATATTTCAATCTTTCAATAACGCTTCTGCGACCAATTATGGAAACGCAGCTATTGTTGATGTCACGTTTGAGGGTGGAAACCCAATACTCAGCGACTCGGTGGATACTTTTTGGATGTCGGAGACCTTGAGATATTTCTATCTCATGTTCGGTCCCTGCGATCTGGTCAGTTTGGATGATTTTGTTTTCAGTGCGGCTGGTCACCCCCTCAGACGCCCCTAATCATAAGGACACCTGGGCAACCTTGGAGCCTTTAATCGTGTTATCTTGGAGATTGAAGATGACGAACGCAAGAAAAAAGCTTTCTCAATTTATATACAATATGAAAAGCTCTCCCGATAATGGAGACTTCATAATTCCATCGAAATACGAGAACAGAAAGAGTAAAACAATGGTCTGACGCTGCAGATAAAACGTTCGAGGGGGCACCCGGGGGTGGCCAGCCTGTTGGGGGCTTTAAGCTTGTTTTGGCTTGTATAGCCAAAAATTGAGCCCCATTTCATTAATAGCCCGGGTGGTCTAGTGGTATGATTCGCGCTTAGGGTTCACCCAAAGCACAATTGCGCGAGGTCCCCGGTTCAATCCCGGGCTCGGGCCTATTATTCTTTTTTGTTTTGTTCTTGGTGTTTATTATAGCCGCCGAGTCCCCTCTGAACGATAGTAACTCATTTTTCCTCTTTCCCAACACTGCGAGCATTTCGCATTTTTGAAAAGAAGTTCTCGGGGGCCATAACCTCTGCACCTCCAGTTTCACCAACACCGATCCTTGATCCGCGATGAGTGATTCGGACGACAGCGAAGAATACAAGCCCGACCTTTCTGAGGAGGCCAAAGCCATCGAATTTGAATGGACACCCGAGCTGGTGAACATTCGAATTGCAGATGGTTCCATACATCCACTAGCTGGTCCTTTAGAAATGCACGATGGATTGCCGACATACACCCTCGGGCCCGATGTGGCCCTGCCAGACCCCAGCGATACAACTGAGTGTCTGAAATGGATGGGACTGTCGGAGAAGAAGACAACCGAGTTGATGCAGAATTTCAATGCGCTTGATTCTAATTACCAAGCTCCCGTTCATGGATACGATGAGAAATTCTCCTCGAATGGCAAAAACGGAATTACCTTTCCTCTTCTTGACAAGCTGTCCAATCTTTTCCTCGAAGAATTGCCTTGGTACTCAGATGATTATGAATATACACATGGTCAGACTATATATCTCTAAAGCGAGATTACATTATAGTTCTCAACCAATTGAGACAGAGGGTTACATCAAAAGGGCCATCCAGCTGGGACTCCGTCCAGAATTCGCCATATTTTGTGGATTGCACGAGACCAATCCTCGGGCTATTGAGGACCCTTCTCTTTATAAGAAGCGCTGGTTCAAACAGGGCCCTGAGGATCGGATTAGGAATCACCTCTCCGAGACTTGGTTACAACTCCAGATGTTTATGAAGCTGAAATTAGTACGTGATGGCAAGGCATGGATGGACCTCCATGGAGATTGGCTTGTCCATGAGGGAGAAAACATCGATCAAGCGAAGTCTCGAGTGGATGATACTGAGCGCCAGAGGCTCTTGGTTGAGGCGAAAAAAGAGGAGGAGAGGGAAACGGAAGAGCGGAAACAAGCAATGGCTAGGCGTAAGGCTGAGGAAGAGGCAATGCTTGAAAGAAGAGAGAAAGAAGAATTGGAAGAGATGGCAGACGCAGAGAGGAAGAAACCACCAACAAGGCACAAGGCACAACAAAGAAGAAAACGAAATGCTTGAAGCAGCAGAGTCGTCCAAGCTGGGCGGGGAGCTCGTAGGTGAATGTCTCTCAGAGTAAAGGCAGAATAGGGTTTACAATATTTACGAAAAGTCACCCAGAGTATACATAGTACTCATCAGACTCCCCAGGTAGTCGTAATTTGCTTAGATTCATCGATGTTTTGCTTTTTTTCAAAACTTCTAGGACAGGAACTTGATGTTTTGATCAAAACAGAATCTCGAATTCTATTCAAAATTCTAGCGCAATCTATTAACCATTCTAAATCACAGTACCCTTCCCTCCTTCCACCAAATGCTATTAAAATAAATCTATGAATCAGATGATATCGGGGATAATGCCCCCGACACCAACTCAATACTCGACACCCTCACACCTTGTGTCGCATTTATGAGCTGCCCTTGGTCTTGTTGCCTTTGGGAACTCTAGCCAACCAATAGATTCCCAGGGCGACCACGATGTTGAAAAACAGATAGACAAACATGAGTCCAAAGTTGCGCCACGCATCACTCCAGTAAGAGAATACCTGGGCGAGGAAAGTATCGGTTGAAGCCATCGGACAGTAAGAACAGGCACTCGTTGCATCAGGGTTCTCAATGTAGCCCTTGGCGGCCGACGCAAATGCACCGAGATATTCCTGGCATGTCTTGTTGCTGGGTGGGTCGAAAACGAGTGTTTCGATGTTACTGCATGTTACTTTGGCGCCACTGACAGCCGTGGAAAGCATTCCAGACACAAGATATGTGAAAGGCGAGAGGCGATACATGAAGATCCAAAATCCGGGCATTGCTTCAGGGGTAGAAACGACACTAGAAGTAGAGATATTAGAGACGTTGGGTAATGAGAGATTCGAGAATGACTTACCCGCAGAATAACAGGAGAAGGGAGAAGAGCAAGTTGGCGATATTTCCTCCTGTTTCGGCATTTTCCACTCCGGCGACCACCATGTGCGAGAAAGTAGAAGTGAAGAGCAGGAACATGAGCAGGTATAAGAACATCAGGGCGCCACGTTCGGCAACTGCATCGGTCGGCTCTGCATTCTGGTACAGTCCGACTGGGTAGTACCAGCAGAAGAACATCAGAACCGCGACGAGAGTGTTCCAAGGTAGCTCCACTATGATGTTGGATGCCATGAATACCTTCCAAGAATACATCTTTGAAGGACGCTCGCGAACTTCGAAGATAGATCGTTGGATGATGAAATTGGGCATGATCTGCTGAACAAGATTACCGAAGATGGTCATAAGCATGAAGATACTGAACATCTGGTTCTGAAGGCCCTGGATCGTGTTTTGCGCATGGAAGAAGGAGAATCCGTTGTAAAGCGCAGTCAGGATAGACAAGATGATCTTCGAATAGATATATGATGGTGTGCGCCAATATTGAGAGAAGACCCGGGAGAGACATTCCCGAAGCTGCACAGCTGTTGAAGACGCGAACTCGCGATGCTCTGTGTCTGAGCCAGCATCCTTTTCCTTTTGAGAAAGAGAGGACTTGAGTTCAGCCAGATGTTGTACAACAGCTCCTTTTTCAGCGCTTTCATTCCAGACGGCAGGCCAGTCAACATCACTGTGAGACCCAGGCGCTGCACCGATAACATCAAGCATCCATTCTGCAGGGTTCTCACCATCAGAAAGGGCGTGACCACCATTGCGAGTGAAATAGTCTGCGAGGATTGAGGAGTTCTCTCCAATCTGACCGAAGTACACAGTGCGACCTCCCTTAGCAAGGAACAACAGACGATCAAATCGTTGGAACAGCATGGCGGACGGTTGATGAATGGTACACAGAATAGCCTGCCCGTGCTTTGTAAGGGTTTCAATCAAGTCCAGGATCGACCAAGAAGTCTGACTGTCCAATCCGGAGGTAGGTTCATCAAGGAAAAGTAGCAACTGTGGTCGGGCGGCAAGCTCGACACCAATGGTCAGGCGCTTGCGCTGCTCAACGTTCAAACCTGAAGAATGTTAGAAATCAGGAAGTAAAAATAGCTGGAACAGTTCAGCTTAGAATGTTGGACTCAAGCATACCTTCACCAGGCACACCGACCACCGCATCAGCATATGACTGCATGCCCAACAATTCCAAAACTTCTTCCACATAGTCCAACTTCTCTTGACGACTAAGATGCGCCGGCTGTCGGAGAATAGCACTGAACTGCAAAGCCTCTCGTACCGTCGAAGTGGGCAAGTGAACATCCTGCTGTTGTACATAGCCAGTCTTGCGCTGGAAAGAATCATCTCGGGCTTGACCATCGACCAGAACATCACCGGTAACGACACCCATCGTGACTCGGGTTGCCAGAACATCAAGAAGGGTAGTTTTTCCGGCGCCAGAGACACCCTGCGGATGTTAGTGGGCTGACTTCGGCTGTCGGAGTTTATCAACTAACCATCAGAGCAGTTGCGGTACCAGGTTTAACCCATCCATTAACGTTATCCAAGATGCGACGTTCCTCGCTCTTAATCTTGATATCATAGCAAAGGTCTTGCCATTGGAAGATAGCAGTTTGGCGTTGAATGTTAGCGCCAGCACGCTCGGCGGTCTCGTCGGCCCGGTAGGCTGAATCGGGCGTGGTTTCGGCATCTCCCTTGATGGCCTTGGGCTGGTTACCGCGACGGAAAAGCAGAACTTCACCCTTGGAGGCAGCCTCGGAAATGTACTCGGTAGCGGTAAGGTAAACAAACATGAAGAAAATCATGAAAGCGAAGACAATTCCCAAGTTGCGCCAGAGATGGTCGTTAGTGTAGTTGTAAGCAGTCGCCAAGTATGCATCTCCATCAATGGTAGAGTCTCCTGCCTGGGCAGAGACAGTGCTGCAAATGGTATTGATGGGGTCCACATCAGTGTATCCGGGGCCAGAGGGAACGAAAGATTTGCAGTCGAACTTCCTGTTTCGGAACTCGTTGACCATCATGCTTTCGAATGAGTATCCGATGGGATCAATGTAGTTCATCCAGCGAGACCAGCCAAGCATATTCCTAGTGGGAATGACGAAACCAGTATAGATGACTAGTCCCAGAATAAGCAAGGCTGCAGGAACGAGCGCTTGAGCAAGTGATCGCGAGGCTGCACCAAATGTTCTGAAAACCATTGACATGGTTAAAGTCGTGACAATAGAGAAGAGCCAGAAAATGAAAAAGGCTCCGGGCTCGCGTTTGAGATTGGATAGGAAATAAAGCGGTAGATTGAAAGTAATGGAGTTGGTCAGCTTGTATGGGATATCGCACAACATGGATGCAACTGCTTCTGTAAATGGATGGTAGAAGGCATATCGCGATTGCTTTTCGACAATAGGTCTTTGGGCGTACAGTGTCAAAATCTGCGAGGTGTAAGTTTATCTGACTGCTGATGCTTGCATTTTCACGGTTTCGACATACCTCAAGAGCACTGGCGAATGCAGCAAGTAGCACTGCATAAAAGAGAAGCACACCTCGGGAGAAAAAGCTTGTTGTATCCGCGGGAAGATTGTAGAAAACACTACCCAGAATCAGAGAGATGAAGAAATTACCAAACAAAGCCGAGTATGTTAGTGTCATATCGGCCTTGAGACGCTGGAAGCCACGATGCAGATTCAGGTTGATCTGCTCGATAACGGAAAGAGTGTATGGGGACTTGAGGCGTCTAGAGTTGATGAGTTAGAATGGGATTGATCTTGCATCAACAAGATGGCAAAACTCACTGTTGCTTTGACTGCATCAAACGACGAGCCTCGCTGAATGTGGTGAGCGACTGGCCTCCGATTGGATGCTCTTTGTCGAAAGCAGCAATTTCATCGCGGAGACGAGCATATTCTGGGCTATTCTGCCATCGCTGGGCGAACTCAGCGGGCGTTCTGGGAGTCTTGCCTTCACAACCTGGCTTCACTCTACGCTCAGTTGGGCTGGTCAGAGATGTCAAGAAGTCGGCAGTAGTTTGGCGTGATGGACACTCAAAGCCCATGTTGGTGAAAAATTCACGAGCCTCTCCAGTGGGGCCGAAGTAGATCTGCTCTCCCTCGTAGAGCACAGTGACTTTATCGAAAACCTATCAGCGGAGATGATTAGTTCCGATCTTTGTAGATGAAGGAGCATGGACTGGGGCCTTCTTACATCATACGCGTTTTGAGAAGCTTGGTAAATGGCAACGCAAGCGGTGGTGCCCGTGTAATCGCTCATCAAACGAAGATTCTTACAGAACTCCAACGCGTTGGCACTGTCGAGACCTCGTGTGCTGTTATCCCAGCATTGAAGCGGAGCACCGCTAAGAATGGCCTCGGCAATGCTGACTCGCTTGCGCTCACCTCCACTGACACCACGCACGAAATCGTTACCCACACGGGTATTGAAGGTATGTCTGAGTCCAAGCATTGTCATGACGACGTCGCGAAGATGTTCAGCGTATTCCTTCCGACTCAGATTTGCGAAACGGGTGCGTGGTGCACGAGCCATGGCGGCGAAAGTCAAGGTCTCACCCACTGTGAGTTGAGGGAAGTGCACATCGGTTTCGGCACTGAAGATGGCTTCTCCTCGGAACTGCTTGTGCATGGTCGGAGCTGAGATTCCTGTTGGGTTTTGTCAGTAAATGCTATCCGGCGGACATTCGAGTGTCTGATGGCGTACCTTGATAGTTCATGTAACTATCATCACTGACATAAATGCCATTCATCTCGCCAGAAATAGTCTTCAAGAAGGTTGAGCAACCACTAGATAGAATGTGAGATGAAAGTCCAGCCAATCTGACGAGAGTGGTAGAAGACTTACCTTCCTGGGCGACCCAAAACAACCAGCATTTCTCCACTGCGAACCAATCCGTTGAAGTTGCTGAGAATCTGCACCTTTTGCTTCCCGGTACCAGTGACATTGCGCACAAGGCTGCCAATACTCAGTAGTGCGTTGAAAACGTCCTTCTGGTAATCAGTTGGACTTCCGAAACCATGCACATGGAGGTTCTTAAACGCGACACCCGCTGAGCGTTGCATGAATCGCTCTGGATCTTGCGATTGAGCAGCGATGAGGGACCTAACCCAATCCTTTGGCTTGAAGAATGGACTGTCGGGATGCCATGTAGTTTCCTTATCGTCCTCGAAGAAAGGGTTCTTTGCATTCGATGTGGAGAAGTGGGTGGAATGACGGGTGAGTTGCCTCACCATCTCTTCAACTTCACCTTCCATATCAATCGAGTCCTGTTCTCCATTGACGCCTTCAGTTTGTGTCTTCGACGAGATAGTGTCTGTATCCTGCCCAGTGTGTTCGGCGCCCAGGGTCTGCCGGTACTCTTGGCCATTGGTGGCAGGGATGCCGCCTAGGACTGACATGATGAACACACGGTAAGTCTTGCAGTAGCTGAAGCAGAGCTAGGCAAGAACAGGTGGGCTGCATTATTATATAGTAAGCCCCAGAGCCTTATTAATTGCTAGGTGATCTATCAATGGGTTCCGCTCTTCTCCGAACCCAATATTCTTTGCATCTGTGAGTAGAATCAGTCCAATCAAAGCATTTTCCTCGGAGGAAGCCTATGCTATCCAGACCACAGTGGATCCAGCTTGCGATCTCTAATCGTTAGATGGAAATCGTGGCTGTCCAAGAAACGAATGGGAAGATAGAAAGATCAACATCCGCCCGGAATTTGGCCTCCGGCCCACTTTGGAAAATGAACAAGGAATTCATATTCCCCCCTGAAAGATCCACTAAAGAACATGCATGGACTAAACTGACCGTTATATCAAGGGTCCTCGAGGTTGATGATGGGGGCGTCGGGCCGTAATATGATTACCGGAACCCGGAGATCCGTGGAAAGATTGATCAAAACGAGATCCGATTGGCCAACCTTGATCGCCTCCCGCAAAACGGAATAACGGCTTTCCGTACGGGTTTATGACAATACAGCCGGAAGCATGAGCTCTTGCGCTTAGACGACTCATGTAGAGACTTTCTCCACTCGACTCACCTCGCTCCTGAACTTGCTTGGTTGACATTGTGACAGGAGCTCGGTGACACGTAATATGGAAGTGGTTCTCACGATGGGACTCCATGTGCAGGGAAAAATTTAACATTTACCCACTATGCACATGTGTTCTACTATACATAAAAAAGAGAAGATTCGATTGATTAATTTCCAGAGAGTACGGAGTACACCGTACCTCATGAGCGGTAGGAAGGACGTGCGCACGTCGTTGAGGATCTGCGGCGTTTGCTCTGTTTGCTCTCCCTCGCCTGCACCTCACTTCTCATCTCTCCATACGTCTTAACCTCGGGACCGATAACGGAAAACGTGACCATTTAACACCTCTATTGATTCAGAGTCTTATTGATCCATGCAAACATGGTTCTCATAAGTTCCTGCCCAGCACCAGTTTGACAATGGTAGCCAGCAACTCCATTGAACCTGTGGAGAGTGCCCTTGTCACCCAAAGCATCCTTCACCAATTGCGGCTGCCCTTGAAAGAAGTTCTCGAATTCTGCATCGCCCACGAAAACAGGTGCGCTCATTTTATCAACGACTTCCTTCAAGCGGAATCCCTTGCTTAGAGTAAGAAAATCAGAGGGCGAGTGTGTGTAAAACGACCACAAGCCTTGATCGACACCCCAAGCGGCAGTAACGGGAAGCTTGCCATTATCCCGCAACTGGTGGATCAGACGATCGAACGCAGTGTGATTGCCGGCTTCGTACAGCCCGATAATTTCGGATGGAAACTGAGATGAGAACGCAGCATAGGCATCCCAGACTCCGCCGAGAAGGACTGTTGCCGAAATCCGGGGCTCGAAAGCCGCGGCTCGGGCTGCTAGATATCCACCGAAGGAGTTTCCAATAAGGACCAGGCTGTTGGCATCCACGACATCTGCCTTTTCAGAAAATACCCAGTCTACGACCGGGGTGACCACCTTCTCCCATTGCGGGATGAATCCAATGTTTTGGTTCCGGCGCACTGTGGGTTGGCCCGGGCCTTCGTAGGTGATGCAGTTCCAACCTCGAGCTAGGGCGGGCGCGACGAATTGATGATACGAGTCCTCCTGCGCCGCGTCGAATCCATTGCCGATGATAAGCGTTGGCAGTTTCCGGTCGTCGCTGTCGGGCGCACTGTACCAAATGGCCTCGATTGTGAAATTGCCCTCTTTCGCGGGTATTTGAACCCGCTTGCCAGGGCTGGGGAGGGCGGCTAGCCCTTTGTTGAATGCTGCAGTCTGTTCTTCCCATAGCTTGTTGATGAGCGGGTTGCTCCAATTTCGGTGCCCGTAGAAGTCTGCTCGACGGAAGTACTGGGCAGCCGAGAACCAGGTGTCTCTGACATTGATTGGATCAAACGCATTGCTTGGGTCTTCTGCTTGAGCCTTGGTTGCGTTGGCGAGTTTGTAAAATTGGTGAGCAAAACTGGCCATGTCTCCTGCTTTGATGTCTTTGGCGGCGCCTAAGACAGGGGCGATGTCCGCCCCACCAGTTGTAGCATCGGTAAGGGCAATGAGAAATTGAAAATTGAACTCGCTGGTTGTGCTCAATTGGAGTGTAGGAGGAGTATCGGTGGTGTTGGCCCCTACCACCGGATGGCAGTATGCCAACGCGACCAAAAGAGGGCCGGTGTAAACCGGAAACTTCATATTTATAACTGAATTTGAAGAAACTGGAATATACCTGGTAGGTTTTTGTGTGCTATGTGAGCTTGTCTTTGCGAGTCATCTTGGCTGCGTTCTCTCTTTTTGTACTTCCCACACACTTCCAGGTTGCCTTTTCGGGGGTGCCATCAACCAAGGCGCCAGGATTCACGCGCGATTACACAAATATCGAATTCGGAAACCATTGCGGAATGCCACTCGGTGACTGGTGAAGTGCGAGAATATCGAGACATCGAGTGCTCGGCGAGGCTAAGCCAGATGAGGTACCTGGCTTGCGATGAGCCCCTGTGATTGGCGAGGCTTGCTGACCCCCATGTCGCAGCCTAATCTCACCGCTGACAAAAAGGCTTGATCAACTCATCTCGCAACACTAGCTCCTTTCAGAATTCGTCATGGTCAACCGCGGGCGCTCCGGGGGCTGCCTGACATGCAAATCGCGACGAGTCAAATGCGACGAGACCAAGCCCCAATGTCAGTCCTGTCAACGCCTCAGGCTCCACTGCGGGGGCTATCAATCAACGCCTCCGAAGATCAGATTCAAAGACCAAACCCACAAGTTCGACGTTCCGATTAAGGCCGAGAATAATCGTGGGAAGCTCACCCTGCGACCAATCGCCGAACCAGACACGGCCATCCCATTCTTCCTTCAACATTATGCCATGATGGGCCGCGGTTTAGAGTCGGCACGCGGGTTTTTCGAACTGCTAGTCCCGGTGTATTCAACTCAGCCACAGAACTCGGCACTTTCACTCGCTGTATCAGCCCTGGCATCGGAGGTGATGTCCCTTTGGCGCCAAGGCAACAGCTTCCGAGGACCACAAAGGACCTATACTCAAGCCCTCAAGTGTCTTCGGGGTACAATCCAGACCAGCGATGAGCTTGGAAAGCCAGAAACTGCGCTAGCGGTGCTAGCATTGCAATTTTATGAAAACATCGCCGCTGTCTACGGTCTTCGGCCAGCCTCGCGGGCTCACCACGATGGCGCAGTCTCTTTGCTCCCGTTCGCGCGAGCAGATCGTGCTAACGGAGTGACCACTGCGTACATTCGGAAGTTCATTTTCCACAGCGAGATATCATCTGCAATACGACAAAAAAGACCATTACAGAGTCTCGTGCGCTCGTCAATTGGAAGAAAAAGCTTGCCAGCCGAGCCAGAAAACCCAAGCTTTGCACTTGATGCCATAGGCGCGTCGGTCGCTGAGCTGCAGGCCAGCTATCTACGAGAAGCAACCACCGATGATTCCAGAGACTGGAGCTTGGAAGCAAAGTGCATTGATGAAGAGCTTCTGGGTTGGGCACGAAACGTCCCCGAACATTGGAAGCCAGTCAGACTTATAAGTGGAAAAGACATCGACTCGTCCATCCCGACCTATCAATCAACCTGTGAGGTATATCCTTCCTGTCAGATTGGAACAATATGGAACCTTTGGCGCGTCCAGCGTCTCTTACTTACGAAGATCATTCTCAGCTCCGCCAGTCTGGCAGGGAGAACAACAAGCGATCAGGACTTCGTTAAATATAACCATACTCTCCAAGAACTGGTGGACTCTGTGTGTTACAGCGTGCCGTTTTTCCTTGGCAGCCAATTTGGAGCATTAAGCATTGCTAACTTCACCGATCCGTCGATACGGCTTCCTAGTCATGACATTATGGCCTTGGATGACAAAATCAACAGTCCACAAACTCCTAAGGAAGAGCACAGGCGGCCTATCATCGCCCAAGGACCTTGGCACATTATGAGTCCGCTGAGCCGCCTGTTGACATTCTTCATGGAGGATCATGGCTACTTGATGGCGACGTTTCTCGAACCTGGACAGTATGAGTGGATACGCGACCAATTTCTCCGTGTGACCATTTTGCTTAGAATCCCGCTGGCGGATACTGGTGACGAAACTACCAGAGTGGAGAATACTGCGAAAAGAATCAGAGCGAGCGCTGTTTTTATGAGTGGCTCATAGGGCCTGCCCTCTTCCTAGGCCTACGTCAGAGGCGGATGGTTCTTTTGCGCGATTATGTTGGTATGTTAGTCCTCATTTTCTGTATATAAGCACCACTTGGCATACTGGTTGAGGGCACCGTTGCTCTCGATATTCAAGACTGCCCATCGATGAAACCATACCCATCTCCATTCCTGACTCTCAAAGCTCCCGACAGGCGTCGAGAGTGCCCATTCAATTTTCTGTTCTCATTCTATCTCAGGAGGATCGGAGTTGGGAAGAATAATAGAAGGGAAATGCCGAAGGATCCGCGTTGATTCTGGGCCCCTGTGATACTATTTCGATGATAACACGCGAAAATAACCATAAACCAATGTTTCACCTCCCCTGACACTTGCCCTCAAATAAAACCTCTCCGAATGGTTTCTCTATGGAGCAAATCTAATGATCTGCAAATCACATTCCCTATTAGGATATGAGTACGAGATGGATACGAGCAGGAACGAGACGAACTTGAGTCTTCCGTGGCGGCATCGAGGGTCCAAGGTCGAGTGGAAACTGAAATGAAGAAAGCTAAGAACGGTCTTCAGTCCTCAATTTTTCATGATTTGAGATCTCCTCAAATCCTTTGTCATATGAAAAATTTGAAATATGCGCCCAACTCTTCGTCTCTCCTTCCTAGCCGTCCTGGTTCAATGCATCTTAGCCTCCGGGAACCCCTCTAATTCTACACACCATATCAGTGCGACAGAGGCCCTCAACAATTTCGAGTGCCGATGTGGAGATTTCACCTTCCTCGAACTTCCTCACGCCAACCTAACCGTGCGAGAAAAGGCCATTCAATGTTCACAAACTACAGTAAATATATTCAACGTGGATCTCTATGATGAGATTATGCTGACCTTGTCTTACGTTGACAGAGTTGATTGATGCGCGCGGTACCTCCGAACCACAAGGTGTCTCAATGATGTTCTACCCAATGATACAGAACATCCTGGCGAACACCAGCGGTGGAGTCAGTCTACCCGTTGAGTATCCAGCAGGCCCTGCCCAGAACACGACATCCGGCGAGAAATTTCTACGGGATATCATTGCAGGTGGCATTGAAAGCTGCCCGGATCAGAAGTACGCGCTATTTGGCTACTCCCAGGGCGCCAGTCTGGTCCTGAAAGCTCTAAAAGAACTCAACCACTTTGCTCTGAGCAAAGTTCAGTCAGTGATTCTTGTTGGGAACCCATAACGTACACCTGGGAAGCTTTCCAGTGTCACCGAGACAGGCCAGAGGGATTATAGTGATTCTGTTGGCATGTCCACCAGATCTGCGACTGCTGCTAACACAAACGCCACAATTCCACAGCTCTCGAAAGAGCTAGATCGAAGTGGTAAAGTGTTGGACTTCTGTCTTGTTGTAGGTATCGATATACCGGGCTACAATCGTGTAACTAACTTTGCCTCGATAGGGTGATGATGTATGCTCTTATAACCCTGCTTGTTCCTGTCAGATTCCGGCTGGTCATCTCTCATCCGGACTAGTCGACACTGTTCAGAAGGCTGCCTTTGAGCACGTTGTCTTCCAACTTAGAGATAGCAGCGCGGACCTTTAAAGCCCAAAAAGAATGGTCAACTGGTAGCTGTGATAGAGCATGTCGCATCATCACGAACCCAGAAGGGCGACCCTCTTGAAGTACTCCGTACGGAGTACACTGTCATTATTCGGAGCACATAGAACGAAAATCATACCTGGGTATGTTTTGAGCCCAGAACGACTGTGGGGCTAGTCTATAAGGGCTAGTCTTCATTGGGTATAGCATCGACTCTAGCAGGTCCTCTCTAAGCACTCTCTTTTCGTCCTGTTAAGGACTTCATTTGTAGGCAACTTACTAGGACATCTTGAAAAATGTCTCTCTGACATACGGAGTACTGTACCTGCCCTCACAGTTCCAATTTCCACTTGAGTGTAAATTTAGATACGGAGTAGTCTGCTCAAACAAGAAATGATCGACATCGCTGCAAAGGGGCCGCTTGGGGGGCCTGAAATGCCGAACCCTGGAAGGCTTAGCGGGTTGGGTATGAGCGCGCTATCCCATAGAATGGAAATTTAGAGTCGTTTTCCTCAATCTAACTATTCCAGTTGATTATCGACACTTCGGCGACCATCGAATTAAGAAATATGAATGCGCACAACCGATGTGATGCATATCGGCGAATTTGACAACAGCTAGGGGGCTCAGCATCATGGATGGATCTACACTTGTGCCCTACACCTCGTATCCAGGGTTGTTTTGTTTGCATCGCCACATTGCTTACCCAGATCGTCCCCTAGGTTACTTTCAAGGTTACACCATATGTAGGGCTCTGATGCCCTTTTTTTCCATGCAGCATTAAACTAGCGTCAAAACAGAGTAGCTTCCCCTCGTGTTCTGCGTTGTCTTTCGAGGCTCGAGCCGTTGAAGATACATCTCAATCGATGAATTTAAGATTATAAATAGAAATCGATAACCCACGCATGGGCATTGATTCAGAACCCTTTTATCGATATCATGTTGAGATGTTTTCCAACAACGCGCGGTTTATTGCCTCTATTTTGCTCGATTCTAGGGCTAGCGATTTCGGCTCAAGCACATCTCTATCGTCATGACGAGTCTTTTCAACCTGATCATATTCTCCGGGTGACTGCCCAGAACTATAGCCAAGCATGCATGGACCGATACTCTGTCTTGGTGAACGGGACCTCCCCTGGACCCGAGTTGCGTCTCCAGGAAGGCAAAGTGAGCTGGATCCGAGTTTACAATGATATGGAGGATTCGAATGTCACAATGGTAATTGGAACTTTATTTTCTTTTAACGTGTTTCTTTCAATGTCCACAATTAGGCTCACATAGCACAGCATTGGCATGGTCTGTCCGCATTCGCCGCGCCCTTCTCCGACGGTACACCCATGGCCAGTCAATGGCCGATTGCCCCTGGCCACTTCTTTGATGCCGAGGTCCGCCCAGAGATTGGGTATGCGGGCACGTATTTCTACCATTCACACGTCGGATTCCAAGCCGTTACTGCAGTAGGCTCACTCGTAGTGGAACCGGCTCAACCTTCACCATACGAATATGACGAAGAGCGCATAATTCTTTTGTCGGATTACTTTGCGAAGACCGATAAGGAGGTCGAGGAGGGGCTTCTTTCCAGCAATTTCACATGGAGTGGAGAGACTGGCGCGGTCTTGGTCAATGGCCAAGGCAGACTGGCCACCAATGCTACAGGGGCGTGCAGTCTGGCCGCCATCGAAGTTGAACCCGGCAAGACGTATCGTCTACGATTCATCGGAGCGACAGCATTGTCTTTTGTCTCTTTGGCCATTGAAAACCATGACGCATTTGAGATCATTGAAGCTGATGGCCATTACACCAAGCCGGCAAAAACGGACTATTTGCAGATCTCCACTGGCCAGCGGTACAGTGTGCTGTTGAAGACCAAAACTGAGGCCGAGTTGCAAGAAGCAAAGTCTCGCCAGTTTTACTTCCAGCTCACCACACTGGGCCGACCGGCTGTCTTGACGACCTTTGCAGTTTTGGAGTATCCGTCACCGACCGCGACGGACCTGAAGGCTGTTCCCTCCCCACCTCCCCTGCCTATCGCGAATGTTACATACGGTTGGATGGATTACGCTTTGGAGCCCTACTACCCGAACACTGACTTCCCGACTGCTGCGGAGGTCACCCGGCGGATCATCATCAACGTTCATCAGAACATCAGCTCTCATACAGTCTGGCTCCAAAGCGGGTATGACTGGATGGAGACATTCCCCAAATCACCTTACCTCGTCGATCTATATAAGGGCGAACTGGATCTGGCGGCCTCATACCAACGGGCAATGGAGAGCGGCGATGGCTTCGACAATCAAACCCGCCTCTACCCAGCGCAGATTAATGAGGTCCTCGAGATCGTCTGGCAGAACCAAGGTGCTGTCAACAATGGCGGTCTTGAAAATCATCCTTTCCACGGCCACGGCAGGCATTTCTATGACATTGGTGGTGGCGATGGCTTGTTCGACCCGGTAGAGAACGAGAAGCGCTTGAATGGAACCCATCCAGTGGCGCGGGATACAAGCGTGCTATACTCCTACCGAAAGAAAACGACGGCTCTGGCGCCGTCCGGGTGGAGGGCTTGGCGTGTGCGGGTGACGAATGCCGGTGTGTGGATGATGCATTGCCATATTCTGCAGCATATGGTGATGGGGATGCAGACGGTCTTTGCCTTTGGTGACCAGGAGGCTGTCATGGCACAGTCGGGCTCCATTGACGGAGGGTATCTGGTTTATGGTGGCTCGGCGTACGGGAACTCCACCTATAACCCCCTTGTTCAGCATTTCTTCTGATATACCGAGCAACTTGAGTGCTCGGGCTGAAATGAGATCCAGCTCCAGGATGTTGATTTTGCATATAGCGCATGGGATGCGCGTGTCTTCTGTCGGATTCTGTGCTTTGAATGGAGGCTTTCACGAAGGATCGATATAGAAAATCGATGACCCAGACCAGCTAGGATGGTTGAATTTGCGGCCTTGGGTGGACGCATCCTAATAAACCTCTCCAAATTTTGTGTCGATGGGACTTGTCCCGACTCCCGAGTGCCCAGGTGGCAGTTCCGTATGTAGTGCCTGTTCTCCATGGCGTGCGGCTTGCACTGAGTCCGACCCAAAATCTGTATTGCCTGGTGCATTCTTGATAACGAAGGGAACAGAGTAGTATGTCGCAGGGGTTTGATGCAGGTAGATCATAGCGGTGCTTTGCCCCGGAGCCCTGTCGGTGCTGTGCCTTCACAAGTTTCTTCTGACGCGCCGGATCAGAGTCTAACACCTCACCTGTGTATCGGCCTCGAGATTCCGAATTTGAATAATGATTGATTCAGAACAAACACAGGTGATGTGTTGAAGCGCGATGTACTGGGAAAGTAGGGGTGTTGGGAGCTGAGGCTCAGCGGGAGCCTTGTGAAGCCGCAAAGACTCAACTTTCTCGACTTGAGATTGTACGTCCTTTGGCTCGAGCAGACCTTTCACCAGACTTTTATGAGGAACTGAGCATGAAGGAATTGAGACGCGCCCCCAAGTTTGCGATTGGACTTTTGAATCCTTACATAATCGCCATTTCAGGCGCAAGATCATCGCCCTGACTTTTTTCCCTTCATTTGTTTGTCTTAATGTCGTTCTTGGTGGCTCACAATGTTTATTGCAGACGAGAATACGAGAAAAAGACGCGCCAGTCGCCCTAAGGTGCGCACAGGCTGCGTGAACTGCAAGTATGGCCCCCGGTTTTAATCAAGCGGCCCCCTGATCGCCGACGCGGGGCTGATAGTTCACTAGGAAATTCCACAAAAAATGCGATGAGACCCGACCTCAGTGCCGGGTGTGTGCCATCTACAAACGAGAATGCGAGTATCGTGAAACAATTGACAAACGTACTCGAGCCTCACGCCTGGCTCGTAACGTGGCGCCTGTGCCTGAAGGCACCGTTACGTTGATCACTCGAGGCCCCAAGTATCAAGTGGAGCTGGATGCCGAGGAGCGGTATTTCTTGGACTTTTTTCGACGGAGTACCTCATTCCAATGCGCAGGCCACTTCTATGATGAATTTTGGCAACGACTGGTTCACCAAGCCAGTGAAGATCAGCCGGCTATTCGACACGCCGTCATTGGCATGGGCTCCATGAATTATCATTTCGTCCGGTCAAGGACGGGCCCTGGCCCCTACGATCAAGCTTTCTCTCTTCGGCAAATCAACAAGGCGATTCACTCTCTACAGCAAAATCTAATCAAACCCGGGATGGGCCGTTTACGAGTCGAAACTGTCTTGGTTGCCTGTGTCGTGCTGGTCTCGACCCTGCTGTTCCAAGAAGATGCCCTGTCGGCCGGCAAACATCTTCGCTCTGGCTACAAACTCTTGCAGCAGTACTTAATGGACTATGGCAACACGAGTGGGGTCTCTGCCACGCTCACGAGGGCTTTTGGCGGTGTCCACATGGTCTGGTCCTCTTTCAATAGCAACGGAGCTCTCACTGGCGATCAGGAACCTATTCCTCTCCTGATCGCTTCACCGGACCATGCTGCCGATGAGATCCAACAGGCCAACGACCTCATCATCACGCTAGTACGCGTACTTGCGTATCAAAACCACTATCACACGTCTGGCGTTGAGTCGGGCAGTTCTCCAACAGATATGGATGGCCCAAGCCTTGCCACAGATCCGGCCGAGTTCGTGGGCAAGCTTCTAGGACTGCAAAGTCAACTCACAACATACCGCGAGCTTCATCAACACCATCTATCACATCGAGACTTGAGCGCACTGAACATTCTGGAGTTGTGGGCCGAACTCCTTCCCATTCTAGGGGCCGTCGAATCTGGCCCTGGCCCAAGAGAGATGCAATATGATAAATACCTGGGAAACTTCAAACACATTCTTGATTTGGCCGAATCCGTTCTGATGGCTGACGATATCGACACGCCTTCATTCTCTGTCAACCTGGGGGTTATCCCGCCACTATGTCTTGTGGCTTTCAAATGCCGTGACCCGGCCGTTCGAGAACGGTTACTTTGTCTGTTCCGCCGCTCCCGCCGGCAGGAAGGCATCTGGTCAACGAGCATGATAGCTCTGGTATTGCAGCGAGTTTACGACATTGAGCATGCAGGCATCTGGCCGGGCGAGCTCATCCCCGATGCAGCTCGTATCAGAGCAATGCATGTGGAAATCAAGCCTGCTGAATCTCGACTACTGGTCCAGTATCACATGGCTTATGTCTGTAATGATGATTGCAGACACCTCACAAATTGGAACAGCGAATGGTTGAGATATAGATTCTGTTGATGCTGCCGGCTGATCAGAATCGCACGTCGGGTTCGCTTCATCTCAAATGGACCTTGCGCTGGGATGATCCTAAGGCTATAAAATTATAAACTAGAGATACCCAATTCAATACTGTACCATACTGTTTTTCTTGAGCATTGGCAACCTCCAGGGCTTGGACAGTGTCTACACGTGAGCTATGTTCATGCCTCAGGCCACCATCACCACGCGATCTCGGGAGTTCCCGGATCTCACGTGACTCTCTCTCTTTCCACCGGGGCAAGGCTCTCGCCATGCGTGTTGGTCTCCTCCGTGCTTCTTCCCCTATCATACCGCATCCATCAATCGCTCGGGTTCACTTCTACCAAATGATCTGATGAAGAGATGCACTTGATTTTGGGCCCAGGAAGAAGCGGAAGACTGAAACTTGCGGAGGCTGTTGTTTAAGCGAGAGAGAGAAGAGAGAGAGAGAGAGAGAGAGAGAGAGAGGTCTGGTGGGTGTACAGGCTAACAGCCCCCAGACCATTTGACAATACCACCAAATGGCCTGGGCCAAGGCGTTGGCTAGGTCACTTGCCTTAAACCCTGGCGTGCCGAGAAAACCTTGGAAGTCGGCATCCCATCAAGCATGATCCATCTCACGGAATTGCTTCCAGCCACAATGCAACCTTCCCAATGGGCCGAATCTCAGCCGCAAAGACCGCCGTTCTCTAACGTAAGATCGGTGTGGCCGATGCTAGAGCTCCACTGAAATTTTGATCACGGCGTGACCCGGGAGCAATACGGTGTGCCCTGATGAATCCCTGGAGATCACATCATGTTAACAGGGGTTACCCCAGTCCTTGGAGGTGTGCCTAAATACTTTGGATGGCTTTCTTCCGTAATAATTGTCAACGGCCAACAGCATCAAGTATGATGGATGAGGACCAAGCGTATTCCAAGGTTGTCAAAGCTTTCCAAGGTTATATTTTAAAGGCTCTTAATTTTCAGAGGTCAACTTGGTATATGATTTATCCGGGTCTGATTTCACAACTTTGGCCCGTTTGCCTCAACCTTGGCGTGTCGTATGACTTACAAAGGATTCAAACAGCCAAGCCCTGGAGCTCTTGGTCTGACTGCTTAGGGATGTTACATGCTGTTAGCCCCGCATCCGCTTGGACGTGGGAAATCTGACTGGTTCCGCACCGCATCGACATTCCCCTCCGTTTAAGCATCCAAGCTGCATTTAGCATGGACATTGGTTCTGATGGATCTGGCATTAGTGCTGGTTGATCATTTCAATATCTCAGATACTCACAGAGAGTAAAGTACGGCGTTTCGCCACTCCGCCACGGGACGGTATGGCCCCTTCCAAGCGTTTTAGTGCTGACGGCGCTTCATTTGTACCGTAGTATTTCCGGCTAAAAAAGCGTAATCGTTTTTGGGTTAGATCTGCCATGTTCTACCCCACGGGGAATCCAATCCCGTATATATGGGGCTTGAGTCCATCCTTTGTCAATTGCATGCGGACTTCCCTTAGCGCTTTTTCACTCCATTCGCAATCTGAGAGTGATCGCCATCATGGAGGATAAGTCATCTAACATCGAGACCTTCCACAATGATATTGTCGCCCAACCCTCGAAAAAGGCGGTCGATGAGGCGGTTGATCCTGCAGCGCAAGATCGACGTCAAGCCGGGGCTCTGAATATCGTTGAAAACCCCCTGACAGTAGGTTTCACTGCTTTTTTTGACTTGACAGATGTTAGATTGAGAAATAAGAGCCTTTTCTGATTGTTTTACCTCCCAGCGCAACTCTCGAGAGCAGGTTGTCCTAGATGCCCAAGCCTTTGCCGAGACGTCGGGCATGCCCGAGCATGCCGAGCTTTTTGGCCGTGCTGCCCTGGTGGCACGCGATCCCGATGGATTTGAGTCGATTCCCGAGTTGACCCAAGAAGAGCGCGATGCGCTTGCGTACGAGAGAGATCACAAATGGCACGGCTCGAAAATGCTTTGGTACTCCATCTCGCTTTGTGCCGTTGGAGCCGCGACACAAGGCTGGGATCAGACAGGAGCCAACGGTGCAAATCTCTCGTTTCCTCAAGAGTTTGGAATCGCCGGCGAAGGTAAAGACGAGTGGATTGTGGGAATCGTCAACTCGATTATCTTCTTCACTGCTGGGCTAATGTCAGTATATTTGTGATCTGGCTTTATTGCGATCGAGATGCTGACTTTTGGGACAGCGGAGCTTTTATCGTCGATCCTCTTAATCACTACCTCGGTCGAAGAGGTGAGATCTTCCTCACTGCCTGCTGTCTCACGGCAACGCCCATTGGATCTGCCTTTGCCAGGAACTGGCAAGAATTGTTCGTGGCGAGATTCATCATGGGAATTGGTATTGGGGCAAAGAATGCCACCGTGCCCATCTACTCCGCCGAGATGGCACCGGCTCGGACTCGTGGTGCCCTTGTGATGTTCTGGCAGCTGTGGGTTGTGGCTGGTGAGTCTTGGATATCTTCTCGATGAAGCCTTACTGAAGTGCGACGCAGGTATCTTCCTTGGATTCGCTGCCAACGTGATTGTCAAGGACACCGGTGATATTGCCTGGCGCCTTCAACTCGGTTCCGCATTCATTCCGTCCCTCATCCTCGGCGTTGGTGTATTTTTCTGCCCTGAATCCCCTCGCTGGCTCATGAAACATGGCAAACTCGCGAAAGGGTTTAGGTCAATGTCGCGCTTACGGACCCATCCACTCATCGGAGCTCGAGACTTTTACTACTCTTACATCATTTACCAGGAAGAGCTGAAAGAGAATCGAGGTGCAGGGTACTTCTCACGTATGTGGGATTGCTTTGCGGTGCCTCGAATTAGGCGGGCGAACTACGGTGCTTCCACCGTCATGATTGCACAACAGATGTGCGGCATCAACAGTGAGTTCCTTCGCTCAGAAGCATGGGCATGTCCTAATACCTCATAGTCATATCTTTCTACAGTTCTACTATCTTCTTGAGAGCTGGCTACACAGCGGAACAGGCTTTGTATGCATCACTTGGATACGGTGCGATTCAAGTCGTATCCACAATTCCCACGCTATTCTTGATCGATACGAAAGGCAGAAGAACCCTTACCTTGATCGTGAGTGATTTATGTTAGCAGGAGGCTCTTCTTGGCTGACCATTCCGTCCAGACATTCCCATTCATGTGTATTTTCCTACTTGCGGCCGGTCTGTCGCTCTTGAAACATACCGGAACCGCAGGCGAAAAGATCGGCCCTGTCGCCTTGTTAGTATCTTCCAACTCTCCCTTCTGCACAAGCTAACTAAGGGGTCCTGGAACAGATTCGTTTATCTTTTCACCATCGCCTATTCTCTCGGCGAAGGACCCGTCGCCTTCCAATACTCTGCGGAGGTTTTCCCAACTATCCACCGAGAACAAGGAATGGCCTGGGCGGTTTGCATTAACAACACATTTGGTAAGTCTGAAGGGGAGATAAATTCAAATTCTGTGCTGACCGTGCTCTACAGCTGGTGCTCTCGGTCTAACCTTCCCTCGAATGACGACTGTCATGACCCAAACGGGTGCTTGTAGGTTTTCCTCATATCAGCCCCGTTTCTCGCAACTCACAATTATCTAGTCGGTTTCTATGCCGGATTGAACCTCATTGCCTGGGGCATGATCTTCTGCTTCGTGAGAGAGACCAAACAGCTCACACTAGAAGAATTGGACCGTAAGTACTGTCCTGTCTGGGACTAACATCGCCGCTCTAACATCGCCGCAGAGGTCTTTTCGGTTCATACAGGGAAATATATCCACCATGAGTTGACGGTATGGCTGCCATGGTTCATCAAGAGATATGTATTCCGACAGAACATTCCAAAGCCACCGGCGATCATCGCTACGGCAAAGGAGGTCTCCGGCAATCCTGTTTCGGCGTCCGAGGCACCTCCAAGCTACGAAGGTGCTATGACGACCTCGGCTCGCATTTGATCACGATTTGGTTGACTAGGTGGAGGGTTTCAAGTCTAAATCCAGCTATGGATTGCACTCATAGGTCTTATTGGTTGAAAATTAATACTCTGAATTACACTCTCGAGGTTGTCGCGCTTACCTTTGTGTGCATCCATGATGTTAGGACTCGCATGTATGGAATTATGGTACATAGTATATCCTTCCAAGATTTATGTCGAGATCTTCTAAGGTGGCAAAAATCTTATTATATACCTTGTCAGTAGCCTGGTATTCGGGCTTTCAAGGCTGGGCCATGGCCTGCCCAGGTGGGGAAGTACTGTGTCAAGCACCCGTCCCTGCATTCATCCCCCTAAAACCTTTAAGCATGGACTTGGATAAAGTAATATGAAACAGCAAATTGAGGTAAATTTTGTCAAGATCGTCGTCTCGTTGCGTCGTGTCTCGAATCATTTTCATACAATATTCATGATTTCATTTGTTTGAGGATCGCCTGAAGATCCGGTCGTTTCACTGGCTTGATCAAGAAAGTGTCAATGCCAGACCCAAATGCCTCATTTTGGGCACTGGCACTGTCAAGCCCTGTCAAAGCAGCGATAACGAGTCGAGGGGTTTCGGAATCTGTGCCTGTCTTGTTTCGATACTCCTTCTCGGCACGTCGTATCTGCCTTGATGCCTCGAAGCCATCCATGATGGGCATTGAGATGTCTATCGTTGTTAGTAGGTGATTGCGGGGAGGGACTGGGGTAAATCCCAACGCATTTGCTTACCAATGATTATGGCTCTGAATTTATCCGGGTGTGCCTTATAGACCTCTACCGCGTCTCTCCCGTTCGTAGCGGTCATGTATTTGCGACCGTCTTTCTCCGTGTACGCACGAAGTAACTGGAGGTTGAGCGAATTGTCATCGACCAGTAAGACATGTGGTTCTGGCTTTCCGTTCTCTGGAGTGTTCTCTGGCGTGTTCTCTGGAGTGGCATCCGGAGATTGGCCTGATAATTTCCGGGTATTCTTTGGGCTAGCCGCAGGGGTGCGCTCACGAGAGCCGTCACCCCGTCCACGATCAGGGCTGCCCATGGTGTCCGCTGTGGGTCGCTTGCTGATTCTCATCCGGTCGTTGGGCGGGTCACTGGCGCCAAGATCAACCGGCAAGTGGGAGGATTCAGGCATCTCGATCCAGCGAGTGGGTTCATCCGTGCTTGCACGGCCTTCTCGGTCATTTTTTTGGCGCTGGATGCAGATGTTCAATGCCCGGGCCAGCTTTTGGGGTCCGCATGGTTGACTTATAAACTCAAAGTAAGACTCCTCGTTTCTGTTTTTGGCGGATACAAATAATCGGTGAGCTTCTTCCGGTGACTGACAGATGACCACGACAGGCGAGGATCGACCCTCGGGGTTCACGAGGTTTCGACTCAGTCCGAACAAATCCCGACCCTCGGGGTTTTCGTTATCCAATTCTGTTTGCACAGCCAGGTAGAAATCGCATCTTTGATTCTCGCCCTCCGTGGGTGACAAATTTTTGGACTTCAAGCTAAACCAATGATGGCATAGACGTTCCAATGATGTGTAAAGAAACGTGTCACGTTGGGACTTGAGGTCTGACCCAAATCCAAGGAAGCCAATGGATTTGTCTTGCGTGTATTGTTGGAGGGAGTGGAACATTGAAACGGAAGACGAGGTTTCCGATGGCTCAGGGGCCCGGACAAGCGGAGTACGGATTGTGAGGGTAGTGCCAACATCCTTTGTGGATTCAATTTCGATTGAGCCACCCAGGAACCCAACAGCCTGTCGAACTATGCTCAACCCTAGCCCACTTCCAGATGCAAGGGGATTCTCTTGGGAGAACGGGGTGAACAGGCCATCATGAAGATATTTCTGCCCAATACCCTTTCCGGTGTCCTTGATGGTGAGAGTGATCTCGTACTCGTCCTCTTTCTGGTCATGTGATTTGGGATGTTCAGCTCTCGGCTTAGAGCTTAACCCAAGATAGATGTAACCAGATGGAGTATACTTGAGTGCATTGCCGAAAACATTCATTAATATTCTTCTCCAAGCACCGGCATGCGTGCAAAAGTCCCACTCGGTGTCTGGCTGAATGTCAAAAATGATGGTGACCTGGCTTGCGCGAGGTCCCACAGGATCGGATTTCGTGGTAGGGCCAGCAGACCGAGACGAAGAATCAGTTAGAGCAGGTGGCGGTGTATGTGGAGTTGTGTAGAAACTGTATCCAGCGAAGACACACTCAACGACCTCCTCGAGTACCAAATCCAATTGGACGTGCTCGTATGACAAAGATTCGTTTATTTCATTCTGTGCGCTCTGGCTTGACCTTTTCGAATTGACCGACGTTCCACTGCGCTTTCTGAATCGTTTGCCTTTGGATGGCACCTTCTTTGAGTACTTGTCGATGAAAGTAAGATCGAGCAAATTGTTGATGGTATCCAAGAGAGTCCGGCCACATGACTCGATTGTGTGAACCATGCCGTGCTGCAAGGCGTTCATAGCAGTATCACTCAGGATATCTGCTGTTCCCAGGATTCCATGCAGAGGGTTTCGGAGCTCATGAGTGATGCTGCTGACCAAATTTGTCTTTGCCTTTTCAGCCAGTTCTATATCGACCCGACGAACCTCGGCCATGATGCTATTGGTAAAGGCAGAAACGAAGATCGTTTCATTCTCGAAGGTAAAGACGTGTTCGGGGTTACGTGTCCAAATTAATGTGCCAGCGAACCACCTCCCCTTGTCGGCATCCCATATAGGGAGAAGAAGGATGTTTCTAGCGTCACCAAAGATCTTGATTAAACTATCAGCATCCTGCCGGAATGTTGGCTTCCGCCGTCTTGTGCTTGTAGTGCGTGGTTGGTCGGCATGGGACTTGGTCAAACCCTCGTGGGGTTCTTGCTCCGAGTATTGGCGTGAACTGTCACTATCTTCGGAAACGGAGCCATTCGCATTATAGGTGAATATTTTTCCATGGGGGTAGCGTCGGAGTAGAGAGCTGAATAGAGGCTCAGGTACAACGACTGCGCGGCCTGCCCTTGTTTCATCGTCAATGCTAGAGACCCTAGAGCTTGAAAATCCCAAGCATTCAGACACAAGCGTATTAGTGTGTTCCGCATCCGAATCTCTTTGCCGATGTGAGCCCGCTGAATCTGTACTCTCGTCGCTACTTGAAGAAGGGTCTCTTGAAGTAGGGCCTGAAACCTTGCGCCGATTTTGTTTAACAAGGCTGCCAAAACGGTGGCTGTTGGCATCCAGGAATATGACGCCTTCCGCTCCTAGTGACTCTCGGATGAGGTTCGCAGCGCGAGAGAAAATCTCTTTGATGTTGTTCGACATGGTGTTGTCTTCAAGATTTTCTCCCGCGAGCACACTTCTTACCGAATTGCCATGCTGTGCTGTTTCCGGTTTTGAAGTTGTCGGATCCGTCTTCTCTGGCGCTCTGGGTGTGGTCGATCTGGACCTTGATTCGGGCTTTGACTTGGACTTGGGGGCATCTCGGAATGGGAGGTCCGTTTGGATCTGACTCTGCTTTGCTTTCTGCAGGTTCTGTTGTTCGATGTTCAACTGACCCTCCACTGGCTCCCCTGATTGCTCAGAGGCCGCATGTTGTGCGCGGGCTTCGCGCCAAGAATCGCGCAGGGTAGACCTTCCTTCAACAAAACTCCCCAGTCCCACGATCATGCGTTCCCCCTGTAAGTTTTTCTGGGCGTCGTACTCTCTTGTCAGGTGTTCCATCACCGTCGTTGCCATGTCTTTCATGAATTGAAAATGGTTTTGGTCGAGGGTCGTCGCCTTTGGTTTGCTGTCCATCACGCTGTAGGCCCCTATCGTGAAGCCGCGGGGGCTCAGAATTGGAACCGCCGCGTAGAATCGCACATCAGTGAGCGCTTTGAGTCGCTTCGGGGAATTGAAGCGTTTGTTTTCCCGCACATCGGGGACGACCAGTGTATCTTCCCCCACAATTTCGTCATGTTGGTTGTATTCGACATATGGCAGCCGCTCGACGTGATGGCAGAACCCCCTTTCCTTGGGCAACACACAGCACCCCAAGATGAGACGATCGTGAGGATCTCGAATTCCGCCGCCGATCAGACTCAGGGTTGGGGTTGCTTCTGCGATGACATGCTGGTGGGTGCGATCGAATAACGAAATCATGGCGCGCTCGGTTCCAAGTCGGATGGCGCCCAACTGGGCGTAGCATGTCAGCGCTGACTCCTGTGAGGGCTGCGGCGTGAATGTATTCTCGCTGGCATTATCGAATGGGGCGTAATGTGTTGCGGCATGTCGGCGGGGGATGTATCTGCGATCGTGTTAATGTCGGAGATCAAGTGGGGCGACGCTGTCGTACTTGTAAAACTCCTGCTCTTGGGCCAATCGATACTTTGGCGCCGAATTCACTTCTATGTCCGACATTGTGTCCAACGTCAATAGATGAAGGAAACGAAGAGTGAGAGCGCGACAAAGGGTGCCCGCGAATCCGGTTTTGCGAAACCTCGCTGGCGACAGGGAACGGGCCAATCAGCGATGAGCATCCAGCCGCGTCCGAACCATGGCTGATGACATCATTTCCGTGTCTTCTATACTTCTCTCGTATATAGTATACTATGTACAGTTGATATTGCCGGTGACTTGAGATCTAACAGAAGACAAGCGCCGTCGAATCATGGGCGCAGATCTTAGTGGGAAATCCGCAATGTGCACATGTGGACCCGATGGAGATGGACCCGATGGAGACGAACATGCATTATGGGATTATTCTTCAATTCATTACTAGTTCAGTTCAGTCATGATAAATGCATAAGACAATTGTTTAATAGAACCACCGGAAGTGGTCACTCGCAGGTCCTTCATTGAGCAATTCGGTGGGAATCTCGCGAGGATTGACTCGAACGCCTTGCACCCGGTCTCGTCTCCGGTTGTCGGCCATCATCCAGAACCCGACACAGAGGGTGAGAACAATACCACACCCTCCAAAGGATGCCGTAGTAATCAATGCTGGTAGATACTCGGGGGCATCTTGTGTGCGGAAGATGTTGGAGCTGACGACGCCCATCAAATTGGCCATGGGAACCGCGATACTCGTCAGCACCACACGGCGACCTTCATTCGCAGTGTTGTTATTATACCAAGCGTCGAGAAGAACCGAAGGTGCAGATGTTCCCCTGAGACCCTTGGTTAGCGTGATTCAGCTTTTGAGATTATGATCGGAACTTGCCAGGTCATCAAGAACGAGGCGAAATATGCCACGCCCAGATCGCGCTGGACGTCAATGGTGGCGTAGATAATGAAGCCAATAAAGGTGAAGAGGAATCCAGCGGCAATGAAGGGGAATCTCCACTTGGTGTAGTCACTGCTGAAAGCCAGGATGAGGAGAACAACGGCGCCCGAGATGTTCGGAGCCACCGTGTAGAGATTGGTTTTGACAGTACTGTAGCCCAGGCGTTGAATAATGACGGGCAGGAAGAGCTGGACAGATTGTAGAGGAACACCAAGGCAGATCTGGATGGCCAAGATCGCCCAGCTCATCCAATGCTTGAATACGCGGAATGCATCACGGATGTCGAGCTTCTCATTGACCACGGAGGAGCTGTCGACCTGCAATCGTAGGTAGGCCAATTCCTTTTGCTCGGGTGTCAAGAAAGTTGCCTCGGAGGCTGATCGAGGCAAGTACCAGAGTGCGAACAGTGCGAACAAGACGGTGCCTGCGCCTTCAATCAAGAAGAGATAGCGCCAAGGGGCCAGGGGGCCCGATTCGATGCGGAAAATTCCAAAGGCCAGGAGACCAGAGAAAGCGGAGGCAATGGTTTGTGCAGCATAGAAAATCGCCAGTCTACGAGCCAGCTCGCCACGGCGGTAAAAGCTGTTGTCATGTTAGCAAGTATCAAAACACGCAGTTGATTGAGCTTACGTTGTTTGATAGTAAATAACCAAGGGGAAGAATGCACTTTCTGCCATTCCCAAAAACCATCGGATCGCAAATAGGCCACTGAAGTTGAATGTTGCGACCACAAGAATGGTGCAAATGCCGAAGGCGAGCATCATACAGGGCAGGACGATGTTCGGTCCGTACTTCTTGCCCAAAAGGCCGAGAAAGGGTGCAGTCAAGACATAAGGCACGAAGAAAATACTCAAAAGTAGGTTGTACTGGTTGCCTTTCAAGTGAAGGGTATCTAGTGGGCAAAAGTTGTCAGCGATGAGCATACTCGAAGGGTTCAAGGCTTCACCCACCAACAAGTCCAGCTGTTTTGGCGTTTCCTAGATTTGATTTGTCTAGGCTGTTGAAAAGATACATAATTGCCAGCACAGGGAGAAGGCGAAGATCGAACTTCCATACTAAGGCACGTTCTGCTTCAGGGTCGATCTCCACACTAGAGATGGTCACTGGGACTTCATGCTTCTCGGGCAATGCCCCCGTTTCCAATTCTTTTGACATTTTCGCTGTGAGTTATTCCGTTGCAGCCTCCATGGCAACCCCATTTCTATATGAAAGCATCTCCATACCCCAGATATTTCTATGGGCCCATGAACTGAACCCCATGACAAAAGATAAAAGATAACACCCTCTTGGCGTGGCTTGACTGATAAGTGCGAGGCCAATCAAGGGGTGTCATCTTCGGGGCTCGGGGTATTTGTGGGGCCTTCAAGTGGAGCTTGTTCCAGGCGATTGCCTATCTGAGCGCATATCTAAGGTTAAGATTAAACATTATGAGTACCGTTGACACAGACAACGTGTCCGGAGAAATCCGGGGATTTGCCAGCATCGGGTCCGCTCGGAACATGATAACAGCCGTCCACGGGTGTGTCATTTCTCTTCATGTCTGATTTGATTGGCACATGTGAGGATGAATGTACTTTGTATTGATCGCGAACAAATATCTCCGATGTCATTGAATCTAAGTCGCTCTCCACGACCAGATTTCAGACCGCGTTAGATCATTGCCTGCATCACTACTGGTGTGGTATAGTCAGTCCGTTGACAAACCCGGCCTGTGGCGCCCTGTTCGTCTCCTCATCGGGTAAAGTCTTCTTGGGCTACTTTAACAAGTTGGTGGGCAATCGATCGATCCGTGAGCTCCACCAGAGTCTACCTACCGGTGTTCATATATCAATAATAAATGCCACGAATCACCAATCTAATCACCATCCTCTTCCTTCACGCCTTCCACTTCGTCCGCACCTGAACCTTGATGCCGATTGAGTCTTTAATCAAGCAGTTTCCCCATATCTCCTAAAAGCCGACGCATGAGACTGCCAAACCCTCGCAACTCCTCATTCGACCCAGGATCTTTTACAAGCCGATATTCAATCTTCCCCGGGCACTAACTCACGCTTTTCACGTCCGCCTGCAACGCCAGCCAGCAGCCGAGTAGAAGGCCCGCAACTAACCACCCTACCTGGACCCTGACATCAGAGAAAACAGGCAAGCCCGAGCCCAGGTGATAATTTTGTGCCTCGCATGCTTTGAAGCAAACTTCCCCCCATGTCTCAAAAGCCGGGTAAAACGAAGGGTATCTAGAATCGATGTCTTCGTCATGAACTTCGTAGTCGTCTTCTAATCCGGGATCCTTCCGATCTCCACGCCAAAGAAAAGATTGCCCATAGTCTGGGAATAGGCTATAGGTTCTCAATGTTTCTGGTGGTAGGTTGGATTTATCAATGGAATGATTGTATTCCTCAGATGCTTGAACGTGCGTGTTAAGGCCCGGTATCTCCTCAAGGGTACTTGAACCCTCCACACTCTCATCACTGCCTGGTTTGATAGCCTATAGTTATATGTCCGCTAGATATCGATATCAAGGTATCATGATGACAAGGTACCTGGGTTATTCAAACCCTGATATCAACCATATAACTACGAATGCGAGGGAGGCTTGGTGGTTTTTGCCCGCCAGTTGGCTAATGGTGTCAGCTTTTGCCTGATGCTATATCTATCGCCCGGGTGGTCTAGTGGTATGATTCGCGCTTAGGGTTCACCCAAAGCACAATTGCGCGAGGTCCCCGGTTCAATCCCGGGCTCGGGCCGATAATCTTTTTGGCTACCCGTGGTAGCACACCGGTGGTTTCTCGGACATGTGAAGGAAACTTTGGTTGTTTTTTATTTGTGTGAAGTATGGTTGCCCAGTGGTTATGTGTATGTGTGGGTTTGCTTGATATTGATATGTTTTCCCCATCTAGAGTACGAAATATCTTTATCTCTTATGAGGCTTGATTAAGGCTTCTATCATGAATAAAGATACAATAGGGATCTCGCTGGCCTAAGGCCTCCAGAAAGTCATGCGGATCGTAGCGAAGTGTATCAAGTCACGTGATCTACCCCAAAAGGGGGGTGGAGGCATATTGGTCCAAGCAAATCATTTATTTTTTTCTGCCAGTCGAAGTATTCTGCCGTTTCTCAGCGGTCTCTTTTTCGCCGCCGTACACTGGCAGAATTCTATGGATTTTGAGCCCACCACTAAAAGTGTTGTCACGTGACAGGGGCAGGGAAAGAGGATCCTATGATACTACATACAATGCTTCGCTTCGCTCCGCAATAACCCTGAGTATGACCTAGTTAGATTTTGCTTATTCTGTAAATTGTTGTGCCCCTTAACCCTAGGGGCCCCGGGGATTGGCATTTATTATATAAGCTATGCTTGAGTAAAGTAGTTTCTATACACCGCCCGGGTGGTCTAGTGGTATGATTCGCGCTTAGGGTTCACCCAAAGCACAATTGCGCGAGGTCCCCGGTTCAATCCCGGGCTCGGGCCTATAACTTTTTGCCGACGTCGACTTTGTCGGATCTTTTCGTTTTTTAGAAGGCGAACTAATTAATCCTGGACTATCATGTAACATGTAATCAAGTAGGAATACTAGACTTGATCATGTTTTCCAATGAACATTGAACCTACTTGATGTCATAGAGAGAGCGCGATGGCGATCTGACAAAGTAGACAGGACCATAGGATTGCTGTGATCCTGGGGGCTAGGGATATACGAAGATAGAGGCATGATAAAGCTGAAAGGTGTCTCTGGCTGCTAATTTCCTGCGCAGAGGAGTCTTGTGTGCCACGAAATGCGTAGATATTGCAACATCCAACCTTGGAATGTACCATTCATTAACATACCTTATTACACAGTTTCCTTCATACCTACTTGTACACTACCTACGAATCAGCTTTCAACATGTTGTGGATCTATCCATCAATACATGATGGATGTGTAGGTCCCCGACTACCTAGGTAAAGAGCCCGAGGCTACTCTAAGACTCTAGTGGTACGACAGCAGCGATCGTTACTATCCGAGGAGTTGCTGTTTACAGGGACGTCATGTCATTCCGTGACATATTGGCGACCTTGCCACGCAGAAACCAGAGGAAGTCATCAGGGCCACCCTCCCTTTGTGTTTCCGTGGATCAGCCGTCAACTGGTGCGTACAGGATGTCGGATTTCCAGAGAAGAGTCATGTGAGACATTCCCATCACTGCCGAATTCGGCTGGCTAGCGATTCTTAAGAACCGATGGAAGATACCACACGCCGAAGCGCTTTACACTCCGAGGTCTGACCACAACGCGCCTTGGTTGAGAGCAAGTGACAGCCGGGCCGCAGGAGTGGACCGGCTGACCAGCAAAATTCTCCTGGGTTTGCAGCATAAGGAGTATTTCTCGGTTTAATCCCCCAAGACTTTTTTTTCTGCAAGATTATTTGTACGAGGCTAGGGCTAGAGAGACAGACCCTTGGATATCTACAAGATATCGCTGCCAAAAAAAGAATAATAGGCCCGAGCCCGGGATTGAACCGGGGACCTCGCGCAATTGTGCTTTGGGTGAACCCTAAGCGCGAATCATACCACTAGACCACCCGGGCTATTAATGAAAGGAGGCCCTATTTTAGCCTCTATCAGCCAAAATCGGAATTTAGCCCCCATCAGCGGTCTCTACGTGACTCAGGTGTGTCACTTAGCCACTATCCTGTAGTCTCACCTGAGTGATGAAGATTGCAACCTTTGGGTGAACGTTGGAAGTCGAAGTATGACCAAGTGGGCAGGTTCCAAGGTTATCAAGGGAGCCATTTTGCCGAGTGCCAGGTGAGAATCTGAACACTCATCCAAGGTTGGAATATATATTGGTCACGGGTCAGAGGTGTCCAATTCAAAGACACCCAAGGCTCCAGGGCTTCACTGGGCAGGTGAAAGATTCCCCCCAAGTCCAAGCTCCCTTCCAGCCTTGGAAATACCTAGGTAGCTAGATAGGTATTGTCATCACTCCTTTTTCAATGTTGAATCTTCCTAGGTCAGAACGGTAGAAGGCCTCAAAATCTTTCCACGATCATGATTGTTATCAAGGTTATCGCCTCAAAGCAATTTGTCACATCTCAATGCATACCTAGGCACTTTCCCCATGGATCGTAGATTCCAAGGGCTTGAAGCCTCGGCTTGGGCAGGGCTGGGGGCTTGTATGTCATGAATGTGTCGCACCCATGGATACCATATCCGCGGAATTCGACACAGATCGATCGGCCTAAACATTTTCTGTATCGAGAAGAATGTGCTCTTCTGGTCGGCCAAACTGGCCAGAATTTCGTTTAATCCTGGGGTCACTTCCAAGATATGCGTTAGGTATGAAGCAGGGTACCTAGGCAGTGCAATAACAGTCAAACCAATCATCCATATCCCCAAGGTTTCACCTCCCATGCACAAATTTCAGATATGTAAATTTAGATCACCCTTATCGCCTTGCGTCTGCCCCAGTGGTGTAAATTATTTGCTGGTATGCAGACCTTGGGAGAACACCCGGTGAACTGGACCAATCAGATTCCAAGGTTGCGAGTATGTAAGGGGGAGAGGCTTCCTGAAGATGTTTATTATGTTTGATCTAGAATCATTGTAGGCAGCATATTTTCCGGAAAAGTAGCCCGAAGGATTTTAGCCGCGGGTGCAGAGCATGACTAGAATTTCAAAACGCTGGATTCCGATTCCCAACTCCATGGTCATGGGTATGAGAATATAAAGGTGTATTTGTTTATCTCCTCTGTACCTCTCCGCATAATTATTTTCCTCGCCACATGGGCATGTTATCAAAATTGGCACAGTTGCTATTACATGCCTTTCAATTCCCAGAGATTCAAGCTTGTCCTGGATTCTCCATTATCGAGTGACTTTCGAAACCCACGAACAAGTCAGAAACGCTGGCTCCTGGCGCAATGGCGCAATATCGTAAGCCTTCGGCTGGACCCGTTAAAAAAAGGCCACAACTTCCGGAAATTGATACTTCACTGGTAAGAAAATTCTCCTAAGATGAACAAAGCTTTCAGTAAAGGGTGACTAACCCCACAGGGTGGAGCTTCTGACTGCAGCTCCTCGGCAGACACAAGTGACACAGCCGTGTTTCCCAGAATATCTTCCAAACCAAACTACTATATTTTATCGTCCAGAAAAACATCTCGACTGGAGGACAA